TCATTAAAATCACAATTATCTGTAACGGTTGACACTGTGTCTCGTCATGCGCACCTCCTATAGTTCACTTTGAATAGCTCTTACAATGTTATGCAAACAGATTTCGGCATGATCAAGCATTTGCTATGAAGCATAAAGAACGTAGATTAATCCCCTGTCATTGAAAATAACAATAAACGACCAGAACACTGTTAAAATCGCAATTTATTTGCAACGGTTGACACTGTATCTCGTCATGCGTACCCCGGTTAGTTCACTTTACACAGCTCGCACACCGTTATACGGACAGCTTTCGTTTAGCTGAAGCACTCAATTTGTAGCTGACAGTACGTAGATTAATCCACTCTTATTGATAATAACAATAAACGGCCAGAACACTGTTAAAATCGCATTTAATCGCGGAGTACCACTATTTTTTGAAGGGTGGCGCCATCCGTGGCGACTCGGTGAAACTGCTAACCAATTATATGGCTAGCAGTTTCAGCGATTTGCCACGGATGGCGCCACCGGTCGAAAAAATACTGGTACTCCGCGATTAAATTGCGATTTTAACAGTGTTCTGGTCGTTTATTGTTATTATCAATAACCGTGGATTAATCTACGTACTTTCAGCTACAAATTGAGTGCTTCAGCTAAACGAAAGCAGTCCGTATAACGGTGTACGAGCTGTCTAAAGTGAACTAACCGGGGTACGCATGACGAGATACAGTGTCAACCGTTGCAAATAAATGTGATTTTAACAATGTTCTTGTAATTACTGGTACCGAGCTGCTAGAGAGTACTAATCTAAGTTCTTTTAACTTCGAATGTAATGCGTGATGAAGAAAAATGATGCCCGTTCAGCCGTGTAAATGCGATCCAAACCTTTTGTTGTTAGGGTTGCCACTCCATAAGGGGTCAGCGTTAATAGTGGCATAAATAATTGTACTATGTAATTCTGGTGTTCTGCAGTATTGGGTTTACGCATTTAGTCGTCAGTAATAATTTGAGACCGACGACGATCTTTTTGAGCGCTTAATTACACCGGAAAATAATTTCTTATTACTTTTTTGCATATGTATGATTTGACTGTTTTTTATCGAAAAAATCGAACAAAAATATACAATTTACAATAGTATTTCTATAATTTTAACAACAATTGCCTTAAATACTACTTACATATATGATTTTACAATATATTTATAATAATACTTGTATAGATTCAATAAAAGTGCCCTTAGATACTTATTTTACTTAAATCCCACTTATCTATATGATTTTACAATGTAGTTGTAATGATATTTATACAAATTCAGAAAAAGTAGGCTTAGATATTATTCATGAGTAAAAGTTTAGTACCTTGGTGGTATTGATTCAACCCTAGTCCAGTCTATATTTCTATGGTCTATGCATGTGGCGTATTCAAGATAAACAGCTGTTTTCGCTGTCGATGTGCCAAAAATGTTTCATCTGTCAAAGTGTACATAAAACTTCAACGTTTGATTTGAATAGCTTACTTACACAGTTCATTACAGCTTCAGGTTATTATATTCGAAGATTCTTTCAAGTGTAAGATTTAATCAGAATGCTCCGTGGATATGAAGGTGTCCGCTTTCTATCGGACAAACAAATGGTGATATTCGACATCGGAAGCGCGTACACCAAGTACAACTGCATTTGCATTAACGCGAGTATTGTAGTACATGATTAATAGATTGAAATGTATATTTAAAAATAGGTATGGTTATGCGGGTGAAGCTACACCACGCGGCATTATAAAAACGGAGGTGATCTGTTCAGAAACCAAACAGCTCAGGAAACTGTATGATTATAAAGATACTGATGATTTGTATCAATTACTCGTTGAATTTCTTCATTGTCTATTTTTCAGGTAATAATGTCCTATTGCATTAGTTTGTTGCATTTTCTAACTTTGTCTTCTCTGTTATAGGTATGTCGTGATAACCCCAAAGGATGCTAGAATTGTAGTATTGGAATCTCTTCTAACACCATCCCAATTCAGAGATACACTAGCTAAAGTACTATTTAGGCATTTTGAAATTGGTTCTCTGATGTTATTGTCTGTTCATTTAGCAACTGTTAGTACTTTAGGCACCAACACAGCTTTAGTGTTAGACGTTGGATACAAAGAAGCTACATTGATTCCAATTTATGAGGGTGTACCAATTTTGAAAGCATGGCAGGCCCTTCCCTTAGCTAGTCAAGCTGTACACGAGTAAGTCGATTCTGTATCACATTACAATATGATAGATACAACTAATATTGGATACACATCTGTATGCTACTCAAATATTATTTTCATAGGTATTTGATCAAGTCTCTGAAAGAGACATCACCTAATATGAATATAACAGAGAAACTTGTAGAGGATATAAAAGTCAGAACATGCTTTGTTACTACATTAGAGAGATCTATTAAATTAGGAACAGAGAATGCTCCTAGTCCTCCACCTGCAGTTGTGTATCCTGGAGTAAAAAATATTACTATACCTGGTGAAGTTAGAGAAAAAGCATTTGAAGTATTATGGGAAAGGGATAATGATAACTTAAGTATACCTACTATGATTCTGGATGCTATTCTCAAGGTACAAATATCAGTCAAACTGTATCACCACTACTTTCAATGGTTGAATATTACTTTTTGTTCCAGTGTCCAATAGACACTAGACGCCCCTTGGCTGAAAATATAATATTAATTGGAGGCACAACAATGTCGAAAGGTTTTGCTAGTCGCCTGAAATCCGAACTATTAACTTTACTGAAAAGCAACCTTTATTCGGACAAATTAAAAATTCAGGTGTTCAAATTTCACACTGCACCTAGTAAACCTAATTATACAGCATGGTTGGGTGGCGCTATTTTCGGAACTATAGACCTTCCCTTAAGATGCGTATCTAAAGAGAATTATTTGAAATCTAATAGAGTCCCTGATTGGACCAGTTTAGTGGATAATCAAAGAGTGGATTCTGTGACTTGTGAAATGTAAATCTTGACCTAAATGTATTTCTATGTACATATTGAAATGTAAGAGCAGTTATTTATTTCCTATTTCTTAACTTTTGTACTCGACACTCTTGGATTTAGAAACACAATTCTAATCAATGTAAAATATGCACATACACGATTGAATAAAAACAGACATATTGTATTGAAAATTCAAAACATTTTTTATTCATAGAAAATGAATTATAGAATTTCCGGATTTATATTAATAGATTTTCCAGTCAAAGTTTTGTATTAGAGTGTTGTCAGTAGTGTAAGTTTCTCATTTAGCTGAAGTTGAGTCTTAATCAACTGAGATAGTGCAACAACCATCAACAAATCTTTCACATTGCTGTTAAACATTTCGTCGAATTGATCGCTCGACATTTTAGGGACGGAGTGTACCATATCCAGAAGAGCGCGACCAACCTAAAATTTTAATATAAATCAATACTACGAGAATGATTTTATTACGAAAAATCGTTAAAAAACAGAAGCAATTAAGTACTTGATTATCTGGCGGTTGTTTAGAATTGAGTACATCATCAACGTATTGAAGCACCTGCTCCAACATAAAAGATAGTTTACCACTGGCTTCTGCGATTTGGGCAAGATCCATCATTGGTTCTATACCACCACTTGCTTTTACCCCAGGTATTTGCGAATGTGATGGTAATTGGGTCTTAGTACAAAGTTGCAGTCCGACAATTTCTGGCTCATAAGATGTAACCTAAATGCAAAGTAATTATATTCCATAAATCCGTAAAAATAGTTACATTATATTCCTCACGAAGCTAGATTATTCTAATAGGTAACACACCTGCACTTTGACTGGGGTGAACATGGAACCTTGTTTTCCATTAGGTACCCCTAACGATACACATACATAAGCTTTAATTGCCATTCTAGTAGTGTTTAGCAATGTTGTATCGACAGTCAAGTGAACAGGATTATTACATTCACGGATATAATATTCGTGAATAACCGAAGAATGAGTGGTGACCTATAAATTGGAATCAAAAGTTATTCATGATAGTTTGTAATATGCACAAAACATGTAAAGTAATCTGTACCTCGTTCCCGGTTGCCCACCACCCAACGACATTTTCCTGTGCGTTGACCCTGTGATTCAAATCGTAAAGATCGATGCCGTACGTGAGATCAGCTTCTACTTGACTTTCGGACTCTTTATGTGGCACGCAAAAGCAATTAGTAACTTCGACCATACCCTTCTCAACGGTGCCTGGAAAAAAAAATTAAATACCATAAGGATTTCATTAAGAATAAATGGCTGTCAAAGTAGCCGATGTTATAACTTTAAACTAGAACTGGTATCGTGTTTTTCATTGAACGAGCGTTGAATTTTTTATTACCTAATAATGTCCCAATGACACGGTGGGACTCGGCTTTCCGACGCTCATAAGCGTCAACAATTTGAAAAAGAACAACAGGATGAACCTTTACGGTGAGGTTAAGCGCCATGCTTCACTGTACTCTTGTTACTATTCACCACCGTTCACAACTATTCACGAGGAAAAGAAGCTGCACTCTGCAGAGCCACGTTACTTGGCTAGATATAGCCGCGTTTCTAAGTACGAGTTTGAGTACCTTGGATTACTGTCAGATGACGTCATTTCTGTCTTTCGAAAAAAATAATTTAATAGAACGTTAAAGTAATAAAATAACGAATGGTATTTTGATGAACACTGAATTGATTACATTGTACTTCAAGTAAAAAAAAGAACCTTGACTCAAACATTCGGTTTTCTTAAGAATTTAGAGAGTGTAGTGGAAATATCAAACCAAATTTTCAATGGTGATTGACATATCAATGAACAAAATAGTTGGCGACTCTACATAATTATGTATATGGTCGAACAGATCTATGATGCCATCTGTATAATAATCCCACTGTTCTTGATATGAGTTTCCGTTTAAAGTGTTTGAAAACGTGTGAAAGCCTAATCATTAATAAACAATAGGAGAAATAATGTACAAACGTATAGATGGTCGTCGTTTAGTGCAGAATGCGGGAGAAAAAGTAATTCTACTTGGAACTGTCGTAAAAGTAAGATTCATATGACATTATGATATGCAATAGAAAGTATAACAATTTAAAGCCAGAGATTTGAGGCTTTCACGGCCCGGCATCATACAGTTATTAACTTATTACTGTTGGGCCTTTTGCATGTAAGCCTTGTGACACAGTATCAGTATGTCATTCGACTCCCTGGTGAAGCTACATGCAATGCTTACAAAACATTGAGAAAATAATTCCACAAAGACACAGCTTTCACCTGAAAGCCTCAACAGTAATTATTGTATAAGTTGGGGCAGGTTTGTTTACTTATTTACTGTGTATTTTAGACAGGTTTTCAGGGTAAAAATATAGAATTAAGAACAACTGATGGTGTACATGTTAATGTGACTTTGCCAGAGTGTATTGATGAGAACACTGAAGGATATATAGAAGTGCATGGCACATTGCAATCAAAATCCACAATGGCCTGTCATAGTTACATATTATTTCCACTGAGTATGACAGAAAAGTTTGGTAGGTGTTTGCCTACTTTTTTATAATATGCATTATGCATTATGAATATATATGGTAAACGCAAAAATTTCTTGTTATAGATGCTGATCAATATAACGAATTGATGGCTATACTGAATGTATTAGGACCAGGAAAATGGAAAATTTCAGAAAATGATACAGGATATTAAGTTATAATTAATAAACAGTTATAAATTCTTATAAGAATACAATTGTCCTTACACACATAATTATCTGGGAATTGATGTTTCATAATAAAATTAAATGATGATGTTGCACAGAAATTGACGATCCTTGTATTATTTTTACATTACGGTCAACTTATTAAACGTACAATACGATATCCTAAAACTAAAATAGGTTATGTCAATACTATTCACTATTCTTAGAATGTTTTCATGGTACTCACTCCTATTTTACATGATGCATCCAAGGAAAAACATCTACAAGTACACGATGTTACTGGACACTCAGAATGTTGCCTATTTAAAAAAGGATAATAAATCGTTTCAAATAAGGAAACATTAAATCATCTGATAGATATAATTTTTAACATATTACCGAAACCAATGTGTAATGTGATCGGCGTGACCACCGTGTCTGCATGACTGACACCATGTGAACCAGTTATTAAATTCTGTTAATTTGTTGTCGCCTTCTTCGTTTCTATTTACACCGGATGTTGTCATTTGTAATCCGCTTACAGTACCCATATGCATCAAACATATTGCACATCTTGGCAACGGTTTTCGGCAATTTGGACACGAAGACATCTAAAGATACAAAAACAGTACCTGTTATAATACAAGATTACTTGTAACCAAATCGAACATGAAACCCGAAAAATATTACCTTCAATTTGTTGGGCGTACTTCCTAATCTACCAAAAGGTCCCCGTGCTCTACTTAGACCCTGCATAAATGCGGATATACTTTTGCCACAAAAATTACAAGACACATATATTTGTTGAGGAGGTTTCTCGTTTGTCGACGATCGCATTGCAATATCGAAATGTGCTCTTTGAGTCCACATTTTCCACGCGTTCAAAAGATTTCTATAACTATATTTAAGCTTTTTAAGCTTAAGGTGCTTTACATTTATAAACTTTTCAACACTCAGTTTTAGTTCTAATACCTAGTGATCCATACTTGGACTTGATTCTCTTGGAGTAATTTTGGTGTGAATGCTCTGATAGCTAGCAGACTGCAACTTTGAACATCTCCGGTAATTTCTAAATACCGATTTAATAACTGTATACCTTCTAAACTTGCACCTGAAATATAGTAATGTCTAACAAGAAATTATAGTAGATAGAACACAAACAACTGAACTTGTGATCATACCTGTTAAAAGGAAACCAGATAAGTTACCCTCGTCTGTTAATTTTTGAGTGAATCGTTTCAAATATTCGTTCAACTTATTATCCGATAGAAACATCAGCGCGAACGCTACTCTGTCCTCGACTGCCATACCATTTTCATTCTATGAAAACAGACATAGTGAATATCCTTTTCCTTGACGGCAACAATTTACATCTACTTACTAAAACATTTTCGTAAGAATCATCCGCCGTCAGAAACGCAAAGGTTGCTCTTAAATAAGGATCTGAAAGTTGGGACCGACATTTCAAGCATGATTCTCTCCACATACTATTTCTATCTTCAGAAAACCCTGATAAAGCCATGGCAACAATGTTCAGATTCGCTGACATTGACATTTTATTGGCACCTCGATTCAAAATTTCTATCGCTTGTCGCAAACATAAATTAAACACCGCTATTGCAGCTGCTCTTGGGTACGCTCCATCTCTTTCCAATCGTTCTAGGAACAAGTTATCGTACAGAGTATTGGTATCCTTGTCGAATCTCCAGCCACATAAAAGCAAACCTTTATCTCTATCTGGAGACCTACAGTAGAAAAAATAATACCTCAGGTGGACTCCCTTTATATTGATCTTATTAATTAAATACCTGTAAATTTTTGCAGTGTGATTTGATCCTATATCCGACCAAGGACGATGAATCAATTCTGACTTCAGAAAACCATTACTTCCCTGTTGGCCATCTACTTTTAAAACTGTTCTATGTAATATCGACGAACATTAATTTGTGTATTTTCAATGTAATATCTTTAAAGAAACTTTAACTTACCTGACACCTGGATGTTTATTATCTGGACTAGATATAGTTCCATCTTCAACCAAATAACGACTCAGGTACAACCACTGCCACAGGTTCTTTAAGGTATCATTCTCGGCCAGTTCGCCATTCTGAGCCAGTTCTGGCTACAAATATATATGTGAGAACTTGCAAACGAGGTAAATTGGAAATCTCTAAACTTACAAGTAATCCGTATTCCGAAGTTGCACGTGTCTTAGTCAAAATAGAAATATCGTCCAGAGCTTTGTAAATGCTATCGTTATTGCATATGTATTTAAATGACTTAGAGGCATGATTCCATGCGAGATGAGATCTGGTGGACCAGTTTACTGTAATCCTCTCACAAACTGTATAATCTGTAAGTCCTGTGAAAGTCAGTCAAAGAATTTAATGAATTTTATCTAATTGTTCTTGCAATTAAATAGTAATACCATCAAACCTTGCTGCGATATTGCCAGTAGTCTATTTACATGTGACGGGTGCCATGAAAAACTTATTGGATTGTGCCATGGTGGTGCAACAGTCCTTTCTAAAGCCCCAGGTTCGGTATCTTCTCCTCCGCCAATCCCACAGTGCTGAATGTCGTATAAATGCAATGTCACTGTATTTAAAACAATACTAACATTTAGTATTAACTTTACTAATTGATCTTCATATGTCTAGTGAAAATTACTATGTTCTACCCGAATCTTTTTGTAGAGCTCCCAAAAGATTGTGCCTGGTTGGACACCATAAAACTTTAGTAACTTGTCTGGCTTGAGACAAAGTCAAAACAGGCTTTTCAAAGCATCTTGTATCCCAAATTGTTATTTGATTATCTACACTCGAGACTAAATGATAATTATTGTGCGGATTGACAGATACATTGTACACTGATTTGGTGGCTGCAGTATTTATTACCTTTGCAGAATCTAGTAAAATTAGAAGTGATATACACATATATATACCAGATAAAATGAATGTAATCTGTTGAATTCTCTTCCTACCTCTGAAGTCAATAATTTTCAATTGTTTATTGTTTGCACCAACTACCAGACATTTCTGTTCGTGTTTGAACCAAGCAGCAGAATGTACAGTTTCAGAAACAGAAACTTCAGCAATAGGTCTTATGGAATCTGTTTGTACTGTGGTATGATGATGCACTCTTTCAGTGCCTTGCGCTCCTCTATTTACATCCCATAATAAAATGGAATGTTCTTTATTATGTTTGTCTAAACCAGATACAATTAAGTTTGTATCTATGGGATTCCAAGCAACGGTATTGCATTGTCTTGCATGTTTTGGAACTGTAACAATTTATTAATATATAAGAAACATATACTCTGCATCTGTATGACAAAACAATTTACCTAATTCTTTTCCAGTAAGACCTTGTGAATCAAACACTGTTGGACCGAAAGTAGTTAATGCAACTTTTCCATTTGCTTGTCCAACTGCTAACAGAATATCAGGCTCTGGTTGTGGATATATATCGATACATTTAACATAATGATGATTGGTATTTGTAGCAAGTAAATGAGCTACGGTAGAGTCAGAGATCTTTGTATCTATTGAGATCAAATATGTAAAGGTATTTTGTTTATTAATCTTATCATTACGGACATATATATGTATATATTATTTGCAAACATGTACTCACATAATTGCCTTATATTGTCTTTTACTTGTGTAACTTCATACAGACAGATCTCTGTACCCCAGGTAATGAATTTGTTTGCATGAATAGGGGACCACTGTACATCAAGTTTCATACTACTCATTTTGTTATAGCTTTATACAGCTTTATTAACGTGAACAAAATGCATCTTAATCTGTAATAAGAAAACGACATTATGTGACTGCTGCATCGGTATTTCTTTCTCATAAAAAATGACAGGTAACCTCGAATAAACTCCGTCATTCATTGAAAGATTCCATTTAAATTTAACACAACCATGCACCATATTAACCGTGTACTTTGCAAAATATTGATAGTAAAAGTACTAGCATGTTAATAAACTGTGTGACAGTAATGAAAAGTTACTTTACGTAATGGTATCTGATTGGTTGTTAGAAAATTCAGTCTGAACTAACATCACGGACTCATATACAGGGTGTTAAAACATTACAGAGTAATAAACTTATTATACTTTCGCGTCTGAATTAAAATTATAAAAAATTGTTCTTGTTATTGAATAAAAAAAAAGAAAAAAATAGGATGGACTGGTCTCTCTTTTGTTACAAGTACTAATTTTCTATCTTTATTAAATTTTGTGCAAAGAGTATAATACTAAAACCACAGATGTTAACAAGTATTTCATACAATTCCAATGAGTTATAAACCGACAATACATTTTTAATGCTCTCAAATACATAGTGCAAAAGACACATGAAACATTTCAGTTAATATATATAAAATACATTTTATTAAAAATGTAACTGTAGACATGTGATCGAATAATCGACTATAGTGCCTGAATTACATAAAAAGATGATGTAACTTATGACAGACCTGTAACTTGAATATACATAGTTGCAAACATTTTTGTTGTGTCCTGACATACCTAAATCTGTAGCATAAAATCGGTTGAAGTCATATACGCGCTAGGGAAATTACTCTAAAGAATTCTATTACAATATCAATCTCAAATTGATTAACAGCGAATACTTAAAAGGCACAATAAATTTCAATCGTACAAAAATATGAAAAGTCAAACTCGCAGAGGATGTTACTTATTACTTAATAAGCTAGTACTAACAAATATGTTTCCAAATCATAATCATCCTGTGAAACTTCAATACTTAGTAATACATATTATATACGTATACATACAGAAACATACATATATATGTACACTGTAAAACTGCAAATGTAATATCAAGACATTCTTATTATATTTTTGCATAAATAAATGCACCTCATAGAGGTTCAAGTCTTTTCGGAAAAGTCTGTTAACCACGTGTTCAGTCTATTGTAATTCATTGTCTATTATAAGTCATAGACTCAATACATTGCATTCAATTGTATTCTTAGTTTGTTATAAAAACGCAACATTCAGCCTTCCACAATAAATTAAACTTTCAAGTACATAGACATTCGATAATGTTTTCAATCTACAGTTCAATTAATGAAAAACCAACTCGATGGATCTTTTAAATAAATTTAAGTGGCGTTCATATAAATCCTGTAATGCTACAGGCTTAATGTTTGTTTGTTCTAGACGAGAAAGGCATTTCACTGTAGAAGTAGTAAACTTTTGTTAGTATTTATACGCGCTTATGTATCGTAAACAACTAGACTTGCAGAATACAACAAATAACGAGTAAGCAAATCGCAAATTAATTACCGCGCGTCTTCATTACTTTACAGTGTTGTGACCGTCACAATAAGAAACATAGTTTAGACAATTTTGAATTGTTAATACTTTGCCAACATATAACTAAGAAAAAAAAAAAAAGAGTGCTGAAATTGTTTAAGGTCACAAACAAACATACAAAATGTATCAGGTGAAGATATAGTGATTTTATTTGCAAACAGAGTCAATTACAGTATGTTCGTGATAAATATTTATAGCTTTTTGAATAACTATTTTTAATCACCATGGAACATTGTGCAGAATTTACATGTATATATCCACTATTTTTAACAAATCAAATCTTCACTTGTACTAAATGTTAGCTTAAATGATTGTACACATTTCAGCACTCCAAGAATGACACATGAGAATTTCAAAAATAATTTCACGGTTGTACAAAGTACTTTTGTGCTCTAACAGAAACTTTTTTGACTCTGCGTTATAGTGAAACCTACGTCACGAATCAATAGCAATGAAGGTGACTCTAATCGTAAATATCAGTGTACAGATCAGTTATTTTACAAAAAAAAAAAAAGAAAAAAGAAAAAGAGTACAAATTGCGCAACTTTTAATACAATAAATATGAACAGTTTGTAAACTTTTTGTGTTCTCAACGCAAATATTTAATCTGTTTAGTGTCATTTCACTGTAAAGTGTTAGAAATCTTTCATGTATATATATCTATATACGTATATAAATACACTTCTCTCTTACTCAGTTTCTGTAATTAGGAGCCGAACGTTCCGTTACAGAAACTATATACATTGCTTTATGTTTGTTAGAGGAAACGGCAGCAGTTTCTTTTCTTCTTACGTTCTTTCCCATCCCCTTGATTTTCCTGTGCTTTACGCGCGGCTATTGCGCGCATTAAGTCAAAGAATACCTGCAATGTGATAAATACGGATGGTCGATCTTCAACATACGCTTTGATCTATTGATTAGAGTACTTAAGTATAATACGTTAGAATATTTTCGAAATAATTGTGTACATCAATGTTAGTTGTTAAAATTAAACTTTGCGTTCTTGTTATTCATTTCACTACCATCGAATTAATGTAATACACCTAATAGTGTAATACTCGTGTCCAACAAAGATAAACAGACTAAAGTGACGTATCATGTTCGTGTTGCTAGAGTAAACATGCGCAACAACAAGCTGTATTTACTATTTCATATTACAATTCATAGAATCATTACGACTCTTTCGATGTCTAAAGAGGGTACATCAGAAACAAGAATAGAAAGTGTCATTTTGTGCTTTTGTAATCTGAGACATTAAAATTAAGTAATACATGCAATGCAGTATTTCAGGCATAAGCGAGTGTCAACCTGGCAAGCAATATATAAGAACAAATTTTTTTTTTATACGTGCCTGTGTGACACTCTTACAGAAGGTTGATACTTCTGGTAATAAGAGTTACCTGTTGAGAATCGTATATGTACATATTTATTTGAACTTTCGAGAAACTTAAAAGAATACTGCAACTTATAGAAACTCTAATTATCGTTTGATGGTTCATTACAAGAAAATTAGAAACAGTGCAAAAAAAAAAACAGCAAACCTATAGAATAATGCACTTCTTTTTCTTCTTCGTCGCACGGTCTTTCCCACGACCGTTACTCGCTGATTTATCCTCGATCTTGCGCGACCTTATTTCACGCATCAAATCGAAAAATACCTGGAAATGTGCAATCGATGCTATCTCAAAGCTTCAAGGCTTGAAAAGGGTGCTTTATAGATTAATAGAAATACATAACGTGTATATGTTCATTCGGTGCTTATACAGTACTTTCACAAAGAGGTACGAATTTGCAAAAGCTACAAAACATATGCACAGAAAAGTGAATGAAGAAAAAAATATAAGATAAATTACAAATTAAGCTGAATAAACATTTATCTCATGCAGTTTCTTTCTGCTCCAAAGGCTAAAGCAAAATCAAATTGTTACAATAAAAGAAATACCAATGATGCATATGGATTACACAATTTTTGCATACAATTATGAATGTGTAAACATTCTAGCTATTGATAAAATTCTATTAAAAATGATTAATTATTGTACCAAATAAGATTCTTTCCTAGAGAACATTTTCCAGTTGCTATTGTCTATAACATGATATATGTAAAGAAAATTTGATCATTGATTACCTTGTCAACATTTTCCTTTGTTTTTGCACTTGTTTCTACATATGGTACACCCCATTGCTGCGACCTTGATTGAGCTTCAGCTAAACTGACTTTTCTCTTTTCTTGTAAATCACTTTTATTTCCCACTAATAGAAATGGAATGTTCTCATCATTTTTTACTCTGAGGATCTGTTCTCTGTAAGTATAAAATTCCATGCTTTGTTCGTTCATATATATACACGTATATAAATGTATTTTATTATTGCTTACCGAAATTCCTGAGTAGCTTGAAAACTATCATCCTCTGTTATAGAAAAGACACAAAGAAATCCCTCACCACTTCGAAAATAGTTATCTCGAATTGCTGCATAATCTTCTTGTCCTGCCGTATCTAAAATGTCTATTTGTACTTCTTCGCCATCCAACACAACTTTTTTCCTATAGGAATCTGCTTTTGTAGGTTCATAATCCTCTACAAACTGACAGACATATAAGAAAAGATATAATGGTTTATAATGTGTTAACATATAATTGTCATTAGATATTTCATATACCTCATCATACATGAACTGTAATGTCAGGGCAGACTTTCCAACGCCTCCACTTCCAACCATTATAACTTTATGCATTGCTTGTGGAGCACCTGGCTTCTTTGACATGTTATTAGAATTTCCTGAAAAAATAATAATATAAGTTTTACTAAAAAGTTGTATAAAAGGCAAAGTTGTACATAAAAGAACAACAAAATATGCTTTGTACAAATATTCTGCTGTGTTTTCTGAACCATAGATATTCTGAGAAATTCATTTCATTGAAGGAAGTTGAGAAAGGCAGGATGTGAAACTACTGTTGTCAGCACGAGAGATCTAAAAACACAGTCAGAAGTATATATTTACCTGTATTGTATTGCTATTTACCCTTTACTCTGATATATTTTAAGCAAAAGAAATTCAGTATATTAATTTTTTACGAAAATTAATTAATGTATATAATTATGTATTTATTAGAACCCAGACCATACTTTTTAGTAAAAGATCATATTAGATGATTCAAACATTCAAAAATGGTTGATTAGTTAATTCCTAGTGAATATGCATCGCATCATAATTATTTATTGTTTCGGAAAGAAATTCAATAATAAAAAAAGGAAATAAAATACGTACAGAAAGTGAAACAGATTACCGTAACATACTATTTTGAAATGAAATCATTTTTATCCAAAGACAACAAATAGGCACAAACGAGAAAAAATTCAATAGATCTGGCACACACACAGCAGGCAGAGACACAAATATACACGTAGTGGTACATTTGACTTCTCCGTTTTATGTTTATATGTTAAACACAGCCCGAAGAAAACATGAGACCAGGAAACGTTTAAACGGTGTGCAGAAAAGTGTACATTAGAGCTACGAAAATTGGAGTAACGATCGCATTATATCACACTTATCTATCGAAACGAATGAAACAATAATAAAGAAACATCCGAACGTATATGACTGACGAGTAATGAAAAAGGCGGTGCCACACGCCTAATTTCAACGAACATCATCTTTCACTTCGACATCTATCGTGCACTCGAATGTGTACGTTTCAACCCAATTTCTATCTTCGACGACGACAGACATGGATCGAGTAAATACCTTTAAGGATAGCGTCTACCGTGTGGGATCTTCAATATTCTTTATACAAACTCGGTCGTCGCGCTTTCCTTCGCCGTAACGCGACTGATAGCAATAATTAACTACAGATGTACTATACGTGCACTCTACCGGCTCCTCCTTGCACTGCGATACCGGTGACGGTTTAATCATTGCATTCCTATAGACCGGTATCACCGGTGACACACGCCTCAACCGATAAAATGTCTCAATTGACAAAAGTAACTGATGAATTCAAGATTGATGTACCAACTAGAAATTTAGGGAAGCATCTATTACTGTGCACTGAATATCTTCGTTACGATTTATGGATCGTGCAACAGTATTATCCATACCTATATGTAAATCGTCACGTAAATAAAATAGTAATAATAACCGAACCGTTCATTAGAGGTGTGATTTGAAAAAAAAACAAGTACTGATTTACTATCGAAATTCTGAACGGTTTCTAATTCATTCGTGTACTTAAAATAATATTGTTCCAATTAACATCTCAATGTGTCTTAATGGATTCGAACTTTACACATCGTATATTTCCATATTTATTTCTATTTTCTTCAAATCGCTATCTGCCTTCTGGTGACTTTTTCAGTACCCTTGCGAGCAATCTCGGCTTCCGCTAGGGGAAAAATCAGTACAGGAGAAGGGCCTCCTATCACTTGGTCTCGGGAATTATTGAAATTTATGTCAAATTAACATCTATTTCGGTATTTGAATCAAATTTACCAAGTAGTAGGAGGCCCTTTCGGCCCTTTCCTTACGTTACTTTTTCCTCTAGTGGAACCCAAGTTGCTCGTGGGTGTACCAAATTCCTTCTATGTATTCGCTATTTTCTAGTTCCAAATGTTTTTTATTGGTTGTCATAATGAACGACGATATACGCATTCTCTCGTGCTTCTCATTTTTACAATCAATTTTTCGTATATTAGCATATACTTGTTAGAAATCATTCACAGCGAGCGTAAGCAAAAAGGAATGATTCTGCCCGTATTATTATCCTTCGTTTATTCACGTTTAAAACCCGAAGGAATCGGTTAGACAATAATAAAGTGACGTCAAGAAAAGTCGCGTGATCTGTCTCGAGGCTACGGGACTGGTCAGAGGTATCTCGCGCGACAGTCGACAGTGGTGTTTCCTAGAAAGTTGAATTGAAATTAACGATAAATTTCGGAAATGTAGGGCGTGTATCGCCAATTTTACGTTGAAAATAACTTCGTCTTGTAGAAAGTATAATTTAATCTACTTTCCAAGACAATCGATAAACGTTCGAAAAATCTTTAAAAAGGTAAGAAGGAGCCATCCAATGAGAGTTACTGGCGAAAAATTTCCTCGTTGCTAGATCCGTACGTAATAATAATCGGTTCGGGACTCGGGATCTGTGTGTAGCGCGGCGCGTACTAAACTTCGGACTTCGGTGCACGGCTTACTTCCAGTTACTTCTCTCGGTCGCAGACTTCTGTCCGAAAAAGTTCATCGAACACGAAGCAAGCAGTACCGTTTTTTTGGATTACTATCGCCACGATGTCGAATCAACGCGATGACATTCTATAAAATATACGGATCGTAAAGAATGAAATCGCAGTGTCAGTGAAAATTATCGCGACCAGTTTCCATGCGCGATTGATGAGCAACACATAGTACATCTCTTGTGCTTGGCAAGACTGAAAATTCCTGAAGTGTTCATTCCCTTAGGGAGCGTGAATCGAAACAACTGTGCCATTTATTCGGTTGGAAACGCCAGGGGATCTTCGCGAGATCTCGTACCGAGGATGACCGATCCAAAAATCGAGATGCATTACACACCACCAACCTCCGACACCATTCAAACGAAACCCTTTCCCATTCGAGGTAAGACTACCTTTTTTTCTACGTCATCGTAATAAATAGGGATTTTCTTATGCTTATTGCTGGACGAATTCTTCGAAAAAGTAGATATTGAAAACAATGAAAAAAATATACGAAGCTTGCATTCTACAGTGTTCAGTATTTCTGCGTAGAAATTCTTCGTTACGTTGTCTTATTTACAATATCACAAATCGTAAGTCTAGTTCTCTGATAGAAGAACGATCAAAATTGAATGGTATTTGTTTTATTCCTCTTGGAAAATGAGTTATCGCACGTATTAATAATAGGTGAAGATGAATTTTGCTTTTACGAGGAAACACTGTTCTTTTTGAGGGCCACTACACTATGGTCTATCGTCCTCCAGGAACATAACCTGAAAAGATGCACTGTACTGGGCCGCATGTGTATTACGTAGGGTGTTTACACATATGTGACAGTGCTAGCATTTAACAATCGAATTTTGTGGCAATGCGAAACTAAAGTGGCTGAAAAGGGATTATATCTGGCACTATAAGAACCACCTTTACTCGTGATCTCGTTTAGAGGCGGTGATTCTTTTTTACGGTTCGATTTCGTGTTAAGGTTGATTGGAAAAAAATACCGTTTTCTAAATAATGTTAATGTTACGAATACATCATTCGTAACTTTTTACAATAAATCGATCTTTTTAAGGCTTATAAAACACTAACAGTCATCTGATCTAATACATTATAAGCATCGACGAAGTATAAGAATAGACCTTACGTCTTATGGGAATTGGTGGCACATATAAACTGCAGTACCGACACCTTAAAAAGTCTGTGATATTAGTGACCTCTACGTTATGAGAATGGTAAATCTACGGTGGATAGTGACACTAAGAAGGAAATGGGGTAACGTAACCCCAAAAAAAGTGGGCTGCAAAAATACATTGGATGAAGTGTCCACATACGTCGTCTATGCTATAAGTATAGATCACATTTAGCGGTTCCCATGCTAGCATTATTTGACCGTTAACTCGATCGATTTTGCATGCTTTTGAACAGGAATATAAATTGCATAATGTTTTAAAGCTAGCTTAATGGCGATTTCCAATTGAACGTTTTCCAGCGAACTGAAGGCTTGGCTTGGTCAGGAAATTCGCTGCATTCTAGAACCGAGAAAATCAAACGTACGATTTCTCGGATAGGCCAACAAATTTACCGTAATTGTACCTTGGTCTTTAGTCGATTAGTAAAAACAACTTGTGACCGATAAAATTAATCTCGGCAGATTGGACTGCGATGAAAAGTGGCTACGCGTTCACGTGTTTGTCGAGTTGATGAGGGGTGATTTCGCAAACAGCTCTAGATAACGTAAAATGTTTACGTTGAAAAGTCCATTGGTAATATTTTGTCAATGCAGATGAACGGACTAATGAATATGTTAAATTCGAGTTTCATTTTCTGGAAACCTTATGAAACCTTGATTCGTTGGTACTCGAATCCCGAGTTGGTGAAAATAGGCAACCGTTCATTAATAGCACTAACTAGGAATTGCGTAAATTTCATTGGACAGCCCGTGGCCATTCTGGTCTCGCATAAATCTGAGGATTGTCGAGCGAGAACGTTCCCGTAAATCGTTTCGAATATTCGACATTTTCCAATGAATATGCTTGACGATCGGATTAATGCTTCTATTTTCAATTCTTTCGCATTAAGATATCTCTGTGTCTTCGGTTGTATCTGCTAATTTAGGTTTACCATAATCATTTGCATACGACACATATGCATAGAATATTGAAAAGGTGATAACTAATATTCGTTAAATGCGAAGGACGTACTATCCACGTACAGCGAGAAGACTAATAACGATAAAACGAATATATGTACAGAGGCGAAGCTTATGGTTTATATATATTATTATACTTCTCGACTTGTATCGTCGCAACGAGTGATTCATTATTAAGTTACGTCACGTATTTAACAAATAAAAAACAGACGGAGGGCACGTGTTGCACGAGATATGGGATTCTTATCGGTGAAATTTGATAGTGCGTCTCGTATAGTTCCGATTGATTGCCACTCCAAGTCCGTTGTGACATGACGAAAATTCAATGACAAATAAACAGGAATACTGTTTAATAATAATTCCGATGAATAAATAATACGTAACCTCAGAAAATGTCCTGTGGCACTGGTAATGGACCTGTATTGATCTTTGTAGATTTCTTTGAAACCGATTTCTTTATTCTTATTTCTTTATTCTTGGTTTTAGGTGAACGGGCAAATTTCGTGAACAAACCTCATGTGATCGCGATGGTTGGTCTGCCGGCACGCGGCAAAACGTACATATCGAAGAAGCTGTGCAGATACCTGAACTGGATCGGTATCAGCACGAAGGTGTTCAACCTGGGCGAGTACAGACGACACGCGACCACTGCCTACCAGTGCCACGAGTTCTTCCGTCCTGACAATATAAAAGCGATGGCGATACGTACCCAGTGCGCGATGGACGCCCTTAAGGACGTCTGTCAATGGTTGGAGAGCGGAGACGGCGAGGTGGCCGTTTTCGACGCCACCAACTCCACCATTGAAAGACGTCAACTGATCCGGGACATCGTCGTCGAGAAAATGGGATTCAAGTTATTTTTCGTGGAGTCCGTGTGCAACGATCCAGAGATCGTTGAACAGAATATCATGGAAGTACGCAGAGCATTCTTCTAAATACGCCTGAAATCGAGAAATTGATTATTGTAGTAGAGTACAGGCTGTTCCTGAAGGAACGTTAATTCGTCGACAGCAAATTCGATTCTGAATCAGAATGTTCCAATAAGTATACAAGCAGAATGTTTCCTCGAATTGCTGTGCACTTTTAAAGAGATTGTTGTTGCAAGCAGAACATACCTATGAGATTCGCGTATTACAATTTCATTTTTCGTGGTTTGTGAAGCTTTACTGATCATGACTCTTTAAGGAAGCATTAAGACACGTATGTTTATTGGACTTCTTTTTGCAGTAGAATATGGAGTAGAAGAACATTTACGAGAACGATTTATTTAATGAGAAGTATCTCCTGTATGTTTAGGTAAAAGTAAGCAGTCCGGACTACGCGAATATGAACAAGGAAGAAGTATTGGCCGACTTCACGCTAAGGATCGAGCACTACCAGGAAAAGTATCAGCCGTTGGACGAAAATCAAGAAAGCGATCTTTCCTTCATGAAGATTTACAACACCGGCGAGAAAGTATTGGTACACAAGCACGAGGGACACATACAAAGCAGAATAGTGTATTACCTTATGAACATTCACATAGTCCCGCGTACAATCTACTTAACCAGACACGGCGAAAGTATAATGAACCTCGAGAGCAAGATAGGTGGCGATTCGGAGCTCAGCGAAAGAGGCTGGGAATACGCGAAAGCTTTGGATAACTACATCACTAGTCAGGATATACAGGTAAGACTTGCACGGAATTGAATATGGCTGCGTTCGAAACAGAAAAACAATCGAAATCGTTCCAATTAAAGGGATTGCGGGTGTGGACTAGCTGGTTGAAAAGGACCATACAGACGGCAAGCGACGTGACCGTGCCCCAAGAAAGGTGGAAAGCGCTTAACGAGATTGATGCGGTAGGTTGAAACGAAAATTTGTACAGCTAATTGTACACAGGCTTTACAAGATTTACTCTTTTTCTATCGAGAGGTTTAACTATTGTGTGGGCAATCAAAATATTCACGGTTATTGAGCAATCCGAATACAGTAATGTCTGGATGAGTGCGACATACTGGGGTCCGTTTCGGAGCATTCATGGCAAGGCAGAAAAGTTTTCAGTCCCCCATAAATTTGCTTTGCTTAGTTTCCGTTTCCCCTATTTTAATTGGTTCCACAAGGGGTGCTCTCCAGTGGTGGGAAAAACACGGTTCCGTGTAGCATTCATCGAGGGATCACTGTACACCTATTCTGACAGATTAGATTAACATAGATAATTTTACTTTCATACTTTCCCACACCTTTTCCTTTCCTATAATATACCAAGTGCTGTTTTAGGCAAGAACATAAAAGATTGTGAAAGGATATTTGTAAATGGGTACCCGATTGCCTACACAAGGGTTAAAAGGAATCTTTTGTAACAAAGTTCACAGAGCATCTATTTATTTAATGTGGTCGCATTTGTCTTAGTTCTCTATTTCAAATTGTCGCTACGAAATGTCCAGTATTATTTATATTCCTGTAGAAGTGTTTCGTTTCGTTAAGGATACATGAGAAATACTTATGCACAGGGTATCTGCGAGGAAATGACTTACGAGGAAATCGCGGAGAAGTATCCAACAGACTTCGCCGCGAGAGATCAGAACAAATTTTCCTATCGCTATCCAAGAGGCGAGAGCTACGAGGATTTGGTCGCGCGGTTAGAACCGGTGATAATGGAGTTGGAAAGACAGGGTAATGTTCTGGTAGTCAGTCACCAGGCGGTTTTACGATGCCTGCTCGCTTATTTTCTGGATAAAAGCGCGGGTAAGTAGTCGATCACGTTGTCGTTCGAGGCGACAACGTTCTTCCAGCATAAAAAAAAGGAAAAAAGAAACGAACATTAAATACGATACGCATTTACGCCGCTTCTATAGAAGCACAAACGACAAAAATCGAACTGTCCAAGTCTTAAGTTATATAACTATCCGACCTTCGGTGTATCGAAACGAAATAGGAAAATAGATACGTATACCTCGAGATGCAAGACGCATTAATGCGCGTAACGGAAGTTCAAGGCGGCGTGATTTTTGTTTACATAATAATTTCATTATCGCAAATTGCGAGTATTGATTACGGCACGGCGATGAGCGCATCGTATCAGATGTTTCGCGATCAATGGCAAGCTTCAAAGAACACGATTTACGTTTTTTTTCCTCTATCCTGTAATCACGCTGTACATTTTTTTTGTTTCGTTACAGACGAACTGCCTTATTTACAAGTACCGCTGCATACTATCATTAAACTGACGCCTGTTGCTTACGGTTGTAAAGTGGAACATATTCGATTACCCATCGACGCAGTGGACACGCATCGGCCGAAACCAAAGGTAGAAACGATTAGAATTGAGTCATAGTAATCGTTCTTACCCCCCCCCCCCCCCCCCCCCCCATGAAAATGAAAAGAAAGACATATATTCTATTCGCGGAGCATATTAAATAAAATATAACAGGTCCCCATGTTTCGTGTTTTTAATGTTCCCAGAATGCCTGACCATTAGACTGGATCGGGATCACTTTCTTGTATCTAATATTGTATCTAATGTATCTTAATGTTTTCCGTTCTCTTCAATTTCAAGCTTGCAAATTAGAAGTTGCGCTGCATGCATTTCTTCGGGTTAGATAGTACGTACATACAAAATGCGATACGTCGTACCACGCATGTACTTATTTTACTGTAAATACACGATTACGGGTGGGGTTTTTCTTTTTGTATAAATATACGAGAATGGTTGACTTGTTCCAAGGTAGAAATATACAAGACTGTACGCGTCCGTGATTAACGGACATCGTCGTCGTTGCAATTTACTGTAACCAAATCATGTAAACCTTTTGCGGTAAATATTTCGTTATGCGAATGTAAGTCGTCGTAGCGAATAAATATTGTCTATGTTTATTCGTTGTAGAGTAAAGTCGTTGTTCTATGTTGTGATTCGACAATGTATAAATGCATCTTCGACCAGCGGTACGACGTGGCCATAGAACTTATCTAGTTAAAGCTTGCTTGATAACACACACACGCGCATTCTGTTATTCATGTAGCTGTAATTCATTATGTAGTAGTTGGCCGCTTACTGTAGCCATAGGGACCATCATGCAAACATTGTAACCGGTCCTTATGAAACTATTTTCAGATCCCGGGATATCTAGAGGAACGATTCCGAGGGAAAGTCAAGTTGCTACACACGTGATAACGACGACGTTAATAGCACGGCAGAGATAATTCTTGCTATCGTTCCGAGGTGCTGAAGACGCATTGTTTTGGCAGCTGGCTGCCTTTGCACGTCCGGCGCAACGCGCACCCATTTTAACTTCCGCTGCGAACAATTTAGACGAAAATATTCTTTACAGCGATCGATGATGTATCCCATACAAGTTATGCGACTGAAAGATATCCTTCTTTTTTCTTTTCTCTTGCAGTACAGAAACGCGTGCTAGTACAGACAATCGCCGTACAGTCTGACTTTTACACCTTTGGGTTATCGCTGGTAAGACAGGAGTATTTTACCGATCAACAGTCGCGGTAGTGTATCACGAAACTCTAGCGTATGTGTAATTCAATTATGTATCTCGATTTCTATTTGAAACTCTTTTTCGGTCAATCAGTACCGCCATCGGACGTTCAGACGGTTTGCATTCAAATTGGCCAAACGGAAACACAGAATGCCTCCAATTTCATTCGAAGATAGTCAACTTAATAATTTGGTGTATGTCCATATATGCGTTTCTTGTAAATCCAATCGTTATTCGCGTGAATAACGGTCGATCCCCCATAGGTATTCACCAAAATACATAATGATCGTGTAACAACGTTTCATGTTTTACAGAAGCGTATTCTTGATACCCTATTCCGGCAATTGTCAACTTGACGAGATGTACCTACCGATCAGGAAGTAATTGCGAGATGTTTACGTGTTAATGAAGCATTGTCCTGTACAGGAATCATATTAAATTTGAAATGTTTCTCGGCTTACGTAATGATCTAGTTGCCAGTATGAGGAGGAGCAGGTTCCGAAATAATTATTGACCAGGCGACCGAGCAACATAAAGAAGATGCTAAGCAACTTTTTGAAGTATAATTTATTTCGAGAGAAATGTACATATTTTTTTAATGCCCTTCACGACAGAAGCAAATATATTTACTGAAAATTAATACTCTGTGTCGTTATATCAATTCCCAGTTCATATCACATTCGAATATAAACAATAATATTGTTATTTTAGTTGTTAATATTGAATAAAATTTAAACGATTTTAAATTTAATTTTTGTTACCTCGAGATACCGAAAAATAGTTGGCGCCGAATATTAGTGTTTCTTAACAATTTACGCACCGTTACATTTAATGAGATATTCGCAAATGAAAAAGCAAAAATTTGTTTGCAAAATAGATAGTAAATGGTCTTTTTACACAAATATGTATGCAGAATAGAAGTATACTATTCTTCGGTCTTCGAGATGATAAATACCCGTAGGAGACAGTTTTACATATCGTGTGCACTCGATGCTATACCAGAGTGCGCTGAAGTAGAGTTGTCAATAACAATGTTGACTTTTCATGTTCTTTGAATTTTATTTGTGCAATGCACGCGATGAAAAACATAAATGACAAAAATGATGGCTACAACGAATGAGTTTGGCCCTGACTCTGGCGGCAGAGTGAAGGTAAATTTGTAAAATTACGAAAACCATACTGCATCTTTATCTATCTAACCTATAATTGCGCGAAACTTTGTAATGAAGTTTATGAATTGACGTGAATGAACCGATTTATGAAGAAGAAAGAATTTATGAACCGATATTATTTAAGTTCTCGATAATAAACCACGATTGGGTGTTCTTTTAGGGAGTTACGATAGTGAAGCCCATAGTTTACGGTAATATAGCCCGTTATTTCGGGAAGAAAAGGGAAGAAGATGGCCATACTCATCAATGGACTGTTTATGTTAAACCGTATCACAACGAAGATATGTCGACATACGTTAAGAAAGTTCATTTTAAGTTACACGAAAGTTATAATAACCCGAATCGTATTATGACAAAGCCACCGTATGAACTCACCGAAACTGGTTGGGGAGAATTTGAAATTGTCATAAAGATATACTTTCATGATCCTAATGAACGTCCTGTGAGTATACTCTTAATGATATTTCATAGATAATCCCAAGTTTATGCAAAGCATTATGTTTATAATAGGTAACTATTTACCATATATTGAAACTGTTCCAAACAACACCAGAAATACAACTGGGCAAAAAAAGCTTAGTTTCTGAATTTTATGAAGAAATCGTATTCCAAGATCCAACAGCACTGATGCAGCATTTATTGAATTCCAGCAGACCCATAACACCTGGCGTTTGGCGCCATAACACAGATTGTATGTACATACAATAATTATTTCATTTACATTACAATTATTTACTTTCACAAGCGTGCAAATTATGTTTCTTATTTGTTATACAGTCGAAGCTAAGAAAGACTCTACAATAAAAGCAATAATGGAGGCAAGAAACAAAATAAGGCTAGAGGTCATAGATCTGAAGGAAAAGTTAACACTAGCAAAGGAGACAATTGCTAAGTTTAAAGAAGAAATTGCCAAGATTTCAAAGGCTGGAGGGAGTTTGTCCATTGTATAAATAGAATACTAAACTATATTACTTTTTTAAACGATTAATTAAGATGTAAATAGTATTATTGTGAAATGCTTGTAAATTTAATAAATCGAATGTATCACTTTTCATTATTTTACACTATACAAAATTCATTCGTTAGAATGACGTAACAGACGTTACAGAAATACGCTGTTGGAATTTTAGTTAATGGTGTTGATCATGTATATAGTTCATGCTCACTTGCCTAATACGTGAAATGATTCAGTATTCAAATAACAGAAAAATATTTTGCCTTAAATTCAAATTGGACTATTATTCGTAACGGGGCATGCGCAGGAAAACTTGAAAGCACATGATGGAAACTTATTACATTTCTGTAAGAAAGTTTCACAACAATGATACATTTCAATCTAAGTTACACGAGATAACAATACACACTGATACGTATGAATCTCGGTCTATTGATTTTTAGTGGTAGTGAAAAACTTATCACTTTCATGACCTTGAGTCGTCGGATGATGCTCCCCGCTAAAATAGTGTCACGTGAAATAATATCGAATGATGTAAATTTGTAGAAGTTGAGAGAAACGAGATCAGTAATGTTGAAAATAGGAACGCTGTCGGCACTGTATGACTCGGTTAAGTGACTTCATATAAATTAGTTTTCGGTAATCGTTCATACACGAACGTCTTGTTCGTGTATATGGGAAATGACCACAGCGCCAAGTGCAGCCTCTACTAATCCGTAAGCACTCTCACAATTGATCTTGCGTTTCTAATTGGATGACAGTATCGGTTCGTTTCGATTTTAACATTTTTCCTAAAAGTATAGGCACGTATCATGTTAAACAATTACGCAATGATATAACCGGCCGGCAGATAATTATCTGAAATCACGCAACAGATTTCTCTACTTTGTGTACTAATCTGTCATTATTGAGTCAGAATTTCTACCTAAACTTAGGTTATTGATACTTTGTATTACTCTATGATATCTGATTGTTTGCAGAAGACCTCAGAATCGACGTATTGCGTAACTAATACTTGTTTATAGTGATTTTAAATATTTCATTTTTGTACAGGTAATAGTTAAAACGAGTTATCGTGCCATCTACGGTAAAACGTTCAAGCTACTAGCCAATTAGTATTATATTCGTTCCATCCATTTTTTTCCACTTTTGGCAAGCTTATTACGCGATAACTTACAATAATAAGTTTGCAATATAACATAACAATATAAACATAACTATAAATATAAGATGCTATGCATAATATAGTTGAACTTTCAAAGCATGTCCAGTTCAATACGATGACGCCATCAATATGGTACTAAGTGGCTAATAGCTTGAATATTTTACCGTAGATATCGCCACGGTTGTTTTCCACATCGTTTACCATTGCACGTTATCAATGAAACATTAATTACAAACGCCACAATTACCTTGCGTATGTCGTTATCTTCTTCTTTCATTTCTCCTTTACAATGAAATTTTCACAATGCTTGTAATAAAACATATACGTAGCACTTTACAGGAAATTAACATATTGCCTTTTTACCCTTTTCGTTGTCAGTTTAATAATCTTTTTGATAATTACTTCGCAAAACAATCGAATGTCAATCCAAGTGAAAGTGACGTTAACACCGACCTCTATGTTCATTTGGTGTAACTTTCGCTATTTGAATTTTGGAGAAAAAAACTTGCGTTGTCTTTCGAATAATTCGACGAGTTCTAAACTTTTATAATAGTATTTTCTTATTCCTTTTATTAGTCCCGGTATTGAATTTGCAATTGGAGGACTAGCAGCGGTAGGAGCCGGGGTTTTTACGAATCCAATTGACGTGATCAAAGTACGCCTACAACTGCAAGGAGAGCTAGAAGCGCGCAATTCATACAAGAAAATATACAAAAATACTGTTCACGCCGGTTATTTAATCGCAAAACATGAGGGCATACTCGCTTTGCAAGCGGGTATCGTACCGGCCCTACTTTTTCAAGTGGTACTTAATGGAATACGGTTAGGTGTATACAATACGGCAAAAAAGTATGAGCTGATTACCAACAAAAAAGGCGGCACCGATGTCTTGAGCACTGCTATAGTGACGGGAATTGCTGGATGTATAGGAGCAAGCCTTGGCAGTCCTTTCTATATGGTAATTAATTTTCCTTACTCTTTATTTCTATTTTACTTTGTACGTAATCAATTAGTACTCACATTTTGCATAGGCACACTTCGTACATTCGAAGCGTAAAAATATGAGTAACTTACAGTACACATTGATATGTTAATGTATTAAGACACGTCATTTAGAATACATTATCCTGATTTCATTGTATACTTTTTCATTGCATAGGTGAAGACGCAATTACAAGCACAATCTGTGCACACTATAGCCGTCGGTTATCAGCACAATCACGGGGGCACCTGGTCCACGTTCAGATCTTTATGGAAAGAAGGTGGAATCGCAGCTTTATATCGCGGTTGGCATGCTGGCATACCACGCATTTTTGTTGGTTCCGCAACGCAACTGACTACCTTTGGTGTAGCCACTGATTGGCTACGCTCTTTAGAAGTGAGTATCTCGAGTGTCGTAACAAACGTAACGTGTATCGGAATGCTCCTGATTTTTCTTAGATATTTACAGATCAGTCGATATCATTAACATTTGTGGCGTCCCTAATCGGCGGAAGTTGCGTGGCACTTACCATGCAACCATTCGATGTCTTAGCGACAAGACTGTACAATCAACGTAAGTGTCATTGGTTTATTAACAATGGATTCACTATACAGTTTCATTCAGCTTGTACTGAAAATATAGGAACGGATGCAAGCGGTAAAGGTGCACTGTACAACGGTCTTCTGGACGCATCCGTGAAAATATTTCGAACGGAGGGGCTGACTGGTTTATACAAAGGAATTTTTCCAACATGGATGCGAATAGCACCTCACACTGTGCTGTGTTTAGTATTTTATGAAAAGATTGATCTATTTTACAATAGACTTCGAAATTAACACAAATGCTTGAATAAATAGTTGTGCAAGTTTTATAGTTATCTTAGGTACGGCGAAAGCAGATTTCAGAATTTTAAACTAATGTGCAATGTACTGTCAAGATAGAGAAAAAATACAATTTCTCATATGGGCAGTGATGTTTTTTGCGGTTGAATGATAATTCAACGTTTAGATAGTCAAGTTCGTACGGTTCTAAACTAATGACGACGCCTTAATGTGTTCGAAACAATCGATTACTAAAATTATATCTATTTTATAGTACATTGCCTGTTTCTTGAGGACAAATCTGTAGAAAATTATCTCTCCGAAGCCTGTAAGTTCGGATATTTAACAACTGAAACAATTGTAAAAAATTCATAATTTGAAAGTCTTGTATACCAATTAATTTAGTTTAATTTAAGTAGTATGTCTGGAGTTTGGTCTAGAGTTAAAGCCATGGCTTATAGACTCCGCAACGTCTATTGTACTCTTTCCTCTCGTTTCAGGTAAATATATCCTAAGAACATTAAAGTTAAGTTAAACATTACTTTTCGTTGGTGCATTATCATTTGGTTTTTAGTTACCTACCTAACAATTTGTCCTAGAATTATAAGAAATCCAGCAAATATTAAGAAAGTATACGGTCCTATAATACTTTCTACTGTTGGGAATGTCATTCCCACTATAAAATTTCCACCCCAATTAAAGACACTGCCAAGCGCCATGGCTATTGGTCGTGGACCAACGTCGAATAATTCAGACCCGATGAAATATGGTATTGGACCAAGACCAATCCCATAAAATATTACGTAAGCCATCACAGTTATTATACACACAACTGGCATGTACGATACCATATGCTGTAAAAATGCACGTAATTATTTTCTGTACATCTATTCTGTAAAATTGATTTTTTGACTTCTACTTACAATTAGTAAGATAGATATACATAAAACCATTAAACATCCAAAACATAAGTAAGTACTAGTGAGCAGAACACCTCTCCTATTCAAAGATGACATCACTGGTACCGATATAAGAGCCATAGCAATGTTGGCAACACCAGTTCCAAGGGTAGCATACTGAGAGCCACTGTCACCAAGTCCAGCATCCATAAATATGGAATTCGAATAGTAAAATACGACATTTATACCGCTCATCTGTTGTCCGAATTGTATCAAACAAACTAAAAATAATGGAAGCTTTAGACTTGGATCCTTTAATAAGCGTCTGACCGTCCAGGGTTCTGATGTTGTTTTTGTTTCTATTTCTTGCTGTAAATTGGCAATCTCCGTTTGTAGAAGCATTATGTCCATATTACGTAATCTACTGAGTTCTGAAATATTGAAGCAGTTATTACACCTAAAGTTATATTTGTTATTAAGCTGACCGAAAAAGATCGTGAACTTTGATTATACAACTTAATTTTGTATCATACTTTTGAAGTAATCTATAAACAATGTTAATAGATACTAACCATCCAGAGCCTTTTGTTTCTGCTCTTTAATTATATACAAATACTTTGGACTTTCTGGTAAAACAATACTTGTGAGTACTAAAGCACATACACAGAGTGGAATAAATGCTCCCAACATGTAATGCCAAGAGTTTTCGGTCCCCAAAACTGTCCTAAGTCCTGCAATTTGTCCTAGAAATACTCCACATGTAATTCCCAGTTGGCAAAGAACTCCAACAGCACCTCTTAATCTAAGAGGTGCTATTTCTGCCATATACATTGGTACTGTACATGTGGCAATACCTCCAGAAAGACCTAAGAGTAGTTCCTTAATTACTTAATATATTCTGCTTAGGCAACTGTCACGAACAGCATTCTAAAACTCACCCACAACTAGTCGACCTGCTAGGAGGAGTTCGATTGAATTCAATTTGCGTATTAAAAAGAACATTGAAGCTCCTAGAACACCAAAAATGTTCCCAACACACAAAGCTCTCTTTCTTCCATATTTATCTGCTAACCAACTGGCAATAAATGAACCACTTACACCACCAATAAGAAAAATTGAAACAACAGTGGACCAAAGTATTTTAAGACTGCTTTCAGAAACATCCACATTGTACCTCTCCTTAATACTTTCATTGCAAAACTTTTCTATTAGCTGCAATTCATGCATATACACTGATTAAATTTCTCATTGTTGCACTTTAAATAATCACAGGAGCTGTAAAAAATGTCCCTAAGATAAGTATTTTTATGCTCTTTACTGGGCTCATTCTTTATAACTCCTTACAGAATATATGTGATTATACTAACATTTCCTGCATTATTTACTACTCCTATATTAAAACCTGTTGGTACTGCTGATCCTAAACAGCAAGTGACACCAGCTATTGCTAATGTAATGGTCCACCCACCTGGTGTCTAGAAAAGATTCATTTTTACTATATGGAAAAATTTTTTCTGTAAACTCAATTGATCTGAACACAGAATGCTTATTATATACATATTATATTTAAGATATTCAAGGTTCATGAATGCTTTTATCATTTCTATAAAGTACATTCACACGCCGTAGAAAGAAACAAGATATATCTACACATATGCATGTGTAAATAGTTTGCACATTATACAATCACAGTTCAATGAGATAATGATAATAAATGTAACGTTTGAGCGCATTTCAATATATTGGTAACACATTTATACATTCTTGATAAAAAAAAAATGTTTTCACATACTTAGTATGAAGTAATCAAATTGTGATGATACATTAACACTGAGATGCACCTTTCTGTGTGTTAAAAGTTTCAATGAATATGCTTATGGCGAGTTATTACTTTGCTGGGAGAGACAGCTACAATTTTAGAACTGGTCGACAGAACCAGTTTCTTCGATAAACGTAGGATCTGCAAACACTGCATGCTTAAGATTTTAAGTTGATTTGGTTAATTATACTTACTGATCTTTCGTCTCGGTCCTCGGAAGTAGATTGACACTGACGTTCAGAGTCCGTGAGCACGGCCGCATGACTATCTGCAATTACGATCGACAATTATATTTCGATATCAACTGCGTGTATGTAAAAACAAATGCTAGCTTCTATTCAAAACACAATAATATTGAAGTATATACGAATGATACAACCTTCACAGCACGTCCAGGTACAGGATAACTTTTCTTTTTATCAAAAATATTGCACTCGAACGAACGTCAAAGAATAATAAACACTTTCTTAACAACATTGCGCAAACCAAAATGAAAACAACGATGAAAAAGCTCTCGATAAATATTACCTAACGCCATGTTTTGGACAGCACGTGTCGTTGACACGACGGTGTCAGAACAGTAAATATCGCAGCGGTGACTAGTGGCAACAGGGAAGCATTGTTAATGGTTGGCTGTTTGTTAAATACGCAAAAACAGGTTGGCAAAACTCACCTCGTTGACGTAATTATGCAAATATCTGTGCCCTTAAACCACGATGCAACGCGGTAGTATTTGAGTGGATTAACGGCCGAAAAGTATGCATTCGAAATCTAGTACGTGTATTTTTACTACACAGGTATATACGCTGATCTAATTGAATCACCTTTCCCTCGAAAAGCATTACGTTCACGGTGACTGGGTATAGAAACGTGTAATTCTCTACGCATTGACAGATTGGAATCCAATGAATGGACAAACGGTTGACTCGAAGTTAGACGTTAGTTTTATCTATCCAATTGCATCATAGCGGTAGTTGTGTGGCGGATGTAAACATTGGAATATGGAAATTACGATAGATGTGCATATGTTATCTCTAAATTAAATAAACGAAAATAGCTATTTCGTCTAATTTCCATTTTATAAAGTATACACTGTGACTAATGGCACAACGTTGACGCACAATTTTATCACAAAACACTTTCACCGACAGTCCCGTCACCCGCCAGGAATATTTTACGTGGCGCGCGATGCATTTCAGTCTTATCGTAAACCTACTGTACGCATGATTACGATAAATGTAAATGAGAATTTCATTATCGTTTATTAATGTCTATCGAAGCTACATCGCATATGCGACAATGTTTTGAAATCAAACACCTGTTTTAGTATGTATTTAGTGAATGATATGTACCCTCATAAGCAAATTCGGCTTCTGCTAGGGGAAAAAGCAGTGCAGGAGAAGGGCCTTCTATCACTAGGTCTCGGGAATTATTGACATTTATGTCAAATTAGCATTCAATTTAACATTTATTTCGGTATTTGAATTAAATTTACCAATTGGTAGAAGGCCCTTCTCCTATGTCACTTTTTCCTTTAATGGAAGCCAAGTTTGCTCGTTAGGGTACCATTGATAGTTTTCTACGTACCTGTGTATTCGAGCATGTCCTTGATCTATGTATATGACACCGTGCACACTGTGCTGTACGCAGAGAAAACGAAGTTCGGAAGTAACCTGGCGTTCTCTGCAATTAAATTAAAACGAAGCGTCTGAAGTTAAAGCGATTCCTTTTGTTATAAGCCATTCGCACTCGTTGCCAGCCGTGACAATGCAACTTAATCACTCAAAATTCATTGATCGATGAATATCACGGATTTCCGATGATTTACTTTTACCAGTCAGCGTCCACGAAAGTTACGTTTCGACACGGACGTTTCTCATCCTTTCCACGTTTATAAAACACTGCACGCGCAGAACCCTCGTAACAGTAACTCCTCTGTTCCTTATCGCCGTGATATCGTTCCCTAAATTCTTTTGGAATTACATATTCTTTGGCTATATAGCCGATGATGCTATAGTAGTTCTCAACCGCACAAATATTACACCAAATCAAATCGCCGTCATTTAAAGCGTTTCACTTTCTGTCGAGAAATTTTGAAATCACTAGTTATCTACACACCGGTCATCTTGTATGCATTCTTCTGATCACGAAATCGTTACCGTATCGAGTGAATTCAACGATATCTGTTTCTTTTGGGGAAATTCATTATTTTATTCTCTAATACATGTTCGATGCGTTCATTAACGTCTATGAATTCGTGTTACTTACTGTTTATTTTAATCGGACACGTCGAGTCCCGGAGTCAAGACCAACCGACCACTCCGTCGCACGATTTGCGGGGGACTAGGTAATTCATACGCTGTAAGTGTTTACAGAAGTCGGTACCCCCCACCCTAACCGTTTTGATCCCTCTCCCGAGCAAATTCCCGCGCATCTCTTATTCACTCGGTGTAATTAAATTTTAACCTTGGAGATCCAACAGAAAATTCACGTATATAGAAATAACTTCTACACGACATTATTGAGAATTTTAATTAGATCACGAGTATATTCTACATGGTACCTCTTATTTCTAATGGCATTTTACAGATGAAAAATTCTACAATTCGGTCATTCACTGGTTGGTTTACCCTAATTGCATTACGAGAATCGACGAAACGTCTGCGGAGGACGCATTGCGCATCTGTTTACCTTACCGTTTACCGTGAAAAACAGTTGCGAGTGCGTCATCCGAAAGAATTCATTTTTTTCCGTTTGCCCCAATGATATTCGAATCCCCGCGAAAATTTTCCGCCGTATCCATCGAGTTTTCTATTTTCTTTCTAATTTCAGATAAACTCGTGACTCACAATTTACGTAATTGGCCAATACATCGCAATGAATCGAAGTATTGTAAATACTTTATCTCACGTTACGTCGCTCCACGAGCGAACATATTCGCGAGAAGGATGGACGAAAGTCGCTTGTCGCCGGAATAAATTCGCCCGCGCGCAACGCCTCGATTACTGGACTGTTCGATCATCACATTTTCGTCGGCTTATAAAAATCCTTCCAGAAGCAGCAAACCGTTAATACCTAATAAACGTTCGTAACACGTTTTAACTCATTTTTCATCCACCGAAACTGTCGACACAGTAAATGAAATTCTACTCTGCTTCGGTTCCCCTGAATCTGCACAACGGCACGCAATCAATCCGTACGCATATAAATCGAAAAAAAAAAAAAACAACAATGGCGTAGGCAGGTTATCAGTCATGGGGGAAATGTAATTTAAGTAAACGATATAAGTACGTGTACTTTTACGTCTCGGTATATAACCTCGTCCCGTACGGATAATCACGTCGATACCCAACAATATTCTGGTCCGTGAGGGTTGAATCGGTCGAACGACGTCGCAATAATTCTGGTCGAGACTTTCTCGAAAGATCCGAGATTTGTCGAGAGATCCATGAAAGGGAAAGGCGCGACGTCGATGAGAATTGTCATCCGTGAACCGATTCGCGTGAATTGTCGGATCTCGTTCCTCAAGTACAGTCCATTCTAGGCTGTCGTTTGCCTCTGAGCTCTTGGCTCAACGCCCTCAGCAGAGGATACCTGCCGCAACCGCAGCCATTCTTGAAGTCGTCCAGATCCATGGACCACATCATCGCTCCGGCCAGATTCAGATCGTTGATCAGCTCGGCCTGATGGACACGTGTAAACGGTCGTTTAACAATGATCACAGAAGATTGTATTTCAATAACAGAACCCTCGAGAATTTTAACACTAAAGCCAGGGCCGTTTCTGGCGGGGGTGTAAAAGATGCCTTCGCACCTGGGCAGCCAAACCCAGGGGTGGTCGTAGACTATTTATTATACATGTATAGAATAAAATATTCTTCTTAAACAAAACTATTTCTCTTTTAAGGATATCTCTGTTTCATTTTATGAAAATAGAATTTAAAAAATATTCCTTTGCATTATAACTGTTAAAAAATTATGTATACAGATTAAGACTACTTAAACATACTTTATATAGATATAAAAGTAAACACAGCAGTAATTAAATAATATTAAATTAATAAGGGCGGCCATATTGTTTTTGCTAATAACCTAGGAACGGCCCTGACTAAACATACTACCACCACCGGACTAAAATGATCGATTTTGCCGTTCCAATTCCTTTCTTTCTGAATGGTTCGGTAGGTTTACTGTTAACATGTAAGATTACCTTCCGCAGCACAGTGGACACATCGTCGTAACTGACCCACTGATTCCCCTTCGTGGCGTAAGGTCCGATCAAACCGTTTGGATCTTTGATCGCGGACCACCCACGATTTTTCACGTTGTTGCATATCTAGAAGAGGCGGTACAGATATTATTAGTATCTTCCTCGAGTTGGATAGAAAATATTGAAATAGATAACAGCTGCGGGGATGATTTAGGTCGGGCACACCGCTCCATTCGTCGCGGTGTACGAATGTTTGCGTTACGATCAAATCTTTGTTTATCCGCAAACATTTACGGTGGCTCAAATGATACTCTGCTTAGCATTTACTAATATTATTAGCGATGTCGTGCGCGGTAAGATCTTGCAAACAGCCGAAGAAGCAGAGGGGATTTAAAATTCAGATCCAACAAATGCTGGATAATTATATGAATTCATAAAAAAATACGATGACTTTAGTGGCTGCCAAAAGTTTCCTGCCAAACTGTACTTTCGACGTATCTTTGTAAAACTATATAATACGAACAAATTCTTGATATACCCGTATTGGGGATACACTGCTTCTTCAGACTTGGTGATATCAACGATCTTCTCGTATAAAAGTAATCTGTTCAGTTTCTAACCAATCCCGACGAAAGTTATGACAAAGATACAGTGAAATTACAGTTTGACAGGATACTTCTGGCAGTCGCTAACCTCGTAGTAGGCAAGGAAGCCAGCCGATTTCGTGGACTCCCCAGGATGTCCAGGCCCAGACGATCGTGCGTTTAGGCCCGGTATTACGTTCACCTCTGGTGTCTCTACCAAGGTGAAACTCTGACCGTAACTCGGTATACCCATAACGAGCTTGCTGCTCGGTACACCTTGCTCGAGCCAATAGGTTATCGAGAAGTTGACGTTCGAATGAGTCATTCGTTCGTTTGGACTCGGATATAGCGGAGCCACGTGTCCGGTCCTGTGCTCCCAGGGCCCGTGATAATCGTAGCTGGCCACGCCGATCCAGTCAAGATACTTGACCAAAGAGGGGACATCGTAGGCCACGTCGATCACACGTTTGCCCGCGGATACTGTCGCGGACAACAGAAGACCTTTCGGCTCGAACAACGCGTTCAGTTCCCTCAGCAGCAGCGCGAAGGCTTTTCTGTCGCTGGCTGGCCCACGGTTGCAATCGACCTGCGGATCATTAAATGTCAGTTATCATCAGCGACACATTTACTTTATCGTCAATAGTTCCCAGGAAATAAAAGGAATTCTTGTAGTTACAGTGGATTCTAACTGTACAGCCCCGACCATGTAATAGAGTGAGCCCGAAAGGTGTTGAAGGAGAAGTGCCTTTACGTGGCAATATGTCTAGTGGCAATATAGTTAGAGTCCACTGTATTCCTTTCTTTGTTAGCGGAAACAGGAGCAATAATGTATGTACCCTCACGAGCAAACTCGACTACCACCAGGGGAAAAAGTGATGTAAGGGAAAGACCTCCTACCACTTGGTCTCGGAATTACTGAAATTATTCCAAATTAAAATTCGGTTTAATATTTATTTCAGTATTTGAAATAAATTTATCCAGCGGTAGGAGGCTCTTGCGTTCGAACCAGCGTAATTTTCGTGGTACACCAAGTCCCATAAGATGTTAGGTCTATTCTTATATCGTGTCTGTGCCTTAATCGTTTACCTGCCAGCACACCGGGTACTCCCAAATAAGATCAAGACCGTCGAATCCGTGAGCCTCGAGGTATCGAGAGGCGTGACGGGCGAACTTCTGTCGTTCGAACGTGTTGTGCGCCAGTTTACTGTATTTCCCATTCTTTGACTCCTCCCAACCGCCCAAGCCGAGCAGAACTTTCACGCCAGTCCTGCTCTTGATGTTCGCGATCTTGTCGAGCATTTCCCTTTGCTCGTCACCCGCAGGATTCTGTATTGTCAACCGTTCCGTGTCCAGGGTCGATAGACCGTAAACGATATGCGTGCACGTGTTGGGCACGATGTCTTCCGGCAAGAACTGTCCGCCGCCTGTTCGCTTCCGAGACCATTTCATCAAGTAACAAATAACCTTCTTCTCGGTCTTCTTCGTGGAGCCGATTCCAGACAGCAACTCGTTCGACTGTTGAATAAAAACGAATCTGTAAGCTCGACTGTCTGTTAAATGTTGTTTAGAGAGTTTAGACTTCAGCGATACCGAACGTTCACCACGGGAGAACATCTACAGAGTGCATAAAAATTATATGTTACGACCACCATAGCGGGATTCTTCACCCCTGGACCGGTGGAGATCTGTTAAAACAATGGACCGCAAAATTGACCTTAACCTTGACAATCAAAGTCAAAAGGTCAAAATTGTTTTTCTATGCTATCGTATAGTACTCATCGCGAGGAATAAAAGTCTTAAAGGAACCATGGGTCTTGAGTAAACCGTTCTCTTAAAAGACACTGTTAAAGTTCCATTTAACTTCTAGTTGGATTTTACTGTTACAATATATTCGATGTGGATCACTAACCTGCCGCTGGGTCTCTTTGCACTTTGAATTCTCCGGCCAGTCGCAACGGTCCTCGTTCCAGTAAAGCCCAGACGGGCACGAGTGCTCCGTTAGTCTGCCGAAATTGCACAAAAAGTACTTGGAGCAGTCTTTTTTGTGCGGCACGAATAAACGGCCGTGGCAGTCCTCCGGCGGGGATACTTCCGGTCTCTCCTCGGCTTCTATCTCCACGACATCGTCGACGTCCGCCACAGAAATCGTGGACGTTGAAGTCGCCGCAGGCAGATAAGTCGGTCCCGGAGATGAAGAAGATGTAGTCGGTTCCCATCCCCAACTCGGTTGTTCAGTAGTCGTTGGCTCCTCGGTGGATAGACCCGCGTCGATTGTTGTGAATTCTAATTTAAACCCGTTATTTTCAACAGGGACTTAAAGTGGTATGATTTTGATATCGGTATTATGCCATTGAAGCTATACCGAAACCGATATATTACCGAAAATCGAAATAAATACCGGTATTTTTTCGGTTTCTATAAGGGTAGAGCTTATATAGGGTTATATAGGGCGAAGGTACAACCTTCGTTTACGTTTTGGTAGAAGTCCCTGAATTTTAACGACTAACCTAAGTTACCTTTAACGATTCCGTTTATTTTTAGAACATTAAATCAATCCCCATCGATCTGCTTACCAGTCGTCACCGGGCACAGAGGGCCTTTCGGATAATTTCTCAGCACTCGGTTCATTGTACGGAGAAGGGGGCTCGGCTCGCAGTCGCATACGTTCTTGAAGTCGTCTAAATCGAGAGCCCACACCATGCCCCCGGCTAGACCGAGATCCTTTATCAATTCCGCTTTCAGCTTGATCTGTCTAGCGTCGTCGAAGCTGACCCATTGATCGCCTTTGAATGCATACGGACCGATCCGTCTTTCCTTGTCCTGCACGACCGACCAACCCTTCTTCAGGGTCCTCTCGCAGATCTGCAACGATACGAATGGTAAATATACAGGGTCTCCCAAGATAGCTTCAATTTTCGGAAATCAGGAATTCCTGGGATGATTTGAAGCAATTTTTCCTTAACGAAAATACTATCCCAGGCTTTATTACCGAGATATTAACGAAAAACACTGAGAAATCAGAGCTAGGCCGGCAGATTCGCGCTCTGATTGGTCGGGATTTTTCCCTAACATTTTCGCTAAAGAAAAAACTGTTCCAAATCATCCCAGGAACCCCTCATTTCCGGGAGTTGAAGCTGTTTTGGGACACCCTGTATGCCTATCTTGGGTACATTGAATTTGAGCAATTAAAATTAGATTAGTGCGCGACAGAACACAGCGTTACCTCGTAATATGATAAGAAACCTCTCGCTCTGGTCGCCTCTCCAGCCTCTCCGCCGCCGTAAGTTGGTGCGTTCAATCCTCTCTGGCTTCTTTCGGCCAGAGAAAAGGACTGCCCGTACAGGGGCGCGCCCATTACGAGTTTCGTCGGCGGAGCGCCCTTTTCCATCCAGTAGTGAATGGTGAAGTTCTACGAAACAGGAGAAGTAACGTGGTGGTTAACGATTATGGAAATAAAAAGACTGGACTAGTTGAAAGAAATTTACGTTTTCGTGAGCATTCATCACGAATCAAAGGGCCAGAAATATTTCAAATCTGGTTTAACAAATGTATCGAATGACAGGATTAGGCTACCGAAACCCATAAACTTTAACACTCGGTTTACGGACAGTTTTTATACACGTATCTCTACGGACAAGCGTCAACGAAACCCCAGATTTTCACTAAAAGACAACTTGTTTTATGCAATACTCAAATTTCAATCATCCATAGAGATAGGTATACCAAATAGAGAATTTCAAGATTAGAAGACATTCGAGATGCGTCAAAATCACACGTCCCGTAAACCTAGTGTTAAGGTCGGTCAGGTTTATGGCTGACGCTAGATATTTGAAGCAGCTATACCGCGTTAAAGGTCGGCTCCCAGTCGTTGGGCATCTGGTACATGGGCGCCACGTGACCAGTTTTCTTATCCCATTGACCGTGATAATCGTAGGTCATCACGGATATCCAGTCCAAGTATTTCGCCAATGTGGGCACGTCGTAGCCTTCGTCGATGACGCGTTTGCTCGGCGAGACCGCCGCCGATAACAACAATCCCTTCGGCTGGAACGCCTCGCTCAATTCTTTCACCAAATTGGCGAAACCTTCCTTGTCCACCGCTGGGCCCTTTTTGCAGTCAACCTGCAGATTCGTAAGTTGTCAGTTACAAAATTATGCGATTTTTGGGTGTGATAGGAATCGATATTTCAATGTGTACAACATTTCGTCTGTATACCTGCCAGCACACTGGATATTCCCAGTCCAGGTCCAAGCCCTCGAAATCGTACTTTTCAATGAATTCTATAACATTCTCTATGAATCGACGCCTCGCAGACGGCGAATTCGCCAGACGACTGTACTTGTCACCCGCGGAATCGTTCCAGCCCCCGATAGCCATCAGAACTTTTATTCCCTTCGACTTCAGGGCCGCTATTCTCTCGTAGAATTCTGTGAATAATTCATCGTGATATAGTTACAATTAGCCTGCGGATTTTTATGCAAAATGACATTTGTTTAAATCATTTTTCAAGACCACAGCAAAGGTTGGAATTTCTTTCTTTGTTTAAATATCTTATTGGGTTCAGAATAAAGTAGAAATCTTTCTCTATTGTATTACACAAAGCCCTATTGGCTCTAAATGCATAAAATCCGGAGTATAGTTATAATAAACGTGTAACCAGACACTCGATCGATTTCATTACGTCACGAATCTGATCTACCCACTGTTATCAACGTCGGCCCACGGATCGTGGGATTTGATCGTCAGCTGTGATCCGTCAAGCACCGCGAAACCATATAATACGTGGGTGCACAGATCGGTGTCCACGTCCTCCGGCAAGAATTTTCCACCTTCCTGTCGATACCAGGCCCAATTCGTGAAATAACAGATCACTTTGTATTCGTCGTTCGGCAGATGATCCCTCGACGTCGATGACGTCACGGTGGACGTTGCGATGCTGCTTGAAATCGTGGTTGTCACTGGAGGGGGATCCAAGTCGTCTTCTTCGATTATCGGTGGTTTCTCGGCTGTGGAATGAAAAAAATATTGGGGTAACGGTGAAGCAATTACAATGGACTGTAACTATATTGCCATGGTCGTGGCTGTAGGGGAGTAAAATGGCGATGAATTCTGATCAAGGGGAAGTGCCTTGCGTGGGAATATAGTTAGAGTCCACTGTACGAAAGTTTAACCCCTTGCCAAACGATTTCTTTTACGACTCCACTCTTAAGAATTACTTTAACATTTTCCCAGACACAAAAGGAATTCTAATCTTATGGCAAGTGTTATATTTATTTGAAACATTAAATATTAATACCAGCGGAACAGTGGTTTCACTTGGACTCAAAGAACCCGAATAATATACATGTTTACGAAATTCAGTTTCAGAGGCAAGGGGTTAAGGGACAGTGTTCAATGAGATTATATTCACGTTTATCCTCTTTCTCGGGAGCTTCGGACAGGACCTGTTGAAGTGCACGCATCAGCGGATGTGGTCCATCCGCGCAACGACCACGGAAATCGTCAAGGTCCAAGGCCCAGATCATACCGCCGCCCAGGCCCATATCTCTGACGAACTGTGCTTTCTGTTCTATCATCTCTGCGTCGTCGAAACTGACCCATTGGTTACCCTTGTAAGCGTACGGGCCCATCCTCCGTTCGGGATCTTGAACGGCGGTCCAGCCACGATTTCGTATTCTGTCGCAGATCTCGTAGTACGATAGAAACCCAGCCGCTCTGGTGAATTCACCGGCCTGGCCGGCGCTGGCTGGCACATTCAAACCTGTTCCCGCGCTGGGATCGTTTATCGAGAAAGACCCTGGGCCGCAAAAAATCTTAACCTAAGCCTGCCCCTAGTAGTGGGGAGAACGCTTGGACAATAATCGAGAAAAGCTTGTAGATTCCTTCCGAAAAAAATACGTACCCATCACGATCGATCGGCGAGGGGCGCCTTTCGCGATCCAATAGTGGATCGAGTAATTCGCGTTGAAGTACGTGTAATCGTCGTCCGGATGATAATACAGTGGCGCCACGTGACCTGTCTTCTTGTCCCATTGGCCGTGGAAGTCGTATGTCATCACCGCGATCCAGTCCAAGTATTTGGCCAGGGCTGGCACGTCGTAACCCTTGTCGATCACTTTCTTGCTCGGCGAGACGGCTGCACTGAGCAGCAATCCTTTCGGTTTCAGCTCGTTGCTCAGCTCCATCAGCAGGTCCGCGAATCCCTGTTTGTCGGAGGCAGGCCCCTTGCCGCAATCGACCTGCAAAAGAACGGAAACAGTAGTCGTTTTTTACGATCTTCGTATTTCTTTACAGAGTGGTCCAGTATCGACGATCCCGGAAAATGTAAATATCGGTGTAAGTATCGGAAATGTAAGTCTATACTCTATATTTTAAAGTAAATTTTCAGGAAAATATTTCGTACTATACTGTATATTCCGTATCTCTCTCATATAACAAAGGGGACTTCCCATAAAATAAATTTACATTATTATTATTGCTACTATACTATAGACTCTACACTATAGAGTATAGAGTATAAAGTTGCAGGTGTTGGGTGTCAGTAAGAAAATATGCTAGAAAACGTAAAAATAGGTAGGGTTTAAAGAAAAGGAAGAAGAGAAGAAGAGAAAAGAAAGTTATGAGAAGTCACCAAGCTGGAGTAGAAAGCCCAAAGGAGTTTGGAGAAGTGTTAAGATAGTTGAGGGAGTTGCAAAAATTGTTAGAGGTAATGAAATGTCGAACAATGGGTCTTTCACTGACTTGCCAGCAAACAGGATACTCCCAGTCGAGGTCCAGTCCGTCGAAATCATACTTTTCGAGAAACTGTACGGCATGGGCGATGAACTTCCTACGGGCGGCTGGACTGTTGACGAGACGACTGTATTTATCACCGGCGGAATCGTTCCAACCGCCCAGCGCGAGCAAGACCTTCAGGCCTCGCTTCTTGTACGCGACAACGCGCTCGTAAAAACCTGCACGGGGCGAGATCGATATTCGTTTGTTCCGTTAAATCGCAGTTAACAGTGTTCGACGAGTTCTACACGATTACATTGCTCGTGTCGCATACATCGAGAAATCACTGTTATTTCTGCTATTCAAATATGTATATTGGGCAAATTTACGCCCGTTACCATAAATTATTATTATTATTATAATATTATTGTTACGTACGGTTATCGTAGTCGGCCCACGAGTCGTGGGCCTTGATGGTCAGCTCTGAATAGTCCAGCACGGCGAATCCGTAGACGATATGCGTGCACAATGTGTGATCGATATTCTCGGGAAGATAACGACCGATTCCTCGTCGATACCAGGCCCAGTTCGTAAAGTAGCAAACCACCTAACGAATAAACGTGTTCGATCAATATCGCGTATACGATGATTTTTCACGCTAGATATACGATTACTTTGTAGTATCCAGAAAGTGGAGAAACTTCTTCGGGATCTATTGTCGGCGACGGTAAGGTGGTCGTGGTGCTTGGCTCCCAGGGTTTCTGGGTGCTCGACGAAATCGGTTTGCTATCCGATTCCCCGTTGTTTTGGATCTCCGTGGAGACGTCGTCCTGACAGTTGGCTCGGGCAGGCCAATCGCATATTCGAGTGTTCTTGTTGAAATGCAATCCGGGGGCGCAATGGAAAACCTCGTGGCGGCCCCACAGGCAGGCCTGATAACTTTCGCAGTCTCCTGGAACGTTGGTGTAACTGCCAGGAATGCAGGGCTGCGAAGAATTTGAAGAAAAAAAAACTGTGAGAAAATCACTCACTTCAACTGAACCAAAAAATTCTTTATAACTTTGAAAATACGAATTTTTCGACTCAGGATTTATTTTCATCGTTCGCGGCAAGTACTATCTACTTTTCCCATCATCCTGTATAAATTTCCAAGAGCTGTGTACGCATTGCATAAAAATTATCTTTCGCCGGCGAATAAATTCCCTTCGAATAAAAATATTATTTTTCACCGTCGAATAAATTCACTTCAAAAAATTGATTTACCCCCGGTGTTTCGAATAAGATAAATCGAGTTAGTCGAAGTTCCGAATAACGGATGAAGATAACTGATATTTCATTCGAGTCGTTGTTTAAATAACTTTTTATCTAGATAATGCCCATTTCTAAGTACGCAAGTAGAAATCTCACACTCGATTTAGCGTCAGCCGAGACCAGCGCGGCGTTTTTCATCGGTTTGTCGACGCAGGGGTTCTTGAACGCCCAGTCGCACATGCTCCTCTCCTTGTTCCAATTCAATCCTGGCCCGCACTGTTGCGAGACCAGGTTCCCATTCACGCAGACCAGGAAGTTCGTGCACGAGTCCGGATACGGGTAATACTGGCCGTGTTCACAGCTCTTCTCTGGTATACGATTCGGGTTCTCAGCAACGATTGGTCTCTGCGTGGACGCACGCTGAGTGGTGGTCGCTGAGGGTGGTGGTCTGGTTGGTCTACGCGTGGTGCTTGTCACCGTGGAGGCGGTGGTGGTGGTCCACGATGGCCTCTGGGTCGTGGAACCTGATCGAGGAAGTATCATCGTTGTTTTGCTTTCAGTACGCGGACGAGAAATTTTGTACACTTCGGGCGAACTTGAACCGATCCATATTAAAAGAAGAACGCCCCGAAGAAAATTGATCATTTTTGACAGCAGCGTGATTAAACCGTCACGATTGTCTAGTGTTAACTGAATGATTTACAAGAGGGAAGATGCTACCGCAACCTTTAGCCTGGAGGCGGTGGTTACAACATCGGTAGAAAAATCTGCGCAGGAGTGACGACACGGCAAACAGGTTTACGCTGTCACTAACAAGCATTTGTTCGTATTGTCTAGAGACATTACGCGTTTAATTCCTCACACGAAACGCCCTTAATGTATACACGTGTATCAACGTTCGTTGAATTCCTCGGTATACAGGAATTCCGTTACGTACCAAACTATCCTGTAATGCAAACTTGGCTTTCGCTACGGGATTAAGTAAGATAGGCCCCCTACCATTTAGTTTTGGGGGTTACTGAAATTTATGCTAAATTAACATTCGGTTTCACATTTATTTCAATACTTGAAATAATTTTAAGTGGTAGGAGATACTTCTTCTACGCCCCTCTTTCCCCCAGCGGAATCCGAGTTTGCTCGCGAGGGCTTCCTGACTGTCGAATAATTCGCGAACGATTCCGTCTTCCTTTCCATCGGACAAAAATAAACATTCACTGAGATATGTATCCGTCCGATAAGTGGTTGGGCAGCCTTACCGGTTCCCGTTTGACATTTCGCCGTGGCTGGCCAGTCGCAGATACCTCGACCGGTGTCCCAGTGCAATCCTGGCGCGCATTGTTCGCGCTTCAGCTCGCCGAGGACACATCTAAAATAATTGCCGCAGTTTCCTGGGTCTGCTGTGTAATCTCCAGTGTTGCACGCGCTCCCTGGCTCAGAGCTTTCCAATGGTTTCTGGGTATCATCTGTGATCTCTACGGTCGCCTCTTCGCTGGTTGGCCTGCAATATGTACTCGAGTAAAAATATGGAACTAAATCGATCGGTGCCCCAGATAGCACACGACGTCCAATGACGCCTTAAAGACGACTTAAAGGCGCCTTAGACGTAAAATAGCCGTAAAAGGTGGAAATGCGTCATTTCGCAGTTATGATCTTATGTGGCGTCTAGTAAATTTTTGCAAAATCTTGGGTTTCCTATGCAACGAGATTACGTAGAAGCGTACTTGGTCGAGGTCCACGTCCAGGACACGCTGCTCCGTGTAGTGGACTCGGTCATTTTGCTGGCCTCCGGCGTCCAAGTCCAACTCGGCCAGGTGGTCCCTTGGGTGGTCGTGCTGGGTTTCGGGGACCAACTTGGCCAGGTGGTTCCTTGGGTGCTGGTGCTCGGCGACCAAGCTGGCCAGGTGGTCGGTTTGGCCATTGGTGTGGTGGGTCGTGGCGTGTCCTCTACAGCGTCGCTGTGCGTGGTCAGGGTCGGTGGTTGCGGCGTGACTGGCTCTGTTGGTCTTCGACAATTCTCCGCTGGTTTGGTCTTCAGACGTCCTACATATAAACGGAGAATCGTGTAACGCTTCGTTCGATGCACTTCAAACGGTTAACAGTCCCTTAAACACGGTTCGTTACCCAATGCACGGTTCATAGTCTTCAACAGAGGAAACGATTCCTCGCAACAACGATTTAAAAAGTCGTCCAGGTCGACGGTCCACAGGGCAGCTCCTCCGTAACCGTTCTGTAATATGTGCTCTCCTTTCGCGTAGACGCTCTCCCTGTCGTCAAAGCCCACCCATTGGTCTTTGTGATAAGCGCTTGGGCCTGATCCGTGCTTCCATCCTTTGTTCTTCAGCCTGTCGCAGATTTCGTAGTACGCAAGCATACCAGGCTGTCTGGTGAATTCTCCGGATGCTCCGGGTCCGGTCGCCGGGTCACCCAATTCGACTGACTCGTTGCTGGACAGGCGATAAGCTTGACCGTACAGAGGCACGCCCACAAGAAGCTTCGACTTTTCTGCACCTAGTCCGACGAGGTACTCCATCGTGGAGTTCTGTAGAAATTTCGAGCGTTACATTTTTGCGATTTCATTCCGAATCCTCAAACACTTACGACGTTGTAATACGGATTGACGTCGCCTGGTCGTCCAAACAGAGGCGACAGATGACCTGTCCTCGACTCCCAGGCTCCGTGATAATCGTACGTCATCACCGACACAAAGTCCACCGTCTTCGAGATCTCATCCACCTCGTACGCTCTGTCGATCACCTCTTTGTAACCTGACAAAGCGACCGCTAACGTGAGTTTCGGTTGTTGCTGATCGAACTCGTTCTTCAGTTCACGGATCAGCTTGGTGAAGTTCGGCCTGTCGGAGTCTGGACCCTTTCTGCAATCGCTCTGCCAACATTTCGGGTAGTTCCACTCGAACGAGAGCCCGTCGAAGTTGTGCTTCCGCAGAAAGTTGATCGTCGCGGCGACGAACTTCCGACGTGTCGCTACGCTGCTGATCAACCGTGAATATTTGTCCCCGCTGCTGTCCGTCCAACCACCGATCGCTAGCAACACTCGAGACTTTCCATTGATTCCTGTCACACGCTCATAGAGGTCTACAAGAATTTCGAATGTCGTTAATTCAGTTATTAAAAAAAAAAAAAAACATTCTTTTTGTGGTGATATGTAAAATTTAATCACTGTTTTCTATGTCGGCCCAAGGGTCGAACGGTTGCAGTAGCAAGGTGTCTGGATTCAAACCAGCGAACGCGTAGATCACATCGGTGCAGAGACGATGATCCAAGCGTTCAGGCGGGAACGTTCCATCCCCTTTCCGGTACAGAGACCAAGAGGTTATGTAGCAGACCACTCGTGGCCCTTTGTTCGTCGATATCTCCAGATTCTCTGGTTGTGGGTCTCTTGCATCTGTCTGGGAACTTTGCACCTGAATACGATTCGTCTGACTGTATTTACAAACTTCCGAGATCGTGTTCGTGCAACGACCGTCCTCGGGATCGAAATATTTCCCGTATCCGCAACTGCCATGATACTGTACACCTGATACAAGGTGAAGAAATATTCCAAGATTATTCTGACAATCTATTTTGATGATCTATTCTAATAATTAGCCTTGTCTGGGGCATCGTGTTTTATTTCTGCTTCGTATGGTACCTTCGTGACAGGAATAGAACTTCGAGCAGTCGTCTGGATCGGCAAACAGACCGTCAACGGAGGAGCATTTTCCCAATTGGGTTTCATCGTAGAACCCTATCGATTCGGTCGCGGCGTTCAGCATTGGCCATGGATTCCCGCAGATACCCTAAAGGAATTGTATAGGAAAGAAAAAATGAGAGAATGATTCCAGTGTCGAGGAGTCTTCAAACACTTATCAAGGATATACTGTACTGTATATCGCTGTACCTGGAAATCATCCATATCGAGGGACCACACGGAAACGCCACCTAGTCCGACCGATCGAACATAGGCTACTTTAATTTTCACCGCGATCGGATCTTCGTAACCGATCCATTGATCTCCACGTTTTATATACGGTCCTTCTTCGTCCCTCCCGGAGTTCCACCGATCATCCTCCAATTTCTCGCAGACCTTGAATTAATTATAACAAATGTGTTATTTTACCATACCTCCAGACGATTATACAGGGTGTAACAAAAATATTGGAGTACCCGGAAATGGTATAAAATGTTATCGGAGGCTTTGTTCCAGATATTAACGAAGCCTCGAATAAAATTTCTTCTAAGAAAAAACTTCTTTCAAATCACCTCACGAGTCTCCCATTTCCAGGTACTTCAACATTTTTCTTACACCCTGTATAATTTATCATAAATAGCTACTTCGTAATAAGCCAGCCTTCCGTTCGATTGTTTGGCATAAAGATCCCCGTTCCCAGGACCAACGATAGGTGCGCCTGCGTCGGTGAAGTTCCCGAATTTCAAGGTGTATCCCTGGCCGAATACGGGCAGACCAAGAATGATCTTCGATCTGTGCTCGGGTGGCACTCGATCGATCCATTTGTTCGTCACACGAGCGACGTATCTCAACGGGGCCGGATGAAGAGCGAGTTTCTCCCTTCGAAAAGCGGGACTTTCCCGCCATGCTCGGAACAGAAGCAAATCGACCACGGAGCTGATCTCTGGATCCACCGGATCGCTGGGTCTCTGCGCAACCGCTAGGCTGTATCCGTGAGGAACAAGATTCTTCTTCAGAGTGTTCAGAAGTAACTTCAGAACGCCTGGATTCTCCGACGAGGTCTCCCAGTCGATCTCGACGCCGTCGAAATCGTGATCTTTGAGGAAGCTCAAAATCGATTTGGCGAATCTCTCGCAGTGTAGGCTACAGTGATTTTTGGTCACCTCGGAGAATAATTTTCCTCTGTTCGGAGCTGAGATCGAGACGAATACCCGCAACGCTGGATCCCTTAATCGAAGTCCCGTTACCGATTTGTATCCACCTGTACGAATCCTTCGATATAGATTGAAGGGAACCAACGAATTTTCTGGTGGTATACTTAACCAGTTCGCTACCACAACATTATTTCGAAAATGTTCGTCATAGACTATGCTAGATTTTCAGTATTCTATTCAATGTGATATCCTTAACTTTTTGATCAGAAATTAAAAATACACAAAACAGAGACAACGACTGACCCGAAATATAGGTGAATATTGGAAAACCTGTTCCTTTTTTTATCTAAGAAAGTATGATGACATGGAACTTGGAGCGTCACACATATGTGACGCTGGTAGCGAACTGGTTAAATTTCATCGTGGAACTCGATAAAAAAAAATTGTTACCCTTGATTTCGTCGTATTCACGATCCCTCGAGACAACGGTCAACCTCTCCGGGTCTGGAAATTGGAAAGCAATGATTATTGTAATTTCTGGTGTCTTAATGAGAATGCTTAAAATATCGAATGATTATGGTACCCAAAGTGGCCGCGGCGTACACCAGGTGAGAACATTTGTGATCCGGGACCGATTGCGGGAACAAGGAGAACGGCTCCGTTCTGTGGACAGCGCTAGAGTCCAAATGACAGATTACTTTCGGGTCGGTAATTCGCTGCGTCCTCGTCAGGGTCGGTGGCGCAAGAGGCTCGATCCAGATCGATTCATGGTCGACGCCGCTGAAGAACGGGGCCTCGCGGTGCTCGACGGCGTCCCTTAAGGGCACTCGACCTTCGGGCCTACGGAGCATTCCATCGTTTAAATCCATCGATCGAAGAAATTCGAAAATATCAGACTGAGTCGTAAACAAATTCTGTTTTCCTTTTTCGAACTTATACCGATACAGAATGTTTTACAGGTAATATCGATCTACTAATCTAAAAGTATTCGTACTCTTACTAGTTACATCCTTGTGGGATCAAAACATAGACATGAATATTTGTGAATCCTTAAATTGTACGAATTTGAATACTCTCATGAGATGATTTGCATAAGTTTCATTTTAGGTATATTACTATTTTCGAATTAATGATATATTATTCGGACGCTCGGTTATTGCACGGTATATCCTTATTGATAAACGTTTCAGAATGTATATTGTTAAAGAATATCAATCATTCGAATATTTCTGTGACTTATTAGCATTGCTATTCAATCATTTAGTAATTTTCTACGGTCCACGATGGAAGTTATCTTCGACTCAACCAAATACAAACACGACGTGTAAAAACCGATATTAACTCTTTCATTTCCTGCAGATGAAGACTGCCGCCCTGATGATGCATCGCGTGCGCGGGTACAAACTCGACAGCGTCCCGCAGAGGGAATCTTTGCGATCCGTATTCTTCGTGGGTGACGGGTCCTCCGACGGAGTTGTCGATCATCGGTGGACTCTCGACGGCGCCCCTTTGAAACGGCGGCACTTCGATCATCTCCACGTCCGTCTGTTTGAAATTCGGGTCCCATGGCGGCGGTGGTAGCAATTCGTATGTTGGTATCCGGTAAGATGGTCCCGCGGCCGACAGGCCCGCCAGGACCAAAACCAGCAGTACTGTCATCTAAAAGAAATAATAGGAAACGATAACGGTGACTGGAGAACAGTGCACATACATTTTCAAACGGTTTGCGCGGTTATTGAACGGGCTACGCTTACGGGAACTACCATGGAATTCTCGATCGATCGCCAGTTATCATATGAAATGTGTTTATTGTTCCGTTCAACGAGACCAGTCAATAAAAGTAACTAAAACATGCGTTTCTTTGAGCTTAGTTTAATTCGGGCCGTTCCTGGGTTGTTAACCGTCTGAGTGTACAAATCGTGGGTGCAAAGTAACTCTTTAACACGGGAATTAACTAGCCAACCGGTGTTAAGTACATGGGTGATTAATTTTCCTAGTGGAAGACACGGAGAAAATCGGATACAACGAGTACACAGCAGGGATTCTCGTCGCCGTTGCGTCGCGTCGTGTCGGTTCGCGGCGCCCGCCAAACCTGTCCTGCACTCGAAACGCGCGTGTGCACCGAGGGGGACCGGAAAAGAAAAATATAGAACAGGGTGTGCTCGGAATGACAAGAGACCTCGGCCTTCGATAATTGAGCTCGGCCAAGTTCAATCACAGTAACGACCAGAACTGCACGCTGGTTTCGAAAGAATGATCGACACGCCACACAACAACCGCGAACGGTCTCATAACCTTAACGAACAGATCGTGTTTAATCGACAGCTCCCGACATTTCGTTAACAAAGTGTCGAATATACAGGGTGTCTCAGTTAATTTGATCACCTCGAACAACGACTTAATGTTGTATTCCGTTGACTGATTATTTTACTCCAAGATAGCACATGACGCCTTAAAGACGCCTATTTTACGGCCATTTTTAGGTCTAAAACGTCTTTAAGCCGTCTTCAAGGCGTCATTTGCTATCTGGGTTATATTTAATAAGAACTCAGTGGAAGTACGGAATTTGAAGTGAAATAGGATAAGGGCCACCTACCACTTGGTAAATTTATTTCAAGTACTGAAATAAATGTTAAAATGCATAAATTTCAGAAACTTCCGAATTCAAATGGTAGAAGGCCTTTTCCCCAACGCCACTTTTTTCGATTTATCGCAACTTGTACAGTTATGTTCGAGTAATAGGGAAAGGATGAGATCATAGACGAAAGAGTCTTTTTACTTCTACCCCGAGTAAACTGAAAAACGAGCTCGACCAAAGAATTCAGGAGACCCGACAGAGAATGGATGGAGAAGAATTTTCTGTTCCAATGGAGGGGACAAGTCATTTCTCCGGAATTAGTCTACCACGTAACCTTGAGGTTCACGTATGTTTGCATATCCAACGGGGTATCCGTATGCTTTACGATCGAACAACAAAACGCACGAACAAATACCGATCCGTCAACCGAGAAATTGAAATTTATGCGAACACCGCCGCTCGCGCTGATTCACTCGAGGACAAAGACACGGCACTGAAATCGTCGGGTCGAGGCGGGTGTTTAGGCATTAAAAATGCGTGGCTCGTAGGTGGAAGTGGCCAACGGCGACAAAGGACAACCTTTGCCAGCTCGTCTTCGGTCATTTGTGCAGACGGTGCACGCTCCCGACATATCAATCGTGGATGGACAAGACGTTTCTGTGTCGAATAAAAGGGAAACAGACGGTGCATGAGAGTTCGTTTGCGGCGTTCTGCTCTTTTAAGACATTACCTATCGGTTGCTAACTTAATATGTTTAGTAAAACCAACGATCACCAGCCAAGGAACTATTATTAAACTGCAGTTCAACCACAGTAGGGAATAACATTAATTGGAAAATAGCAAGAAATGCTAATGGTAAATGATCCAGAAGTACTGAAATTTAAAAGTCTGTTAACCCTTTAATGCCAGATTGTTATTTTAAAATAATTAACGGATTTTATTCATTTATAACATATAGAGCTCTGTGTTATACAATAAAAGACAAAATTTTCATCGGAGGCAACAAGTTTTCTATTTTATTTTTAACCCAATAAGATATTTAAGGGAACCAAGAAATGTCTACTTTTATTCTTGTCTATATGAAATCCTTTAAAAAATCTTATTTTGCATAAAAATTCGCAATCTAGTTATGACAAATGTAACATTCTAACTGGATAATACAAAAATTAATGAAAAAAAAACCTGCTCGATCTCTAAAGGTTAATAGGCGATCGGTCAGTAAAGTGTTAAGTGATTATCCACACGATCCAAACTCGTTCATCGCGATACAGACTCATTGCGCGTCTTCCGCTAGATTCTCCCTGTAACGATGACAGAAACGATTACTTACACCGACGAGCTTTTATGTAATAAATGCAAAAATATCACAGATTTTTTTATATCGACTAGCACCGAACGACATCCCGAGGGATTTAACTCTTAACTGGACACCGCGTATCGCTCGAATTAATTCCACCACGAAACGTGACACTATCGTAACATACGGGATAACGAGAATCACGAACTCCACGACGATTGCTTAATACATATACGCATACGCCCTGTCCGTTTGAACGGTCGTCGCCGTCTCTTTTCTTTCCTCGTGCTTTTATCTTTCGGAAATGATCTCGAGCGGCAATAAATCAAGAGCGCGAGTAACGAAAGCCGCAATTTGTCCGCGAGAACGTAGAGATACAAAATGTTCCGTATCACCAATGAGTAACCTTACGATCCTTTCTTTCCTTATTACGATAAATCCATTAATGAGTAATCTTACAATCTTATTTTTTTTCTAAATAATCTTACGATCCTTTTTTTTTTTGCTTATTAGGATAAATCCACCAATTTTACGAAAAAATACCGATATTTATTTCGGTTTTCGTTAATATATCGGTTTCGGTACAGCTTCAATGGCATAACACCGGTATCAAAATCATACCGATTTAAGTCCCCGATTCAAATAACACAGGAAATGGTTTTCGTCCGAAAACATTGCCCCGATACTGTATACACCTACGTCGATTTTTCCATCGATGCAAGAATAAAAGAAAGAAAAACTGATTTAAAAGCTAAAGAACGAACCTTGCCCCCGAAGCGGATGCACGAACGTTCTCCGGAGGAACGGGTCCAAGTTCTGTTGTTCGTCGGTAGAACCACGAATCTGGTCGATTGTACAAGACAGGACGCTCGGCGAAGCGCAAATGGCACTCGATTCTACTGCACTGAACAGGATGATTGAGAAGCCGCCGATCGTCCCCCGATCGGACGTACACTTCTTCCCTCCTCCTCCTCCTCCTTCTGCTTCGTTCGAGCGTACACACCGGCCGAGATGAATTTTTTAACAGCGCGCGCCACCCGCTTCGCGGGGAGGGCTAACTTGCATGAATCTGGTATTCCGAACGCGCGGGGACGCCCATATATATACCTACTCTCCATCGCCGTGGACCCCTCGACCCGCACCCTACGCGGACCCTGTCTCCAAACGTCCTTGACCACGGTAGGAGAACACGAGAACCCACGGTTTACGTATGTAGGGAGACCAGGGCAGACTGTAAGAAAAAACAAAAAAAAAACGTTTTAACAATCTTTTCTCGAGAGTGTTTCCTTCAATCGGGAAATAGTTTGCGTGACTTACTGCTCATAGATTTGGTCAACTCATTGAGCGGAAATATGTGACAAAATCTTTGATACTTAGACATCTAAGTTGATCTTAAACAAATCTGTACTTTTGTTAGAATGTGACCCAGCCTGGGGTAGATTGTAACACGTCTGTTTTATTTAGTTAAACACAAATACGAACAGGCTTCCCAAACTTTCTTGACTCACCGACTCACTTTCAAAATTTTGTCTGTTCAATACCTTCTTTGGTTAAAGTATTATACGAATTTTTGAGGGTAGTTGTGCGTGTGAGTTTTGAATCTGAAAAAGTTGGACTAAAGATTAAGGAATCAATGTAACTAGAACGGCCCTTAGATCTCTTCAGCGCTCACTTTGGAATTATATATGTTCTAGAACCTCTGTTCCATCTTCTTGCAACGAGATTGTCTTTTTCGGCTGTGTTGGTACCGATGATTCTTCGTATTGCTATCTCGCGATGTTCCACGGGGAATGGAACATCTGTCGCACGGTTCTCCGTTGATTCGTCCGACGAGAGGAACCTCAAGACGTGATACTTGTTCAGCCTGGGGCACGAAGGGTTAAACGCGTATGTACACTCGTTCCCCGAAATGCCCCCCAGGGTCCACGATACCTATAATAAGCAGGCGAAGACTTATGGTCTGGATGTGTACAGAGACAAATGATGGATCGTGGCGATGCGTGAAGATACATATTTATACACTACAGGTCAAAAGTATGAGACCAGAGTTCATTACTCATAATCAGAGTATTGTCATTATTCTGTTACCATATAATAAAAGTTACGGAGTCAGTATTATATACAAATCATTTCCGTTCAGCTTCCACGCATTTATCATATCGTTGAAGAATAATACAGACTTCTCTCGATTATCGTCTGGCTTGTTCTACACGATTATTGTCACGGCGGGGACACCCGTTCTCGAGACAATAATCGAGACGAGCCTGTATTTCTCATTTCCTTTCATTATCAGATCTGGTCAAATAGTTTCAGCAGGTAATGTACGTCGTACTTCTTCTTCAGGAACGTTCCGCAATGGATACGACGCGTGTACTCGTCAACGATCATCGGGAGGTTGATTTCTTCCGGTTGAAACGATGTCTGTATTACCTGAAAACGATTCTAATCAGTATTCGATGGTAGTGCTCGACGATCTTGATTCGAAATAATCATAATCTCACCGTGATGATTTCTCGAGGTTATTGCACAGACTACAAAAATGTTTCAACTCGGACATCCGCGACTCGCTATGCAACTAGCGGACTCTCTTTTTCCACTTAAAGTTTCACGTCACATTCGAATGAACTAGCCACGATCACCTTGGCCGGGAGCAGCGATCGTCGTTCGTGCTTTGTTTTTTTTTCTCGTCCTGTTTCGAATAGTTACGCGACGACGAGACACTTCGCTGTCTCCGGAGTTATCATCGTTCGCTCGAGAGACCGTTTACGCCGGGGACCTGCAACCAGAGTCTTGTATAATCGATCGATAAATTATCGTTGCGTATAATTTCATCGGTAATCGTTGACAATATTCCCGGGGGCGTTGTTTCGTTCGAACGACGACGTCGGCATGGAAAAAAAATCGTCCAGGGGGGGGCCTACGTTTCCAACAAACACGGGGCGGAGGAAGGGGTGTGTGTGTGCAAAAACCCCTTCTTCTTTGGCAAGATTTACAGCCCAGCAGAAGAAAAAGAGGAGAGGCGCACGGGTAGTCGGATGAAGAGACTCGTCCCATTGAAAGATTCCCCATCTCGAATCGATTCTTAGTGTCCAGGTAGAAGAGGATCCAGGAACCCGTGGATTCCTAAAAATAAGGCACTTTAGGGAATGCCGGTGATATTTCGCCTTGAACTTGGCGAACGGTCGATTCCATCGACTTGTTTTCAACGTTGCAAAGAAAAGAAAACGGAGAAGAAGACGGGAGAGAAAAAATGGAGGAGCGTTTACGCTGAACGGTAGAGATTATAAGGGAATTGGGCTCCGGTTCTTTTACCTTGTAAAAAAAAATGGAAAACCATTCTCTCTTCCCTCGAGACACAGAAGAGACAAAGTGGGAGATGGAGAAAGGGACGGAATTTCGGTCGGCGACAGGATGTTAGACTGTTCTCGGCAGGTATTCAAATCTGAAACGCGATTAATTGTTTTTTCTCTTGTTCGTTCTCCGAATTGGTCCGAGCGGGAGAGAGATCCAGTTCGTTTCGACAGGGCCCCCTCGATGGAACGGATTAACGAGTGAGGACACGGTCTTTGAAGTTCATTGGCATCCGGGGCAGTCCAAATATTTCGGGTACAAGCCGTTCTCGTTGTGTGCGTGTTCCTTCGTACGTAGAACCCGTTAAAGCGTTTTAATAACTCTAAACGGAATGCATAATTAAGTTTTTCATATATATGTTGCCACGGCTAGATGATATACGAACGGAGACTACGACACCTTGTTCCTTTTGTCACTCGGTTCAACGGGCTTCGGAATTTTTTGTTGGACTCGATCGCTGGAACTGTAATCAATGTATACCCTCACGAGCAAATTTGCCTTCCGCTAAGGAAAAAAGTGCCGTAGGGATAGGGCCTCCTAGCATGCTTCTATCTGTTGGTATTTGGAATTGCTGAAATTTATGCCAAAATTAATATTCTACTTAAAATTTATTTCAATACCTTGAATAAATTTACTTTATTTCAGTACTTGAGATAAGTTTACTAAATGGTAGAAGACTTTTCTGCTACGCCACTTTTTTCCGTAGTGGAAGCCGAGTTTGGTACAATACGTACCCTCACGAACAAACTCTGCTTCCGTTAAGGGAAAAACTAATGTAAGGAAAAGACCTCCTATCACTTGGTCACGGAGTTATTGAAAATTCGGCGAAATTAACATTGGATTTAACATTTATTTCAATATTTGAAATAAATTTATCAAGGCCCTAACCCCTACATTGCTTTTTCCCGTAGAGGAAGCCGAATTTGCTCTTGGGTGTACGATACGTACACTTCCGTTCGTAGTCCTCCAGAATGATTTGGATCCTATGGAACTCATCCTCGTGCGCAAAAGCTCATTTAGAAGCTCTCAGAGTGTCTCGCGAGACGCCTTGACCCTCCGACCCCGTGTTACGACACAATCCGTCTTCGCGTGTCCTGTCCTAAGCCTTAGATCATCGTTAGATACTTAACAACGGGTCCATACACGAGAAAGCTATTAACACGAAAGGGGCCATAAGATAATTCGGCCGGGCGAAATTCTCGATTTTTCGTTCGGATGTGTTGTTCTTAGTGGGGGGCCACGTTGATTTATACGACACCTTGGCGAGCGTGTCATCGGATCCTTGCGAGAACCACGGCGCCGTGTACCATTCGTCAATTAAAATTACGATACTCGAACGTAGAAAGTGTATTTTTGTATGTTTAATTACGTCATCCATAAATTAACGGCGCGCCCCGAGAGTGTAACCGATCGTCGTGCCTCGTTTAAACCGAGTAGAGAGAGCTAAGAGGAAAAGATGCTCGATAAGCGTCGGCCAATATGTTTGTCCGCTTTGTAACGACGAGGAACAAGATTGAACCGAGTAACGTTTTACATAAAGCACAGACGAGGTATAGGAGTAGACATTTCATCCAATGTATATTTTCGGCTAACTTTTCTGAAGCGTCGTCCCTCCATTTCCATTTTAGTGTCACTATCCACCGCAGATTCACAGTTCTCATAACACAGAGGTCGCTAAAATCAGTCTTTTTAAGGTGTCGGTACTACAGTTTAGTAGGTGGGCCAACTGCCATAAGATCTACTGTAAATTCTCGATGAGTGTTCGAATGGTCCTCACCACAGAACATTAAATATTTCATAAACCAATGACCATATGCGGCTGAAACAGATACCATTGGTTTCAGAATCCAAGCTATACTAAACCAAATTTAAAAATCAGTGCTACATCCCAGATAGCACACGACGCCTTAAAGACGTTCATTTTACGGCTATTTTAGGTCTAACGCGCCTTTAAGCCGTCATTAGACGTCGTGTGCTATCTGGGACCTGAGGATTCTTCTCAATGTCGAGGAGCATTCGAACACTTATCGAGGATTTACTGTACTCCTATACCTCGTCTGTGTATAAATAAAAGTACTTGATCCGGGTGTCGACATGACAGACCGATACAAAATGATCGACACCCAGGTGTCCCCGCGAATCCCAGTTCCGAAGGGACTCTCGATGAAAAGAGAGAGAGATCGGAGACCCCAAGGACACGGGACCAGACTCGGGGCCACTTTTCTGGTCGCTGGTTAGTGACCCGTCCCCAGGGCACCCTGGGAGAGATTTCGATTATCGCGCGGGCGACACGCGGCTCTAACCTTCCTACCTTCTTTCTCTTTTATTTCATCCCGCTCGTGTCTCCGACACCGGTCCCGCGACGTTTGCTACTTTGCTCCCAGGCGCACGCATTCACGAAGGATATCGGCAGCGATCTTCGGGCCGTTTACATATCGTACTCCATCTCCTCTATCCGTGGGCGTCTCATGAATAAATACAATTCCCTTAATTATCGAGCGTGTAGTGTGTCCATGCTGGCCGGACCGCGTTACCGAACATCACCGGATTCATTGAACATTAAATATTTCATAAACTAATGGCTATGTGCAGTTGAAAGAAATATCATTGACTTCGGAATTCAAAGTCAGGGACCTTTGCTTGTCAGTGTCGATAAGCCTTCACTCATCGAAGATTTACTGTACATACATGTGTATTTTTTCCGTTCTGATTTGTCGAGAGTATATAAACTTAACGAAATATATCCATTTCTCGGTTTCGATGGTGGAAGCGATTTTGTGCTAGGCTTGATTAGTCAACCCTCATCCGGATCTCTCGAACGGATAAGAGTTAAGAAATGGCTTAAGAAAAGAGTTAAGAATCTTTGTCGCGGCGGTTCGTTACCCAAAACAGGAATCTCGCGACTACATAGCATCGTTTACGTGCAAAACGGCTAACGAACGACCCAAGCAATCGTAAACTCGAACAGCTGAGAGGCCGCCGAGCCGCCTCGTACCCTCCCTGACGCGTAAATGCGCGAATAAATTGAATTTGTCCCGCGGTTATCCGCATCATTAGCCGAAGAGGCGGCGTATCGTTTACCCAGATAACGCTCCGTACTCGCGTGCACTATACTATACATAGTCGTAAGCGATTGCACGAACGTACAGTTCAACATCGTCTTTCACGCAACACTGATCTACCCTCCAGACGTGTTTTAACGCCTAGATGCCCCGAGAATGGTGTGTCGATAAGCCTGTACAACGACAACCTTGATAATAAACGATATTAATCAACCCATTCTTATTGCTCGTTTCTCTATATTACCCCTGATAACCTGTTGTACACAAGTTTCGAGCAAATTGCCAGCAATAAATGATAAAAGTTGTCTAAAAAACCATAGCCATCTGTTTCCACATTTGACTTTGTAAAGCAAATTGGCAGAAAGTCTTGCAATATAACCTGTGTTAAATTGAGGGCAAAACCGGAACAAGGTTTGCGCAAGCCACTTTGCGTGCAAGATATTTACAGGAGATCTTGCATGAAACTTGTAGCCATAACTTTACAACAGGCATTGGACAAAATTTGGCTGTCTGACTATGTACTCCTCATTTTCTTAAATCTTCCATGTTACCAAACGTCAGATTCCGTCACCTGCATAGAAAATTTCGTTTAGTCGAAAAGCCACGGGCGACGCAAGTTGTTGCGATATACGATATCTGGGATGTCCAGGGAGCAATAAAATCCGTGATTTCGTATATATAACGACGCAATTAAAGATGGGAATCTGAGAACCTCCGAGGGATCAGTGAACGGACAAAAGAGAAAGACAGCAAAGATGAAAGCGGTCCAATGGACAGGATGACCAATGCTTTTTACCTGGTCGAAAACTCGTCGATCCCCTGGATTCTGAAATTGTAGAACGCAACGTTATATTGCAACGTCATCATTGGATTATTTATAAATGGCGGAAGGAAGGAAATATAATCTGGATACTCATCGAAAGACTCCCTTGGTTTACGTAATTTAAAAAGGGAAAGAAAAAACGAGGACACTTCTTCGGTATCTCCTTGAAGGGAAGGCACTGTCGCGAGCAGATACATCTGTCGCGGGCAGATTTCAACCCCCACGAGCACCAACGGCTGCATATAAAAGTATCGTATCTTGGAGCCGTTAGGGCACATCGAGTTTGCACACCCAACAGTAACCATTCGCGGGTAATTGTTCGGCCGAGAGCAACAGGTAACTATAGTTCGAGCTGGGAACAGTGTAAAAGTGCGAAACGTGGTGATAAAATTAATTATAACTCTTAGAAAATGCTATACTTAATAATCACATTATGTCCGTATGTAACAATGACATATTTACTATTTTTTACAATTTCAAACTTTCTTTCGACTAACCCTGTTACATATATATTTGACAGAATAATGGAAAGTATAAATGATAATATAGAAGAATTCGTCGAAGAACGTTTCTATACCTTAGCTTTTCTTACAACAAGCTCGAATTCCTCGCGTCTGGTATACACATGTGGTGGCTATTGTTTTTGGTTCTTTTAGGATCAAGGTATGGTTTCAATGAAGCGCATGATCATTCTGATTGTGATGTTGGGGATCGTAAACGAGGCGTTCTGTACGATCGAGGACTCGGAGAAGAATCTTCTGGGCTTGAACATTCCGTATGGCAGAGGACTGGTAAACAAATGATTATGAAATGTCGATGAATTTTTTAGTGAAATAATATCTTTGTTCAATTACACTTGCAGGACGGGGAACTGCAGTTGGCTAGACTTCTGCTGTTACCGCAACGACTTTACCATCCTAAACGCAATTCCGAGCTCATCAACTCACTGTTAGGCCTACCGAAAAATATGAACAACGCTGGAAAATAAAAATTCTCAGATGAACCATATCGGAAACGGCAATTTACGATCATAATAGCATTAGATATAGTTCATGAAAATCAATCTCAACGGAACTACACTTTCTTTCTCTTGTACATTTGAAAAAGATTCTCTGAAACTTGTAAGGTGATTAATTCAATAAATGTAAACGTGTACGCCATGGCTGTGCCTTTCTTCGACCACCCAACCATTCAATCTGACGACAAAAAGCATTCGAATAACGTTAAGAGCTCTGTACTTCCAATAGTTTCTGCATCCAATGCCACGATGCCTAAAAGAATACGATTCGATGCGCACCAATGAACCAAAATGAATTAAAATTGTCATACAACCTTTCGTTTCTTGGATCACAATTTCGTTTAATATTATCATTGAAACGTGAAACTCCAAGTGTTTCAAAATTTCTGTACAAAATTTATTTATAGTAGAAAAGCACAAAGTTAGTCTCCCTTCGATTCACTCGTAGAACTCGCCGTGGACAGTTAAAACTTTAAGTGGAAACCACCGCCGACGTGCGGCTGTCTTCCACCTTCCGTGAGACCCATATGGAAACCAGAATTACTTAAATCTGCGTCGTCGCCGTCGCCCAATTGTTTGTACTCTTTACCACCACTCGGTGGCTTGGGGGAAGCGTTCGCCGTCCGAACACCGAGTTCCGATTTCGCCGGCCACGTGGGAAACATTTGCGGATCGATCGGTAGAGGAGCTTCCGTGAAATAGCCGTGTTTCAACGCGTCCTCCGATGTTATTCGTTGCTGAGGGTCGTACGTGAGAAACCTGCGAGTATATTTTTTTTTTTAGAAAAAAGCTACAGCGCCAACACATCGTTGTTTTCAATCGAACTCATTGTAAACGACGAAAGACACGTACTTGTTCAACATTTCGATACCCAAATCGGACAAGGATAAGTTGAAACGTTGCCTCAAATTGTTCACGGGATAATGAGCGAATGGAATTTTCTGAACCATCGGCAGTTTACTGTATCCCGGCCATATCCGGTCGTTCGGTGTACCTAATTCCTTGAATATCCTATTTAATTGATCGATCTCGGATTTACCTGGAAACAGTGCTTCCATTCTAAGTAACTCTGCAAAGATACATCTGGAAAAAGGTGTCACTGTTGTACCTATACCGTTAACATTAAAATAAAAGCGGTGATATTGTTTAACCCCTTGCACTCGACTGTACCTTCCGAAGGGACAAAATGTATGGAAAATTAGAAATTCCAAGTGCAAACGGTTAATTTCATTTCTGTTTACTTACCCTACAGACCACATATCAACAGGAGTACTATATTCTTTCCCGCTCAGAAGCAATTCAGGAGCTCTGTACCAAAGTGTTACAACAATCGGAGTATATTGTCTCAGAGGTGAACCGTATTCTCGTGCTAAACCAAAATCACCAACCTTCAAGATGCCGCGATGACTGAGTAACAAATTCGACGTTTTCAGATCGCGGTGGAGAATCCAATTGTCGTGCAAGTGCGCGACAGCCCTTAACAATTGCTGCATAAGACACTTGATTTCCCCTGAAAATAGAAGTATTCTTTGAAACTGCTGCGCTGTGTTTCCTACCAAATTATTCAATCGAACGAACCTGGTATGAACACCTGTTTCTTCTGCTTCATCGTTTCCATCAACGACTTCAGATCATGCTCCACATAGTCCATTACAATAAATATTTTATCCATATTACTACCGACAACTATTTCACGAACCGTTACTATATTTGGATGTTGTGCCTTCAACAGAGTATTTATCTCTCTGAGACTGGTGATTGGAAATCCTTCTTTCTCCTTTTCCATCTTCAGTCGCTTCAGGGCAACGATTTCATCCGTACGTTTATCTCGAGCCCTGTACACCACGCCATACGTACCCTCTTCGATACGATTCAGACACTGAAATTCTTCTACGCTTCGGCAACCTGTAATGCAGTGGATTCGTTGCAGACTGCAGAAAACCGCACCGATAACTAATCACATAACTACCTTGAATAGCTGGTAAGTAGGGGGGCAATTCTGGCTCCTCCTCTTTCTTCTCCTCTTCCTCTACGTTCTTGGGTGCGCCGTTTGAGTCGACATGGCCAGGCGATTCTCCGCCGGAATGATCGGATTTAGCTAACCGATCGACGGACAATGGACTCGGATTATTGTAATCAGAGCCGTCATTGGAATCAGCGTTGGAACCCTTATTCGAATCGTTCGATTCCTCGTCATCCTCGCTACTAGACTCTGATGAATCAGAGGAATGTCTGTCGGATGACCTCTCGCGTATACTTCTTTGACCGTCGGACGAATGTCTGGACCTGTAAATCAACGATCGATTAATCGGCACCGTCTGAAATTTTAATTTACCTAAAAGTAATACGTGAAATCAATTCTCACTCCACTGATTTCGAACGAACTTCGTCCGACTGAATAGGGCTTGCGCTTTCATCCGATAACTCAACAACAGAAGGATCCTGATTGTTATCAGGACTCAGAGGTCGTTTCTCGCCTCTCTTCATTCGTCGAGCCTCCAATTCTATTCTAGAGACTTCCTTCCTTCTGGCCATTTCTCTATCGGCTTCCAAGAGTCGTTCTTTTCTGAGCTCTTGCTCGGTCATTTCCTTGGGGTCCTTAGGCTGCATCGGCATCTCATCGATCTCCATTTCATCGGGTTCATCGGTAACTATTTCCATCGCTTCGCGCAACTGTTTCTCCCTGTGCTCTTTCTCCCGTTCGGCCTTCTCTCTGTCCCTGTCGCGAAGTCGATCATGCTTGTGAGATCTCTTGTGACGCTTCTCGGTTCTTTCAGTCCGCTCCATAAGCTCAGTCTCGGAATACTGTTCTTCCATTACCCTTATGTGTCTGTGCTCCTCCATCCGGATTTCCCGACGCTCCCTAACTTCATCCACCATAGTACGGATAATGCTTTGTAATCTCGTATATCCCTAGAATCTTCTCGCCTCTCTCTCCTCTTATCCAGTAATCTGTAAATTAAATGCTTTAGGTCCAGTACCCGATCGGTCGATTTCGTTTTTCTTTACAATACAGTACAGAATAAAGGCAAATGTTTTCTAGAATGTATAGCATGTTGTATACCTTTCTCTCAAATCTTCTAAAACACGATCACCAGTACTCCTCTCTTTCCTATCGTGTCTTGATTCTCTCTCTCTATGACCTTCTAACCTCTCGAGCCTCTCCATTCTCTCTCTATCTCTTTTGGAGCCGTCCGAACGATCTGATCTCTCTAAGATATCCAAGCCGTGTCTACGGTGTCTATGTTTGTCTCTATGTCTATCCTCCCCGCGATCATGATGCCTTGACTTTCGTTCTTTCTCCTCCCTGCGATCTCTTCTTTCCCCATGCTTCTCTCTCCTTCTGGATGAATTAGATTTATGATGACGAACAACAGCTTGTGGTGGCTTTATATCCAATGAATCGGCAGTATCCCCACCATCCTCTTCTGAAAAACTTCAAACAACACTGTTCTCAAAATCAGTAATGATTACGCACAGAACAAGTTACAGCTAATTAGTAAATGAGTCGCGAGTCTGTTTATATACTAGAAAGAAATTGCTTTTTTTATATATTACAAATATAAGATTTAGAAACGACAGAATAACAGAATAGAATGACGGGGTTGTTAGCACTCTTGCATACTGCGTATACGTATATGCAGACGCAAGCCACGTAACATTTTCGTGGTTTAGCATTAAAAACTAAGGTTAAGAATGATAATCACGTAGTATTATTTACCTAAAATCATCCATGTCCTTGGAAGGACTTATCTTTATCTCTCCGTCTTCACTTTGATTATCAATATCCATGTCAAGCCTGTTTTCTGACATGTTACAAGTAAATCTATTCACTTCTAACAAACACACCTCCCTACATAATAGTGATCAAAGAACAGAGAGGAAAGCACAAACATTCGTTACGCTCAGGAAAAGAAATTATACCTCACGAATCAAACCGATTTCAGAGACTGTAATTACAATACTCGCAATACCGAGTTTTTATGTATAAATTCGTTTAATTCACGCACATATACACATCGTCGATCTCTGATCCACGAGGATACAAACAAGATAATTAGCTTTACACATCACGTATCACTCACATCATTCAATACGCTAGGTCCGCTAGGTATATGCTATATGGTGGTATATGTATATGGCAGTAATATGGAGTCACCCGTAAAAGATACGACAGCAGCGCATCCTATATCTAATATGCATGCGCATGCGGAAGATGTTTTCCCGCTCAGCAAGAATCAATCACAATGGAATTAGATTCAAGACATTTTTACACATTTTGTTCTTCAATCAACCAGCATTTTATATGTATTAATGTTATTAGAAATATGTATAAATTATTAAAAAATCTACACCTTTCTGTAATGGAAGTTCCTAACATTTCCTACCGATTTCCTATTCGTCATATTTTTATTTGGCCAGTTTACAAGGAATGATTTCTCTATTCGGCGCCTCCATATTAGAATCCGTTAATTCGATATCTACGATGCTTAACTATAACCATCGATAAATGTTAAGTTATTGCCTAAAATAACGTGCAAATCTGGTCAACGATTTAATTACTGACACAAATACAGATTAATGGTTAGTTCAAACAATCAAAGTCACAAACCGAAATGGAAGTTTGTCCTTATTCCGTGTTACTTTTGCTATACAATATTTGACTATACATATTTCGAACTACATATTATCCTCGATTATACGACGGGAATTATCGGTAAAAACTGAACTTGCGAGAATCAATAGCCATCTAGTTCTAGAGTTCAAAGACAGCAGCACAACGACTTCGTTCTGTAACATCGGTTACTATAGAAGTTCTGCTCTCTGGTATACCGTTTACCCATGATCGTCTCGATACGTATAGTTTATATGTGAGTTTATGCGAGGGGACACACACAAATAATCAGTGCGTCAAGCGATTATCGATGGAATAAATCGGTGTTTCGTTTAGTTGGGAGAGTTTTGTACTGGAATCTTTTTCGCGGCGGTTTGATTTTCTTTATTCGTTCGATAGCTGCCGCGTTCCCGGTGCGCGTCGCGAACATGAATAATAGGATCGTCACCGCGATACTGGTGGAACATCGTCCGAACCTAGTAACAGTGTAATTCAGAAATGGAAAATTAAATTAAGGCACCACAGAGTGGACAAATGATTTTTATACACCGTTAGCTGGTGATCGACGATCAAAACGGGTGGCTGTTGTCGCGTGTCCCGAACGTGCAGCGATACCGTTTTCGAACGCAGAGTCTCAGCATGGTGATACGGTAAATAGTTGTCGTTTCTCAGTACCTAGGTTAATTAACGTTGCCTGTGCATCGCGACTCATCCATGATATTCTCTCCGGCTCGTATCGGTTGACAAATTTTTTCCATCGAGCCGGTCATTTTTCCGCTCATTTTTGGTTCACTGATCAACAATATATGACGCGTATACGTGTGGTTTGTTTGCGCATATGTGTATGCGTGTGTACGTGTATTATATACAATTACATGCATTTCATCAAATTAAACGGTCATACTCCAAAATTTCTAGCCGAATATATTCTTTGTTTTCTTCGAGTATAGTGAACTATTTAATCAATTTTTCTTTTCATGTATATACAGGGTTTTGTACCATCAATACATATTAACTTGTTACATAATGTATAAAATATATTGTAATTAAACTAATGATTTTGTGCATTTGTAGCATGCAGAATTGTCTAAAACTGAGCATAGTAAAATGTTTATTAAAGTCCAATGAGGTATTTATTTTATTTGAAACCTGATAGAACCCTCAATGAATTAAAACACTTTTATTGGATTACAATTTTTGTAAACTAATTCATAAAAGTGTAATTTTTTTTTAACTTGTTTCTAATGAATGTCTTTTTTGTAATAAAGAAATGTCATTGATGAATTGACAATACATAGTAACAGACTAAAAAATATGTCATTCTATTCAAAAAAGGACAAACTTTTGTGATGGTAAATAAGTTGGAAGTATTTAGATTTCTGTAACATAGAAAGTTGATTCCTATTGAAATGGAGAGCATAATCATCCAAGTGAATGTGGACAAAAGGATTTTGCATGCATTACTCTTTGCGTGTAGTTATTTTTGGAGTAATCTCTACCTTGTAGACCACGATATGATCAATTGTTGCAATATTTTGATAAGAATGATTGCCTGGATAAGATAATGAATCAGCTGTATATTGTACATGTTTCTAAAAATTAATATATTTATGTTCATTAATTCTTATCTACTGAATATGTCCACCTGTAATGCTTCTAATATTACAGAAAAAAAGTATATTAAGGAGACTACAATTCTAGCCATATGATAGGAACAGACAGTTATCCATGAAATAATATCAAAATACAAGATGGTATTCATATAGGAACATTTAAAAATAAACTTGTCATGCATTGCCTATAAATAATAGATTAATAAGCCCAACTTAAACCGACAATAATGATCAAACTTGTATGCTTTCCTTCTCTTCATCTAGATACATAAAATAGGAACACATCAATACATGTTTAGAGATGATCGTTACACTGAATGTTTCTTATTACAGATTGTAATTACCAATTCGCAGCTACCCGCGTTGCACTCGCTCGCATTTGCTCGGCCGCGCGAAGATACTTAACACTGTCTGTCCTTATGAGTATCATTTGAAGTACAGTGGAAGTAGTAATCTGTAAATTTTGCTCAAAGGAGGATGCCAGTAACTAAACGTATACCATGCCCCTCGCGGTAAGTAACAGGTTTATGTATTACATACTATAGGCCAGAACCATAGAAATCTACATAGATGGATGGCTTAGCATTATGTATTACATACTTGAAGCATTTTGTTGAAAAAAAACAAAAAAAAAACTGCACATCCGTAGAATATACACCGTGGACATTGTTTCATTTAATTTAATACATCTACCTTATCTACTACACGAATTACAGAGACTAGTTCGTTATTTCTTATACACGATCGTATGATAACGATACTTTCTGACTTACAAGAACCGTGTTACTGACATCCACCTTTTTAGTTAGAGTATGCAGGAAAATTTACATAGATGTAGCTATATCACAGGGTATGTACGAATAAATACACATGAAATAATCCATGGATTGAAAAAATGTAAATCTAGATACTTCCACTATATAAAAGTATTTGTGTAAAAATCTGTCCATTCTGATAATTCTGTACAGTAGTACTTCTGTACAGTAAATATTTAGATAAGAGATACTCAGTAATGCTAATTATGATATACATGTACCAATATTAGACAGGATTACTTTATATTAGTACATATACGTTTCTTTTTCAGATCTGACGGTGGTAGCAGTGAAAGTCCATTACTTGTGGAAGAAGGCGAAACAGTCGGTGCCCCTCATAGTCCACGCAGTAAACATAACCATAGTCATACACATGCTAATCCTCATAGGTCCCATAGTTATCGCCATGAGAAACCAAAACAGCTAATAAAATATGGAGAACTAGTTATTCTTGGGTAAGAGTGTAGGTCTGCCAATGTATTTCAACACGTATCGGTATGATTGCTAATCCACAGAAACGCAATCTGCAGATACAATGGATTCCTGCCACCGGGCGATCGAGGAAGACGTAGGAGTAAGTTCGTTCTATTTAAGAGGCCTGTACCGAACGGCGTGAAGCGAAGTAAACACTATATCGTCAAAACACCTCACAGTTCGCAAGCTATCCTTAATACGAAGCAACATTCGATTTCATACACATTGTCACGAACGCAAGCCGTGATCGTGGAATATACTGAAGATGACGGGACTGATATGTTTCAGGTGAGCACTGAACTTAATTGTCTTTCAAACTGTTCGAGTGTATTAATGTGTTTCTTCGTTTATAAATTGTAGGTCGGACGTTCCTCCGAATCTCCAATCGACTTCGTCGTTATGGACACGTGCGCAGGTGGGAACGACGGATCGAACGAAGGACGCGTCGCTCAGAGCACAATTAGCAGGTTTGCTTGTCGAATTCTAGCTGATCGGTCGGATCACAGAATCGCAAGAATATATGCAGCAGGGTTTGACAGTTCAAGGAATATCTTCTTAGGGGTTGGTTTCTTCTTACTGCCTTCAATATACGTTCATCTATTGATATTGTTCAGATTGAAAAATAATATATATATTTATAATATATTAATTGTTTGCAGGAAAAAGCAACCAAGTGGCAAGAGAACCGTGAGATCGACGGCCTCACGACGAATGGCGTGTTGATAATGCATCCGCGAGGTCAGTTTTGCGGTGGCGAGGCTCAGTGCGGTTTCTGGAGGGAAGTCAGCGTGGGTGGTGGTGTGTTTTCGTTAAGGGAAAGTCGAAGCGCCCAACAAAAAGGGAACGTTGTGGAAGATGAAAGTAATATCTTACAAGACGGAACGTTGATTGACCTGTGCGGTGCTACGTTGCTTTGGAGATCGGCTGAAGGTCTTGCTAAGTCACCGGTAAATATAAAACGCTTGTTATCTTCGAGCTTTTTTTCTGAAATAACTTATGACAATATTATCGCGTACGGTTCTTATAGACAAAACACGACTTGGAGGAGTTGGTTGACGCTATAAACGCGGGGAGACCGCAATGTCCAGTCGGTTTGAATACATTAGTCATACCACGTAAAGCAGCTGCCGATTCTGCACAGCAACAACCGTACGTTTACTTGAAGTGTGGACATGTACAAGGCCACCACGACTGGGGTCAAGAGAAGGATAAAGCGACGAGAAGATGCCCAATGTGTTTAGTAGCTGGTTCGGTAGTCAAACTTTCTATGGGAATAGAACCCGCGTTTTATGTCGATTGTGGCCCACCTACTTATGCATTTAGGCCTTGTGGACATATGGCTACGGAGAAAACTGTCAAGTCAGTATATACGTTTCGCGTGACATTACTTACAGGTCAGACTATGTGAAAATTGGCTATTCTTTTTCTGTTCTTTTATCACAGGTATTGGGAAAAAGTCGCGATACCGCATGGGACTAATGGTTATATTGCAATTTGTCCATTTTGCGCGGTCCCCCTTGAAGGAACACCGGGATACGTGAAACTGATTTTCCAAGATAATGTAGATTGAGGTTCGTTTACCGTGTACGTAACCGATCGTGAGTATGTGTAGACATTATTAACTTCTTATAAAGTGCAAGGATTATTAAAATTAATAAAATGTAAATAATCTTAATACAAGTATATAAACAAAGTTCTGTTTCTCTTTCTTGATATAAATTTAAGCGAAATTTTGTATGTACAAATAGCTCCATAGTGATTACGAAGTAAATGGCCCTTGAAATAAATATTCCTTCTTATACAGTATTATTCACATGTATTACCTTATTAATTGCACTGTCGCATTAGTTTAAGTTGAAAATGTACATTTCCAAAAAGGAGCAATTTTAATTTATATCGTCATTCAAGTCTGTTCGTCGTTTTGTGTAAATTAGTAAGAAAACTATTGTTAATATTATTTGTATTTATTTTCTAATGATTCGTAGCCGTTAATTTCGTACCTATTACTTTTTTAAATAAAAAAAAAAGTGTTCCATTCAAAGACTTGTATCCGTTACGGTTTCTTGTTTTTTAATTGTTCAAAACTAATACATGTATGCATAATAATATGTGGTATCAACAAGAATTACTTAAACGTATATATTTTCCAACATATCCTCATTTTTATGCTCATATAATAATCACATAAGAAATAATCAAATTATAAATATGCAACATCCTCAAATTTACGTGGAATTACATGTGAATCTATTCTTATGTACACGAAATAGTAACTAGCTTTAAAAGTATATTGTTGTATCAAGATCAAATAGAATAAGTATATTTAGCATATTAATATCTAGGTAAATTCAATCCTGTTCTTATGTTAACAGGAATGTGCTTAGTTTTACATAAAGATATCTCGGAATATTGGTGGTGTTTCTTTCTCCTTGATAAATTACGGCTGATAATGTACAAATCTGTGTTCACTTCGAGAAATAATATCGATTTCAGAAAAAGAGAAAGGAAACTGAGAATAAAAGTTATATGTTGCTCGGCGAGCGCGATTTTTAGGTGTTTTTTTTTTTGTTTTTTCTTTACATGTTAAATGTGCACAAGTAAGCACGTGGATTTTAATATGAAGAAAATGATTGAGCATAATTATATTAATGTCAACTGATTTTATCTTTTCCGATCGTTAGATCCACTACGGCGTGAACGAGATCGACGGTTTCGACTACTGCTGCGTGAACGCTTCGATCTGAAACAAATATTCAAGCGAGAATAATTATTGTTCAATATCACGGAACGTGTGAATACTAGAGATGGCGTGAACTGCTACTTGTGAATCACGTTCGTTCCCAATCACGGTGATTTTTCAGTGATTCGTGATCGTTTCTGATTGGTGGAGAATCCTAACAGTTCTTTACAAACATCGAAACAAAAATTCGAGTTATAACGCATAAAGTGAAGGAATAATTAGAAACAACGAAGAAAAATGAATAAATTAATGATTATAAATTATAATCTACATGTTACCTAGCAAATCATTCTTTTAGAATTTCTTGTTTTTTTCTATTGAATTTTAAAAACACACATTAGTAATATAATTCATCATGAAATCATATTGAATACGTTTTTCTGTTTAAAGATCAAGGACTTACGATAGCAGTGAGCAAATTCACCCAAAAATAAAAAAAATCGCAGTCAATTTAACTTCATTCACGACCGTGATCGTGATTCGGCGTTAGTGATTTTGAACGCCATCTCTAGTGAACATATTATCACGGATGAACCATCCCTTCGTGAACATCGACCAACCTTTTTCCACGACTGCGGCTTCGTGATCGTGACTTTCTCCTTTCCCGGTCGCGACGTTCACGGTCACGATCGCGGTCTCTGTCGCGATCACGGTCACGTTCCTTTTCTCTGTAACCCAATCCTCCTCCGCCACGTCGATCTGATCTGTCGCGATCCCGATCACGATCGTCCCGGTCCCGATCTCTACGTCTATCCAGCAACGACTCCCGTTTCTCTTTGCGCCTCTCCTCCACGGTTTTCTGAAGTTCCGCCAATTTTTCGCGGATCTTGATGAAACCCAAATGAAGCTTCCCACCGAAATGATCCGCCAATCGTCTGTCATTATCGTGAATCCCAAGATAAGCGCTGCAGACCTCGCACACTCTCAACTTTTGTTGCTGGTAACTGGATGCTGGCATACTGTTACGATACTCCTGCTCGGCCTCGTTCTTCTTCTTTCGCAACTCGTCTATCTCACCCATCAGTTTCATGGATTCCTCCACGAAACCCTCTTCCCCAAGTTGCTCGGCCTTGGCCAGCTTCTTACCAATCTCTTCCGCGAGAACATGCACGTTGTTCGCCTTCGCCGCTACCTCGGCACTGAGCTCTTCCTGAGTCTCGGCCAATCGTTGTTTCGCCTGTTCTGTACGACGATCGCAGTCGGCAATAAAATTCTGCAAATGTTCCATGGCCTGGAAAAACAATAAATAGCAAAACACCGTTCTCTCAGAGGGTATTGATTATACAGGGTGTAACAGAAATGTTGGAGGACCCGGAAATGGGACACTTGTACGGCGATTTGAAACAATCAGAGATTTGAGGCTTTCACAGCCCGACATCAGATTGGTCGGGGTTTTTCGTTAATATCTCGTTAACAAAGCCACGGAAGACAGTTTTGCTAAGGAAAAATTTGTTCCAAATTGCCGCACGAGTGTCCTATATCAGGGACCTACAACATTTTCTACCGAAAATATACCAATACTTACATCGATGTCATAAAAGTGGTCCTTCTTCTTTTGCGCAGCCTCGTAGTCGGCCCGTAGGGCCAAGTCGTGAATCTGGGGGCATTCTCCCAGGTCCATGCGCTGCGATTTACAAATCGTTACGATTAGATTTCATTTATTCTATTATTCGAAGCCTTATTTCGTTTATTCACGTAATCCCTCCCAACTTGGTCTATGGAATCTTATTGTTTTCTTAATTCTCGCTGGATTTATATAATAGGAAACTTAATCGATACTCGATAATTACATAAACAATCGAAAGATTATGCAACAATGGACAGAAGATAGAAACCTTGATATTGCCCAGAAAAGTATCTAAATATGCTATTGTTTATACACAAGAACGGTAGAAACGGTCGCTCTTTCGGTAGGCGCTAGAGACAATGTATATAGAAATATAGCGTGGTTACATATATTTCTATACACGCGTATTGTACAGATGCATGTATCGACCCGACATGTCTCATTCCGTTTTTTTTTTGTTTTTTTTTTTTTTTTTTTTTTTTTTTTTTTTTTTTTATTATTTGGACAAAGTAAATAGGCAATTTTACAGATAAATATTTTGTTATGTTCACTTACAGAGTGGTAACACCTCTCCGCCTGACACGACAATGCGATGGCAATGAAGCTACAATCAGCACACACCTTAAGTTCATATGTTCAATGTCTATGAAACAACTTACAGCCTAATAGTTTATTATACTATTTTATGTAGGGCACGAGCTGCCCCAAGTGAATCAATTCTATTTAGACGATTTAGAAAAACGAATTCAATACGTACATCCAATGTTGAAGGGATTTTTTCTAACAGAACTGGTACGCTGTACAATTCCGCCTAAATACCGTCCCTTCTTTCTCCCTCATTTTCTCGCTTTCACTCTCTCTTTCTCTCGCTCTCCCTCTCTCTCTCTGTCAGTTTCATGTATCACTTTTCACGTTTTCTGATATTTTGTCGTTTTGCAAATTGCCAAAATAATTTGAATACTAACGGTTCTCCTGTCACCCGGTGGTCGAGCGCTTTTCTTACATTTTTCAATAAAATATAGCGTTCTAGGAAATCCGTGCAAGGATTCCCCCTCTACTTTTCATAGCAACAACACACGCCTCTACAGGGATCTCCCTAGTATTGAACATTTCAACCGGAATTACCGAAAGAGGAAGCAGAACGAGCTTCACATACATCCTGTTTTGTCGAAGCCACCAATATACGACGAAATCTCGAACGATCGTTTCTCAAATTCGTGAACAATTATACCAGAACTCGTAAACGATCGATCGAAAAATTTCATAATATATGGATGGATTCGACGAATAAACGGAACCAGAGGTCCGTCGATAAAATCGATCGGCAGCGCGTTTAAAATTCCGAGACTCGAACCGCGGGAACACGTTTCCTCCGTCGACGTTTCTTGGCAATTCGCATTGTCTTTACTTACAGATCACTGCTTCATTTCCTGTACCCGTTACATCTCCCGAGGATGAATACATTTTTTTTTCACAGATACGTTTCATATGTAAACTTCATTTCTACCTGCCGTAAACGGCATTATTAGTAAGAAGTGACAAATAAGAGATACCGTCGTCAATGAATCAGCAATGACGCTACTCACCAACTTAAACAGGCCATTCAGGGTCTCGGAATTACTATTCGGCACTCAGCCTCGCCACCGTGGTTACCGGTAGAGGGGCTGAGGTGACCGTCCGCCTTTATCTCAATCGAATAAACACCTAGTGTACTTGAATTATGTTAAGGTAATCAAATTGTAGAATTGTAATACGTACGTCCTCTTCGCTTTTTTCAGTACTTACAGTAACGCGCGTGTGAGAGCGACAAGTACAACACGACATATGAGCGGACAATACTCGCAACAATATTGTACAATGGATCAGATTGGAATTGCTTTTTTCCAGAGACTCTGGAAATAGAACTGTAGGTACATTGACATTAGTGAACCTGTGTATCGGTCATTCTCGCGAGTATTTGCCAGAAGTATTTTTGTTCTTTTTTTTTCTCTCTCTCCCTCTCTATTCATTTATTTGCTTTAATATTCTCCTTTTTTAAATTAATCTTTCTCAACATACTTCGTTTTGTTTTTATTTTGAATTTAGGCGGTGTCAATTTTACTGTGGAAACCTAGGTGAGAAATGCGAAAGGGTGCTTGCTAATTACAAGAGGTACATATACTCTCTAAAAGTTGATCTAATATCGTGTAACTCTTTTATTAGGAATTTAATCCTCGTATCGAAATTCACTGTGATAATACGATAAACTTTCTTTAGTACTGTTTACTTTAATCTGAATGTTGTGCATTAATACCGGATAAACTAGAAGTACTAGCGAAGCAGTATCAACGTGAGTGATGTATGTACTGTCATTTGAATAGAAGATTTCTACTAAAACCATACGGTTATCAGATTTATGATTTCCTGCGAGTATTATTCTTTCGTAATCGTACAGGGCCATTACTATGAGATTAGTGTAAATTACAACATATTTCCAAGTATCGTATAAGAACGAAGTAGCATAATTTCACAGGCTGATATTGCTTAACATATTCGAGACCGATGACCCAACATATGAGTCATGCAACAGTTCACTAGTTTGACCAACGACTCAGCATGTGGGTCACATATAAACTGTACATAAAAATTGATGGTGGCTAGAAATAGTCTTGTAATAATACATTGGTCTCGAATGCGTGAAAGCTACTGCTAATATTGTTACACCAAAACTAACAATTTTTCAATAAACACTAGTACTAATGTCTGTGTGCATATCTACTCATAAAATCTTTTTGAAGCTATGGTCTGTAATTGAATACTACAAGCTCTCCAAAACGAACTAATCTGTGAACATATAGAACAAGTCTTTTAGTTTATATTATCATTCCCCTTTCTTCCTCCTTCAGGAGAGTCTAGGGAATTTCTGTCTGCTATCATAATATGCCGCCTCGTGTTGCACTTTAAGTAACACTGTTCTGATATATTATTCTTAGCTAATTTCTAATATGATCTATCAAAATTGATCTGACCAATTGGCACTGATGAGAAAAAGCACTATGCATAACATCTTGGGTAATTCGAAAATTAACTATTTAAGACGTTACTTTTAACAAAATATAATAATTCCACAGTCCATAAAATAACTTAAAAGGAATACAAATAACTTTACCAATCAAATTGTAATGCTTGAATGGTGCCACCGCAGACAGCCAAAGGAGAAAGTACAAAAATAATAATAAAAAGATTCGATGCAAAAACTAAATATACCAGTATCCAATTGTTTCTGCATTAACGCGAGAAAAAAAAACGATATACAAAATGCTCTACGATAGCGCATTAGTGCCAATGGTGTATCATTGATATTTTAATACGTGGTAATTTCGAACTGCACTCACCGTCGACGATAAGATTTCATGCGGACAGCACGCCAACAAAAAGCTCTTGCAGACCTTTGGATCGGAGTACTTCACTTGAAATTTGTTATTCTCACCTGAAAATGCATAATACACGTTAATAACAATACCACCTAATTGGATATAATACATGATTGGTGAAGGTATAGGCGACCATCTTGTATTTTCATGAGAGATTTCACAACGGCTGTAAATAATGCCAGTACGAAGAATATTCTATCATTCCTGGTGAACTAATAATACGTACCATTCCGTCCTGTGCCCATTAGTTGGTCAAGCATAGCTCGCATTTGATCGTGAGCCGTCATTTTTCCGTGAAAGTTCAATATTTCCAATGCACTGTCAAAAGTGGGGGAGCGCAATCAGCCACGCTGCCAGCTTCGAACTCCGAGTTATTACCCAACTCGTATTTATCGATCAGAGTATCGTCAGGCACTGGCGGTGTGTGCACAGTTCGTTCAAGAAAACATAGAATACTTTCAAGCTGAGTACTGTTGCAACCAATGACGGTGCAGATCTCAAGCCCACAGTCAAAACTTGTTTCTTATTGGTTGCCTTATTACCAGGAAGATTATATTTTAATTATCATTGAGAGAATTATAAGAACATTAAATTTTCCTACACATATTATTATAAATAATGCTTAAAACAAATAATTCGACCGTCATTAAGAAACGTTTATGCGATACGAAAAACAGCTTGAAAGTTGGTAGTACGACTGTTTTTGTCACTAGGTGTCATGCATCTTTACGGAGAAAACACTAATGCTGATGAGTCACATTCGAAATAGGAGCTCTGTAGGATGTCGAGATGTTCGGTGACGTATGACGCAGTAATAAATAATATAAAAAACCACATAAATTGTGTGAATTAATATTCAAGACCATGTACACTTATTTACGCATGTACGGTAGTAATGAAATTAAGGTGGGAGAAAGGCAGTTATTCCATTTTTTTTAATTAATCCGATCAATAATTATGCATTTTGATAGCGCTAAAGTCTTTTTGATTGCCCTATAGATTCTATAAACTTTACGAATTCTCATACTAAACTGTAGTACACACATCCATGTAATAACTATAATATTAAAAATTCCTCATAAATATTAAGACAGAGTTGCTGTTTAATCATTACTAATAAAATTAAAATTATTCACTTGTAAAAATTCATTACAATATCCACATCTCACATATCACTCTATATTTCGATTTCTGTTGGTTATAATTAATAACTATTTGCATTATGAAACAGTTGGCAGAATTTTTAACAATATTCCCCAGGGAAGTAATTATTATAACAATTACATTGTTAGAAATAATGAATTTAAGAAAAAATAATTTCTGGCGCGCTCGCATCCTACACAACTTTCACGCACCTCTACGCGCAGATCGCACTATCCCAACTTCGCGCACCTGTCCGCGCATCATAAATACGAGCGCGCGCTGATAATTCCTCAGTTCTCTTCAGATCTTCGGAGATGAAAGAGCTTTCTTTTCCTGCTTGTACAATGTACAAGTAATTTCCAATTTTTTAGCGTTAATGTTATATGTTACAATGATGTATAAAAAAATTCTGAGTCTCACAAATGGCTATCTTTAGGATATCATTAGGAAAACAACACAAAATTCATGTTCAGCATCAAATGCACTGAATAGTAAGATAAGGCGATTTAAAGTAATCGTCAAAATAAACAGTATCTCTGAATTCGCAATGTTACTAGATTTGGTAGTCACATAAAAGTTGTAATACCAATTAATCGGAATAGAAATAATGTCTAGGTACTAATATTGTCCTCAAATAATATAGAAATGTACACGAACCAATTATAATATAGTATCATTCAGAGAAATTGATCGAAATTATGCAGCTTATCAATAACACGAATTTTTCCAAGGCACTGTAACATAAATACGGCCTGGAATGGTTTTTCGGGTGTATGCGAATCTAGGGAGTTAAATTAGGTATATATTCAATACACTAGTGACCCGAGTGCGCGTGTGTAATACGCGTGAATACGCGCCGGGGGTGGTTAGTCGATGGTACGGTGTGCGAACGTGAAAAATTGCAATTTCAACTGTGTTTCCCTTGGTACCCATTGTGTGAATTGCATTCGAAGGGACCGATAATCTATATTCTTTTTTTTGCCTAACAATTCCTTGGGAAATAATTGTAGCAATAAGAGTGAAGCGCCAGGGAACCGATCGTGGAACTGCAGCGTACAATACGCACGCGGTGTCTAAAAATGGCGAAAGTGTTTCGCGCGGTGACAGTATCGACTTTGTCAAATAATGGACAGTCAACACCGAAATACAATAAGCCGGTTACGCTCAATATCAACTATGATCCGCAAGGACTTAGTGCTGAATTCCTCGCAGGTACAGATTTACTGATAAATCATCATTTGCAAATCGCGTCAGCACCGTTCCGGAATGGATAACATAACCACACTCGGTGGATATCGTTTGCGGGCTTTCTTTGTTAAAATCCTCAGTGTATGTTTCTATCATTTAATTGTTGGAAATTAGTTTTTAATATTTTCCCTTTTAAGTACAGAAACAGTTGAAAGGAACGAGTATATATGGTCTCCCTTATTTACAACGAACTGATTTCTGATGATTTATTTCATGCGTTTGAAGGATGATTTTTTTGTTAGATACACGTATCCAACGATCTTATGTTTTCATTTCGTAACAGGGCGGATTTTAGTTAAAATTAATTTTTTGATTGAGATTCTGTACTGTGAACAGTTTTCGCTACTATTTTCCAAAAGACACGACCAATGCTTTGTTAAGTTCGATTTTTATCGAAGTATTAATGAAAAACTATTACCTCTTTGTTATTAACGCGAAATTAACCAATTTTTTCGAAAGTTTATAGAAAGCAGCTGTAATATGTTGGAATTAAGTTTCAATTGTTTATAAACTGGGTATTATATAGAATTCTAGTTCATTAGTTTCTGTCTGTTGTAATAGGGGATCCAAATGGGAGGGATAAGACATCATTGTTGGAGTTTCCAATAACTCCCAGTACCGAATGCTCTAGAGTATCATCGCGAAGTTATGTATTCACATTAGACACAGATAGTTTACTTATATCATTTGGCAATGAAACGGGTAAGTTGATTAAAATAATTTCATAACTGTAGGCTATTAACAAGAGATATTCATCCTACAGATTTTCGTAACTTCCATTCACAAATACTGAAACTTAAAAATGGCAAAGGTATATCTGCATTTAATGAGAGGACAGAAGAATCTTCGGCAATGCAGTACTTTCAGTTTTATGGATATCTTTCACAGCAGCAGAATATGATGCAAGATTACATTAGAACTAGTACATACCAGCGCGCAATTCTGGGAAATCTGTCAGATTTCAAAGACAAAGTAGTGTTAGATGTAGGTGCAGGTTCTGGAATATTATCATTTTTCGCAGTTCAAGCAGGTGCAAAAAAAGTATATGCAGTAGAAGCAAGTAATATGGCAAATCATGCGGAGCTGCTTGTTGCTGCAAATAACTTATCGGATAAAATTATCGTCATAGCTGGTAAAATAGAAGAAATCGATTTACCTGAACTAGTAGACTGTATAGTTAGTGAACCCATGGGTTACATGTTATACAATGAAAGAATGCTTGAAACTTACCTACATGCCAAGAAGTGGTTAGTTCCAGGTAAACATCTAAAAATTACATTGTGTTTAATTTCTTCCTCTTGCTGTAGTAATATTACTTAAATGGTTCAAATACAGGTGGAAGAATGTTTCCTTCACGCGGTGATCTTCACATTGCACCGTTTTCCGACGAGAACCTTTATATGGAGCAGTTTAATAAAGCTAACTTTTGGTATCAAACGTGTTTCCATGGCGTCGATCTCTCGGCAATGAGGAATAACGCGATTAAAGAGTATTTTAGGCAACCAATTGTTGATACCTTTGATATAAGAATTTGTATGGCTAAATCTGTCAGACATATAGTAGACTTCCAAACAGCTAATGAGACTGATTTACATAAAATAGGTGAAAATTTGTACAACTGTTTAATATATTAACGTTTTCCAGCAACACAGATATTGAACCTTAATCTGTATATTTCGCAGAAATCGATGTCGATTTTCACATATTAGAAAGTGGCACGTGTCACGGGCTTGCATTTTGGTTCGATGTTGCATTTATTGGGTCGACGCAACAGGTTTGGTTAAGTACGGCACCTACAGAACCTCTTACACACTGGTATCAAGTGCGTTGTCTCTTAGAGAATCCTTTATTTTGTAAAAGTGGTCAACTGTTATCTGGAAAGGTCATTCTTATAGCGAACAAAAGGTGAAATTGCAAAATCATAAAAGTCATTTTTGGATTTGAAAGAATGTATGCCGATTATTGTAGTTTTGAAAAAACAAAAAAAAAACGAAAGAAAAAATTTTCAATTACAGACAATCATACGATGTGACAATAGATTTGAAACTTGAAGGAACGAACATGGAAAGCAGTAGTAATACTTTGGATTTGAAGAATCCGTACTTCAGATACACTGGCGCGGCGGCTCAACCTCCCCCGGGTTTAAATAACACTTCGCCTAGTGAATCCTATTGGACAACTTTAGATGCACAGGGTGCTAGACAAGCAGTTAACATGGTTAATGGAATGTCAGTGAATGGTCTAGGAGAAGTTTCAATGGATGCAACAGGGGCAGTAAATTCCAGCAATTTACTTGCAATAGGTGAGAACGTCAATTCAATAGCTAATAAGGGCAATCGCATATACGAGTAATATTCCTGTATTTAATATCTAACTTTTCCTTCCAGGAATATACACGATATCCCCCATATGGATAACTAATTTATTTAATGATCTATTCTTCGTGTATGCATGTACGTTTCTGCATCAACTTACTATGTACGTGTATTTTCCACAGGTGGCCAACCAAATATTCATCCCGGTTCAATTTCGAGCACTGGACGGGGACGGGTAGGTGGTACAGCGACGAGTACGCAAGCAGCGCAATTAATAGGTGGTGGAATCACTCCGAACATGTTCACATCTCCCGCTACGGTAAGTGTGTGACGAACTCGGTATAGATTTTCAGCGAGCTACTCCCCAAGTTGTACAGCAGCTTAAAAAAATAATACTTGTCCATACTGCCACGGGTGAGAAAAATGCTTCTTAAGTATAGCTTCGAGTTGATAATAGAAGCAGGTTAGCGTCTGTGGTGCAATCACGGCGGGATGGACAATTATTCAGATCGACTGTCTATCAGTGTGCACCCCTCTGTTCACAAAGTCTACCTGTACTCTGCGCGTGAACGTCTTTGCATAATAGCTCGCTAAACATTCGTATAATAATGTGCGAAAGGATACTAAAGTGTACGCCTGCCTGCGTGTCTTTCGCGCTACAGCTTGGTGTTACTTTCCAGCAATCGCTGGTCCTTGGCAATACTTCACATTATCCAGTGAATCCGAGCTTGATGATCGGGGATTACGTGACACCTGGTAACGGCATATCGTCTCAAACGTACCGACAATGATCAATGGCAAAATCATTTTGCACCCACTATTCCTATACGGCGAAACAGTTGAACGACCGGCACACCGCCAGCAGTAACGGGGATATCTGTAACGACAAACAGTGCCGGAAGTTGGTGTTCAGTTCTCCAGCAAGCAAATTACGGCTCTCGTCTGCCGTTCGTATTTTACACGCGGTCAATCTGGTCAGTCTTCATTCGAACATTGGCCATACGAGTAACAGCTACAGCAACGATTTTGCATATTTAAACAAAGTCCTGGTTGCTTCCGGATTCGGATTTGGATGGAGCGGTAAAAAGAATAAGTCACATTGGGAGGCACGCTGGAGGAAAGTGCGAACCGTCCTCTCGTAGTCATCAATTCGTTTTCATAGCAGTCGCCCCCTTATTTAATTGCTCGTTCGAAGATTCGATCTTCCATGATCCAGCGAAGTGCATGCTTGCCAAATGTATCCGAGAAAATGATATTTTTTAACGACAATACAGTTTACCATGCGTAGAATCTTATACGACACTATCTCACGAGGTCCCCACATCATTTTTGTATGTCGATGCTCGGATGACGAGAACATAATGTAGGTACAGGACAGGCCAAATCTTTAATATATTGTTTTTATCAGACGATCTGGGAGCTACGTCTATTATTATCGATTTAGAGCGCAATAAGTAGTAGTAAATTAATTGTACTGTTCAAGTAACAGCTATCCGTAGAGTTTTTAAGTTTCCCAACCAGTTGCGGTGGTTCGGTTCGACGTAGTTCCCAGTTTCACCGTTCTTAATCGTAGATGGCGTAACGACAGCGTGGATTTTTTTTTGTACGATCAATTATGTTAGGACGTGTGAGACAAGATTCCATAAAACGTTACGTCTGTCCTATACCTAGCCTGTGATTAAAGCAACCGAAGCGTAAATTACATTGCAATCATGTTCTTTTGATTTTTATTTTTTTTTTTTTTTTGCCTTTCATTCAATGCGCTTGAATGCAATTTATAACCGGCTTGGTTGTTTTTCGACCTTAAGCAACATTTTTACACAAAACTTTTAGGATAATGTACGACGTTCCCAAATGTACAGGGTGTATCACACAAAATAGTATACGTTGCTTTCTACAGCACTATTAAAGATTGAGATTATTTTTTAATAGTGTCGGAGGCAACCAATCGCGATATTTTATGTGATACGCCCTATGAATTTCTAAAACTGCAAAAAGCAATAGTTCGTGAAAGTTATGATAATGGAGCACTCTGTGGCATTGCCTGTTATATATACATTCGATTTCCATGGTGAATTAAATTTAACGTATCTTTCTTATATACGTATATATATATATTTTTTTTTCATTAAAAACCGTACATAAAAAGAAACTAATAAATTCAATGAAAATTATGTAAACACTTAGTACGTCGACCTTAATTTCGTTTAATTTCTTTACTGTGAATTTTTGTTTTCTTTTAAGTAAGTGATATTTTCGTTAATTATTTATGATTTAGAGGTTAAAATGAATGTACATAATCAATTAATACGCAAGTCAATTGATTTAACGGTATAATTTACGGTGAAAACAAAAAAAAAGGTATACTCCGATACAATCATAGTAAATTAAGTTACGATTCGTATCTAGCTGATTTACTATTGTATTATTGCAATGTACAGATGTCGAGTAGCATGTATAGGCACAGTTTCAAATTTGTGGCGTTTGTATTACATATCGGCCTTCGGTCAATAGGATTAATTCTCTACTTTAAGGTACTTCGACTATTATATTAGAATTCCGTATCCTATGTATGTTTCCCTTTTTTAATTAGTAGTTCCATCGTGTAACAAAGTTCTCTTGTCAGTTCTGAGTGCAAACGGATTTTGTTCTCGCGATTTCCAACGGAGTAGAATAATGATCTAGTGATACACGATCACGCAAACATCGTCAGAACTTCCGATTGATAATACTCACAAAGTGTTTGTTAGGCTGAAATTTTGTACGCATTAGTCGAGATTCGATTATGTTCTTTCCTAACGATGAAAAGGATTCGTTACACGATGAAACAGCATTGAGGTTTTTTACAGTCCCAAAATAATGACGTATTTAATTCTACCGAGCGACTACGGTTATATTCCTAAATTAAATATACAGGTAATCACTTGATAATGACAACACGAGTTTTTATCGCAATGGATTGAAACTGCAAAGTTGCACATTCCGTCACAAATGAAATTTCAAAAATAAAAATTTACTGATTAAATTTTTGTGAAAACCGTTACCAGAGATTTCTTGTTTTTATATCAGAAATAAAATTTCTGGGATGGCCTATATATATATATATATCCTTTTTTGTACGATTCCTGTAGAAAATATTTATAAACCTCTTTATTATCAGAGGGTTACCTGTATCGTAAAATAGTTGTACATATAAACGATGCTTAATCTGTACAAGTTAATCACGCATCCAGATCTCGGTGTAACGCTTAAGTCTCGTTAGTTTCTAAGGACTGCTCTTCATTTGTTATCCGCACAAGCTTGTTCTTTTTATACACAAGTCGCCCCATTTTACGTACCTTACGAATTACTTTCAAGCTAACGGAATCGAGTAGATATTTCATTTACCGATAACTCCTAGTATTACAGTTGAATTTCTTAAGAATCAAGGTTGTATCATATTTTTTTACTCGAATGATTATTATTCTCAGAGAATGGACCTCTCATCATTGCTTAGTTTCCTTTTTAATTATTTATACCGTACCGTTTATTTTTTCCAATGAAGTAATGGTGAAACTGTAAATAATTCACACATGTTCTACGTTGTTTACGTAAGATACGGTTCTAGTTTGACGAAATGTCGCCGCGTAGAATTTTTTACTGTGCGTAATTTAGCGTTCAAAATCGCTTTGACTGCAGGCATTCCACAAGTGCTGATAACAATTATACGATTCGTTGTTCGTAACAAGAATGTGCTTCTTCCAGTGTATCGTTCTTTCTCTCTTTAAGGATGTGAGAACATTAAAAGCAATATGTAGAATCGAACGCCTATAAAAGTATTAAGTTACCGTGCATGTTTCAGTTTCCATAGGAGAGACAAAAGATTGAGTAAATCTAAGAGTACATTTTGATATTTGTTTTTATTCCTCTTTTTTTTTTTCTTTTCTTTTTCTAGATATTGCTTTCAGTGTTGGCGTGCGTACTTCCGTGTGTGTACGTCCCCTTTATTTCATGTTAGAGAACTTTAACGACTGAAAGATACAAAATATCTCAGGTAGCTTTGCGAGTTCGGAGGATGATGTTTACAAACACTTCCCGCCATTTTTTATTTTAAAAATTAAGTTCCCCCGCCCCACCCCCTTTTAACACGCATAGTCTTCGTAGTATTGGACGAAATGAAACACGGTATTGCTCCTCTCGAAACAAGATGGCGTTTGCAGTGAAATAAAAATACACTTGTATTCGTTCCAATGATAATGATCGACTGTTTTAGTACCGAACAACTTACTGTTACTCGGTGTAATGTCTTTCCTGATACTGTCTTTGCAATTTTCAACGTTTAATAACGTATGGAAGACTATCCAGAGGCAGAAAATGTTAAACGTTAATGCTTTTACAACAAGAAGATTGAACCCTCGGCTAGATTTTCTGTAAAATTTGAAATGTACGAAGGAGACTTACTTACGTGATTAAGTATAATGAAACATTTCTGGTCACGTTAATTAGTAAAAGCTTCTTGTTGCTAACGTATTATGAGCTCTTATTTCTGTTTTATATATCGAAAGCTTTGAGATCGATCAGAGCATTTTAATTTTCTTGCAATAAATCAAAATTACACGTTCGTTGTCTATTCCACTCATAAGAGCTTTGTACTTAAAACATTTATCCACAATCCCATACATGCATATAACGAGCATTAGAATTGTAATTAAAACAACTGAGATTTTCTTTCCATGCATTATAATTAATTACTGTATACGATTGTAAAATGCAAACAAAACTTTTACAGAACTAAAAGTGGTAGTTTATTTGTTTTCTAAAAATGCTCAGCTTTGTATAATGCATATATGAAAATATATGTATATTTATGTATGCACATTCAATTGTGTTCCATATAGTGTGCTTACGTTTTTTTTTATGTATAATATCTATGTATAAAGGGATCATGTTTTACATGCACAACAGTGACAATGGGTGCTTGTACGCATTTGTACATTAGATTTCAACGAAACTTGTTTTATGTTCCATTTAGTAAATACGATTATCCTGTAATTAATCTCAGGTTCAAATGCCATAAAGTTCGATATACGATATGGATCGACTTTCCTTGTGTGTCAGGAAGAAATCAGGTAGTATAGAATCAAAATAATGAACATTGATATACGTCATACTGATACACTATTAGCATTTATAAGCTCTGTCTAATGATATTTTAAGGAGGAATTGTATACAAACTGTGCAACTGAAAATTTTTTAACGTTCAAAGTAGAAGATCTGACAAAAGACGAGAACAAGCCAAACTCAGAAGTAATTTCGATTTCAGTCCACGAATATTATTCCACTGAATAAGGATGTTCAATTTCCAGTTTTGTTTAAACATTTGATATGAGTGATGCTTTCTCAAACTTTTAGGTATATTTTATATAATAATGGTAACTCAAGCTTTTGTATATTACCATACACTAGCTATTATACTTTCACTTGAACTTTATTCTATTTGAGTTGCTGCTATCTGTAAGATTTGATATACTAATTAGTGCTTTTTAATTCCTACATTATCGTCCCGATGAAAAACAAGTGTAGTAGATGTAAGGAACATAAAAAAATGTTTCTTGTGTATGTAATATGTTTCTCTTTAGGGTTCATTTGTGCGAAACAAGGGGCTAGCACAACGTTTAAGTAATAAACATAATGCGTTAGAACAAGTTTGCCTAGTGATTGCAATCTACTAATTTGTAAAGTATTGAAGTTTGTATTCTGCCAACCTTTTTTACGTACCACGACAAAAAACAAGGACGCTCAGATTGTTTTATGGTAAATCTGAGAATAAGTTACAATAAACTTATTTATCTCAACAATGTAATGCACGTTCTTTTATAAACAATTCACAGAATACGTTCACTCCACTCGAATAGTTAATATTATTTCAAAAATGGAATACAATTTCAAACGGTTCAATCGCCCGCTCTTTTTTAAGTTTCAACCGTTGAACATGTATCGATAATACAACACCATTAAACTTTCGACTATCGACTCTCGACGTTAACTTTGAAGAAGTGCATAGGCTTGGGAACGTCACGAATGTAAACTGAAAAGTGTTCTCCTATGCATGTTCCGGGGGTTCTATGACCCTACGCTCTCACCACACGGGGTCTCTGGCGCCTCCACCGGGGGTTCTATGACCCCACGATCTCACCACACGGGGCTCTGACGCCACCTGCGGGGTTCTGTGGCCCCATGCTCTCACCACACGGGTCTCTGACGCCTCCACCGGGGGCTCTATGACCCCACTATCTGACCACACGGAGCTGGCGCCTCCGCCGGGGGTTCTATGACCCCACGGTGTCTTTGGCGCCTCCACCGGGGGTTCTGTGACCCCACATACTGACACGCACGGGTCTCTTACGTTGTCGGGGGGGTATGACCCCTCTTACAAGATACTACACAGGTCGATACTCGCCATTCGATACGAGTACTTTTGTTCGATAGCTACTTGGTATCGCAACCGCAGGTATCGATACCAAAAGTACTCGGTATAGAAACAAAAGTATCGAGTAATGTACTCGTATTTGCTTGTATCGATTCATCCCTAACAACACGTGTTTTCAATAGTAATACTTCAGTTTTAATTAAAGTTAAACAGTGTGCTATTTAATAATTAATTCCTGGGATCACGTAATGATATATGCATGCACATGTAATACACGATCAGAACGAATATCAGGTTAATGCCATCGCTTGAATCGAATTCATCGATCTCCAATTTAACATAAGTTTAATCATGCTTCTTGTTATCCTTATCCGGAAAACGTAGCTCTTTCTAAATTTTCTGGGTTAACGAAACCATGGGAATTCCGGTGGAAGTTGAATCCAAATTTGTACAGAAATGTTCGATGTTATTAATTTTCTCGAGTGTCGTAGTATTATTTATTTGTTTGAATAATGTGCAACCGTATTATTTCATTGACGAGGTTTTCCACGTACCTCAGACATTGCAGTATTGCGCCGGCAATTTTACACAGGTACGTTTTTTTTTGGTTTTCAATATCTTTTTATTTTCTTCTTCTACTGTATTGTTCGTAACCGGTTCATGAAAACTGGGTCACGCAAGGAACGTTATGTTATTATTTTTTTCCTAATCAGCAAACCGTCCTGTATTTCTAGTATTTTAATTGTTCAAGAAACAATATTCTTTAATCTATGCAGAAACAAATTATATTCGAGGGACATTATTTTCAGTGGGACCCTAAAATAACTACTCTACCCGGGTTGTATTTACTCACAACCTTGGTATTATCGCCCCTGAATCTGTGTAACCTCTTTTACATGAGATGCATAAATTTGCTTGGAACCATTGTAAATTTCTATCTTGCTTACAACATAATCAAACAAATTTCGATAAAATACCAGACACAAAGATGGAACAATTGGATGAAACTTACTGTGGCTTCTAACATTATGCTTTTTCCACCTTTATTTTTCTGGCACTTTCTGTATTATACAGACATTGTATCTGTTAATGCAGTATTGTTAATGTTCTTGCTACATTTACGTAGAAAGTTTGAAATGGCAGCTTTTATAGGTATGTATAGAAAGCAATACGAGAAAATACAATACAACTCAAAGAATGAAATTATAATCAATAATATGCAGGTCTCTTGTCCATATTAATTCGACAAACAAATATAATTTGGGTTGCATTTGTCACTGTGGAACGTGCATTTGATTTGTTAGATCAGAAACTACTGAAATCAATAACACAAGAAGAATATAGTTCATTCACCTATTTAAAAGTGAGTAATATAATTTGATAAAAAGAATGGAACAAAATTGTAAGATCTCTTATATGTTATTATATACGTTTTAGCTACTGTGGAAAAAGATAATGGAAGAAGCATCTCATGGATGGGCTTTCTTCTCAAAATTTGTTATTCGACTAATTGTACAGTTACTTCCGTATGCAACAGTATGTTTAATCTTTCTTGCATTTGTTGTCTGGAACAAGGGTATAGTAGTTGGAGATCGTGCAGCCCATGTTCCTACTATTCATATCCCTCAATTATTCTATTTTTCTGCATTTATTTCCTGTTTTTTATGGCCGTACACGATTATTCATTGGAAATCTTATTTAAATTCTGTTAAAGAACATTGGATCCTTCACAGTTGTCTGCTGGCACTCTTAATTGCAACAGTTCATTTTAACACTCTTGTTCATCCATACATATTAGCCGACAACAGGCATTACGTATTTTACTTTTGGAATAAGTTCATGGGAAGATACAGGCTGTTCAAGTATCTATTAATACCTGGATATTCGTTCGCTTTCTACACCATGTTTCATAGAATGATGCATTTGAGGTTTGCAACTCAAATTAACTATATTCTCATGACATCCATGGTCCTTATACCTCAGCTGCTCATAGAGCCGCGCTATTTTATCATTCCGTATATTCTTTATCGTTTGCTTATTCGGGAACCGAAAAGCTGGCAAGTTATTATGGAATCAATTACCGTGTTCATAGTGAATTTCTTACAGTTCTATATATTTATTAATAAGGTATTTTATTGGAGTGATCAGCCCGATCCTCAAAGGATATCATGGTAAACAGGGGAAAACAAAAAATCGAATGTATCATCCAATTTTTAAATTTGCACGCCGTGATATAAATATAACCAATCCCGTTTCATATTTTTCTTATTATGCCTGTGCCAGAAATAAAATTTTCGTTATAGGTGTTATGTAAATTAGAATATCACATCGTTATTTATTACTTCTGTTACACTTGTCTATAAGGAACAGTAATCAACTAATTAAGCGTGAATTGTCGTTCACACGCGGGGTAGAGGTTTCCGGTATTATTCTGCTCGCACCATTTCTAACGCGATTGTAACAACATAACGGGTAGGTACCAGGCGTGTGATTCAACCGAAGCTAAACCTGCGGGGTTCGTACACACCGAACAATGTAAAAGTTTTCCACGAAAACGGAAACAACGAATCAAATTGAATCCTTACATGTATGTACATACATATACATCGCGGTATGTATACCTGCGTCTTCCAGTGCGAATATTCGGTTCCGATCATCTTTGCTTAAGTTCACGATTCTATTTCGTAACTAAGATATGTTTCGTTCGGAGCAACGATACTCGTACAAGCGCGCCATTCGAAACAGATATTGGAAAACTTTCGGAATGCTTGGATGGATTTCGGTGCTTTCAAACGACAGAAATTGATACGATTAATTCCATCCCGATGTTGCTTCGTGCCCCCCCCCCCTTCTACAGCCATCTTAAAAAGGTTCGTCTAAAAAATTCATTAGAAAACCTTCCTTATGCTTTCAGTCTTATGTGAATAATATCAGATGCGTTTTAAAAATTACGTCTGTGCCTCTGTCTCGTTGCTCTTTTACGAGTATCGCTACTGGCTCTGTTATCGATGGAATAAATGTAGTGACATCGTTCACATCTATCTATCTATCTATCTCTCTCTCTCTCTCTCTCTCTCTTCACTACATAAGAACAAGGCCGCCATTTTTTTTTTCCTCGTGGCGCAATTATGTTACGAATTCACTACATTTCTTCCGTCCAGTATACGTATTCCTAACGGTACGATAATTCGTATAACGTGGACGATTCGTCCGGTAGTCACGGGGACGACCAGACCAAATTACATTGCGTCTATCTAGCTTAAAACACGGTGTGAATCTCGCCTGATCCGCATTGTTACCAGATCCGTAATTCCTGGCAGCTCTTAAACAAAGTTAGAACCGACTGATTATGAACAGAGAATATGTGACGCGTACAAATGTAAATACAGTGGACTCTTAACTTAAAATGGCAATTATTCCAAAGCCCCTTCTACGCTAACAAGGGAAGGCACGGAAGTGTCCCCCTTCGATTTTGATGAAACTTCCCATGTCTGTTAAGCAGTCAAAAACAAGAGATACGTATTTTTTTTTTATCGCCTGAGACGCGACTTTAAGAGGTGAAACCATCCCTCGGAAGTTTCGACCGTAGTCAGAGTCTACTGTATGTAAAACGGTGATTATGTAACGATAGATTAGAAAACAATAAGTGTATTGTTAACGAGTTAACGAATCGATCGTGGGAGACTTCCACCAAGAACATTATTCCGCGTAGTAACAACGTGAATCGTGAGAGGCACACCGTGTGTGTGTGTCTCATTCAAATACGTTCCATACAAGTTTCAGATTCGTTCTGTTATTCTCGAAATGGCTGGAAGAAACGAACAGACAAAAAAAAAAAAAAAAAAAAAAAATTCGGATTCGTGAAATCAAACATTACACGAGCGTGACCCAGCGTGCGATTCAGTCTATAAAAATGGATGCCTGATCGCGCTAGCGGCGCCCAGGCATGTCATCTTTAACCCTGGACTTTCGTTTAAAGTACCTAACGCATCGTACCTGTCAATACCGCAAATATACACACGGATCGATTAAACGAGATGGTGAAAAGTAAACAATGTTGTCACGCTTATTGTCAAAGTTAGCTCTATCATTAGTGCCTTATGCGGTTCCCTATTTCTCGCGTCTTCAACGACCCCCTTTGCCATTGTGCTCATCCGCGCCTACAGGCGGCAACCACGTGCAATTGTCGCCGTTCTAAGTTCGGTCGCACAACACGCTACATCCGGTGCATTGCTATCGAAATCGATTGCTTGAAAATAATTATCATTATTAGCGTTATTTTCAAGGTAATGTACTATCTCACAAACGATCCCGTCGTTTAACCGGTGGATAATCGTGCGTTTGGACACGCACGTGTGACACTTTCTCCGAGCAAGGCTATGTCCTTGAGCTATGTATGTGTACCTTGAGCGTTTCGAATAATTGTTTTACCAGAGATGGGCATAATAGTAATACTAACTTCGTACTTTATACATTAAAACCGATAGACTTAGAAATATAGACTGCACGTCAGGCTGGGCGTCCCAACTTTAGAAAGAGAGATTACTTTCGGAAGACTTGCAATCTCTTTCTAATATAACCGAGTCAACCATTCAAAACGCGAATCCCCAGAACCTCACCCCCCTCCCCACTACTTAGATTTAAAAAGAGAGCAAACTCCTTCGAAAGTTCTTTTAAACTTGGTACGCCTGTTTCAGGAAGATGCTCAGTCTATATTTCTAGGAATCTATGTTAGAACCTATGTATTTTCTGTGTATCGAATAAATTTTTTTTTAATGGCTCACACAGTGACTCCATTACTAATTACGTTCTAACCTCGACGAGCCCCAATCGATGGATTCGATCGAAAAAAATGTAATAATGACACGCTTCGTGTCAGTTTCCAATGAAAATCCTGACCATCTCTGGCGCTAAAAATCATCGGTACCCGAAAAGGCCTCCTCCATTACGTGTGATCAACATTAAATGCATTATACAGTTCTCGATTTTTACACGATCCTCCGACATTATAGCACCCACTCACACAAAATCACGGTGGTCTGGCGCGCAACCATCCCCTCTTCTAACAATAAGTTATTGCTTTCCACGGACCATATTCACACTCGAGAACACGCAATCGTACTCGATGGGTTATCCCACTTTGTGCTCGGTCGATCATCAACGGAAAAAAGAACCGTTGCGACGCAACGTCGATGAAATTCTGTCTAGAGTTAAGCATGCGGGGAGCTACTGCCTCGGTTCGTTATACCCGGTTTTCCTTAACAATTCAATCGGCAACGTTTCAACGCACCGAGAAAAATCGTCGTTTATATTGCACACGAGACCGACATCGCTCTGGACTAGAAGAACTTCGTTTCTCGCGATAAACCTATAGAATTTCAAAAATTTCTCTATATATATATATCACCTCGGAATATACACTTTGGTAAACGCTGTGGTTACGTGTTAAGATAACGATTCGAGAAGTCCGTTACGAAACCGTGCGAAACAGCTACTTTGGCTTGGATTGCAATCACTTTGTTTTCTTTCTATTCGGGACACTCTAAAGCTATGGAAAGTGCACCGTTTGAAAAATATCTAAGGTCTTCTTCGGTCGTCGGCAACTCATAGTTGCCAGCAATTCGAATTTCTTAGTGCAATGTCGCAAATTGTTTTTGGATTTGCCCAACCCCCCCCCCCCACATTCCTTCTTTTGTTGTATTATATTTCTGTTTCTGTTTCTAACCAGACAACAGTTGTTACCATTTCTGTTTTTTTTTCTTGAAATATCAAAGTTCTTTAAAAATCGACGCACATTTTCCGCGCATCGACCTTTCACATTTTTAGTCCGTTCACAGTCGGCTATTTCGTAGTATGTATTATAATATAGTAGTTTTGGCGAACTGATTAAAAGCGAATAAACCAGAACCCAAAAGATCGTGCTTCTGCACCGTGGGACTGAATGACTCACGATATTAGGATCGCATCGAATAACTTTCATGACTGGGATTAAGAGCTGTTAGGTAACGTATTCTAATGACAAACGCAAGTCATTTAGAGGCACTGCACATCGATATAAATGCTAGCCGGAAAAGAAGCTGATACGCGATGGAAGCATCGTATTGCAAACAACCAAACAATTCCATTTTTTTTTGTTCCGCGTACCAGAGTATTCCAGAAATAAGTACCAAAATTTCGCGTGTTCTCGTTCTTAACTGTAGAATGATCTAAGACTTATTTTTGGAACAACTGCAAATAATGTGCATCCTTTTGCATAGAAAAAGAAGCAATAGTCGCAGGACAGTAAGTACAAAAAAGAAAGAAAGAAACGGATACGCTTCCCTTACACTACGAAAGGCATAACGTGGCTCGATCACTTTGAAATCTTTTGTACCCGGCGATCACGTATCAAAACTGACGTCATTAGGCATACGTAAAAGAAGCAATCGAACATTTCAACGCATGGATCTTGTACTCATTAGTGACTTCCTCCTATTCTCGTTCCCTTTTACACTTAATCATAATGATTCCGGTTCGACTAACCTCGACCGCATTGTTCTCTCTCTTTCCTGCTAAATTGGTCATTGGCCTACAGGATATATACTAATTATCGTACAAACTAAAAACTTAAATATCAATATATAAAATAACTATGAACCTTACACGCTGTACAGAGGCAAAATCCATTCGCAAGAAAAACGGGGTGTCTGCTCGCTCTGTCCTCTTTCTGCCAGCATATTATATAAACGGCTGAACAGATAAACACTCTCTGTACGCGGTGAACGTACAGAAACAAGTGTTCGAGCTAGAAATGATGATCAGCCGTCTATCCCCGGGGATCTTTAAAAGTAATCGAGGAAAATAAACTAATAATAGCTAACGCCCCGAGACCGTTAACACACACACGTGTTTACACACTACTTCAGGCACTGAATCACTTTGTTCATCGCATATGGTTTTTCTTTTGTTACGCGACCGGATGATTCCCGTTACGAGGCATTATTCCCGAGCGAACCTCGAAAACCCAATCATACTATTTGCTCCTTCAGCTTAATGAGATTCGTATTGCCGTAAAGCTTCATGTCCAACGGGGCGCTCGGATCGTTCTTCTTGGTCTGCGTGTGCCACGCGAGTACCTTGGTGCAATTCCCCGCGAGAAACTCGATGTCCCGTGGCTCGAATGGGGCCAGACTTTTCAGAAAACCGTCCTCCTCGTAGCCGGCTTTGAACGGCATCGTGGCGTTCGGCCTTTCCAACAGAAACTTCACGCTCACCGCGAAACCCGCCATATCGACGGGAAACTTCCGGCCGGCGATCCAACCGTCGTAAAAACCGACGAATTTCCCGTTCTTGAGGATCGGCGAGCTCAGACCGAATTTCGTGCACAGACCAACCGGGAACATCGATACCCTCTTTGTCTTTCGAATCTGAAATTGATACCGTGAATAGTGCAATTGTAGCGAGTTGTGACCGTGACAACGATCGTTATTTCCGCAGTCTCTAATCCAATTATGCTGTTGTACCTCGTCAAACAGAGTTATGTCATAGGTATTGTCGTCGTCCGCGAAATAGAAGATCCCATCGGTCGCGTTTGCCCTGATCCATTGCAGACCACGGTTCCGATTCGACACGCCCCGTGGTTTCGCGCCCTTCTTCTGCTTGTACTTTTCGGGCATAGGAGCTGTAACGGGACGGAGAAAGATTGAGATATTATATTTTGTCGGATAGACAGTAAATCATCGAGCAACTGGGACAAACCATAGTTGTTAAAACAGTAGGAAATAGTATCTTTGTAACATTTTTACCCCGAGTTGCCCCAGGTTCCAGGGGGGTGGCGGGAGGTCTGAACCTTCCATTTCGTTATAATTGAATGCTATTTAATTTAATTTAAAATAAATTAAAATTTTTCAAGTTTTATGTATTTTGTTATGCTGTACTATAAAAAAATCCCTCCCTCCACTCCCGTTTTTCAACCAAGTGGCCCCCGGAAAATCTGATAGTCCTGGACCACGGAAAATCTTAATCCGAGCCTGACACTACGTAATACATCACTCGAAACCATTTAATTTTTCCTAATGAAATTTCTCTTGTATCATCCACCGTTATTATACTGCTACGGCTTGTCCCAGTCGCGTGTTACAATTAGCTCGCGGAAAATGAAATCTCGTTTCAGGCGGCGTGTCCTCACGGTTACATATTTAAAAGCGGGCGGCTGGGGTGCGGACGGTGCTATAAAATCAATAGAACGCTTTTACATCGAGAGACCTTGCCGTTCGTCCCAATTAACCCCTTGCTTTACTATTTAATCCGACAAAATCCAAGCCAAAGTAATGTCCAGAAGTGCTGAGTTGTCTGTTTGGATTGCCTATTGCCGAGACTGTTTAAATTTTAGCCCTCATCCCCATCGACCGCATCTCCACCATAAACGTACCTAATGCCTAATATATAGACTGCGGATTTTTATGCAAAATTGTATTTTCTAAAAGCAATTTATACAGAGAAGAGCAAATATAGGAATTTCTTTCTTTTCTTAAGAATCATATTAGGTCCGGAATAAACTAGAAAACTGATTCGATCCAATGAAAGTTTTGCGTGTTAATGTATTTTACAGACCCCTATACGCTATAAATGCATAAAATCCGCAGTCTACTAATATATGGCCCGAAATTGTGACCACGAATCTGACTCCTCAAAATACGACAAGGGGTTAATTTCCACGGTCCAGCGGGCCTCCATTTTCTCTACCGAAAAAGGAAGAACAAATTCCTCGAAAGGACGGATGATTTACCGGTCAAATGATCGAACTTCAATCCCGTTCGTTCCAGCAGTCTGGTGACCTGTTTCGTGGCGACGTTCGCGTCTTCGATCACCAGCCAGTGGATGTTCTTCACGAGCATCAACGTATGAGACATCCTCGTTAGCTCTGGGATCTGTTCCGGTCTACGATACGTTGGCGTGATTATGTACAACGGCTCTAGCGTTTCTTTGGTCGAGCCCTGTTGATCCAGTTCGATACTACGCGAGGTCGTCGGCGATTGCGTTCGCGTCATCTTCGAATTATTCCCTATTGGCTCGAAGGTGTTCCTGTTCACGTGATTTATCAGCTCCTGGACCAACGTGGTCGCGATGTCTGGACTAAGTCCGTTCGTCTCCTGTACCCTGCGTACCGCACGCTTGATCTGCAAGTGGAGAACATGTTTCGTTACAACGAATCGGCCGATATACAGGGTGTAAGAAAAGTGTTGGAGGATCTTGAAATTGAAGACTCGTGAGGTGATTTGAATCAAGTTTTTCCTTGGGAAAAATGTTATCCGAGGCTTTGTTAACGAGATATTAACGAAAAACACCGACCAACCAGACTCACGCTCTGATTGGTCGGGGTATTTCGTTAATATCTAGTTAACAAAACCTCGGATAACATTTTTGCTATGGAAAAACTTGTTTCAAATCACCTCACTAAACTTGCATTTCTGGGTCCTTCAATATTTTTGCTACACTCTGTATAAGAACAATTGCTTACAAGGGATGTTCGCGAAGTGATACACCTGATTTTTCTGTAACTTTGTACGAGCGTTTGTGAAACCAATATAGGAATTTTTATGTGCTTGGTTGGTGCTACGTTTACTTCTTCGCTTGTAACTTAAAATGGCTTAATGTTTCTTTTCTCCCACACTGTATACTCCCTCGAGAAAGACTTGGCGCGAGTTTTGGCTGGCCAAGGAAATTAAGGGACAACCATTGCTCCTTGAGGTATCTCGGTCGTGCCAGAAAGACACGCGCCTAGTAGATATAAACCGGAGCGTCTATTTTAAAGTCCGAGTCGGGAAGCATGTAGCCCTCGCACTCCATGGTAAAGTCAACAGGCACGGTATTGTATCCCCGCAAAAATTAAACGTTATTAGAGTCGTCATTTGCGAATTAATAGTTAAAACTTCTGCTTACAATATTTCATCAAAAGTACACAGTATTTAGCCTCTTCCGCCTCCTACTCAATAGCAATTACTAGACTGCGGGGATTTTATGCATTTATAGACTCAGTGAAATACAGTAAAATACAAAACTTTCGTCGAATGTAACGACTTTTCTATTTTATTCTTAACTTAATAATATACTTAAGATAAATATTCCAACTTTTCTTCTCATCTTCAAGAATTGCTATACAAAATTTGATTTTCCATAAAAATCCGCAGTCTAGTAATGATTTTACAAGGACTTAATATTATGCCCATCGACTTTACCAGCCTGGTCGCGTGCCGGTGAAATTCGATAGAAACAGAATCCTAGAATCGTTGGGATTCGTGTTCCCTTTCTCGCGGAAACGACCCTGACCGGGGTAAAACTCGCGACAATTCCATCATCGGCTGCTACGTCGGACTTTGTCGACATTTACAATTTCCTCCGTCAGCTTGGTCGTCCTCACGTAGCTCTCGACGTCCTCCTGCGAGAATACAGGTGTGTTCTCCGCGGATCCGCCTGTGTTGAAATCGGCCATCTGATCGAACCGTACTCCCGTGGACAGATGGTATTGGTAGAACACCACGAACACACCAATCACCGCGATCACCCCCATTTTCATGGATGGCTTCATTATACCAGGACCTGACGATCATAAGAAAAATTAACGAAAATTCGCTTTATTAACCCTTAACCATTTAACCGGGGAATTAACTTTCGTTCAACTCGGTTTCAAAATGGTGATTTTTTCCTTCGCTGTGAGATGTTATATTATCACGCCTAAAATAATAAAAGAAAATGGCTTTTTACTGGTTGATTATGTATTCTGATAAAATATTTTATGTCATTATTTAGAAAATATATAAATCAAATATTTTCAATGTATAAAGAATTAATTGACAAAGTTTTAATCATTATTTTATTCATCGTCATTCTCGAGCAATTCGTAAATATTTTCTTTCTCGAGATAACTTTTGGCTGTTGTTCGGTGGAACTGTCGAAGCCTTTGGAAAATATAATTCAGCCACTCTGACGACCAGTAGCTTAATTCAAAGGGATGTATGGACGGTTCTTGTTCGTAAAGGAAAACGATAAGATACTAGTTTCCGGGCGTGTACACGATACACGGCACGCGTCCCGTCGTGCGATAAGCCGACGAAAATGTTAACATTACTAATTAAACGAGGAAAGCGCGCGGAAGCCACGCGAACGTGATGTTTCGCGGTTTATTTCGACGGCCGTTGAATGTTACCCAATGAAGCCTAAGTGGGGAAATGCAACGCTTGTTTTCACCGCATTTGCTTCCTGAAATAAAAAAAATGCAAACGGGACAAGAACTTTATTCGAAGTTTCGTCGTGCACGAACCGAGCCGACGTTTTTGAAACTGTTTCGACACCTGGGCGAATTTGGGGCAAGAACGAAAATGCAAGCGGTGTGAAACAATATTCTGAACGTATGGTTTTCGAGAGAAAATTCAGTTCCGGTAACGGTGATATACAGGGTGTCCAAAAATAGTTGTAAGTCTTTGAAAGGGATGATTCTTGGGGTGATTTGAAGCAACTTTTTCCTTAGCGAAAAGGTTCTCCGAGGCTTTGTTGACGAGATATTAACGAAAAACTTCGGCCAATCAGAGCGCGAGTCTGTCGGCTGAACTCCCTAATACCTCATCCCGAAATAGTACAAAAGTAATGTCACATTTGATCTCGTTTTAATCGGAAGAATTTTCGCAACACGTTAAAAAAATTTAACGTAATATAACACTATGTTACAGACTCCTCTCTATTATTGTCCCGAACTCGGGTCCGCGCTGGGACAATAATCGTATAGGAAGAAATGCTTCACTCTCGTAAATTCGTTTTTTTTTTTTTTTTGACAAAGTATGAGCTTGACAGCTGCCACGCCTCCCCAGTGGTGTGGATAACACCTGGACAATAATCGTGTAGGACAAGCCAGACAATAATCGAGACGAGTTTGTATGCAGTATTTGATACTTCATCGAAATTTGGGAAAAAATATTGGACAGTCCGTATTAAAAATCAGAAGGTGACTGTTTTATCTTGATAAAAATGTAACAGCAAAAAACAAATTATTGCATTATACGTCCCCCTTGATACTATGCAACTTTTGTTCAAAATATCTTCTCGTACAGTCACTAAGTTACGAAGAATTGAGATGGTTGCATTAAGTGAGTCACCCTGCATTGTATCTCGCGTACGAAACGCGTTGCCTTTGGGACTCGGCGATATTTCTATCGCATTTACTGTTCTACCTTATCAACGTACTACGAGGAGCCGTCTCCTCAATTCATCATTTCGCCCGTATAACGGACCACACGGAACCAATAAAAGTTTCGCCGAATTATATTTGATTCGAACGATCTTTACATTCTTTTTTACACACGTATATACAATCGGAGAGGTTGTGATTCTAGATGAAAAAATAAGTCGAAAATATGAAATAAAATTATTTGAAAATCTACTGGATACGCATGGAATTGAATAAGACTTGAATACCCCGTCTGTTCACTGAATTCCGTTTCTGCTTACTATCACGACGAATATACGTATTACAGATGAATCTTCGAATTGGATTTTCTTGTTATTATTATTGATGAAACTTCGTATGTCTATTAAGCAGTCAAAAATAATAAATACGTATTTTTTTTTATCGGCTGAGACGCGACTTTAAGTGTCTGGTTTCGTGTGCAATAACCCGTTGACAGTCCGCGAAAGATAGCACGAGTGGTACAATTGACTAGAGCAAATGAAACGAGGAAAAGCCGACAAAGGGTCGTAAAATTAACTTCGATGGTATCCTGCTTTTATGACACACGGATAATACCCTTCTCCTCGCGCGGTAATAAAAAATACTAGGTGATTTTATATATACCATAATCCGCGTAGATATATCATAATCCGCGAGACAATTCACACAACCACAAGAGCCTATATTATGGCCGCCATGGAAAGGAAATTACGTTAAGACGCTCTCACAAACGAACTTTCAAAAAATACATTGTTTTTACTTTATAAAAATATAGCATACTTTACAAATATTATTTAGTAAATATATATGTTATTCAAATTGATAAATTCAATAATTTTTCTTTAAAAAATTTCAAAAAATTACCTTATTATATAATCGTCATATAGCCCCTTAACGAAACGAGAGACACCGCAACGTGTCGTATTCGTCGTTGCAAGTCGGAACCGACAGCTCTCCTCCTCAGACTTACGATATCCATTTCGTCATTCAGAACCGTAAATTCGCGACCAGCGAGACGAGAAAAATTCTCTCGAGGATGAAATCGCTCGTCAACTATTAGTCGGGACACTTTCGTCTGTTTGCACGCGAATTAGTAATATTGTACTGGGATTACAAGTGAGCATTTTTATCGTCGAAGCTTCCGCCACGGCTCCGTAGTAAACAACGTGACGTATTATTCTAGACTCGAGACAAACAGAAATCGGCTCACCTTCTTCGGATTTTCGATTCTCACGTGCCTCGTTCGGACGTCACCGCGACACCGAGGACACGTCCTATTATGTGTTTGATTTATAATCACCCGTCTGTCTCGTGTTTCTGAGGTTTGATAGCATTCAGCGTTGTTAGCGTTACGTTTCTAGACGTGTTCCGTTTAAACAAAATCGCAGCTGAACCAATTCCAATATACACACGCATATACGTTAGAGACAGAACAAAGTGAAAAGCTATCGCGGCGTTAGAAGGCAGCAGAGATGGGCAAACTCATTATCTAGGTAAAAAGTTTCGCATAATAGATAAAAGATAAAAAGAATGTTTCGTCATTTTTAATTGTTTACACGTGGAAATTTCAATTTTATATAATAAAATAATACTTTAATGAATCTGACATTTGTCGAACAATTATCTAACCTTATTCATTGTTTAAAACTCAAGAAGCCACCTTTAGATATTGTTGCTTTTTACTGTGTATTATCGGATGACTAACCTTCTCACTAAGAACTCATAGATAAAGCGACCGAGGAAAGTAACCCAGCTGCATCATCCAAAATGCTAAAACCATTTTAGTCACCCTGTAACCGAGGGCCACCTCCATTCCTTCCCTAACCAGAAAACAGTAATATATATACATATAAGATTTAAAAGAGTATTCCCAGAACATTCGTATTCTTGCGTAAAGTTTTGTTAATATTCCTTCAGCTGGAATTCAACAGTATTATTCGAATAAAATTTCTGCCCAACTCTGGAGGGTAGGGTACGTATGATAGGCCAAACATCGTGCAGAAGGTTATGCTCGCGAGTTCAGGCGTTCCGAACGAGAAGATATAGAGACGTATGCAACATCTACCTTCCTGATCGTGTGCAATATACACAGAAACACACGATACAATCTCAGGTTACAGAACTTCCAAGTTGGTACAAACAATAAAGAATTAAAAAAAACAACAGCGAATCGTCTATCTTGACGGTAGAAACCGGTCTTCTTTACCTCATAGTGCAACCGTGGATAGGGGAAAAAGTAACGTGGGGAAAGGGCCTCCTACCATTTGATATTTAGAATTATTAAAATATATGTCAAAATAACGTTCGATTTAACACTTATTTTAGTACTTGAAATCAATTTACCAAGTAGTAGAAGGCCCTTTTCTTACGTGACTGCAAGCCGAGTTTGCTCCTCAGTGTACACGCGAGAAAAAAACGGACGGTGAACAATGTTCAATCGGCCGGTGTTGCACAATCTAATGAAAATGATTGCGAAGAAGCAGTCCGGTAAACGATCGATTAGAACTAATTTAGCGACGCGATAGACATGCATTCGCTCACCGCAGTATCAACTCGTGCATCCTCGCGCCCGTTTGTGTGTGTATATGGGTCACGAAAAGCTGCAATTCCCTAACCCTTTGTTAACCCTTTCAATTCAGAGCGCCACCACTTGCCACCGGTGAGCTTCCACGATACGATAAAATTTGGGTTTACACTTAAAAGGGAGGGTTCAATTGTGTCTTGAGACGTTCTCTATACGCGCCTTTGTTTCAGTTAACTTCACGTCGAGAAGATTGTCACCCACGAGCGAGAATCGAACGCGTTCGATAATCGTACGTATCGACTCGACGCTGTTCTATTGTTTTCATTCCCTTTTCCCAGTTTTCAACGCATGAATCGGTATAATTCCGAGTCTCGTTATATCGTGAAAACATTACCGTACATTTACACACGTTTTTCTATGAATAGTTACGTAATCATCTCGCAGTAAAAACAAGAATCTGATTTTCGCTCGGTAACCAGATTATAAGGTTAAGGACATGCAGCCCCTCTGGGGCTTCAGTGTCACGATCGATTCACCGTTTCGACATGGATCGGTCTAACGAACGACCGTACAGTTTTCAATTAAATTTGTACAATGATAAACCCACCTGATAATCGGCGTTCATACTCCGCTCCGCGACCCCGTTGTTGTTCCGCTTCGTATATGCGGCTCGCACGACTCTGCAGGGTACTGCCGGCGGCACACCGCGAGAAAACGCTGTTACATTTGCCAAGGTATCGTTATCATTCCGCGTGATTAACGACACACGAACCACAGCGAATCGCAAATTGAAAGTCGATCCTACCCGCGAGTTCTCTCGTGCCAGGTAGTAATAATTGCTCGTGTTCTATCGACGACAGAGACTACACAAATTTGAACGTGCGTTCATTGAAAGGTATATATATACAACGTACTCTACAGTTCACGCACACTCGAAGTCACGTTGTTGCATTTTCTACGATTTACGGAAAAACGTGTCTACACTTCGCAGCTGATCGATGCTTCTCCGGTGGGGTCCTCTGGCGAGATCGACGGACGGTTTGTCTTCCATCGAAATGTCTTGGAAAGTTTCGGTTGAAAAAACGTACGCGAAATCACATGCACCCCGCGACGATACACCAACGATTCTACGTAAATTTTCATAGTATATCCACGAGATATCTCGTGTTGTCCCGGCGTCGTCGCGAAGCACCACGCGTTTCTGTCGCACATTGATTGATCGAATCACGACGCGGCGCTCTTTACCTCGACATCGTTAATTTTCAGCAGCCAAGAAACACCAGCCAACCTCTTTCCGTGGGCACCCCAATCGCACGCGCGCGCCTTCTCCCCGCCGAACACGTATATTTTTAGCAATCAGGTCCGCGACGCTTCGTGGTAACGTTCCCCGCGCATCGTTGTTCGTGCATTATTTTTCCCTAACGATTCCGCGGTGCTCGGCGACGACACATGATTGGTCGATGATCGTCGTCCGGCGACTGGTCGCGTGGCGGCTACCGTTGTGCGTGTCATTCGTGCGTGTCCCTGTCAATGGAGAAAAGCAGAAAACCGCGCCGCCGCCGTTTCTAATGGAAACCCTTCGTCGTCGATACACGGAACGGCCGACGAGTATATCCTCGAGTACCCGACACTGAACTACCGTACTCGTTGCGTTCCCCTTGCAATATACCTCGACTACGTTCGCACAGACCTAACCTCCCCCTCCCCACTCCTTCAGTTCCCGACCCCTCCCCCTTGCATCTCGTTTCAGCTGGCGCAGCAGCCGACATTGTCACCGGGTCTTACGGTGCGCGCGTGTCCGCGGCACATAGAGGTATGTATACGTGTATTATATGCATAAGGTGCATCGTATCACGCGGGAGAATCTGACGCAGAGAGATCCCGACCACTTCTGGTCGATCTTCGACAGACAAGTGCAGTCCTGGTACCGATTTCCCAGTCGCGCATGTAATGTATTCACAATACAGTTTCCCGCGTATCATTTTGTCTAATAAAGAACTAAGACAAGAATTTCGTATGCAGGATAATGGAGGCATCGCGAGATCGACCAACAAGGTACATACATACGCTGACGAGCAAACTCTGCTTCCGCTAGGGGAATAAGTGAAGTTGGCGAAGGGCCTGCTTTCTCCTTCAGTACCTGAAATAAATTTACAAAGTGATAGGAGGCCCTTTCCCTAGCTCGCTGGTGTACATACGGTTTCGCCATAAACAAATAGAATATCGCTCGATAATCGTGTCCGAATAGGAACCATGATGATTCTTTCTCGCTCGCCCCAGTCTCGCGCGTCTAGCTCTCGCTTCGTCTTTTCCGTGGCCCGGGGTATTGATCCAGTTGTGCAATGCCTACATACGGTGTGTGTAACGTTGTCAAGGGGCCACTCGAATCTCCACGGGGAACCCGTAAAACGATATTATTCGAATTCCAGACAACTACATGTTTTTTCACTCGTTTCAATTGAAAACTCGCACGGTGTAGCAGGCATTCTGTGTGCCCGATTACCTAGCCTTCGTTGCGTGGAAATATCGTATCCGCTGACGAACACGGTGTGCGCGAACACCTAGTGCACGTTTTCGTTTTTGATTGCACACGATACATATAACTCGTGCACTGAATTGGAATAAATCAAACACATATTATTTACCAGCAGACTCCTCCGACATTTTTTCGTATAGAATTTCAATCGATTCTCCTGTCGGTTCACGTTCCAGTGACATATCGCCGACTTCGAGTATAACGTTTTACGCTTCCCACGTAAACCTAACCTGTTTCGGGCACCAAACATAGTTTTTTTTTTTTTTTCATCGTTTTTGTGGTGCTACTGGTTGGTCAGTCGATATTTATAAACAGGTGTTACGGAGAACTGGTCCGATTTAGGAGACCGAAACGATGCATTTTGTGGATTTATAGAACACGTTGGGACTTTACGTTCCTATGCGTACTGTACCTCGTCTGATACTAAGACGAAGTACACTTCGTTCTCAGAAACAAGTTTTAATTGCAAAACGTTGCATTTAACATAAAACGGCATAGTTGAGAAGGATCTTTAAAAAAGAATTACATATACCTACGTTCGAAAATAATGAGAAACTGGAAAGAGGGCCCGATACAAGGGGATTTTTAATGCGATACTAGAAAGCCTATCGATATTTTCAAGTATCGCGATAAATATCGAAATAATTCGCTTCTGAATTAAATATAAATATTATTCAAATTATCAAAAGTAATAATACATGATAGCGTGTTACTCGATTGATTAACGGAACAACGTTCGTCGATGAACGGAACGCGTTTCACGAACGTACAACACGAAATTATTAATTATTAAAAGAGACAAGTACCTAATAACAACGCTCGTCGATGTGAACACGCGTTCGCGAGTCCCAACGACGGTACTTTTTCAGTCTTAAGGTACACGACGTTGCGAAAACAAATTCCAACAAAAGGTACCTCGTATTAAAGCTGCTGCATTAATGGTATCATGACAACATTGGCATTGTTTATTCACGTACGCGCATTAATATTTTCATTGTGAGGGGGGCATTACTAGTCGCGATATTGTATGAAACAATAAATCATAGCTCTACACAAGAACACGTTATCGAGCATTCAAATATAAATAGATTTTCCGATTCTTGCGTCACGTCCTATCGACGCGTAATTTTAATCAAGTTTCAACATATCAACGTCTAAACCACTCTAAACCGTCGATACTACGGCGCGTATTGAAACGAGCCTCTTTCGTTCATTCTTTCCTTGATTTTTCGTAATTTCGGTACGTTTCGCGATCACAACTCCATGCTCGAACCGCTTCGACGAACGTACCGATTGAAGTAGTCCGGACGCCAACACTTGCAGCTGCCCGGCACCAGGAACCAGTCGTAGTATAACCTCACCTGAATGTTCAAACGAAATATGTCACGAATATCGTTCACACGAAACGATAATATATAGAACACGTCCATCGATAGGTCACGTCGTTACCTGGAAACAACCCATCTCATCGATGCCGTCGCAGTGATACTGTTGCGAACCGCCAGCATTGTTGCGAGCTTCGTTCTCGTCAGCACGTTTCTGTAAGTATTGCTGATAATTTTGGAAATCGTGAACTGGCGGCGGGGAACCGGCAGGATCCCTGAGGCCGCTAAACCGCGAGTTTTCATTCTCGTCGAGAATCGTGTCGGGATAAAATATTTCCGCTACCAGCAAACTGGTCCATCTCGGGGACGACAGACAACCACCGTCCAAATAGTGGCACCTCGATTGCCTGCGAACAATTGAATCAAATTTTTTTTGTGGCCCATGGATGTCAAATTTTCGGGGCCTCGGTCGAAAAACGTGAGAATATTATTTCTAATACAGCAAAATAATATACATAAATCTTAAAAAATTGAAATTTCTTTTAAATCAAATTAAATAACATTTAATCAGAAAGAAATGGAAGGTTCAGAACGGGGCCCCACATTACATGCCTATCCTTACATGCATCTGGTGACTTCGATGGTCTGCGTGAAGTAGCCCTCATAAGGTATCTGGACTACGTAACGCCATACACCTTGATAATTTTTTGCGAAGACTGGTGTCGCGTATTCTACTTTGGCTGGACAAGGAGTGGGTGGGCCAGAGTACTCCGGTTTCTCCTGTGTCGGTGTTCGTTGACGGTATTCAGGGGTAGAGGGCTCGTCCCGGCGTTCCGCCGCTGACGTAGCGAGCGGTTCGCCTTGTATGGCTTTGTACAGCATACAAACCCTTCGGAGCAGAAAACACGAATTGTCCATCGATCGTAAAAAACGACGGAGGCCTGTACCCCGTAAAGAAGAATTTCACTCGAAAATTTTTCAGGCTTAATATCACGGGGTTATGAAACACTTACACTCCTTCGCCGTTCTCGCAGAACTTCCGACCGTTTCTGATCGTGTCTAAGCTACTCGTCGATTCCGATGATCGTTTGCTTCTGCCTCTTTTCTCGTCGGTGTCGACGCTGTAAAGATACACTTCGTAATCTCCCGTTTTCAGTGAAACATTGCAAACGCGTGATTCATTTTTCACTTAATATGTACTCACGAATTTTGGGAGTAGGCTTGAACGGTCGCGACCTTGGGCAGAGATTCGTCGGCCTTCAGAATAGGCAGGGCTTTGCTCAGAAACTTCAGGGTGTGATTCTTTAGTAACGCGCTGCAAGAACGTGTTCCGTGAATATATTAGAGTACCGATTTTTTGTTTTATATTATTCTTTACTTACAAGGGATAGGAAGAACCATTGAAGTATTGACTCATGGGATTTCGTGGGATGTAGCCCTTGTTAAGGTCACCGCAGATATTGTGTATAGACACGAAACCTTTCCCCTGTTTACCGGTGTCTAAAAGATTGTACGCGTGCGTGAATGAAAGAATAAAGGTGATTAAAGCACGTTCGAGTATCGTTCAAGTATGCGAACGGAATAAATTTGATATAGTACCGTAGCATTCCTTATCGCTGTCTATGTAAGGAGGTGGCCTCACTTTGGGCGGTTCGGCGTTAGGCGATTTGACGAACGCGTAATATCCTTCCGGTGGTTCGTCCGATTCTGCCGATGGATCGGCGTCGATCGATGCCGATGGTTTCGGTTCGTTCTGTTCCTCGGCGAACGACGACGCGCATAAAAGAATCATCTAAACAGACAGTGTTTGGTCGAGCATACGATCTTTCGTTTATAAATATCAGTTACCCCATTGCATTGTTGTAAAAACATGGTTAATAACCGAAATCGTGTTGGAATAAAGACTGTATATTTACACGAACTATTTCGTTTTTATTACTTCTGTACGTCCAATTCACTCCGAAAGTTAGAGCTACAGTTTTGGTAATGCTTCAAAACTTTGTAAGGATACAAAATACATGTGGCGCCACCGATGGCGAAACGCCCAAGCTACTAGCCAATTAGTACCATGGTTTTGCCGCGAGGTGGCGCCACCGGCCTTTCGTGATGTTTTATATTCAAGAAATAATTATTTTGTTAATAAATACGTTTTCTCTGCATTACGAACTCTTAATCAGGTAACTAAAGAACAAACAGCAACTGTTTTTCAATCGACATTACTAATTAACATTTATTATTCGTTGCCGATAAAAGTGTGGAATACGAAAGACCGGTGGCGCCATCTCGCGACAGACCCGTGGTACTAATTGGTTAGTAGCTTGGGCATTTCGCCGTAAGTGGCGCCATGTGTATTTTAATAACTGTTTACCATACCACATTATAAAATCATAAAATCCATTCAGAATTTCGAAAACAAATCTAACACGAATAGGAAACATTAACGAAAGTGTCTAAATAGGACAATGTAAACAACGGCAAACAATAATATTGCCCAGTGGTTCAACTGTGAATTTCACTGACAATTGGCTGAATGCCTCAATACCGCTAATAATTTATGATTCCACAGTAGACTCGTCCGCATCACTACGTAACGGAGCACAATGCTACATCATTCAGTTCATCTAACGCGTCTGTCGACGATGCACAAGCTGCCTGCGCTTCACGTTCCACCGTCAGCCTTACAAGACATTCCCCGTTAGTAAAGATACGTCGTATCGTATTCGGCCTTAACGGTACTCGGTCCACGCTTCGCAGACTATTAATACTCAGGATTATAGTCTTGCACGCTGGACTGCCCCACTAACAGGGGCTTCACTGGGCCGTTACATTCTTTCGGCTCCTTAACAGTCAGGAATTTTTAGGATAAAAATCAACCGACAGGCCATCGTTAGATTAACTCTTTTATTTATCTTTCTTATTTGCAGCTGAGTTAGGCTACTTCGAAGTACTCGAATCTATTGAATCTTTCGTTGTGTAAAAAATTTAATTTTAAAAGAATTCACTGTTTAATTCTAACCTGCTAAATAAACATGTATTCGAGAATAATATTCTGTGTGTCGTTTGTGGCTTTTTTTTCCCCTTGAGAATGTTTATGTTGGAAACGCGTGGGTCGTGCGTGTCCGACTCCCGAGGAACGGTTCAATAAACTTCGACCGCGTCGATGAGACATCGAAGCGGTATACGGTTCAAACAGACGAAAAAGTTACTTTTCCCGTCGTGACGTTTATTACGCATTTGCGTAACGGTATTATCGTATACCGGTTCCCAGCGATCACTGAATACGGGGCACATTTCTATAATAAGGATCAACTAACGTTAGGAGTAACGAATTTATCAGTCACCTCTTGATCTACGATGCGTGGGCGTATTGCACGTTCAATTCTACACCGATCGTAAGACCATAAGTTCATGTATCCGTTATAAGAAGAATTCGATAAATTGATGCGAAAAATTCTGGTTTATAGATATAGGTAATTAATCTAATGGCTATCCGATCCAGAAAAGGCACTCTAATGACATGACAGGCATTTCGAGTTATTAGGGTACCTACACACATTATTGGTCGGCAATATCCTGATTATGTATTATAATAATCGTGTAATATTTTCATTTGTAAAAGAAAAGAAAAATGGTAAAATTGTCACAAATCGTGTAATTAATATTAAAAATTGGAGGTTGCCAACTTACAACAAACGTACGGAAGTCCATCGCTGTATCCTTTATATATTCTTTGATGCAGAGGAGGTAGTATGTAAGGTTGTACGTCGGAAGTATGTTTTAAGGATATCTCGTGACCAGTCGACGGTCATAGCAAAACTGAACACATTGAACTCGTGCTATGGTGGTATAAGGAGCTTCTACCTGCGTTCGGTCCCGTACTCGTCACCACCGCAGGTACAAGCGAGCCATCCCACCTCGAATCACACTCCGAGAAACCCCGTAAGAATCTCATTCCTCCCGATCCACTCCCACAATTGCCGAGAATTTCACGCGTTAACGTCTACAAACATTCCGAATTTTGAACCAGATTTTGACATTAATATGCATATTGCATATTTCGAACCGAATTTTTAACAAATATGTAATAATGTAATAGAAACTGAAGTATAAAAAAAGACGGGTTATTTATGATAGTTTATAATTTTTAAAACGATTGTAAGTTGTATACATACATTCGATAGGTCTGCATTAGATATTAAGTAGATATCGAAATTGTTGTCAAAAGTTATCCTTTGTTAGAAACAACTATTTAAAAAATATCCACGAACAGATAATTTAAAAAAAAAATATATAGTTACCATGTGAGGCGCCACAACGACTGCGCAAGCGCACGTACGACCAAGTGAGGATAGCGGGAAGCGATCATACCAGAAGACGCGAACAGTTCGTGTCTCTTTGTCGTTCGAACAGAGACGCTGGTCACGATCGTAACTGTCGCGGCATTCCAGCATAATCGTCACTTTCCAGATACAACACAACGCGTAATCTCTCATTTTTTATTTGTTTTACGAGACTGCTGAGAAAATAGGTGGAGCTAGATAGTTATTGGCCACCTCTTATTCATTTCACCTCATATCTCAATACCCGGACGCCTTTTTAGCGTGAAAAGTTCTGACGGAACAAGACCAGGGTATTTCCGGAAATTCATGTTGTTAGTGGAGTTGGTCAAGGCCAGCGACTCATTGAACATCCTTCCACGATGAGTGCAAAGAAGAATGTGGAGCGGCAACCACTCCGGTCTACGCATTGACGTACCAACTGCATTTTTAATCCCTGATTCTGAATGCCTCGTGACCGTTACAAGACACACAACATTTAACTCCTGCCGATCAAAGGAACGATTAAATGCCAAACGATCGTCCCGTTAAACTTGGTATTCATACTTCGCCTTAGCCGAAAATGGTAATAAAATGAGTCGAAGAATGAACTATAAAACGATTTGCAAGTTTATTATAAATATCCTAAAACTATTTTCGAACTTGAAATAAATGCGGAATCCGAAAAACCTGTAAGGTTCGTCGTTACGTCGCATCTACAACGAACGTGTTTACGACACTGGTTAGCGAATGGTTACTTGGCTCGATCTGCTACCTACAGGTTATTGACGTGTGACGCAGTAGTCGAGCTTTTCCGTAAAAAGGTATCCCTTGCCTTGTTTCCAGGCACAATAACAACGACCTAATATCTTACTCTAGAAAGTTAAAACGATACATTAGGAAACCCGTATTTCTCGTTATGACGGTGCGATGTACTTAATTTTTACACCGTTACCAAGATAATCTGACCGTGTTTTATTCTACAACTTTGTTTTTCTGTAATCGTGTCAATTTATCACGAATCACTAATAGAACTAACCAACTGTCGAACCCGCCTAACCATACGAAAGAATGACTGCTTTCATTGTTTGATCGTACTGTGACATGCTTAACTGTACATACTATCGTATTATATCCGCTCTACTTTGAAGAAGAATATCATTAGGTCGTAAGAACTACTTTTATTCCCTCCTGAAAATAAAAGTAAAGGACGTCCCACTTACCTTGAATTAAGATATTGTATATCCATAAGGACGTTGATTGTTTCTCGAATCTTCCAGAAGATGCATCGGTTCTAGCGGCTTCTACATCGAAAGAAAAGGATGGCGAAGCAGATTTCGTATGTCGGGAGTAGAAGGTGTACGATAGAGAAAACAGCATTGGTGCTTAGTAGGATAGATGACATTTATTTCATTATTTTATCATTATTACTTGCTACTTGAATGCTATACTCGTATAGGTATCTATAATTATGTCGATAATTATGCGTGAATTTAAAGAATATGTGAGGTCAGCCGCAAGATGTACAGCCCGTGTCAGTATTACAACGATCCAATCGAGTAAACAATATTACAGAAACGAAATCGTACGTTCAACCTTTCTATTTTTTTTTCTTTTGTTTCTTTTCAATACACACTCATTGTGGGTTTTAGGGGAGTGGGCGATGGCGGCTCATCGATTTCCTTGAACAAGGTTATGTGATTTTTTCATCTTTATCTTTTATCTCTACGTCGTTCGCATCTTGATTTACACGCGCGGATTTCGGGGATTTATATACCGTTCGATCGCGAAAGAAAACACACGCAACTGTTTCTGCCATTTTTTCTTCTTTACTCGCAGTTTACTTAATTCGATGAATTCTTTCGTCGTCGAACCACTGTATAAATTTTCCTTGTCAACCTAACACCCTTACTTATTTGTAACCTAGTTATGTATCTTACGAAATCGTAAACGCGCAATACCGGTACCGAATCGGTACCGTATTATTATTCCCTTACTTCTCCTCGTTTCTAGTCACGACGAGCTTAATTCTCGCTTTTTAAACAATGTACAAATATCTTTCGCCTCTTATGTCAATGATCGTTTAAAAAAGTGTAAATACTATGTACCGCATTTCTCCGAAAGTATTCATCGTTTCTTATGCTTTTTTTTTTCTTCTTTTCTTTTTTGGTCTATCCTTAACGCAACCGTTCCATTCGTAATTGTTCCGCCAGAAGTTCGATCGAAACAATAATCGTTCGGAATACTACTTCGTATTAAAAAAAAAGAAAAAAACTTCCCTGTTTTTGTTCGTCACGGAATACAATAGCGTGAACGAGCATGACCGTCGTACGACGCATTTGGAAAGACGAATGAAGTAAAACAGAGAATTAAAGAAAGTACGAATTTCTTTTTGTTTCTGGGAACACGTCGTTCTTACGCTTGTCTCAGGGAGGGGGGTGGGGGGTAGGAGCGGAGGTCAAATATACATTAAACAGTACATACGGAACACGTTGCCGAAAATATCGAGATTCCAATATCCGTTCTTCAGAATGACTTCGATTTCGGGTATTGTGCAACTGTGACAGTATCGAATAATAATAATATCATTGATAATAATAATTTCATTACTAACAATTAATATCAATTATCGATAACTGAATACAGAAATTTTTATCGAAGCTACGTTAGACGAAGTATCGTTGTGACCGAAATCATAACCACAAAATCGGAGAACTGCCCGAAATCCAAAACATCTCGATCCACGGAACAGATATCGATACTCTTGTCGGTGTTCCGCGTACAACCAGGAACACACCGCATTCCAACGTTTATAGGTTATCCAATCCAAAATTGCACTCGACAGTTTTGTACAAGTTACACATTTACATAATACATTGAAACAGTATACATACATGTGCATGTACATGCCGCCATTCCCGGATTCGAAACGCGCGCGACCAGGAAATAAACAGCGAACAGAAGAAAAGAAAAACAATAAAGGTCGCGGATTGCGAAGTAGTGTCATCCCGTAACGGATTCGAACGGGGAGCACAACACAAATCGCGCTTCGTAAAATTCTTTGGATCACCCTTTTTTTTTCAGCCGGAAGTTCGATCCTGTTTCACCCTGCTCTTTGGTTACGTTCACTCTCCTGTTCTGCTGCGTCATTTTCATGTAACCTCGCGAGCAAACTCGACTTCCACTAGGGGAAAAAGTGACGTAGGGAAAAGGCTTCCTACCACGTGGTATTGGGAATTACTGAAATTTATGCCAAATTATCATTTAATTTAACATTTATTTCAGTACTTGAAATAAATTTACCACGCGGTAGGAGGCCCTTCTATGTCACTTTTTCCCCTAGTGAAAGCCAAGTTTGCTCGTGGGTGTACTTCACTTTTACACTCTCGAATGATCGACAACGAACGACGACACAACTTTAAACGCGCGTCACGCGAATAAATGACTTCGAACGAAAGTTCCTAAATAATTTCCCGTGTGTATCACAAGGACTTTCTTGTTTAAAATCACCACGTATTTTACATTTCGTTAGAAGCTCTCGGATAAAGTGTGAACGTAACAGGGCGTGAAGGGAGGGGGAAGGGAGTTGGTACAATGCTAAATTAAAGGGAAATAGGGTATAATTTCTCAAATACTGGCAGTTATGCATCATAAATTCAACCATCTGACTGATCGACAACCGACAATCGTTCCGAATTAAAATTTGCCTAACGTGTGTACTCTATTTGATGCACACTGGCCGGATTAAGTCCTAGTTAATTGCCGAGATATCAGGGTACCCGGCTAACCTTCGGATCTGCCTTGGAAATGTATCGTGTATTACGAGTGGGGAATAACGTCGAATACGAAAGGTATCGGGTCACGCTCGATTCGCCGTTCTCATAGAATTATTCCATGAAACTGATCTACATATCTGTTAACGCATACCTTGGACATCACGGTATTCGACGTTACTCCAATTTACGGCAGGATCCTACTGATTTTCACCGAAGATACCTTCAACGATATACGGTCCTCGAACACACCTCGCCCATCTGAGGCAACACGTCGCGTGGTCACTTTCGGGTACCCTGATCAGGTTAATAGCCCTAGATATAACGCGATCAGAACCACTTCGCACAGTTCCTCTCGTTCTTCGGACACAGGTTGTGTAACTAACTAATTCTCGTGTTCCTGCGAGTCAACTCAAACATAAACCGAGTGCGTGTGTGTGTCTGTGTGTATCCACACATCGCGATATTAAAATCATAAATCAACGTTATCACGGGGGGGGGGGGGGGGGTATTATAAGGAGAACGTAACACTTCGAACGCCGTTAACAAATGCCCTTGGCGAGGTCTATTGAAAAACACACGATTCTGACAAACGACACATCGTCACTGATTTTCACTCGACGTTCCGTTAATTATTAAGAGTTTACTGTTTTCTTTCTTGTACCGTCCCGTAGAGACACAACACAGGGGAGATACGCGTATCCCCCGAAGCTCGTCTCGGTCGACGCGCGTCCTCTCGTAAATAAATAAAGAACCCGGTTTTTTCGCACCGCGACAGTTATCGACGTGTGTTCATACCGTTCGTTGATTCTATACTGGCATCTATCGGTACTACTTTAAAATAGAGCCGCGTCATATTAACGGAAAGAAATACACGAAGACGTTGCGCTCTCCTGGGAGGGGGAGGATCATTCGGTTAGGTTAGAAGTTCGTGGAAGATATTTATGCTACGAGCTGCTGCATTCTCGGAAGGAAAAACCGACAATATTGATCGTAGAATGATGCCAGAAACGACGATTACGACACGAGCATAAATATTATGCTACCGATGCTCGCAAAATCGTTCCGTTGACGTACAAACTTTGCGCGGGATGTCGATCGACCGTTCGAGTGGCGTCCTTGGTAATAAAAATGAAATTACAGAAATAGATATCAATAGAAAGATTACGCGCCGTCGAATGGAGACGTTTCGACCGATCCACGAGCCACCTGTCCCCGAGTTCGAATTGCTTTCTACCAGAGAACGACAAGTTTCCATTATAAGAAGAATCTCGAACCAGTTTCGAGGGCGGGGGCCGGCTTTTCTTCTGTTTATCGATCGATCCCGCGATTTTCGAGTGGTTCTATGAAAGGCACGCGCGAAAAATTTCGATCGTTCATCGCCGGAAACATCGAAAATCTCGTTTCGTCGATGGGATCGATATACTTTCATCGGAATCAAGACTCTTGTAATAATATTCGATGGAACAACCACACACAGCGAGGACAATTTTTTGATGTTTGCTCTGTCGAATGTGTAGTGAAAATTAAGTAGTAAACGAACGGCCGGTGCTCTGTTCCGTGTGCAGAAATAACCTTAAAATTTTCTTACGATCTCGCGATACCGAAATTCACCACTTTCTGCGTTAGATTTGTCTTATCACAGTCAGGATAGCTTCGTAATTCACTATTCTACACAACTTCGCACGCCTATCTCCACGGACGATCGAGGAAATCGATGATATTTCGCGTTGCCGCGAAACGGGCGTCAATATATATATATATAAATGAAGGGGAGGGGGAGAGGGGACTGCTACTCTCGGTGAAAAATATCACGCTATTGTATACTTGCTGAAGCAATACTTTCCGAAGTGTAGAAAAAATATACCGTTTTCTTTCAACTTAGTGCCAATAAGGAAGCACTTAGGAAACAAAATTGCGATTCCTAAGAGAGTAGGAGACCAAGGAGTTGCGGAGAAACGGTTGAAAAACGATTACCGTTCAATGGTAAAGAAAAAAGAAAAAAAAAACAAACAAACTACGACGTCGAATTGAGAACGCTCACGTGACTCAGCCAATTACGCGGACACTTCTCGATTTATGTCGGTCGTAACTCGATTCCTGGAGCATCGATCTATCGAGATTCGCGTAGATTCTCGGAGCTTTATTACAGACACGTAAATATATCTCTCTTTTCTTTTTCTTTCCCCCGTACTTTCGATCAACGTTCGAAGCGATTTGGAAACGTTCTCGAGCCCCACCACTTTTCGTCGCTACACGTAAACAAAGGTCATCGATCAACGACGATCCGAGATGATCGTGTGTGTGTGTGTGTGTATGTGTGTCCTGTGTGTATTTCATGTGTACATACAGCTGTCTTAGAAGAATGTACGTCAACGCGAAAAATGTTGCTTGAAAAACAATGCTCTATAAAAAGATCTGATAACTCTTACTTTAATGGTATGTCCTTTCCGTATCCGAATCGGATGAAAATTCATGGACGAGGCCTCCTCCCTTACTTCGCAGAGGGAGGAAAAAAAGACTTTCTCTCCGATCACTGTCCCTTCCGCTCTTTTCTTATCAAGCTTGACTCTTTCTCTCTCTTTCTCTCTCGCTCTCACACACACACACACACACTCTCCTTCTCTCTTTCTTCGATTCGTTCAACGTACTTTTCAACATCTCTCTTCAAAGTAGGGTTCGGGTGGGGAGAAAAGAGGGGGAATAGATTGGTATCGTGGAGTACAAGTGCAGCGAGGAATACTGGGTAAAGGAAGAAGATAGGGTGGTGTTCGTTTTTTTTTTCTTTGCGAATCGCCCTCTCAGGAGGTTAGTTTGGTCTCAAAAAGCCCTTTTATATGATTCGTGGAGAGTTACTGTATGAAATAATCGGGGTGATCTGAATCCTTTTCAAACCTCTTCGCCTCCTCCTGCATGCTCTCCTTGATCTTGAGTATGGCCGCTGACTCGGTCTGATCCTGTGAATCAACCAACACCAGGCCGGTTACAAGTAAAAGGTTAGGCACAAGCCCACCATCAGGCGATACCTTGCCCATTTTCATTTCTTTCTGCTTTCCGCATTTTTCACCAGCGAGCTGACAAAAGGAACAACGACGATCGAGACAAGCGTCTTTTTTTCCTAGTTAGGTGTTGGCTAAAAATACACTGAAAACGACAGTAACATTTTCCACGACAAGATTTCTTCATAAAAACCTCCTCCCCCACCCCCTAAATTCGGATCCACGTTTCGATAAAAAAAAAAAACAAAAAAAAAACGCACGTCTCGATCGTTAGATACACGCTATATGACTCTTGAACGGGGAATTACTAGTGGGAATCCTCGTCTGGGGAATTTACAATCGGGGATCTCACCTTGACTGATTGGCGATATTAATACACTTTTCTCCCCGAGTGTAGAATTGAACCCAGTGGCACCAGGAAGGAGGGAATATATTCGCGTTGGATTGTCAAAGGAGAGATTGATTACAGTTCGCTGGTCCCGAGTGAATATTTTGGGCAAGAAAACGCTGACGTGCTGCGTAATACATAATTAGCGCAGCGCGGTGACGGTGCGTCGTGAAGGGGCTGGGCTCGTGAAACAAAACGATAAAAAAAATTGAAAAAAAAAAAAAGAGAATAGAGGATACGAAAGAACTTGGGGGAGGAGCGAAGAAACGGTTCGATCAAGGAAACCGCGCGTGTGGAGTAGAAATATGGTCCCACTTTTCCAGGGCGCTCTGACCCACAACACATGGACGTTATGTGAAAAAAGTGAAGCACCACTCACGCACACCTCACCGAGCCGAACGACAATCGGAAATTGTATACTATTTTAGAGTTATATGAAAAAAAGTTATAAATAGAGAAACTCGACGTGTCATCCCTTATTCGCTACTCTTTTTTTTTTTTTTTAAACTCGTTCTTTAAAGACTTTTTTCCCTTTCTTTGCACAGTTAGCTTTTTTTTTTACTCGTCTGAATCGTGTCTCAATACGATCTCGCAATCCACCAATCGCTTTGCGCTCACGCATCCATGTGCTACAGGTCAGTACAGGCTAGTACTATATACAGCTATCAGATTTCACTGTTTTTTTTTGTTTGTTTTCGGTTTACTTTCGTGTCTCTAATGTAAGTGGGTGTACTTTCGTACGAACAACACCGGAAGTGACCTTCAAAGTGTCGAAAGTAATCTCATTGGTTTACGACCGTAAAGTATATCACAAACATTGTGTTCCACAGTATGTTCCACGTTAAAATTATTATTATTATTATTATTATTATTATTATTATTATTATTATATATATGTATACACACGTAATGTGTGCTCGTGTATATATCTCAACACTGCGTGATTCGATACTGAACGGGAATCGGAGTCGACTGGAAACAAGATCCTAAATTTCCCCTCGTGAGTACGTGCACCTCGATGCGTTAAAAGCTTCGAAATAATCGTTTGTTTCTTAAGCATGTGTTTTAATTGTTAGTGGCAACTCATAGAGACGTACACGTCATATATATCTTACAGAAGCAAGGTTAAAAAGAATAGGTACTTTAATCATACACATGAATTCTCGTTTCAAAAGCAATGAGCAATGAGACGGTTAGATGGTAATTCCTTTCGTGATATTAGAACAATGATTGCACAGGATTGTATTATTTTGCGGTGTATCGTGTTAAAGCATTCCACGTGTTTAGCATGTGATATTTATAATTGAGAAGAAACAAAAAAAAATATATATATATATAAATAAACAAATAAAAGGAAAAAATTAAACAAAGAATCGAAAGAAAGAAACGAATAACAATCACCAAAGTTGCGTTTCAAGATTTTTAGTCCCTCTCCCACGTATCGAAGGTGAAACAACGCCTCGAATTCTCGATTATCGGGCTAGTTAGGCGATCGAACGAAAACATTGTATCTGTTCACACGATCGGTTAGCGGACACAACGCGCGACAATGTGAAACACAAGTGACATGTGATTACCAGGAAAAAAATGTGTTCCGGACGTGAGTGAAGTTTTTTTTCTCTCTTTCTCGTATGTAAAACAAAGTGCATGGAAACAGATAGTTATATATAAAACATTCTAATAGCCAGCACCCTGCTGCGGATTCAATGTAAATAGCAAATAAAAAAGAAAAACGCAGTATTTCTCAGTGTAACAGGTTTACATTTATTGTCTCGATCTCCCCTGGCTTAGGCATATATTAATAATGTAAAATGTTATTATCGCCGTTTCACTTGTGTGGCTTACAACGTGGGGCCGTGTACGTTAAAAGTAAGTATCGGCGTTAAATGTACCCAATATGGCGCGCCTCACACGCAAGATACAGGAACGAAGCACGCTCTCTTTCTTTCTTTCTCTCTCTCTCTCTCTCTCTCTCTCGCTCCCTTTCTCTCTCTCACTCTCTCTCGGACTACCTCGAGATGTTACTCTTTCGTGGACGACAGCGTGCGCGCGCACGACACAACGTGATGGCAACGGATGACGAGTCGTGGTTACAAGAAGTAACAACAATAAAAATTCTATTATTCCGTCACATTAAAGATGGATCTGATATGAACAAAGCCACGACGACGTTCTCGTGCATGGCCGTTAGAGACGAAGAGAGCCTATTCGAACGTAAGAATTTAGCGAAGTATCGAAAAACATTCCAGAGTGTGAGATAGGAACGAGCGTGATGTTTCTATTCCACAAAAACCGAGAAAATAGTCCACCACATGATACGGTCCTACCTAAACATAGACAACCCATGGACCAATTTAGAATCGAAACACGCGCGCGCGTGCGCGACCAGTCGAACCGCCATTATTGTTTACATCAAGTCCATCTTTATAATCTCTATATACGAATCTGTCCGACGCCCGCGCTGTCGCGATAATTTTCGTTCCTTTTTCCTCTTTTCCCACGCGATGAACGTTTTTTTTTCTCTTCGTACTCTGAGAGAAGTTACATAGATCCCATTATATACGTAGCATGTATTATTTCTTTTATCCACTTAGAAAAGACATCTACACGTCGACGATGTCACACCGATTAATTACTCTGTTAAGTTAGTACAAGCCGAAGTTTTACTATTCTTCCTCCCCTCCCCCTCCGCCCCCTCACTTTCATGGTGAACGTATATGTATATATATATATGTTTTATGTGGTGCGTTCGTTGTGTGATGATTGATAAAATGTGTATATACGTGTGTGCTTCCTTTTCCCCGATTAAAGGTATATACGCACTAATGTTGGCACGGTGAATACTCCGGAACAACGGCAAGCATTCACTTTCTTTTAGCGGAGTTACACAAAGTTATTGAAAACTAACAGTCTTCTCGTGTCAAAGGCAATGAGGCTGGGTTCATTCAGCAAAAGAAGTAGCAAAATGTATATCGTCCGACTAGTTTACCGCGCATTTCTCATATCTCTACATCTCTATGTTAAATGTATGCATGTACGTGTGTGGTATGTGTATGTATATATGCATGTCCTTTAACATGTCGCGAAAGCTTTTAAGTGATTAATCATAAGCACGGAAAACAGCGAAATTCGCACAGTAACTTCCTCTCTGGTTACTACCTAGCACGAATATACGTGTGTGTATCGCTGTCCCTTGTACCCTACGAGCAAACTCGGTTTCCGCTAGGGGAAAAAGTGGCGTTGGAGAAGGATCTCCTAAAATTTGGCATCGAGAATTACTGAAATTTATGCCAAATTAACATTCGATTTAACATTTATTTCAGTACTTGAAATAAATTTACCAAGTCGTACGAGGCCGTTCTCTTACGCCACTTTTTCCCCCAGTGAAAGAAAAGTCTCCTACCACTTAGTAAATTTATTTCACGTACTGAAATAAATGTTAAACCGAATGTTAATTTGGTAGAAATTTCAGTAACTCCCAAAACTAAATAGTAGGAGGCTCTTCGCTAACCTCACTTTTTCCCCTAGCGGAAGCCGTGTTCACACGTCAGTCTACGATCAGTTTTACAAGTTCTAGTTGTACCACAAAATATTAAATGAAAATGTATCCCTAATACTAGAAAGACAAACGTATATTTACGTATGTAAATTAAAGATAACAAAGAGCGGGGGGTAATCAGACGTGGCACATGTGTAGTACCGAAATTAATTCCTCTCGAGAAGTCACAACGTGCTTTTTCTTTTAATAGGTTTGACTTTGTTCGTTCTCGAGACTGTCATTGGTCTTGCCGGTGCTCTCAGAGCATGCACTCGCAATGGCGTTCTCTCTCCCTCCCACCCCCCTTTCTCGTTCGATCTTTCTCACTCTCTCTCGTTCGATCTCTCTCTCTCTCTCTCTCTCCTCTTCTATCTTTACATATATGTATATATATATATATCAATAGTTTTAATGTTTTAAATTAATTTAAGCACAACTAACAGCAGCACAGCATAGTCCGGTACTGACCTATAACCACTACGGACGGATGGATTCCGGGAGGTTCGCACGATATTTCTCCATTTCTCCGTATTTTATTTTTATTTTGCTTTCTCTTTGTCTCTGTTACACTCGTTCAGTTAGGTTCAGTACTTACACCGTCTACGACTCTTATTCCATATAAAAATATTAATCATTATATATATAGCGTGTTGCTGTAATATGTACGTTATATATATAACATTTCCTATATATATATATTTTCCTCTTCGTCAAGTACTCGTATTTTTTCGTTAAGTCAATCGTAGGAACCATTCGCGTCGCAATACTCCGCGGTGTGGTTAAACAAAGTTTCAAGTCAATAGAAAGTGTTGTTGTTTTCTCTGGATGGGAAGTATTGTACTATCGAAACACAGGGTCGAACTAAACGGAAGAACGTTGTTGCTTGTCATGATTTTTAATGCAATTTTTGTCTCGTGCGTATATTCATTCGAACTAATTTCTAATAGGAACTTTGAAATGATAGGATCGTTTTTTTTTTTTTTTTTTTTAATAGTGATGTGAAATAAAACCCGTAAACTATCGCAGGCAAACTTACAATAATGCAGTCAAGTTCGGTTCAGAACCAACACTTTTAGATTAGATTCGAAAGCCTTCGGATCGAGCAATCGTGTGACTAGAGTTACGGAAATTAGGGACAATGCATCTCGAGGGTACCGTACGTTTTCTTTTTTTTTCACGAGAAAGTGCTAAGAAAAATAATTACGAACGTTAATTGTAGGCCATTCTAACCAAACGTACGCGCGAGATATTGCGACGTCAATGGCTGTGAACAGATGGTACACAAACTTGCTCTTAGCAATATATTGAAGTCTGAGCAAAGAGTGTAGGGACTCCGTTTATTTGTTCGGCTAATTTAATCACCTCATTACAGAGTTTCGTGAATTGATTGAAAAAGAAATCTGAATCTGACTCATACGATCAGGCGAGTTTAATGCGCATATTCGTATCGACATTATAAAGGAACATTTAAAAAAGCAAAAAAAGTTGCATATAACTCGAAAATACCTTAAATGGTATTCCACAAAAGAATCTCTCATCGTCCGATTAAAACTTTTTTTCTTTCTCTATTCAACAACCATTGTCTCTTACCTGTCGTGACCATATAACCTATACTTTTTTCTAACCTAATACTGCTCAAAGGCCTAACTCTATAATGGGATGAAAAATAAGCCAGAGTTGCTAGCCGGCAAACCAGCGGAGCAATCACGAGATAAAACAGTTAAAATAAACGATAAAAAGAAGAGAAAATGTAGGATAGAAAGAAGAATTAGAAATCGATTAACAATTATGCGATTGATAATCACAGTAGTTTGTGTTTTTCAGGCACCTTTGCTTACAAGCTAATGTTCAAATAAATATAATAGATGTTGGCGTTGACACGGTGTCGATAAAAAAAAAGACATCGTACTGTCAGTAATGAAGTATGAATATAGATATAAACAAATTAAAAAAAAAATCCAAAAAGAATAATAGTAAAATCCTAGTCTGCAACCTTGTGAGTATTTAACTAAGCATATATATACAACAAATATATATATATATATATATACTTTCAAAATTTATATAGTGTATTCTGTGATGATTCGAGTATCATAGTTTCATAATAACAGTGTAATGAGCACTTAAATGCTAACCTAATTGATTACGAACGATTAATCAACGAACGTACGTCGGGATATGCGTTGCCACGAACGTTCTGTTCGTTTCTTTTCTTTTTCTTTTGCTTTTCTCTCTTTCATTCTCTACGTATCTTGCCACGAGCGATAATCATGCTTGAGCCATTGACGAAACATTTTACGAACGCGGTGTGTACCACGTGACGTCAAACGTCAGCGTTCGCGCGTATGATCCTTTTCCATATTGCGTGATTAACCGGGAAATCTACGGCATCTATGAACTCGGGCTGGATCCAAGGCGACTTGACTTTTTAAAAAAACTGTCGGGAATACAGAAGGCGCATGTGCGAGATTACACATTATAACTTTTGATTCAAGATCCTACTCACAATCCGAAGTAATCAACGTAAAAGTGAACAAAAAATAAAATTTTTTTAAAAATAATTATAAAGAATACAGTTGTGCGCGCGCTCGTTAAAGAAATCAATTTTATATGCATGATATTATTACAGCACAGCATCCCATAAAGCGTACCGCATGCGAACAAAGAAGAAATTGTTCAGTCAAAGCCGAGACGACTTTTGATTTCACACCTTGGACAATTACCGATTCAATAAATTGACGAACAACTGAAACCTCGACTGCGCACATCAACCTTTATACTCTTTGCTGATACTATATTGTTGAATCTTAAGAATTTCAAATGTTTGAAAACGCCTAGATACATATTGAAAGAATATTATATTATTTTGTTTTTTTAATAGAGCATTAGTGGCGAGATAATAAATATAATAACAAACTTTGTAGTTACTGTTACTATTATACCAAAAATCATCTTGATATGAGAATCTCTTCACTGTTATATACGATACACCTTATGAAATATCTTGCATATTTTTGTATGGAAGTTGATCCACAATTTGTTTTTATATACAAAGTGGGTATAAAAGTCCCAAGGTTTTTTCCAAAAGTAAAAAAGTAGAGTTGAACTATTGAATGAGGAGAATGTTATTTGAGATTTTATTACTTTTAAATTTCTACGAGTGTTTCAGAATTACAGTATATTGTAGTTAGTATATTACAACTTCTTTATAATTTTCAAATGTTTCTTAATTAAATTGACTCAAAGAAGAAATAAAACAGTCGATTTTTAGACCCACTTCATACTTGAATCATTAGTCATACTGTTAGTATGATGATAGACACAACTGAGCCAGTTATAACAATATTAGATGCTAGTAGGTAATCTAAATTAAATGTCCTGGGAAGCCTATGTAATTAAATAGGACATCAAGATCTGATAAAATATTTATACTATAAATAAGCATTAATCAGGTTGTTGAAGTAAGCTGGAGGATAAACCCTCTAATTATAATAACACCCAAATTATTTTAATGGAATAAGTATTTGTCGTATTGACGAAAGCACCTGAATCTGTTAATTGCTGGATAATTAGAAGAAAGATAAGTTATAATATGGACTTATATGTTTTCAACCAATTTGAAAGCAACATGTACTCTATACGAATTGATAATTTAACCCTTCAAACATACGATTGCACACGGGTAAGGAGATATTAAAACTAAACAATATTCGGAGAACTGTATATGTAATATAATCATAACAACATGTCAGAGAAGTAATTGTTACATATAAGTTCATACTAACACGTCGAGTGACTAACATAGGAAATTGTTACAGAACCTACGAATACTTACATTTTCTCCAGGACCTCCGAAACCACCCAGATTATAGTCACCCATTCCACTTCCACTATCTTCTCGAGGTGTTCCAGGGCCTCCGTTAGCTGGACTGTTTTTCATTCCATCAAGACCATCACCGTTTAGAACAGGACCCATTGTGTTTGGTCCCATGGGACCCATTGGACCACCTTCTGGTCCACCACTCATTGGAAAGTCCTGATAAAATCGGAGGAGTCATTATACAAAGAATAATCATCGTTGCAATATTAACAAAACAATCATTAGTTTAACCGATAAATTAAAACTGATAATTAAGTGAGATGTACTTACACCAGGCATATTTCCTCCAGGTACAGGTTTCATCATGGTATACATGTTTTCGCCACCGCTATTACTACTGTCCTGCGGACTAGGCATAATTGGTGTACCTGGCCCTGGAGGACCAGTTGATCCTGGTGGTCCTCCGTAATTACCCGGAGATGACGATGAATAATTCATTGGCTAAAAATACACAAAACAAATTTTCTGTTACAAACCTAAATTAACCACAGTTAATTATTTAAATAAAAACATTCTATAAATGTATAGAGACCGAACATGAAGGTGTACTTTTATTGTAGTGTAGTTATTTCACTTAAAAATCGAAATGTGCATACCGTAGATGTGTTGGGTTGCCATTGTTGTCGGCCGCCTGGCCCAGCCATACTCATCGGTGGCATTCCAGGACCACCTGGTCCTCCAGGACCTAGAGTACTGTTAGGTGGTGGTCCTCTTATTCCTGGCCCGTAACTTCCAGGTCCCATTGGACCCATTCCAGGTCCTCTCGGGGGATTCATCCTTGGGTTCATTGGGTTCATGCCTGGTGGGGCTAGCAACAAAAACATTCTTTGATATATTGAATCATAAACGTACAAATATTAATATTGTTCTAAGTCCATGTTAATTCTAAACTATAATCGTGAATCTTTGGACTAACGGCAAATCATGTAAGACTAGAATATTCTGTATTACTTTTGTAAAGTGTAAAAGAGGAGCGTTTATACTCTTCTTCTTTTTTCTAACACATCAAAGTTCAACTCATGCTTTGCCGAAGTCGGATACGTAGTAAAGCGAGTGGATGGCATGCTGAATTGGTAATTGCGTCTACATATAAATGAATCAAGTAAGAAGCTCATGCGAAGGATGAAAACAGCACTACCAAACATTTTGCAAATCTCTCAGCTTGAAATTGATAATAGACAAAAGATAGAATAATGTGTACCAAATACATGACAAACAAGATGCTTATTCAGCTAATACTTATTTCTGGACCCCAGAGCCAAATTGTATTCAGTCCATTTTTTCATAAAATTAACATTTTACATGTTTCCTGTATCGAATATTTCACTCGTTCCGATGGTAAAAATTATTTCGTTCTAAGTCGTCTAGTTTTTAATATAGGAATAGTAGCTTAAAAATGATATTAAGTTCATATTCTTAAAACAGTGTAATGTTCATCAAACAGTGGAATTAATGTAAAGTTTACCATTTCTACATACAGAGACTTGTCTTAAATCGGTTACAAGGTTTTCGTTCCTTTGATTTGCTCTCCTCTAAAGTTTGAAAAGTGTGACTTAATACACTCTGGGGTTCAGATTTAAATAGAACAGACTGTATTATCGTACAGCAACATCTACATTTAACTAACAAGGACCAGAATTATTCACATGACATTGTCATATGACCCTTTTGGTGGAAGTTTATATTCTTATAATTTATCAATTTAAAATAAAACAACTTTGAACTGCGATGTAATTTAATGTCACTAGAATTCAAATGTATTGCATTAATTATGTATGTTTATGTAATTAGACACTGATTTTGTGAATATTTAGTTTGTACTAGAGCGATTGATAATTACAGAAACGTTGGTTAGGCACAATATTGTTTAGTGAAACACAAGTATTAGACACAACGTATTATGTATACTTAAAAACTTCATTTTTTTTTTGCTCCGGGCTAACGCATTTTCACTGTTCGTATATATTGGATCACTTAATATTGCGAAAGTGTGAATTCTTATCTGACATGGAGAATGTTGTTCTCATAAAGTAGAAGCAATAATATTTATTCGGTTCAGAAAATCACGAGTGGCATACTGGATGCAAGATCGGATGAGCAAGTATTTATACACAGAGACTAAGCTAGTGCAATTATTCATGAAAGTGAGAACAAAAAGAAATTTGAAAACGAGCAGGAGAGAAAAATAAAAAGTTAGGCTTGACTAAGTCATGTGAGTGTGATTTGGTTGCTGGGTTGCTTCCTACCTTGCCACCCTACAAATTCTCCAGCTTCGCCTGAGGAACACAAGAGCACACATTAGTACGGCAGGTAGGTAAGGTCAGGTTGATGGCGGTAAGGTCTAGTTACTTTGCGGTCGCATAGTCAATATAGTTGTAAATACTTTATAAGTGTGAAAATATGTTATTACATACAAGTACTAATTTTTATACACTTTTTATTGAAATATGTATTCACATTGGAAACGATTATTGAACTCATTTAGTAAAATACAATGAGACGTGCGACTAAAAATGTAGAAATACCAAAATTATGTACTTGAATTTCTTAAAATACGTCTAATAACATATAAATATATTTTAAAATGATGTTACATGATATTTTCAGGAACAAACTTTTTTTTCACCGACGAAATATTAAGATATCATCTATACTTCCGCCCATATTATTAACGCATTCAATCAAATGAACTTTGAAATACCGTTGTTCATATGTTTAACTGCTTGTACAGAAAAAATAACAGAAATATACATACTCGTGTGTTTGTATAATGAATAGCATAAAGTCTGAAGTATTAATAATAGTTGTTCAACTGAAATACTACACCACTGCATGTAACTAGACAATTCAAAAACCAATCCACTCCACATCACAGCAATCCAATCCACTTTCAATAATTACTGATTTATTTATTGCTGTGTGGTTTTTGGTATGCATGCGTCTATGCCATTCTCCTCTCGCAATTATCGTCAATACCAGAAAAAAAAATCAATGTGAATCTAGCATAAAAGTGAGCTCTTACCTTGTCTAGTTGGATCCATACTGTTTGGCATCATTGGTTGTCCAGGTGGCTAAAACAAACAAAAAAACAGAGATGTATAAGTTATTGAACTTGGACCATAGATGCTGTACAGTGAATATATTCATTTAAAGAATATGTTATAGAAGACAAGAATACATACTCCATTGAAGTCATTTCCCATTTGTGGCATACGTACTCCAGGTCTTGGTCCAGGAGGATATCGGGGGCCCATGAACTGTAACAAAGCAGAAATATATATGTTAAATAACTAAAAACTATCAAGACTGTCGCATAGGTAAAAACATCAGTCACAAATCACAGCTATTGTACATCGCAAAACTCACACACCAGGCAGCCACAATAAGCAATCGATCGCATGTTAGGATATATAATGTTTGCACTCTGATAAGAATCATCAGAGTGCACTTTATGCATGTCTGATATATCGATGTGCAAATAGGATTACAAACAATTAGGGTCCATATTCAACAAAGAACAGGTCAAGGTGAATTAAGAATCTTACCTTAAAACAAGTTAGTACAACAAAACTGGCAATTATCGTCTCTCGGAATCTTATGACATTACACCAAGATTTTTACACCTTACCTTAGCATACAGATGTTTCGTTACTACTGTGCTTTCGTTGCAACTATACAAGCACAACAGTGATATTTTTTTAACACACAGTAAATACAATATAACGAACTATTGTTGTACTCTCATTTCATGACAGTATAGACAAGTTGTCTTTCCAGCAACTACATATAACTGTTCAGCTATGTCTGTCGAAGCACCCATTAATGAATCTACTCGAATGTTCTATCGGATATAAAAAACACAAGCTGAAAAACGTAGAACAGAAGTGACTCTGAGAGGAGGGAGAAGCAACTTCAATGAAAATAGTCATAGGTACACAATGATCTGGTGTAATGAAAGTGGACAAAGTGATTCTTCATGAGTGACAGTGTATGTGTCGAATGATGCTTACCTGAGTGGACATCATCTGCGAGTGTGGGGGCGGGGGTGGCTGGGGGTGCTGGGGGGATGGCTGTGATGAGGGGTGTGTGGGCGGAGATGGTCGCATTGTCGAGTTGTTCTGCAACAAGCAACGCAAACGACAGACATGTAGCAACACTGCGATCCAGGCAACAGCTAGACTAGAAGGCTTGGGTATGATTGTGTTAATACTATGTCGGACAGCACCTTAAAAAGTCTAAAAGTAATAATTATGAAAATGATTTTTATACAACGTTGTAAATAACTTTTTTTAACTGGATCAAATTTACAGTACTGTGTTTTAGTCACGCTGTTACAATCTATACGATCTACATAGTGTATATAGATTGTAACATACAATTTTCACTTTCCTCTTCATATATGTAATATCCGTATTTTGTACCGTAATAATTTTGTGTCTCTAGTACCTTGCATTTTGTTATCGCAAGTGTTACCTTCAAATGTTTTCGTATCAAACACTAGGCTGTTCTCTAAGCAGATTTTTATATTAACATACCAAATATTTGTAAAAAATGCAACCTTAGCTGACATTCAGTCTCTTTGCAGCACTAAAAGTTTTCATTTAGAAGAAATGTACTATCTGTTTTAGATGTAATTGTCCTGAGAATTGATACATGCTTTTTATGTATGAAATTCGTAAATTGTCAGAGTAATTGTACATTCATCTTATATACTTAGTAAAAAGAAGAAAGTATGACACTATACAACTATTATCCTAAAATGAAAACAACAAACATATTTTGTAAATGTTTCGTTAAATAATACAATCAACAGTCAACGAAGTCAAACGATTGTTTCGAAGTTCTAGCATGAATAATAAGTCAGCCCAAGGTAGAACATTGTAAACTTGTATACCTACTGTACCAAAGTATCGGAGCTAAAACTATTTTCTAACATATATACAAATCTTTTCTGATATACTTCTGATGCCTGATTTATGCAGAGAGGAGGTTATAGAGTGAAAATAGTAAAGGAACGCACATACAAGTGTTAGATATGTAGCAGATAGAAAATAAGTACATAGATACAGTGTAGACAAGCATGGCATGAGAATCTTATTTGAGCATACACTTGTTTCAAAACTAAAGTACATTGTGTATTCTTTTCGAAACTTATGAAACAATTGGAACTGGAAGTGTGTGTGTGATGTTTCATGACAGGGTAGACCTCTCATAAATAAGTAGCACAATATGTCCTCTTCTTATAACAATAACAAGTGGTATTTGTTGCTATATATAAGTATAATAATATCAATACTAATTGAACAGCATGAATATGTGTCACAGATTGTATGAATTATATATTACTGTCATTAATAATTTTTAAATTTGCAAGAATATATGCTGCTCGTAATACGTTTGAAAAATATCATACGCTTTGAATCAAGTGCAGAATTATGATGAATGAGAATTGTAACTAGGCATAACAATGATAACAGATATTTATACATATTTATGTATATACATATGAATACTGATGACGTGTCTATATACAATCAACATGTTCAATTCCTTCATTCAAATTCCTTTCATTTTTGTACCTGTTAATGGACAAATATTAAAGGAATTAATGTGTACACAAAATTGTCATCCTTGTGTACGTACTCCTAGGGAATAGATTTAAAACAGTTGTACATTGTGCACAACAAAAACCTATTCGAAGAATTCATTCATTTCCTTGCTCTTTGCTTCATATACATACACATATGATGTACACACAGTTTAAAAATTTAAACATTAATACATTCATTATAACGTATAGTACATCAGAATACTTTATACATGGTCAAGAAATCAAAGGTCAAGAATATCATCCTTTTTTCTCTCCATACTTTAATAACTCGAATATAATACATTGTTAAAAAAAAATTATTAAATCAAATTTACACTAATTGAAATATTTTCTTGTTTCACAAGTGGAAATTAAATTTAAGAAAATTGAAGGAAAGTTGAAGATATAGTAGTAGAAAGGTGTACAAGTAACTTACTGGAAAGAATGCAGAAGACATTGGACCACCAGGCATACCATCATTGGGTGGCATTTGTCCTATGGGGGATGGAGCTGGACCAGCATTCTGCAATTATCTTATAGTTATTTAACAGTCAAACATAATAATTCTTTGGAAAGATATTCCAATACGACTTCAAGAAGAATTATAATACACTTCTTTTTAATATAATTCAACTTACATGTGCAATACCATTAACTCCGTAACCGCTGTTCACAAAGCCCTGTCAACAAATAACTTTCTTAGAAGAAACTTTTATATAAGTATATTATCATTTACATGGTAATTGTAATATACTAACATAGTCATGAAAAGCTTTGGCCTCACTGCTGTGTTCACAGGAATCCCTTCTTTCGGGTGCTGCAGAATATAGGTCCCAGAATACACTAAAATATTTCCAACACTATTAATATATTTTAATACTTTTTACATATTACTTCATCAATCTGATGTAGAATGCTTACCACCACCAAGAGTGCAAAAATCCAGGTGGTTCTCCAAGAGTAATATTCTTTTCCCATCGTATCTGTGTAACAAGGTAGTAATAATAAGAAACAGTTGTTCTTATAAAAAGTTGTACATACTTCGAAAAATTGGGAAGTTACCTCTGATAAGAATGTCTGTGCTGCTTTTTGTGCTCCAACATGTAATAAATACTCATACACATATAAGGCTAATCTGAAATATTAAAAATTATTTCAATGTAAACACGACAAATAGTTCCTTTAATTTTGGTATACTAATTCCTATCAATGAATTTTAAATACAAACGATCGCATACGTCGCGGCCGATACTTCCTATTTGTATAAAACTATATCATATGATACCATATATATGATCGTAATTTTAAGAAAGATGAAAATATAGGGAAAACAACACTGCCTCGTCAAGTGTCATCGTACTAATATTTTGCGTATGCCACTTCTCGGTTTGCAAACGATAAAAACATGGCGCCCAATCGGCCTGCCTCGCGAGACAACTGACTCTAGTGAGTCATAGCATTTAGTTCGAGTCGAATTTAGAAGCAGGTTGTGGAGTGGTTTGACAGGTGGACGACTCGATTCACGTGAACATCCCGCTCGTAGGTGTTCGGTTCGAGGTATTGTTATTTCGGAGTATTTAAAAAAAAAAAGTCACTTAACAAATTGATTAGTGCATCGTGTTAGTTCTTTCAAAGTGTCACGAAATCTCGAAACGATATATATTTAACCGTTCCACGTTATAATGCATGTCAACATTGAGGAGCAGAATACTCCACATCGGAGGCACAAAGCCCATGAATATTATAATCGGTAAGGCCGTAATTATCCAATGAATCCGATTCTCCGGTTTCAGACCGAGCAATGCCTCTATACGCACGCTCGGTGTACAGGAAAAAAAATGGAGTCACTGGTCGATCAATCGGCAAACGTTTTTTTTCTTTCGCTTTCTGACACGACGTTAAACTGTTCGATCATGATAATACGTACTTTTCTCTCGCTTGAGAATCCGAGGGCACCGTGGACCCCTTCCCCTTCGCGTACATCCTCGAAGACTGTCAATTTTTCCAGTGTAAACAGAACCACCGTTTCGTTCCGGCTGAGAATGTCCGACAGCAGCGCGGATGGGATCCCGCACAGGAGCGGGGGACAAGGAAGAATCGAATGTATCCGTCGATTTTTATTTCGTTTTTTTTCTTCTCTTTTCCTCTATCGGTCTCTGACGGAACAATGCAAGGGGAACGTGCACATATCAGCTCAACCGAAAATTGAAAGAAAAAAAAACGGAAAGCAACGAGCCGAAAGACGAGAATTCGTTTCAACTTTCGGTCACACACACGTCACGTACACGTCGTGCCACAGCCGCGGCCAGCAGTCTATACTAGATACAGCACTCCGCATCATGGCTCGGCGAATTGCGGACGCATGACCGCGGAACGAACGCGCGTCGTCATCGTTCGCAGACTTCGCGCTCTTCTTTCTCTCCCCCCCCCCTGTCACTGTATCGTCGTACACCCGTTTTTCCTCTTTTCCTCGATGCTCTTGTCCCTTGGTTCTTTCACTGATTACTCACTACTGATCATCCCGGTCCGCGGCTACACCACCCTCGCGTCCCTATTCTAATTCGTGCGTGAGCGACGTCGTCGCGTCCTCTCACTGGACTCACGCTCGGTCACTTCACTCTCTTCGGCTCTCTCTCTCTCTCTCTCTCTCTCTCGTCGTTCACCTTACCTCACCATGCTTCACCTTACTCCTGTTCCCTCCCGTCTCGCCTCATTACAGATAAAGAGACAGACAGTCCGACATACGGACGGATGCACGCTCCTACTTCACCTTCCTCGTCGTTACACTCGGTTCGCGGCGTTCAGTTCTACACGATATCGCACCGATTCCCAAATCCTTGATACGCGTACGTCGCCGGCCTGACGCACCTCCTCTGTCCCCCTTAGCACCGTATCCTTCTACTTTCTGTGTGTTTTTTTTTTCTATCGTAGCTACCTATCCGGTAGTGAGCGAGGACGAGGCACGGTGTCGCTTTTACACACGGTCTCGCGCGCGCGCGCGACACCAGTAACTTATTTCGAGTTTGTACACGCACGAGCCTCGGAAACGTGTGTCCATCCGTACACAGCGTACACGACCACCAGCACACAACGCCAACCACCGACTATCTCTCTCGCCCTCCTTGTAGCTGTCTGTCCTTCTCTAGAGTGCCGCTCGTCAGAGCTGCGCGCGCAACCAATACTTTTCACGCCAGGACCGTACGTAAGTTAATTTTTAATGACCCTCTTCGTTGTCCAAGTAGCATTTCTTTTATTTCTCCAAATGATATGATCCTATGAATTTTCGATGTGATGATTGCTGTCCGAGTCACTTAGGTTCGAAAATACTTTTTTTTGTCGTTATATTCATCATATTCTAATGCGATTTGTTATTGAGATTTCTTTCCACGAGTTTGTGTTTCGTATTAATGTAAATCAAAATATCGAGCAGTTATTATTTGTTTTTCGTTCAACTATTGCATTATTTTCAATATCAAGTAGTACTATAAGTTTTTTATTGTAACGACTGGATGATTTCTGCGAATCTATTCGGTTTATTTATTACGGAGAAAATATGAAAAAGTAGGTATGAATGGACCTATTGGAGATACGCTCCTGATTGCAACTCTACGTGCTATTGGATGCCGATCACTGCATGGCGTGGTGTATCTGTATATATAAGCACGCATACGTTATATGTACAAGCTATTGGCGCACGATACTGATAGCGGGGATAACCGAACACAACCGAACAGCACCGAACATTGCCGATGCAAAATAGCCGACAATTGACTGAACGTCGAGGGGTCGAGCAGAAAAGAGACAAGCCATTCCTTCGGGTGTGCAGCTTCCCCTTTCTTAATTTTGTCACAGAATTAATGGATCATTGATCATGTTGTAAAATGCTGAAAAGTCACAAACCACATTGAAATACTACTTTCTACTACATCAGGAAAGATCATACATAATTGTCGTTAAAATGATTTTTCTCCCCTTTTTATCATCATAGATTAGTAGTCCTATATGTTCTGTAGTTGATGAATTCTACTAAAATTAATTTGTTTGTATGAGAATTGTATAACTCAAATAAACTTTCCTAATAAACGAAATGTTTTGATATTCTACAGAAAGATTTCAGGTATTTCATTTTAAAAATACTCTGATACGACTTCTCTGACTAGGGCAATGAGGGGGGGGGGGGTCGATACATGTTAATTATATTAAAAGTGGACAAAAAATCTTCTGGTAGAAAAATATGCTAAAATACGTACATTAGTGTATTTGTTCAGTTGTATAAATTCCGATGGATGGTCCAGGGACGATTACGTGGGAAGAATTTGTCGAAAATGCTGAAAGTTTTGTAGAGATGTCGAACAGGATGTCTGATGGATGGGAACTTCGGGGTAATAAGGTGAATCAAATTTACCATCTGTTTTCAATAATTAACCGTTGCTTATACTAATGTATCGAACAATTGCTGTAAACAGTTCCAGTAACCATCTACATATATATCCATAATTTACAGGATATACCTGGAGAGGCGTACGTTGCCAGACAGAGAAAGCATTTATTCCCCGCCAATTACTCAGTATTTGAAAATACAAATGTCGACGACGAATTAAAGTTCGAGTTAAAAGATGACCCATTCGAAGCCTCATCTACAATCGAGAAACCATTCGTTACGGAACATCATGTATTATGGTCGATGAGCTACAGTGTTCCCGTATTGTACTTTCATGGGTGGAAGTCAGGTGATTGTATACTATTTTGAAAAAAAAACTCTTAAATAATGAAAACATTTGAAAGGTCGAGCGATTGCCATCTTGAATTGCATTTTTGAAGGCCGTGGACTGTTTCTAATGATATTTCGTGAAACTCGTTAATTTTCCATGGTCTATTCATCAAAATATGAGATTTCTATTACAATCGCGGTCTGATCACCACTAGACCTTAATCTGGTATGTACCGTCTGTTGGAAGTGGCAGGCGACATAATGCTGATTGTTCCATCGATTGTAGCCTATCTCGAACTAGGCTAAGAAGCCAGCAAAGGGAACAAAAGTGACTGAAGGGGAAAGATACAAGAAACAAAGGAACTCTGTTTTACCACTACGCATGCGTTCCAATACTCTCCCTTTTCTTTTTTTTTTTTAACGACACTAATATGTTAAGTCGTCAGTTGTTGCGTGTTTTCATGTTTATGAGTATTTTCATTGCACTTTTATTCCGCAATTACAAATCGAATCGTAAAAATTTAATATTTATCGGGTAAAAAGTTATATGTCAATAAACATACATTTGTTTATTTCTGTAGACTTCCCTGGCATCAATCCAGTAACTGTTGAAGAAGCACAATCACTTGTCCGTCATGGAGACTTAAATTATATGGAATTATCACAAGGAATACATCCCATACTAGGCACTCCATTTCTGCATTTACATCCTTGCAGATCACAAGAGCTTTTACAAGTTACAAGTAAAAGGTAATTAAAGAAACAGAAGCAGTTATCATTAAAAAAAAATCCTGATGTACAGTGAAATATTATTAATAATATAACTCTAGCAAAAATAAACTAGTGAGCTGGCTCAGTACCGTTGCACCTGCTGCTCTTTATCTCAAACTACAACCTGAATACTGTGACTTAACCAAATAAAGTATGCTACGTAAGAATAAAAAGCTTCCTAAAAAGATCTCATATAATATAAGGAAACCGTATTTATAAAAACAATTTGAGAAAATCAATAAAAGGGTCTCGTTTAACAATAGTTGTATACTCGCGTTCCCTGTACTTTTTTACTTTCGATCGTGTACATCCACGAGCAAACTCGGCTTCCACTAGGAGAAAAAGTGACGTAGGATAAGGGCCTTCTACTACTTGGTAAATTTATTTCAAGTACTGAAATAAAAGTTAAATCGAATGTTCATTTGGCATAAATTTCAATAATTCCCGATACCAAATTCTAGGAGGCCCTTCCACTACGCCACTTTTTCCCCTAGTGGAAGCCGAGTTTGCTCATGAGGGTACTACAACTTTATTCAGATAAGGAATGGCAAAAATTTAATAGAATCGCCTGGGATTTACCGCCTTTGCGTAGTGGATATGCGCTCGAGAATTGGTGGAGATTCCTCTCAAGTAGCGAGTCGCGATTGGTCAACTCTACCGGTTGAACTTCGCGGCCACCAATAACATCCCGTAGTTCATTGAGCTTGCCCGTTTCTCCCCTCCCTCTGCCCTTCCCCACCACCCGCGCGCTTTTCGAATGCTCAGCTCGAATTACACACTCCTTGTAGTGATACAGTCCCGTCACTGTCATCGCACGGCGTACACGAAAGCGCGATATTAACCAGTGAATCGGCGTGTTTCGCACGTCTCCTCGCTGAAGCTGAAACGACTCTGTAACCGTTTATCCGGTAAACACCTACGACCACACAAACTCGTTCACCATTTTCCATCTCTGGGCGGAATCGGTGCGTGCTTACTGTGCACACGGAGTATCCCCGATTAAAAGATCGAAAGCGAAGGAGAAACAGTCTTCGTCAAAATTGCCACAGGTAAGAAGTCTTATTTTAAAAATACTTCGTGCCTTTTTATTTTATTGTGCTCGAACTGGACACACAAATTGACGGTTAACTATGAATGAAACTTTAATTATGCATTAGAAAATTATTAGTTAATCGTATAAATTTCGAGCGTCGAAATCGTACGTGGTCGTTCAATGACAATAGACATAATACTGGAAGCATCAATCTTTCAATTTAAAACCGTGAAAGAACGGTCGTTGAAATCTCCGCACGTGTTAGTGATTAAATTACAATAGAGTCGTTAAACCGTCGACCGAAAGACCTGTTCAGAAAGAACGCTAAAGTCCCATTTTCATTAGCGATTCCGTCGGTATTTCACATACGAGGAAACAATAAATAGGTAGATGCTTTTATACTTGCGAGGTGTTACGGGAAGAATTCCTATGAAAAATAACCGACAATCGTGTATGAACTGCGTTCAAATAGTGAACAGATTAGTATCATTGTATTTCAAACAAAGAAGGCAAACAGAGTTTTTTTATGATAATATATGAAAGCAATACAAGTATTCTTATAGCAAAGTAAACGAAGAAACAGATGATTGTTTGGGTCACTTCGATAATGTTGGATCATTTTACGATAATTACATAACAAAATGCGTTCGTTACGCAGTCCCATAATAGAACCGTTGAAATATTAACCTTTCAGTTTCATGCACCGTGTTGTTCGAAAATCTGTTTGTTGTTGCCAACACCGAGGCATAAAATACAGCGAATTTATAGCATTCGTTGAAACGTGTCACCTATTCAAACGGACAAGCCTTTGCTGATCACAGTGACTTTTGACGGACAATACAGGCAATCATTCTTGTGTAAATCTTTTCAAGGTTACCTCTCCTACAATGTATTTATTCAATTGTTTTTCTTCCTTCCGATTCATAAATCGTATCTCACCTTTGTCATCATTAGACTGCCGATTTTATGCGTTTATAGCCTATAGGGGTTTGTAAAATACAATAAAGGAGTAAAGCTTTCATCAGATCCAATAAGTTTTTTGGTTTATTTGGAACCGAATATGCTACTGGAGAAAAGAAAGAAATTGCATTTACTCTTTCCTGTATGAATTGTTTTAGAAAATATCATTTTTGCATAAAACCCGCAGTCTAATCTTCAACGATCTCCTTCTGGGTGATCGGAACCCTTTGGTGAAGATTCCCAAAATGATTTAAGTACTTCCTTTTTCTTTTTACTCTGAAGGTTAACTGTTTTCAGTTTCCTTTAACTACTCTATTAACATTAAGGTAAGGATGCAGTTCCCAGAATACAATTTAACGGAATATGGAACGATGTTTCGGGGAACTTAACCTTAACCCTAGTTTTGCAACATAATTAAACCCATTTGTAATTTCCACGCTTCCGCCACTTTGTGAAATCGTTAACGAGGTGGAAAATTGACGAGCCCGTGGCTTCTGTGGCAAAGTAACGATAGAATTGAATGCAATTGGTTAATCTCGAGTCTCCTATGAAAATGCAACAACAATTTTTACGGTTAATTGTATTTAAAACTGCCAATAATTCCGGTGATCCGCGGAGCGTACAAATTGCCAAGAGAAAATCGTTACGAAAGAAACATATCCGACCGATAAATCATGTAACACGATGGAAAACATTTACGCGGGGATCTATCGCGCCTGCGTAGAAGGACGACCGCTCTCGATGCGTTTTACGCGGGAGAATTGGCTTCGATGATTTAATATTCAGTGTCGAGGAACCTTTGACCACTCATCAATGATTTACTGTAAATATCAACTTCCAAAATCCATTATCGAACGTGAAGAATCTAAGTCTCACAGCTGTTCCACTGTTTTTTTTTTCGGTTCAATTTGTAATTTTGTAACTTTACCTCGATACAACCTGATGTTTTCAGCGTACCATATCGCGTATCTTTGTTTCAGTGTTGGACTGAATTTTATTCGAATAATACACAGTGAAAAGCAACAGTATCCGAGGGTGTCGTTCTGAACTTTAAACAGTTAATGAGATTAAATAATTGTTCGACAAATGTCGATTCATTCATAAAGAAGTATTATTTTTTTTTTTTTAAATTTTTTTATCTTTTATTCGTTATTCGAAACTTTTTATCTAGATAATTAGTTTGCCCATCTCTGCTTTGTTTCTCGGTCTATACAGTAAGGAATCGAGGGAATCGTGGATCCCCTCCGTGTTTACGTGAAACATAGAGACCATTACAAAAGGCGATCGCGAGCTGAAGTTTCCGCCCACGTTTCGATCCCATCTCCTCTTGTGTATCATCAGCCGATTGCGTCACGGTCCGGTTCTATAATAGTTCATTAAATTGCCGGTAATTCGTGGTTGTGGGGGTATTTTATGCAGTATAAATGAATGAACATTATCGTGCAACACTTTTAAAGCCGGTCCAGGTTAAGGCTAATTCACGTGTCCGCTACCCGTCGATCGAGTCCACGGTACAAAAAAAAAAAATCGAAAAAAAAAAGACATCGATCATCCGATGACAATCGTTATGACCCATTCATGATGGATTTCCAGTCATATTGTACCGTCAACACGATATTCTACAGGACAGAATACAAGAAAATTTCACGATAATTTTTCATAACACGTTATCCACATACACGTGCATCCAGTTGACGAGTTATGCATTCTGCATTTATGGAGCCGCGTCACGATCGTGTGTAATGAATACGCGGCGATGCCTAGTCGACGGAGCCGTGAATGAATAATTGTTTAACCCACGATCGTTTCTGTTCCTTGATCTCTGAGAAGCGACAGATCCGTCGACGCATTTCCATTGGGCAATTTTTTCATCTTAATCGTGAAATTGTTCATAAATTGAATGACATTTACCGTAACGTTGATAAATCTGCTCCTGAGAAAAAATTTTTGAAATCTCAACGGTTAGCAAGATCTACCACGGATTAGGATGGATGGTAACGCGAATTTCCTCTGAAATGGGACACGTTTTGGTCCATTTCAGTGGACTGAAAAGAGGAGAAGAGCTCTCTCCCCTGATGCCCCGAATAACACGAGTTGAATGTTTTCGCGTCGGAAAAATCGGTTAAAGCTTTCTTCCTCTCGACACCGAGCCGTGAAAGTGTCTCAGTCCGTTCGCATTTCGCTCTCCTCGACGATTAGACTTTTCAGCGATTTAACGTCGAGATCGATACATGGTTGCTCTCTGGACTTAGCTACGATGTTACACGCAGGGACTTCTACCTAAACGTAAAATATCAATATTATTATATCGGTATTTTCGATTGTACTTTCGCCCTATATAAGCCCTACCCTTATAGAAATCGAAAAAATACCGGTATTTATTTCGGTATTCGGTAATATATCGGTTTCGGTATAGCTCTGATTACATAATACCGATATCAAAATCATAACAGTTTAAGTCCCTGGTTACACGTTCGAAGAGAAAAATTATTGAAATATTTAAACAAAAAATAGAGAGAGTAGGTTTGTCAGAAGGCTGTAACGTGGGACAGATGTATGCGACCGTGTATTCGCCCTTTCGATTCGAAAGAGATCCGACCAGGCGCAGACCACCGAGGCTATCCCATTCTTCATTTAATTCAGCGCGCGACCCGAGCGAAATCAATTACAAACTTGACCCATCCCGACCCTTCCTGCCGGCGAGAAACACTTGAAAGTATTACCACTTCCTTCCTCCTCCCGTTCTGTACCTAACCGTTGACCATCCAAAAACCAGTAGATGCATCGTTCGATCCTCTTCTGTATAGGTGCGATTCGGAGACCGGAAGACCGTAGGTGGATAAAGTGAAATGAACTTTCAGCAAGTTGTTTCGAAGGTCTTTTCACTTTTGGTCTTGCGTGCACACGGTTCAATGAATGTATGTATTGTGGTGGATCGTGTCGTATCACGGTTGGGAACGATTGATTCTACGGCGTGGATTCCCTCGGGAATTTCTTTGTAACAGTATACAGTAAATCATCGATGAGTGTCCAAAGGGTGCTCGACACTGAACATTACAGGAAATTCTCGATGAGTGTTCAAAGGGTCCTCGACACTGAATATTACAGGAAATCCTCGATAAGTGTTTGAAGGCTCCTTGGCACTGACAAGGTCCCCAGGTGTAACGATGACTTTTTAATGAGATTTAGCACAGTGACAGAGCATGGAATTCTGATGACAATGATATTTGTTGTACGACTCGATATAAATAACTAATACCTTAAATTACTCGGGTCCGAATGGACCCAGGCACCGTCACCCTATTGCTAACGTACTACAGAACAAACTCGTCTTGCGTTTCAAACAATTCATCTGGAACGTAAATACCTTCGCCCTATATAACCCTGTATAAACCCTACCCTTATAGAAACCGAAAAAATACCGGTATTTATTTCGGTTTTCGGTAATATATCGGTTTCGGTATAGCTTCGATGGCATAACACCGGTATCAAAATCATACCGGTTTGTCGCGGAAGAGAGCCTGGCATACACACGCCAGAGGAAGAGGAATTTAGATAGAAGTCGGAAGGAAGGGATCAGCTGTGTATGTGTGCGCGCGCGCGCGTGCGTGCGTACGTGTGTTTGGTATCAGAGGAAGGGCAGCAGCGGGACGATCTCTATCTCTCGGGGTGCGACGAGTGAGGCCAGAGAAGCGGGCCGGGCCGACAAACAATAGGCCCATAACCCGGTGCTCCCGATGGGGTCGTGGTTGCCCATCGTGTATCTGTAATGTATCTGACGATGATAGGCCGGCACGGCAGGAAGAGATCGTCGTAGGGGGATCGACCATAGCTAATCGTACCACCCAAGGTGGCACAGATTGAGAGCTCTATCAGCACACATCCTCTCCTCGCCGAGCAAGTAGCAAGCACCAAGCGCGTCGGGGCCCGGTTCGCCGCGTTATACCACTATGTACGTAACCTGCATTACATCGCGTTATTAAACGATACCTAAATCTCGCTCCGTTCGCTTGATCCTCCTCTCACTCCTCTGTCTACTTTCTCCGTCTATTTTTCTCTGCACAGAAGCTAATCGAAACTGTTCGACGAGCCCTTTCTGTCATCCGTGGCCCGTTAACGCGTTCTGCACCTCTTCGTATGATTTTCCGATCGACAAAACGGACTATCGAATCTTGACCCAGTCACCTTCGAAGATCGCTGCAACGGGGGTAGTTTTTACGGTACTGCACGGTTTGGTGTACGTTAAAGTGTTTCATGGAAAAAACAATACGTGTTCCTCGTGTGATCGCGAGTGTCCTGTAGACGCGATTGAAATACACGATTCGTCGATATTGTTCCTCTCTGTTTCGATTGTTAGTTAACTGTCTGTTTTCTTCTTTTTTTTCTTGCTGTTGCCCTCGCCAGCGATCGAAGGGAGAGAGACCGAGTGACCAGCTCGTCGACGGCGATCTCAACGGAGGCGAAACACGCGCGTGAACGGATCATCCAGGGACATCCCTCGATCCCTTGACGGACGGACCACCGTTCTCGGCTGCCGTTTTGTTCCACGCGGGGTCTCCCTTCCCCCTCCGTTAAAGGGGCGCGATACGACGCCACCGCAGCTGCTTCCGGCTGACCGGAAGGGACGCTCTATGCGAACCGGGTGAACGCCGTTTTTTTTTCGTCGTGACGCCAACAACCATCGTCGATCGTAGCCGAACCAGAGGAACCGAACGTCATGGAAGTCGCTACGGAATTGTATGTACCCCGTTGTTTCCTTTCTTCTGCTGTTTAACCCTTTAACGGTTACATATGACGTGTATCCTCCATTTGGAAAATCACCACCTTTTGGCCAACGACGAGCAGACTCGTCATGTGAAAAAATAAAATAGCTTTTGCTATAAAAATTGAAATGATTAAAAAAGAGAAAAGCAAAATGATAAAAATTGAAAAAAATTGTTACTTTTTTTTTTTTTTGATAAAGGTGTCGAATGATAACACATTTCGAAAATAAAATTCCACCGTTAAAGAGTTAATATTCTTTTCCTCCTCTTCGTTCGACCACGATCCTTCTTGGGGATGAAACAGCCCAGGCTAAGAAACGAAGAGAGAGACAGCGTCACACTTGGACCATTCCTCTCGAAACCAAGATATCATTGTTCAATGGTAATCCTGACACTATTTCAGTAGTAATCCTTCCTCATCTAACGCATTCGCTCCTCAAACTTTTACATAACCGAGGATTTCCCCGTAAAAAAAAGACGGCAAATCAGAACTCGATTGTTTAAACAGCGCAGTGAGATCGAGCAATATAGTCAGGGTTGAACCAGTATAAAGCAAACAAAATTTAATAATTAGTGAATCGGTTAGGACCAGTCGTGGCTGGATACCGTGGCCTCGGTATGGCCTCCGTGTTGCGAAATTAGACAAGGCTAACGGGACGAAGAAGACTTTGGACCAACAGTTTCTCTTTAGGACCATCTAACGCGAGGGAAACAATTGGCGGAGATTCGATCGAATTACAGCAAAGTTTCTTGTCTCTTTACACGCTCATCGCATAGAACGATTAAAAGAAAATATTGCACATAAAGTATAATATCGGTTGAAAAATTGATAGATCGGTTAATCGAATCGAATCAAGACGCAGAGTAACAGCGTTAAACGGTCCCGAGCGATTATTTAATTCGATTAGATTGAAAGGTTATTCGCACACGACTAAAACACGAAGAGAAACGTGCGCGGAATACAATCGCCCGGAGCTGGACGAAGTCATTGTCAGTCATCGTGCTTTCTCGTACGCTTGACAGGGCACGTAGTAGTAACCTCGGCACTCCTCGTTTCGCTAATCGCGACTTGGTAAATAACGTTTATCGCCCTTGTCGTCTAATCGAGTTGCCAACATCTACGAACAACCGAGTTTTCCCCGATTGTTTCAACTAGGAATTATAATAAAAGTGAAAGCTTTTACCAAATGTTTGCGTAATTTGTAGAGATATCCCGAATGCTGCCGCTAGGTCCGCCATCTTGAAATTTTACGGAACGCCCGGTCTCTTTCGATTCAGTTCGGATTTACAGCAAATGTTCCGCATCGAGCGACCACTGAAAATGTTTGGAAGAATGATAAAGGGAAACGTTATTGAAAAATCAGTAGAATAACAGAAATTTTGATAAAATACTCAACATATTTGGACGCAATGTTCGAGACCGCCATTGCGACTGTTGAACATCCTAATTATCCACACGCGTTCCATACCTCCTTTCATCTATATACGTATCCGCCATCGAATTTAAATAAAAAATGCACCGAAAAGTGTCCTTCTCCCTGAAACACTTGACACCGCGTTGCCGCAAAAAAAGAGACAAAAACAAAGGAAAAACAGTCGACAAGATAGAGTCATCGTTTTCCTCGACAAAGGACGTAACATAAATCTTGATTTTTTCTAATGGCGGTGTCCTCCATCCGCTGATTAGACGACCGAATTGACCGTGTTCCAAGCGGCGTGTCTCGTTAACACCGTTAAGGGATTAACCGTCGCAATTAACCCGTTCGCCACAGAAAAACCGTGGTCGTCTTTCGGCACGACGGTTTTCATTCCGGAAAATTCTCTCAACGGCAACCAGTCTCGTCCGTTGCATAATCTATAACAAGTTAGAAGCGTTGGATTGATATGCAAAGTATCGCACGGTGATCAGAGGTATTAATAAACTGTTGTTCGCCTTATTTGAAATGCTTCCGCTTGTCTGTCGACTTCCTAGATCGACAGAACCATTCTATCGTATATCGAGCAGAGTTTTGTTCGACAAATTGAAATATTTTTACCAACCTTCTCCACTACCCTCTCTACCGTCCGTTCCCAGATAGCACATGACGCCTCGAAGACGTCTATTTTACGGCTATTTTAGGTCTAAGACGCCTTTAAACCGTTTTCAAGGCGTCATATACTATCTGGGTTGTTTTATTGACCCTGCTCGAATTGCCATTGCAGATCACCCTTGTCAGGGTCCGACACGCAATGCAAAATCGCGGAACGAACATCGTACTATCCTCAGGATCCAAACAAGAGGCCGAAGACCAGGCAGGAGAAAATTCGAGCTTGCCTGAGGCACAATTCGTTGACTATCCTGACCGTTGCCGGTGTGGCCGGCGGTGTTATCCTTGGTATCATTCTGAGAAGCTCGAGGACGCAAGGATGGACACCCAGGGAGATCATGTACATCAATTACATCGGGGACCTGTTCCTGAGGATGCTGAAGAGCTTGATCCTACCGTTGATCATATCGAGCCTGGTCTCCGCTATCGGATCCCTTGACCTGTCCCTCAGCGGCAGGATTGGTGCTCGAGCTATTGTGTATTACATGACCACCACCATCAGTGCCGTTATATTAGGTCAGTAGGAGCGAACAGTATCGAACAATTCGACTCACGTTCTGTTATATTGATAAACAATCACTTTCAGCAAAGCAATTGCAAACTGGGGTCATGGAAAAGAAAAAGAAAAAAGAAAATTATGTATAACAGTTTAAAAAATTTTATGACGTATGTATTCATCTTGTAGGTATTATTTTGGTGATCACCATTCAACCAGGCGTTGGTAATAATCCAGACGTTAAGACGAAATCACCACCGCAGAATGTTTCCACTGTCGACACGCTGATGGATCTGATTAGAAACATGTTCCCTCCGAATCTGGTGGAGGCCTGTATATCCCAACACAGAACTGAAATGCAGAAACCGGAGAACAGTAGTATGGCAGGTAAAGAATCGAGGCTCTTCAGCTCTCACGTATCTCAGTCGGTTTATTGAATCGCTGATCACGATTGTTTCGACGCAGGCAACATAGACAACTGGGAGCCGGTGCAGAAGAACGTTTCTGGGACAAACATCATGGGTTTGGTTGTCTTCGCCACCGCTCTGGGCATCACACTGGGGAAAATGAAAGAACAAGGAAAACCTCTGCTGTACTTTTTCGAGTCTCTGTCGGGCGCGATGATGCTGATCACGCAATGGGTTATTTGGTAAATTCATAATTCGATAAAACTAATAGAGCACCAATGTACGTACTTTGTAATTTAACCCTTGTGTGGGCGTCCAAAACATTCACAGTTATTGAACAATTGAAATACTATTATTCTGACAGATTAGATAAACATACGCAGATAGCACATGACGCCTTGAAGACGCCCATTTTACGGCTATTTTAGGTCTAAGGCGCCTTTAAGCCGTCTTCAAGGCGTCGTGTGCTATCTAGGTAGATACCCAGTCAGCCTAACCTGCAAACCCAAATTTTGTCCAATGCCTGTTATAAAGTCATGTTGCAAGACTTTCTGCCAATTTGCTTTACCATTTGGTCAGCTATGGCGTTGTCTGCAAAACCCAAGTCAAATGCGGAAACAGATGGCTATGGTTTTTCAGACAACTTTTGTCATTTAATTAAACTGGTTATCAGGGTGATTTCACTTTCATACTTTTCCGAAGCTCTTAGTTTTCCCTTCCTATAATATACCAAGGGCTATTTCACACAAGAACATAAAAAATTGCGAAAGTAAATATAAAAACGGGATCTGGGTACCCGGTTGCCTACACAAGGGTTAAGACCGTTGATAGGAGAAATAACCTTACATCGAGTCATGTTTTATTTAAAACGAAACAACGTTGTGTTTCTCTGGATAATACGAGCTTCTCTTCTAGGCTGTCACCGGCGGGTGTATTGTTCCTGGTGGCCGCGAAAATCACCGAGATGCAGTCGCTGGACGAAGTCGTCGCTCAGCTTGGAATGTATTTTTTGACCGTCCTGTTCGGTCTTTGTGTACACGGTTTCATTATTCTACCTCTGCTGTACTTTGTGATAACAAAGAAAAATCCGTACGTGTACATATCGAATATGGCGCAAGCTTTGGTCACCGCTTTCGGTACATCATCGAGCTCCGCTACACTTCCGATCGCTATAAATTGTCTGGAGGAGCGAAACAACGTTGACCCGCGTATCACCAGATTCGTATTACCGATTGGCGCCACCATCAACATGGATGGGACAGCGTTGTACGAAGCTGTGGCCGCGATTTTCATTGCCCAAGTGCGCCAAGTTAGCCTCAGTTTCGGGCAATTGGTTGCTGTTAGGTGTGTAAAATAAATGTATTATGTAGCAGACATATAGCGTTCGTTATAGAAAAACTGTATCGGTACTTCGCAATTGTAGTATCACAGCAACGGCTGCTAGTATCGGGGCGGCTGGAATTCCACAGGCAGGTCTGGTGACAATGGTGATGGTCTTGGATACAGTTCGTCTTCCAGCGGACGATGTCTTCCTGGTCATCGCGGTTGACTGGTTGTTGTAAGTCCTTTTCATTCTTGCCCTGTACACCGACGAGCAAACTCGGCTTCCGCTAGGGGAAAAAACAGTGCAGGAAAAGAGCCTTCTATCACTTGGTCTCGGGAATTATTGAAATTTATGTTAAATCAACATTCAATTTAACATTAATTCGGTATTTGAATCAAATTTACCAAGTGGTAAGAGGCCCTTTCACTACGTTACTTTTTCCCCTAGTGTACGTCTCGATTACAATAAATCCTTTATGAGTGTTCGAAGGTTTATGAGGCTTATGAAGCCAATGATATTTGTTTCAACTGCATACAGCCATTAGTTTATGAAATATTTAATGTTCAGTGCCGAGGAGCCTTCGAACACTTATCGAGGGTTTACTGTATACTTGATACGTAGTTATCTTCACGCCTTTTTTCCATGGGACTTTTAGGGATCGCTGTAGGACAACGGTGAACGTGGTGGGCGATTCTCTTGGCGCGGGAATTGTGAATTATTTGAGCAGAAACGAATTGGCCTCTTTACCCCACAATGGACAGTCTCAGAACGGTGGCGACCATCACACCTCGACGTCTATATGAAATTAACGCCGGTAACGATCACCAGTGTATTCCTTTCTTCGACACTGCTCGTTCCGAGTGTTGCACATTCCTAGGCAAATAAGATTATCGAATGTACGCAGAATCCAATAAGCACGATACATAGGTGACCCCGAAAGCAGCAATGATAATGGTATCCTGAAATTTCAGGAATCTTGCTGTACCGTGACAATCAATCGTTCATCAAGCGGAAATCCGATATAATTTCTTCTTTTTTTTTCACTATAACTTTTAGATGGATTTAGCACCGTTTTGTATTTAATTCCGTTGAGCTTAAGGCACAAAATGATCCATGGATCTGATTATGTTTTAATGGTCATTTCCAATTGATCGTGCGTAAACCGGGTTAATCGAATTTAATTAAAAGTACCTAGGATTCTAGATTCGATGTTTTATGCCATTTTATGGAAAACGTGACGATCGAAACGAATGGAATTTTCTGTTTCGATCGATTATAAATGTATAAGATTACGTGCAATACATTTCGAAGCATCAAATCGAGTCCTTGTCCACTCTCTCAAAACTTATTATTTAATATACAAAATATTGTTCGCGGATAAATATTGTTAGCAACATCAAATTCTGTTTAGTGCAGCCTGCCTATAAAAATCGTCAGTTACAATCGATATTCTGTACACTTAGAAACAGATTGTAATAGATTAGCAATACTATTGAACGTGTTACTGCCTCTTTTAATTTATTCCAAGGGTGTTCTTCATTATCTCGCTACTTGTACACATGTTGAAAAATTACTGTGGCCTAACTGTCCCTTTCTCGTATCCATAGAGAATGTAATTGTTATTTTAAATAATATAGATATTATGGTAAATAGCTAAGATGTATACAATCCAAATGTCACAGATTTGAGGCTTTCACTCCCCCCGATATGATACGGTTTTCTTCCTATTGAAGCTTTCGGGTGTAAGTCACGACCTTTTGAATGGGCTTTTTCTCCATTTGAAAGCTTGAACAGCAACAAATCGAATTGTATACAGTATTTTTAGAAGCAGTATTAGTACTAATGATAGCAACCATGTATATTAAAGTATGCCTCACACACACACAACTCACACAATCGCTACAGTAATCGTTGTCTTCCATTACTATATGCTCTATAATTATACAACTTACTGTTAGTTAAGTCATCAAATAGTTTAACAAGTATAAAATTCTGTTATCATTTCTTGACACATTGTTGACGGTATTACTGCGAAACGAATCGAACCTCTGTACACACGTGTTCAGTTCGCAGAAATTGTTAAGGGTAAAGAATGTTTATAGACTCGGTAATAAAGAAAAATACGTTGGTATTCAGCATACCTCAAGTACCGTACTGTTTAGACGAGAAGTGTTCACCGAATTGACTAAAACTAAAGAAAGTATTATTCTTCGATCATTATGGTGAAGGTTTATTACTATACGTATCACACGTTATGCAGTTACCTTGGTGCATGCGATAAATGTAACTGATTAGTCAACTTGTATTTTTAACGTATTCACTGTATTACAACGTTACATAGGCGTAAGTTAATCGAGTCGTAAGATAATTAAGTACCGTACTGGAACTAGAAAGTTTCGTTTGTATTTCGTAATGACTCCAATGACTAAATTTAATTCTGCATTCGGCTGATTGTATATTTTAAACGTGATATTCTTGAAACAATAAATTACGTATTTAACATCACGTACCGTGTAACCCATAAATGAATTGCGAAGAAATTGAATATTACATGTTAGCTTTCCCCTTGATATGATTTTAAAACTAGAAACTTCGAAAACAAATCTTTCCAATGCTTTTAACACTTAAGCCTTATACTTAACTGCCTTATAAATATAGTAATTAAATTTTTCTTTCTTCTTTTCGCTTGCATCGAATTTATGTTAAACTTAAGCAACACATTTCGTTTAGTTTATACTTCAAGAAAGCTAACCGGTACCACAATGATTCTGAACGAAATTAAATTACACGTCGAATTTCAAGGCATACATCGGATAAGTGTTCGTATTATTGTTGTTAATCACGCGAATTAATGTACACTTACAAGTTGTAATCAAATTCTACAAGTAGAACGTATGTACCTGTACGTATTTAAGTAATGCCATAGTTGCTTAAAAATATCCTGTATAATATTTATTTGTACAATAAATGTACAAATTGATGTGACAATAAAGGTATTGCTTATTTCTGAACAAAATCACATGTATTTACGTCAAATACTAAAACAATTCTTATCACAGTGAAAGTGTGTCTACGGCACACGACTGAAAACGATATAAAAGTTTCTCCAATAAATAATATTCTAAATACCTTTTTATGCAAATTATAAATACACATTAAATGTAATATTCTAGTCTACAGGTTATTTCGATGCGTGAAATAATTTATGAAGATAATTACTGAAAATTATTTATTTCAGTTAATAGTAATATCTGTGCATAATATAACAGTTCTCTTTGTTTCACCACTTTATCTTCAATTTGCGCTATCTTGAATTAATATTGAGTGGCAGTTGCAGAAAAATAAATATATATCTACATATTTAGAATCTCGTTACTGCAAGAAAAACGTAATTTAAAAAAAGTATTAAATATATATAGAATAAAACACACAGTAACTGTAGTAAACGTTTCTATCACATTTCGAACAGATAGAGACCGCCTCGAGGTTGTCTATTCTATTGCCGTAATTACAAAACGATAATGCAAAGTTAATTAAAATTGATTTGTACAGTGGTTCAATATTGGTTACTGGTTTTACTGTAAACTGGCTGTTGTATTTCGGATATTCGATAAAAATCAATAACAACCATAGATGATACGTTGCACGTTTAAAACTAAATCAACGCAATCTGACTAGATAAAATGCACGTTTCTTTTAATACTTCCATGTAAGTGTTATTTAAAAAGTAGAATAAAAAGAATACTAATCTTCCATGAAAATGAAAATTGTAACTCGAGATTTTCTGCATGTGTTCGGAAACTCTATACCGTTTGCATATTTGCGAAAATTTTGTACAGAAACGCGATTCTTCGATTTAGTTCGTTTCTATTTTCGCTGTATAAAGCATCAATTGAGATAATGTTATGCCTACCATTACTCTAACCGATCTTTGGAACGTAAGTCAAATAGTAAGTATATTCTCATTATTTGACTAAGAACGCGAAAGTCCCGAATCAATTTCTCTATAATACAAAGCATTTCCGACGGCATATTTAATAAGCAGAGTGATTCACGAGAAATGCAACGTGTGAATGTCTCTTCGGTAAATTTCATAATACAGAAATATACAGCTTTGCCTAAAAAAAGATAAAAACAACAGTGGTCTTCGTAGCCGAGGAAAACTAATTCTGTTAAAAACATGCCTCTAAATTATGGAATCCACCGGATATATTTGGATCTTTTGCATCTGATGATTCACCCTGTACAAAATCTCTGTAACTATACATTGGGCGATTCCATAAAACGAAGCAACATACTGGCCGCACGATTCCAAACTAGTCATCCCTTTCTCGTCGAAGGTAAGGCATGACAATTATCTAAAATCGGTCGAATGCACGTTTACAAAATCTGAAAAGTTTCGACAGGCATCGTGTTATGTACATAACATAAACAATATTCGCTATAGTATTTACAAAAGAAAAACAGTTACAAGAGTCTCACGGTAATACTAGATACCTATAGAAATCACAATCGTCGCTTCGATAGTGTGTAAAATATCCATCGTAATTTCGGTAATAAATTGTGCTCGATAAGTGTGTAAACGTTGACATAGAGAACAGCTTCCGATCATCCATTGTTTCTTTTTTGTTCATTTGTTTTAAATAGCCTTTGCTATTCCTAATTCAACGAGATCCCTTGTATCCAAGAGCTGAGGTCATTCGTGTCTTCACAGCTGAGACTCAACGCGTTCTTCTCGTTTTTTCTCGACTCGAGAAGAGTTTGAGCGGCGGTTCGACCGGTTAAGTAGGCTCCGTGCACTGTACTGTAAAAGGAAGAATGCGTGTGCTCGCCGGCAAACGCTATAACGATTTTCGACGGGTCGTCGTCTCGCCTGATGGGCTCCGCTAAACGATTGATATCTAATTGACTCGCCCCAACGGCCATTGCGGTATATGAACCGCGTGTATACTGTTGCGTACGCCACGAGGTATGAATGCAATTCTTCGGTGCCGGTACAAACGGATCATTGAGAAATTTTCTTAGTATCAATGTACACGCATCTGACACTTCCGTCGCACTCAATTTTTCCATATATTCAGCCGCTTTCCCCGATATCCATCCCAGTAATAATGTCTCTGAAATCTTGGTGAAAGAATAGATCTTTCTGTACCATGTTTTACTCATGTCCTGCTTCTCTTCCTCCAATAACCGTCTGTCGTCCCAGAGAAGCATCACTTCCGATATCCCGGGATTTAGAAAAGGTCGTTCGTATTCTAAAAATATTTTATCCACTGTACCGAACAGTAGTCTATCTATGGCTTCATGTTTATAATTAGGTAGAGGCGGTTCGAATATATCGTTGGCTTTTTCCTTAAGAACTCCTAATGGCAATGTACAAATTACATGTTCCGTTAATATTGTTTTCCCGTTTTCGCATTGTACTTCTATACAGTTGCTCGAATTGAAACAGCTGTTGTTTTCGGAATTTCCATCGTCTACGCGTTTCTTTCTCGGCCACCTATAAGATCGTACATACGTAAGATCATACATTGTATAGCGACTAATATTTACCGTCACAAGTACTCGATTCTGTTTACCTAATCTTAGTAACAGCATGTCTAAGCAGAATGCTGTTCTTTGGTATATGTTTTGCAACTGGTTCCAATATAGCACTGTACCCATCTGGAAGACTAATATTTCCACCTTGCAATTCCGCATAAGAACCCATTTCCAAGAGATCAACATCTTCCATGCTATCACAGCCAGTAATACAGGTTTCTCTTTTAAGTAAGCAGTCGAATAACAATTGTCTAATCCTTTTGTCCTCCTCTGGCAAAGACGATAAATAAATCTGAGCCTCTAATGCAACATGTGCTCCAACACTGCTTATTCCATCTGGGGGGCTATAAGGACTTAAAAAATATTCTTCGCATCGTCTTAGAAAACATATATACGCTTCATAGATTTCTTGCAAGATTGGGAATGATAGTTGCTTTCCATCCTCTGTGGCTGCTACGACTTTATGAGGCCTTGGTACACGTATAATATCTATTAAGCCATTAGCCATTGCTAATTCAAACATAGGATTCCCTAGGACTCCATGAATCCAATTGGCTCCTAATTCGACCTTCTCATTGCCTAAAGTAGAATATATATCATCTGACCGGGTTGAGTTGTAAATTAACTTGGCGAGCTACACATAAGTCAGATTTCTATTGCAATGTTGCTTTTAGATTAAGTTTCGCTATAATAATTATTTACAATTTTCTTCGCACAGAGTGACAAGTTCAGACTTTTAATTAAAAGTAACTGTCACTTTTAAAAATAATTCCCTACTTTACAGAGCTTATTTATTGCTAGTCTCCTGATTTGTGTAACATTTTAATTCGATTTATACACGTTACGAAAAGCACGACGCGAATGTCACTTAAGACATAAAAAATAGACTCAAAGTACATGATGAATCTTTAATATAAAATAACAAAACTGATTGGAAAATCGAAGATTCATCGATTATCAACAGAATTCAAGAAACAGGTTAAATAGGCACTCACCGATTTTTAAAGCGACAATACGACCACCTATTCGACCACGGGCCTCAACAATAAAAAAATCTGTCTCGTGGTTTTTCAATAAATGATTCGCAGCTGACAATCCAGCCATTCCGGCGCCGACAATTAAAATTTTACACTTCACTTTATCATTCTCCGTCTGTTTCGTGGATTCCGCCATGATCATATCATTATCAAATCAGCTGTCAATGATAAAACGAACATAGACAGCTTTTTAATTTTTATCTCGAACACAGTTCACACGAGTGCCTCTCCATTCTGATTTAGATATTGTACATTGTACTTCCTAACGAAAACATTTGAAAGCACCTGTTCAGATTACGCTCAGAGTTTTTCGATGGTTTTCATTTTCTACGCACATTCCGATGTACATATGTAGCTTAGGACAGCTCAGGATAATCTGCCAATACGCTGTCGAATCCAATCGAATCATATTTTGTTTTCCTTCATTTCTTCGAAAAAATTATATTATCAACAGTTCAATTGAATTTTGGACAATTGAATAATTCAAATTATTCAGGATGTAAGATTGAACAAGTCATTCGATGGAAACGCATCGGAGAAAGTCGGTTGCTCTAATTTGAGTAGTTTCGATCGACTAAATACTTATTTGTCAATATCATCGTTATACTTTGTTACTAAGGAATTTTAAAACAAGTAAACATTATTTATATAAAAAGTAAAGAAAAAAGGAATTAAAAAACGAAAGAGTAAGACAGAGTAAGAATACAATAAATGATTATGAGTGACGCGTAATGTCTTTAAGTCACGGAGTATAATAAAGATTGTAAAATGAGTAATAAATTAGAGAAATTGTCGAATTTCTTTTGAGAAAGTAAGGATTAGTGCTTTTAACTGTACAGAAGAGAAGGAAATATCAAGAAATATTTCAGAGAGCGCCACGTGCAAATTAATGAAAACACGTCACCGTTATATCGAACGTATACAAGAAAGACGTCCAAAATTCTTTTCGAACGCGAAGTTCAAATGTTAGTTACGTGAAAATTGTTTTTTTTTCAAAGAAATCTAAACTTTTTCATCATGTACGAAATTCTAACCTAACTTTATCTATTTTGGACGAACAGTAGGTAAGTTTGTTTTCAGTGACAAGATATTTACATCACGATGATAAATTTGTTTAAGAATTTGCGACTGATAGCATTAGTAATTCCATATTAATGTGTTTGTTAAAAAGAAGAAACTTTGTCCATCAAAGCGGTATCGCAAACATTTAAAAAGATACCATCCATTGATAATTTCTTAAAAATATTTGCTTTGACATTGTTATTTATATGAAATTTCGTTCTGAACCGAAATATTGGATGTGTCTTATTTTTATTATGGTAAAAGAATGTACATTATGATCAGTTTTTCTTTTCTATTATATAAGTCTGAACCTCTATGTTTTGAAAAAGTATGTTAAATAAAGTAAAAAGATGCAAAACTACTATATTCAATTGACAGCAAATAAAGAAACTACATATCTTGTTTATAGCATAGTGTGAAGTATGATGTCCAATGGTATTCGGATTTCTACAAACGAAATTGGAGGAAGATCAATGTCAAGGAACACAAGTTGTTCACTCAAACCATCGTCAACACTGAATTCTCCATTGATGAAGTTATCTTCCTACTTCCTAGCTGTAAGACCATGGTCACTGAGTGTTTCGTTAATGCCAACACTTCTTGGATCTGTATTAGCATATCGGTTAATAGGGTTGGCAAATTTCAGTTGGATATCCTTTGTCCTTACTTTATATACAGTGTTTTGTGTACATGGTGCCGGTAATGTAGTAAATACTTATTTTGATTATATAAAAGGGGTGGACAGCCGAAAAAGCGACGATAGAATACTAGTGGATCAGATTTTATCGAAAGATGAATTAGTTTCATTAGGTGCTCTGTTATATGCTGCAGGATGTTTGGGTTTTATTTTGTTAACTACTCTATCTCCTGCAAAAATGGAACACCTAGCACTTGTATATTTTGGAGGTTTATCCTTTTCATTTCTTTATACAGGAGGTATAGGATTCAAGTATATTGCGCTAGGTGATGTTCTTATTTTAGTTATGTTTGGCCCCATTTCTGTTCTGTTTGCATTCATGGCTCAAACTGGTTACTTTGAATTAGGTACTATATACTATGCTATACCTCTTGCATTAAATACAGAGGCTATTTTACATAGTAATAACACAAGAGATTTAGAAAGTGACAAAAAAGCCGGAATAGTAACACTAGCAATTTTAATAGGGCATACTGTATCTCATGTATTGTATGCTTTTTTATTATTCACACCATATGTAACTTTTGTGGTGCTTGCACTAAGATATTCCATTTGGTTTCTCTTACCAGTTGTTACTCTACCGACTGCCTTTAAAATAGAAAAGCAATTTCGAAGCCCACATATGATTCAGAGCGTGCCTAAACAAACAGCTAAATTAAATATGTTTTTGGGCATTTTGTACGTTGTTGCATGTTTACTCGTGGATCCTCTTCCTTATCTATAATATATGTATATCTTGTCTCTGTTCCAAAAAACAACTTTTATAGTTCAACAGACTATATAGGCAGCTAACAACCAATTCGGTACATAATCTCAAATAAATCTCTTTCATTATTACATGGATTATTATCAATCATCTAAGACAGAAACATCAAACTGTTTAAATTTGCTTTTTGTTATCTATATGAAAGTATAATTTATTGCTTCTCTTGTGCAAGTATAACCATGTACATTACACAATTTATTTCTCAGTTAATGTGACAAATTACTACGTTATTCTAATACAATACACATTTAGATAAAACTTTTTGACAATGTGATGATCGTTCATATGTACAAAGCGACTGTATCATTTAGAATCTGAATTTGTACTTGTATTTCTCTAATACGTGTAATAAGCATAATATTTTTGCACCTAAAGTAGGTGTATATTGATATGAATTTTACACATATACTTATTTATCTCACTGTTTAGTATTCTAAGTAGTATTATTCGTACGAAACAATACGTATATTCTACAAAGTTTTGTAATCTTGAAAACAGAACAAACCTAAATGCTGAAGTTTTCACATTTTATAAACTGGTAAATTTACAAAATGAGACAATAAATTCTGATGCTTTACCAGTAATTATTTAATCAAATACTGTCTCAACATTTGTGATACAGACAAGAATTGTTAAAGTGACGATTAGGAGGATCCTCCAAATCCTGCTATACTGTACGTTTTTCCAAAAATACTGTATGCCATTATATCAAAGAATATTATACAAAGGTAGTCAAGAAAAAATTAATTTCCGTTTTCGTGTTTTATTTATTGTATACAAAGAAATGTATTTTACTTGTAAATGCACATCTATCAGACACAGATTCCAAACGTAAAACTTCGTAACATAATACCTATAAGTATTTGATATAAAATGTAATTATTTATGATTATACCTGATTATTTCGATTGCAAACGAAACAAACGAAATCTCTACATAATAAGTATAAAAATAGAACAAAGGAGTTTTTATGGAAATGATTTAATAAATTACTTTTTTTATCGATTCAGATTTTTATTTTCATTACTTATTGTAAAATATTGTTTTCGAAGATTTTTAGAAAAAAATCAAAAGTAAAAAATAAGTTGCAGATGCTTAAACATTTATGGTATCTTCCAACTCGTAAATTGCATTAAAATAAAATCTTTTAATTAAGCTTAATATTATTTATATATTAAACTTAAAACAAAGGAAATAACTCTGTTTTAAGCTGCGTACTCATGACAAATGAGCAACAAAGTGTCACTAATGTGGTTTGTACGATTTGTACGTACATGGAAATGAAGGTGGAAATCCACGACAAACTCGCCGGCAACTCGCGCTCTGATTGGTCTGGATTTTTCGTTAATATCTTGTTAACAAATTAAGCCTCGGACAACTTTTTACTAAGGAAAAACTTGTTTCACATCACCTCACGAGTCTCCCTCTCATGAGAACTCTTCACGTGAACTTCACATTAAGAGAAATCTTCACATGTACTTTAATTCCCGCCAAATCATATTAAATATACGTAATATGAACGAGGTATATAATACTCCATTTATACGAATAATATTTATAATTCCTGCTTTATCGATAACGTCGGGTATTGGCATAAAATGTTCATTGGGTTCTAGAACCCCACAAAATCTGGCCACAAAAAAGTATTGGATGACTGTCTATTCCTACACGTACCTCGTCTGTACTGTTACATACTTTTACCATTTGAATATTCAAATGAATGGAATGAAAAACTTCTGATTTATTATATTATACATAGTTCATAAGTCATGTAAAATGTCATACAAATCCAGAAACGATTTTTGTTATGAAACAAATTACAATTTAAAGTTTTGTTGTTGATGAATGTTAAAGGAATTGTTAATTATACTCTGTTAATCGGTATACTACTTTAGTATTTTCTATTGCAATACTACCTAATACAATTAATCGTGAAACTTTTCTTTCTTTTAATCAATTATTTGCAACGACTTTTGGCGAACACGTTCTCTTCGGATAGTGTTTGTAATTTATCGTATCGTCTAAAGCAGCGAGAGTCGATGTAATGCAATGTAAAGATTATACCATAAAAGTGACGGCGAAATAAGGAACGGTGAGCTTTTGAAACCGCAAAATCTATCTGGAATAGCGAGGACGGATCGATAGTATTTCAATTAGAAAGTAATAAGAGTACTTTGTCCTACTATTCCCGGGTCTCCAGTTGTTGACCTTGTTTGCGGTGGTTGCGTCGCTATGGCGGCATAACGAATCTTTAAGGTTACGAGAGAACAGGCGCAAAGCTTTAAAAACGGAATGGTTGTCAGGAGGATTTTCCAATTAGGAGTGGTCGCGACGGTGTTGGTGAATCTGCACAGTTCAGCCGAAGAGAATTCGTCTGGTGACGCAAAGTGTCAGTTCGGCAAAACTCTGCGTAAACAAGTGAACGCAGAACCATTGAATGGGACATGTTTGCGAGACATCGTGGTTCGGCTGTCAAACGAGTTTCGCTCGATCACGGACGTGGAACTCGGTTTGACATCCTTTCAACAAATGCTCGACGCAATGGAATTCACGAACACCTCCAGTAGCTTGAATTGGAGGCTAAATTTGTTAGGAGATAAATTGAACAACAAGCTGCTGTCCTATGTAAAGCTTCTTAGACAGAGCAATAATATTCTGCAGCCGATTTTAGCTAAGAATGAAGATGAATTTTCCTACCCTGGTTCTGTCGAAGGATTAGATATAGTGTCGAGTAAGCTGTCTGACTTCTGCTTAGAGATCACACAAGGTATGGTATGAGACTGCGATGGTACTTTGTCAGGAGCATGGATAATGGTACTTTTGTTTTCCATCCCTTTGACCTTTCTTCTTCATACAGTCTTCTATGAAGACATATATTCAGTGGAAGTGATACACAAAAGAAAAATATAAATGTGTGTTTTTCAGCACTCGCTATTCGCTTGAGGAATCAGGAATTTAAGAACATGCATGTGTTGCCTTTCATGTATCCTACAACTGTATGTGGCCCATTCAGCTCTGATCATAACATTGGACCTCTTCTATTATCTCAATATTGCCCAAAAAAGAATGTACTTCTACTATTTGAGCATGGGATGTTTATGTCTGAAGGAGATATTACTCTGGCTCAAATAACAGCAGAAAGAATAATTGACATGCTGTCTCAAATGGATTATATTAATGTTGTAGGGCTTTCTAGCAACAATTCTTTATTTTGTAAAGATGGTTTGTTAAAGGCAACGGATGTTAACAAATTTCAGCTGGCGCGTTATATTCACAGTTTATCAAGGACAGGTATTGTATTTTAACATTCCGTATATAACTTTGATTCTTCTGTACTATGCATTTTTACACCTTCAAATTTTAGAAACAAATGAGACAATTGAATTTGATTTCGACAAATTGTTGGAAAATGTAAAAGGTGAAGTTGTCTTTATTCATCTGACCAATACGCTTAAGACCACTTCACATATAACAAAAATAAACAATATGATATCCGTGGGAAAGGTGAACGGTTATCTCAGAACAATTTTAATTCTGTCCGGTGAGTTGAATGTGTAATAATTATGCGTGATTAAATACAATGTTTGTACAATGCATCTTTAATGTATTGTTCAATGTTATAGACCAGGAACCTCATTCAAACATAAAGGAATACGATGATAACATAGTTGTTCTGCCAACACAAAATATTTTAGCATATGAAATATCCAGATTATTTTCCAATTTGAAATGTTCTGATGAGCACAAGAGAGATTATTACTTATCTGATCCATACTTTGATTTATATAGTAAAACAATGACAGTGTCTATAGGACAAATTACGGACAAAGCACTGATATCGTTAGATATTCAGTTGCGAAATTTTATTGACGATATAATATACTTCAACGCTGGTTCAGGTATATACCCCATATTATTCGATAATAACGGTATAGTTTGGGTTCACAAAGACTTTCCACGAATGGAGACAATAATGGAACAACCCCTTAAAGTTAAATTACAACATATAGAAAATATTAGCCCGGAGACTGTAACAATGATGATTGAACAATATGAAGGTGTTCTAAATGTAAAAACGAGACTGAGAGAACAGGTATATTAATATTTATATGTGTGCTGAAATCAAGCTCATATTAATTTAGACATTATGTTTTAGAAATGGTACCGATGGAAACATTTGACGTATAAGAATTTGATAATATGTATAGTGTCGACAAGCAACGAAAGTACAGAATTTGCGGCTAAACTGATACCGATGTTACCAACGAATATTTTGCATCACCGTCTTGACCTCCTAATACACAGTCTCTCTGACAAGGGCATTCTGTGCACTAATAATAATAAACTTGTAACTTTATGTAAGTTAGTTCTCCATCCATAAACGCAACAGCAGAAATCAAAAGCGTATTTGTAATTTTAAAGGAGATGATGTTTGTTTTCCAGCAACAGGAGTGGTCTATCTTTCTCCATGGTGTTTTCAATCCCCGATGGAACAGCTTAAATTATTAGATACAGGATCTGCTGTAACTATGCAAAGTTACATGGCATACATAAAAGATTTAAGGGGACTTCTAGCTAATCCTGGTCTACGTCAGTCCGTTAAGCCGGATGTAGCTGTCTTGACACAAACTTTGGAATACTTTAAAGACAGACATATAGAAAGTCCTCTAAACAAGTTCATAATAAGAAGGTAATTTAAAACTAAGTACTGTTGAGAGAATATTTGGAAAAGTGTAACACCCCGAAAAAAAAACCTAAAAAATAATTTTAAATAATTCTAGATACATCACTGGAACTATGAGCGGAGTCTTAGAAGTTTATCCAGGAATTATGCTCGACACCGGTTTCGATCCTAAAAGACGAATGTGGTATGGGAACGCTTTGGAGCATCCCAGAAAATTAATTTTCACCCCGCCATATTTAGGCGCCGGTGGATCCGGTTACGTTGTTACTCTCAGTCAAACCGTTCACATGAATTCCAACTCAACTAGTCATAATGACGCTATAGCCGTCTTATCCATGGACGTAACAATGGGTTTTGTTTCACGACTTCTGAAAGAAATGTTTCCTTTTTGTAACGAGTCGACGGTAAAGTGTTTCCTGATGGATGACAAAGGATACTTGGTATCTCATCCGGCTTTATTAGAACCACTTGGTAAAGTCGAGCAACAACATTTGACTCACAAAGAGTTACTAGTTGCAAACGATATATTGAATCACGAACTATTCGTGAAAAAGAAAGCTTGCACAAATTATTTGAATGGCACCGTGCAAAGGTATTACCAGTTCAATACATCTCTCGACGAAGTTCTTACGAACATAGTTCACGGAGAACACTGTGTCAAATACCAAGTAGCAGCGGTACCGGGCACCAACGTATTTCTGGGAGTAGTTAACGTCACCTGCAATTTATTACGAGCTTTTTGTCCGTGTAGTATAGTAAGTAAAACTGCCATTGTTATTTTCTGTACAATGCTTGTCAATGATTCGTGTTGTTTCTAGAACCATGGTCCCTGGTATGATAATCCATACGCCGTTGGCTAGTTAGTGGCTTCTAAATCGAATCAATGATCAAACTTTAATAACAACGCAAGTTATTGAGATGTATTGGATACTAATAACTCCCTTCATTCGATAGTAATAGTACATGTTAATGTTTTCCAGATGGACCGTTCGTGTTTAAACTGTAAACGAATGGAACAAACTGAATGCGAATGTCCGTGTGAATGTGCCTTGTACTTTTCGAGTTGTGCGGATTACACCACATATAATGTGGATAACTTAGAACCCTGTCCAGTACCATATGAGCAAGGCGGTAGCTCACAGGTACCTTATACACAGTCTGCGAACGTAAGACCGTGTCCGTCCATTGATTGCAAGTTATTTAAGACAGAAAACGAGTGCTTAGGAATCGTGGGCTGTCAGTGGTGCCATGTAGACAACGATGGGGAAACACCTTTGCATGTTCCATTTTGTAATGATATGCTCAGATGTTTTAGGGGTGTCCTGGGGTCCTCTGTGCCTCTCAACGATGGAACGTACAGTAAGTAACAGGATTTTCTTCACACCATTTCGTAGCTTCTTGAAACTTTACAATACTCTACACGGCTTTTTTTTTACTATTTTAGATTCTCAGTCGACCGAAGATATTGCAATGCGAGAATGGCCATCGGTTGGTCCGGTAGCTGGAGGAATCTTAGCGTTTCTTTTAATATTGGGAGTCATACTGTTTTGTTATAGACTCCGCTCTGTCCAATCAGGATTGGAACATCAGTGCTTGCACATTCACACCTCACCAGACATGCTGCGTATGACGCATTTGGAAGGTGACGCGGAACCTATAGAATTGGATCAAGCGAAAAATAATTTAGACTCTCTTATAAGGGACGGTATAGCTCCCATATCGCCATACAGGGTTTCCACTAATTATAGGAAGCCGCCCGGTGGCGACAGTGATCATGGATATAGTACAATGACACCTCATGACGATTCCGAACAACAAACTTTCGCTGAACCACAACAACAACTCATTTAGGATCCCCTCATCACGTTCTAGCACCTGTCACCGTCCATTGCAATATGGAAGCAAATTATTGTTAACGTGAGACTGCTATTATTTACACGAGGAATATGTTATACACTGGAGATTTGTTCCTTTGAAAGATGAACGAATGTTCATTCGAAGTTTACATTATGAAACATAATGTAAGGAACACTTTTTTTTTAATTCGCAGAAAAATTGATCAATTTTATAATACTGTTTATAAATATTTGATTTTTTTTTACAAGTTACTGTAGTAAACACTTAGAACAATTATTAGTATTTAAGGTTACATTGAAATGCTTTGGTAAATAGTGTTTTACTGATTAGAATGTTACTTAACTTACTATAAGTATTCATGACGATATGCGAATTTCTTTTAATGCAACTTGCATTGTAAAAAAAGAGTATAGAAACTTTATGCATCCTTGCAATCATGAAGTAAAGTGAAGAAGATAAGAGTTAGAAGTAAGTGGCCATAGTTGGAAAAATGTTAACGTTTCATTTTACATACTTTATAATGTCTGGAATTATAGTATCATGAAAACACCAGTAGCTATAATTTCATTAAATTTAAAAATTACGTTGGTTATTCTGTTACGTATAACTATAAACGTTCTTGGATATCATATAACACATCATATATTTTTATATAAATAAAAAGCAAACTGTGTAATTCAGGTTTCTAAAATTACACCAATTATTCTGTCATCATATCAGTGTACATAATATGTATAAGAAACAAGACTAATTCTTTAAAACTGGCAAAATTATTTAAGACTAAAGAGGGATACCTTATTTCACAGTTTGTCTTTTAATATATTTAAAAAGTTCTCGAGGACACAAACATCACAAGTTAATTATTTATATATTGTATAAGTTACTTAGCCTTAACTTTTATTGACCTATATAAAATCGCGTAGTTATTAATATGAAGCTATTTACATTTTTATACATTGCAATATTTTTTTTTGAGGAAGGTATACACTGACATTCTTGTAAGCACTGAAAAATGCGAAAATTCTTACCAGCTAAGAGGCAATCTCTTAGATATACATTGTATACGATCATTTGACTGACTACTCGTAACTCTATCTTGCCAATGTTTTAGCATTTATTGTAAACTGAGAATGCGAATTTATATTGTCAACGAAGATTTTACTGTATATTTTCATAACTTATAAATGTAGAAAAAAATTACTTTTTGAACAATTTACACGTTGCATCAGTATTTTCATTATTAAAATATAACTGCTGTTGAAAAAAAATTGTAGTTTTATTGTTATCGTAAGTAAAATACAGAAAAGAGATTATCAAACCTGGGAGTTTCTTTATTTCATTGTTTCCAGCGTCTTGTAAAAAATAAATGAATGAAGTATATTAGTTGCTTTTTTAGGGGTTCGCTATAATATTGGGAAATCATCTGTTCACACACAATAACGTTTCATTATATTTAATACTAAAATCCGATGTGTAATGTGTGTATTGTTATTTTCCAGTTACGCGTTAATATTTCAGTTACGGCGTAAAGTCCGGGTTCTTCCTTAAAATTACGAAACCTTCCATGATCGGCGTTAAAGGAATGTATTCTTCCGTCGCCAATTCTGCTCTTTCGCCGTACGCCAGTAGAACAGGTGTTGTATGCGTTTGAAAACCAGTGATAGTTTTCGGTTTCCCTGCTTGACCCACCACGTCCACGGCAAGACCAACTCTCACAGGTACAGGAAGAGGATTTAATTTTTCGTCAAATGTTACCAACATCCTAGGCTGCATCGCAACCGCTAGCGTATATAGTAAATAATGCGAGCGACCAAGTATGACTGCAAAGAACAGTTACATTAGTCCAACAGATTCTGATCACTGAACGTCGTTTAGAATTTAGCATACTTACTATTTTTTACGTCTAGAAAACCGACAAGAGTAGCTAAAAGACCAGCCAGTGCGACAGGGCTTAATACTTGTCTATCGCTATGATAAGGGGACAACGTTAAAGTTCCTTTACCAAGGTGGGTCAGACCTTGGGCTATGCGCACCATGAAAAGATTATTTGGATCCTTCGCATGAAACTGGGCCAGCTGTCGCAACATTGCAGCCAGTCTTGCATTATTTGTTCCAGCTCCAACTAAGCCCATTGCGAAGATTGCATTGTGAGCGACTTCAGGATCACTGTCGTGGGAGAACTTTGATAACGTGTCTAATATATTCAACTTCGGATTGGAGACCGATATGAGTCCAAGAGCTAGAGGAACCGATCGCCGTATTACAGGTTCACAGTAACGCAACAAATGGCCAAATGTTCTGTACGCCATTTCAGCACCGATCTCTTCTCCCATGGCGATCAAAGCAATACCAAGTACAGCGATTGCCTGTCTGGAACTGAGATCTTTCTCCTTTTCCTCTTTTTTATCCTCCTTCTTGTCTTTATCTTTTCGATCGCTCTTATCATCCTTCTCATTGGAGGGTTCGTAATGCTCGGAACAAATGTGCAACAAATGCTGAATTTTCAGAACATTTCCAGTGCCTGCGTACGCGCACACTTCCACCAGAGTGGTGGCCATCGATTGAAAAGGTTCTGGTATTATTTCTAGAGCAGCTATTATAGCCTCTGCCGCTTCTTGCTTACCTAAGAAACACAGACCAAGACCCAGAGCCAAGAAGCGTGCGTAGGTATCTCTAAGGTCTGCCTCAGACTTTTCCATTAGAGTACGCATAATATGTGTGATAGCGTAAGCGTTGCAAGAACCAACTGCAACCATTCCTAGCGCAAGACCCGCTACACCTATTACTTCCCAACTGGATTTAGGGTCACTGAGGACAGGAGTCAAAAGACGTAAGACTGCTTCGCGATTGGAACCCGCATACGCCAATCCTAGACCCACAATCGCACCAATACGCATGGTATTGCTACTGTGCAAGACATAATCCGAGAGCAGGGCCAAAGCAGGATCGCATTCGATTCGTACACGGCAGTTGACCAGTCCGCAAGCTAATAATGCTCCCGATTTAATGTAATCCTCGGATGAATAAAGATACTTGTCGATTGGCGTTAAACCACCATCGACGTCCCATAGTAATACAAGACCAAGAGACGCGGTTGCGCTCAACATTCCGTGCTCTTTATTTTTGTACAACCATTTGTTTCCATCTTCGATCAACAATTTATCCTGACCAAATGCTGCATTCACGAATCCATTCACGAAGCTGGCCGCAAGATTTTGTCTGGCTGAGTCCACTTGGCCACCGCCGAAGGGAGCTCTCGAGTTCTCTAAATGCGATTTGTACACATCCTCTGGCGTTTTTGGCTCCATTATGTCCAATTCACGTGCCAGATTTAAGAAATGATAATTTAACAATGAATTAGACATTAGTTCTACCAATTCGTCGAATTCTGGAGTAGATTCGGGCAACTCTAAGAAAATCTGCTGTCTACCTAACATGAATGCCAATTGTTTCTGCAGGGATCTGAAAAAGATTATTGGATACAGGCATTAATTGAAACTGTATAAACAAAAGTAATTACGACAATGGTATTACTTACAGATCTGTGCATTTGGTAAATATATCTTCGATTAGAGGCAAATGATTGAGCTGCATTGCTAACCTCACAGCTTGTGGATACTGACCAAATTTCCTATATAGTTTTGCAGCAGCATGAAGAAGAGTACTGTTCTCTGGATCTGCTACATAAGGTACACAGCTGGTTAAATATAAACAAACCCGCTGATATGCACTTTCATCAACATACTGTTCCAATAAATCTAGTTTCTCAATTTCCATGAGTAAATCACAGGCTTCAGTCTCTGCATTGTGGGCCATATTATATGGTACAATCTGATGTACCAAAGCAATCAGTTTTTTACTTGTAGTCTCTGCATCATCTGTAAGCTCGTCCCATTCTCCAGCTAATTCTCCCGATAAATGTCTGACATATTCATGTCCCCATTCTCCAATAGCTAAGGCAGATCCAGTAAGTCTGTACTTTAAACATTCTCTACCCTCGCCCATGGTCATGGCAAGGACAGAAATAATGTCAGAACATAGCTCTTTAGCCTTTGCATCGTTAATGCTTTCATACACAGCTTTCATGGTGTCATAGTTCGGACGCATAAATTTCAATGGCTTGGGAACACTTGTCATTGAAGTAGTAGATGCACGAATATGAGACTAAAAAATATTACAGTAAATACAACTGTTATATACAGTTATTTAATATTAAATTTATTTCTTCTCAATATAAAATCATTTCGCAGAACGTACGGACGTAAAATCTAATTATATATTATTGATTGTTATATCTCGAAACAATCTTTTGTTTGAAAGTAATTCATTGTTAACACTGTCCAACAGAATAAGAATTTAAATCTCACCAGTTCATTTTTCTCTTCTTCCTTCCCGCTTTTAATTTCTTTGCCCGGCTTCGCTTCTGTTTTTACACTTTCTGGCATTTTTGTTTAATTATATCATATAATGGATTGAAAACACGAATATCACGTCCCCCCTTAGGAACTGTTAGTGTTTTAGGTTAGAATCACCGTAGAATCTATTTGCGAGTCACCACTGCTCATCAGTGACTAAGAATATATAGAATAGAAACTCAACATGAACATTCGTGTTTGCGTTACATGGAAATCGAATTCGAAACTGTTGAAAATTATTTACTTAGTACATTTTTCCTCATTCAAACTCGTATCGATAAAAACGAAAAAAGAAGCAATTGGCATGAAATTTTGATTTTGGTACTTAAGTTTTTCAGCAAAGTTCTTTATATGCGTGCAATATTCCTTCCCCTCATGGCCCTCAAGACACTACTATAAGACGCGTAGTCTATTATATATGATTATATACGTCTATGGTTTTGTGTAATGCTTTGCTTCGCAACACTTACCGTACTATTGAACACTACTCAACACTATTGAACACTGTTGAAGTAATTGGAAGTAATATATTTGTGGGAGATTGAAGGGTTAGGTTCATTTATGATGCTTTGCTGTTAATTGACTTCGAAACCACGAATTTCCGAAGATATAAGGGTGACAGTGCAAGTGACATTTTAATAATTACAAAAGATCGTAGGGATATATTTGATGTTGTAAAAATGAGCCGCAGAAGAGTTCACGAAGAAGAAGATGGATACGGTAAATCCACGCATTTCTTATATTTCTCTTATAATAATACTATATTTATACTATTGTGTGGTGTTTGTCTGCATCAAAATTAAAATTTAAGATTTTGTTCGTTTAAAATCTTTTCTTCTGGTAATTTCTCTAATAACCGAAATTTTCTAGAACGTGCATACAAAAAGCGTAGAAGAGTATCCGAGAATCAAGAAATTGAAGATCGACTTGAATCTCTTATTTTACGAGTTGGAGAAAAATCCACGTCCTCTTTAGAAAGTAATTTGGAGGGCTTGGCTTCTGTATTAGAAGCTGATCTTGGATTGTTTCGGAGCAAGATACTTAGAATTTTGACAGAATGTGCAATCAGAATGCCAGAGAAATGCACAATCTATACTACTTTGGTTGGATTGTTAAATGCAAAGAATTTCAACTTTGGCGGCGAATTTGTTGATTATATGGTAAAGAACTTCAAGGATGCATTAAAAGCTTGTAAGTGGGACGTTGCCAGGTACTCGCTTAGATTTCTGGCTGATTTAGTGAATTGTCATGTTTTATCTTGTGGGTCTTTGATGCAATTATTTGATAACATGTTAGACACTGCTAATGAAGATGGTGTGCCTCAAGTAAGACGTGATTGGTACGTGAAAGAAATAATTGTTAAGTAAGAAGAAAGGTTAAATTTAATTATGTATGTTCATACATTGTTGGTTTATTTTGTAGGTATGTGTATGCTGTGCTATCAACATTGCCATGGGTTGGACGAGAGTTATATGAAAAGAAAGAGCAAGAGTTAGATCACTTGATGGTGACAATAGAGATATTTTTAAATAAACGAAGTAAGAAACATCAACCAGCCTTAAGAGTTTGGTCTAGTGATACACCTCATCCTCAAGAAGAATATTTAGATTGTTTATGGGCTCAAGTACGGAAGCTTAGGCAAGATAATTGGGCAGAGAAACATATTCCTAGACCATATTTAGCATTCGATTCAATATTATGCGAAGCATTGCAACATAATTTACCCACTATAATGCCACCACCTCATCATGAATCTTATTCTTATCCACTACCGACAGTAGTCTTTCGAATGTTTGATTATACAGACTGCCCAGCTGAAGGTCCACTGCTACCTGGAAGCCATGCCATCGAACGATTTCTAATAGAGGAACACTTAAGACAAATTATTAATAATTGCTTTAACGAAAGAAAAGACTGGTACGTATTCCGCATACATATCGTTATGTTTCATTATGTTCGGCTAATACGAAATTCATAATGAAAATGTATTACAGTGCAGCACAATTACTGAATTTTCCATACAAAGCAAAAATACCATTGGATTATTGCATTGTGGAAGTAATATTTGGTGAATTATTTAGATTACCGGCACCAAAGCATTTGGAGATCTGTTATGGATCGATTTTAATTGAACTTTGTAAGCTACAACCATCGACTATGCCACAGGTGAGAATTTACAAAACTTTTTAATTTAAATTGGTCAACCAACCAAGCGATTTTCTTTTCTTTTTAATCGATACTTTTTCTAGGTTTTGGCGCAAGCAACCGAGATTTTATTTCGTCGCATAGATAGCATGGCTGCTACCGCCTTTGATCGCTTTGTTTGGTGGTTCGCGTATCATTTAAGTAACTTTCAGTTCCGTTGGTCTTGGGAAGACTGGGATTCTTGTTTGCAGCGTGATCCAGAACATCCACGTCCGAAGTTTATTCGTGAAGTACTTCTTAAAGCTTTGCGGTACATACATTTTCTTTGTGATGCAATAATAAATGGCAGTATGAAAACAATAACTTTTTATGGTTTCTGTTTAGATTGTCGTATTTTCAGAGAATACGAGATATGATGCCAGAATCATACGCTGAGTTGATTCCAGCTCTCCCGGAGCCTATTTATAAGTATACTTCGGAAGGAGCTAGTAAGTATAATAAAGTATAATGTTAATAATCTTTACGTTCAAAACAGGGTTTTTGCAAGTCGAGTGTTTCAAGTAAACAGCAGCTTATATTTAAATTGATTTTAGGTTCCCTGCCTGGTACAGCAGCAGCTCATGAATTAGTTGTTTCGATAAGACGAAAGTGTACACTGGAGGAAGTACTAAACGTGTTGAACACATTGCCTGGCCCCAGAGAAAATGAAGAGACAAATAATTTCAATCCTCTAAAGATTGATGTTTTTGTACAGACTCTACTGAACCTAGGCTCAAAAAGTTTTAGTCATAGCTTTGCAGCTATAGGAAAATTCCATTATGTTTTTAAGGTAAATCGTGTAGCAAATATCGTCGAACCTGATACGATTTATCAAGTTGAGGGCCTCACAAAAATACTCGTATTAACTAACATATTATAAGCACTTAACAGTAATTCTTGTGTTTGTAGGTGCTTGCTGAAACAGAAGAGGCGCAAATATGCATTTTAAGAAACATGTACGCATTATGGAAGAATCATTACCAGATGATAGTGGTTCTGACAGACAAGTTTTTGAAGACTGGTATCATTGAGTGCAGTGCTATTGCTAATTGGATATTTTCTAAAGAGATGACGCCTGAATTCACTAAGTATTCATTAACTCCCGACAGTAATAATTTAATAGAAGTAATATTTAACGAATTTAACTTAACGATAATAATCGTGTTTCATCAGGCTGTACATTTGGGAAATACTTCACTTAACAATCCGAAAAAAGAACAAACATGTAACGAAGTTAAGCACAGAATTGACCGAGGCACGAGAAAAATTGAGAAGAGCAGAAAGTAGATCAGAATCGTCGTCAGAGGATGACGATAATAATAAAGATAGAAACAAAGAAAAACCATCGGAGGATGTTGTAGAAAGAATGGAAGAGAAACTGGAGGCAGCACAGGCTGATCAAAAAAATCTATTCCTCATCATTTTTCAAGTATGAATTATCAATACCATTATAAAAATGTTAAGACAAATTAAATTAACGATGTATTTTTTCTTCCCCAGCGCTTTATAATGATTTTGTCCGAACATCTAGTACGCTGTGATACCGATGGCATAGACTACAATACTCACTGGTACAAATGGACCATAGGAAGATTGCAACAAGTGTTTCTCACTGTAAGTCACAATGTTCACAATGAATATAATTACAAGAATTTAACAAAACAGATATTGTTATAATTGCTTATGGGATTTTTGTTATAGCATCACGAACAAGTTCAGAAGTATTCGTCGACCTTAGAAACTTTACTCTTTACACCAGATTTGGATCCTCATATTTTGGACGTATTCCATCAGTTTGTATCTCTTCGCGCGTGAAGATCGTTTTGTTCTCTAAAATATATGTTGAAAACCTGATCATTAAGAGTCATGATATTTCATGGTGTATATTATATTACATGTTTTCACATTACGATACTATAGCTAGCGATGGAATGAAATCAGTTTTTCATAATCATGCGACGTACAACATAACATTCTGTGTAAATGTTTACAGTTTTGTATTCTGGTTTATTTCGTTGTGATGTAAATATCGAGTATATTGATCCATCCTTTAACCAAACGGTTTTATGCAAACAATTTACGGACGTTTCTTAGATAGAACTATGAACGTCATAATGAAAAAAGTAATGTAAATAAAAGTTTGAAGGCCACATTATATACCCATGGGTTTTATTAAAATTTTGGTACCTGCGTGATTTCTAAATTTATTCTATTTTAAGTAAACAATGACTAAAGAACAAAGCTTGATTTCAGTTGAATAATTATTTATCAGTTTCATTAAATGATTATCAATTACGTACAACAATAACTATTGTCATAAAATACGATGCAGTCACGCGACTCAGTTGAAAACAATTTTCTTTTATTATAAAGTTCTTTTATTCTAAATATTTAAATAATTTTTCGAATAATCGATCGATCGAAACTATACACTTGTGAAATTCGATTGATCGATGGATAGGGAAGGAAGTACGTCCCTGTTGTACTCGAATGGAATGACAGTTCTATGGACAAGTTCGATTCGAGCATGTACGAGGGATCATTCTGCTGTCAATTAATCCACGTGATGATCGAGGATTTACGGTTATTCGTTTGATCATTGTATTTCGTTCATTTGGATGTGTGACTCGAATGAAAAATTCGTTTCCTCGATGTCACATTTACGCATTATGGATAATCGACGGGCACCGACTCACAAAGATACTCGTTACTGACCGTGGGTATCTTAATGCGAAGCGATTCGTAACACGGAATTACTCGTTCTCTCTGAGGTTCTCTGGGAGTCATCGAAAATGCCGCGTTACTGATCCAACTGGCCAACATAGTCGTACGATCTTGTTTAAATCGTTTCCGAACAGTGACCAGCGGGAAAATCTAAAATTACGTCGTATAATTCGTAACTAATAGACGTACACCGTTCATGGAATTCAATTTGCTATTTAGCAGAAGTCGGATAGGCATGTTTATTAAATGACCTCACGACTAGTGTAAGTTTCATTTACGGCGCAATGGAAAAGTTTGCCGTCGATTTGGACAAAGTTTTGGACGATTTCGAATTTAACGAAGGTGAGAGAATCATTTTATCCGTTTTTATTAATTTCATAGGGCTAATGTTGCTTGTAAGTGTCGCTACTAAATTTCAGAACTTTCGAAAATATTTCTTGGATATTAAATAATGCTTAAAAAAGTAAACGAAATTCTGTGTGACTCTAGTTACTTCTAATTAATCCACACAGATCAATATTTGTATGAATCTAAAGTCTAATAATAAGTAATCAATGTTAAGACAGTAATAACACAGAACATTCTACATAAATTATTCAGGATTATGTGACTTTTCCTTTCAACCGACCATCTTCAGTAATTTTCTTTACATATTGGATCTATTGAAAATGACAACAGAATAAACATGTTTTTTAGATTGTGCAGAGCAGATAGCATCAATTAGTTCTGCATCGAACAATTCGTCATCTTCTGTAGTCAAATGTAACTTGGAACCCTCAACATTAAAGAATTACAATTATCTTCCAATAGACTCAAGGAAAACTAATAGAGAATGTGATACTGTTGTATTGCCTCTGGAAAGACATAAGGATTCACAACAAAATGCAAAAACTATATGCGTCGATGAGAAGAATATGCTTCCTGAAAATTTAGACTATACCAGGGAGGAAGCAACATTAGATGGCACGGAAAGTGTTAATCATTTTTATATGCAAGAATGTTCAAATGACAGTAAGGTGACACAGAAGCAGTCTGTCCTGCCTTACAATGCTGAGCCAATTCCTCTAACAATACATAATGACATATCTCAAAAATTAATGCAGAAACAGCAGAATGGTGGTAGTAGTCCAAAGATTGACAATAGGTATGATAAAAAATTAAATCAGTTTAATCTCAAGCCTAGTGTTAGTAATGTCTTCAGCAGTCTGAATGAATACATAAATGCACCACCGGGAAGTTCAGATTATATTCACACCACATTAGACAAACAAGAAATACAGTCTGACACAGAAACCGAAGCTATTCATTGTGGAATTGAAGAACCTCAGCTAATTCAAAGTGCTGCTAAAGATATCGATAACAGTGTAAATATAACGTGTAAGCAAGTAAACGATGTAACAAATACAAGTAGAGAAGTCTTCATTCCAGTTCATCAGAATGTTCCAGTGTCGATGAGAATAGAACTTCCCCTTACACTCGACGGTGATACCAATGAAGATAATGCAAAAAATGTTCATGCCACAGCACTTAAAAGAACGAAAGATGAAATTGTATCATCTAAAGCTGTCGCGGTAACTGAAGCTTGTAGCAAATTAAGTAACGAAACAGAGGTTGTCAATGAAACAGACAGTGGTGAACACAATTTTGAGTATGTACATACAAGTACTGATATTGTAAAACAGGACAGTAGTTCAACGTTTAAGGGTGATGGTTACGAAGAGGAATCAGCAATACAATCGGACGAGAGCACGAAAAAATTGTGTACTAGTAGTTCTGAATCGGTTGATATATCCGAGAAGAATTCACATTCAACAGGTAAACCATTTGGATTTGGTAACATTGATGATTTATCGGAAAATGAATTGACTAAGTATTTAGCCGAACTGGAAGAAGAAGAGGAATTTAATGAAAAGAGTGGCAAGCATCAAACTGGAATAGGAACTGCAATGCAAAGCATGGAACAAGAACGAACACACGAAGCACAAGTTCCAAAAGACATAGAACCTGCCAAACTGATGGTAAAAGACTTAATCGATAACGTAGGAAACATTTCAGTAATTGACTATAAAACAGAGGAAATAGACAAAGAATCACCTATTCATGAAGTGAAAAAAGAAAATCAACAGTGCGACAATCAGATAGCAGAAGACAAGTACAGTGATATTTTAGATAATGCAAACAGTAAAGATATGGAGGAAGAAGAGAAAATCGAACACGAAGATGATCATGTAACTTCAGAAAATGAATATATGTCTGATGCAAAAGCTGTTGAAGATGTCCAAGAACACTGTACATATAAATTAAATATGGATAGAGAATTATTGAATAACGATGAAATTGAAGAACAACTGGGCGAACAAACAGAAGATGCTGAACAATACAATCAAGTTTCTAATTTGCAGCAAGAAGGAAAAAGCAATACTTACAGTAATTCTGAAGAACAGAATTTACCGGTGTCTGGTTTAGAAGTATCGGATGATACAGCATATCGTTGCGACAACACAGTGTCAAATTCTGCAGACATTTTCCCAAGAACAAATACGAGTAACGCGACTGATGAATCCGAGAAACCAGTGCGTCCTCAGACTTTGGATATTGTTTTGTCAAATAATACAAATGGACACCAGACACTTGGTTCTATGAGTGAAATACCAGCTGGTCAAAGGCAATCAAATATTGAGGGGCCAGCAGAAGATCAGGAATCTTCGCCGGATATTTTGGATACTTCCCTACCAGAATCTAATTCGATTCTGGGAAAACAACCACCGTTTTGGGTTCCAGACAGTGATGCACCCAGTTGTATGTTCTGCGATGTAAAGTTTACGGTACTTAAAAGGCGGCATCATTGCCGTGCATGTGGGAAGGTTTTATGTAATAAATGTTGTAATATGAAATACAAATTGGAATATCAAGGAAACATTGATTCCCGTGTTTGTGTTTCGTGTCATCAACTTCTTACAAAAGGTAAGAGATTGCCCAAAGAAACGCTTACAATATTAAAAGTTACATGTACAAGAAATGAATTTTTCTAGCCGAAGCAGAGCAAAGTCTTGGAGAATGGTCTCCTGGTTACTCTACATGCATGACTAACAACGATATTAATTCACCACAGGTATGTTAAACATAAATTGCCTTGCAAGAAATTGTTGTGTATCTTTTCCATGTACAATGTTGTACATTTTATTAGTAAACAATTAATATTTGATAGCCTCGTGTAGTTAAACAGAATTTTGAGCTAATGGTAGTTTATTGCATTCACTTTACTATGGTAAATTGTAAGTTTGGATTATATTTTGTAGGAGTAATAACACGATATTGTATTACCAAATGCTTGAATGTCTTTTATAGTTATCACTTTCAGAATTTCTACTGAAAATAGTATATTTTCACTAATAAAAAATTCTAAGGCTTATTAGTTTCTTTTAGCATAAGTATATTAATCACCTATAACAACTTGTTGAATACTTCTTTTGCTAAAATATTGTTGAGTTCTATTTCCATGTTTCTTGTAATCGTGAGATAGAAATACACATTAAATTTAAACTCATTCAAAATACGAAAGTATAAAGTTGTGGTAGCACGTTTGATATGTTTGCATTGTCTTCTCTGAGAAATTTAAACATTTATTTCTGTTTTATGTTTTTTGTTAATTTATGTATTGCAAGTATTAAAGCATGTTTTATTAACTGTAGCATTATTTGCCACACAAAAATTGCCAGTAAACACAGAAGATGTTTGCTATTGAGTTACTTAGATGCAGCGACAATAATCATTAAAAACTTTGGATTCGTATTTTAAAGACTTAACTTTTTGTTTGATCTTTTTTTTATTATTACTCAAATTTGCCATTTTTCGTATAGTGAATTTATCTTGGGAAGAAATGTGTTAAAATACGAATTAAGTGCAACGTTAATGTAAAGAAAAATGATGATCTTATTTTATTATTTCATGAAATTGTAAAATGTTAGAGAAAATATTGCACCATATTATATACGAAATCTGTGTTTGCTGGATGAAGAAATAAATGTGAATGTTAGGAGTATTCGACAAATGGTTATAGGGGAGACAGCCTAATCCAAATAATCCCATGGAGTACTGTTCAACTATACCACCCTTGCAACAGTTAGCCGGTGGATTGCCTCCACCACCTTCAGTCATGGTACCCGTTGGAGTTCTTAAAAGAGAGGGTGGTACAAAAAACCGGCCAGAAGTTTCAAAGTCTGTTATGTTCAGCGATGGTAGGTGAACGTTTAGTATAATCTTCCATAATACTTACATGCAAAAAGAATATGCAGCTGGAGAGATTCATCTTGGTTGTAAGTGCACATATATTCTCTAGGTCAAATATTTTCATTTTTAGACATTACATTAACAATCGATTCAGTTTTGTGACAAGCTTTACTTTCGATTGAATATCTGAGCAGCGTTTCATTAAACGATTAAGTCTAATAATAACTAACAGTACTAATAATAACTTACAATAATAAACATATTTTTAATACTACAATGCTACCTATAATATTCCTATATTTTAGACTGTACCTAACACACCTTGCATTATGATTTTAATTTCTTTTGAGTTGAACTTACATTCCTATGCCTGGTGCAATATTATTTTTCATTTTTGCCTTCCTGGTGCTGCGACCTTATCACTGGCCTCGATCCTTCCTGTTTGTTTTGGTTTTATGCACCTCTAACTAAAACACAGGAATAAGGCCTGGCTGTGACCTGACAGAACTAGACATGTCCGGGGACACGAAACCGCTGTATCGGAAACCTGGGAGCAAGAGGGCACCTACACCTGGATCGTCCATGCCGAGTACTTCTATAAAAAGGCAGAATTTACCACGTCTGGACCCGAACACCGAAAGTTATGTGCCACAGGATCCCCATATTCTTCCTCCAACTGTAACGATACACAAAGGACGTAAGGGACAAGATTTATTCAAATTCATTGACTTTATTAACATTGCATTCAGACCATTTCAATTTATTTTACAGAGGTATCGTACCATGTTGTGATGGATGAAGGCCTTCTCTACAAAACGCTCAAAAACGAATGTGAACCACCTGTTCTGTTTGCAATTAATCGGAATCTGTATGCCTTTGTTAAAATACTAAATTGTAAGTACATATATGTAAACTTATAATCGTTGCGATTAATTAAATAGAATCAACGATATCTTTCGTTATTCGCAGTAAATTGTTGTATAAACAAAATATGTTGGAACGTGGTGTCCAAAGGATTGGCGTGCGTGGGACAAGATGAAGTTATACTATTAATTGAAACATTACCGGATGAGACTCGGATTCCAATAGATCTGTTTGTCTTCATTAATCAGTTGTACCTCGAAGCCATTAAAGGTTTGTATTTTCCTGTAGTCAGTCTACAACAAAGTTAATTTAAGAATCATCCGCAAATAGGGAACACCGTCTCCGAGTTGGGATTTTCGTTATATCAAGGAGGAAATCTTTTGGGTTCCCGGGAGCATGCAGGATTCCTTTTTATACGGCAAACATTACAGTGTTTGCAAAAGATTGTGTTGCCTCCAGCCCCCTTCTTAGTCGGTCTTTTAGTACACAGGTTTGTTTGATTAAGAATAGTATGAAGTTAGATATTGAAATAAGTTTCATTGCAAGTAATACTATTCTTATGCTTAGGTGGGAAACACCATGGGCCAAAGTATTTCCGTTACGTCTTGTTTTACGTCTTGGCGCTGAGTATCGTTACTACCCTTGTCCATTGTTCTCAGTACGATTTCGTGACGCTTTGTACTTCGAGATTGGGCACACGGTTATGAAAGTGCTGGCAGATTTTCGAAACTATGGATACACGTTACCAAGCGTAAGGAGCTTGACGATACATTTGAGAAACAGAATGACGGATGTAATGTTTCCGAAGAACCGATACGATCAAGTGATTAAAGGGTTGAATAACTCAAACGATCACGTGTTAGCCTATGCCTCGAATTTTAGCATAACCGCCGACTCGCATTTAGTTTGTATACAAACGAATACGGGTGATGAAAGTAGTTATCAGACGCAGGCGATAAGTATCAATAATAAACCAAGAACAGGTGTGTAATTAAATCAGCAATGAAAATTATACAAAATTAACTAAGGAAAAGAAGCTAATTATGTACATTTTTTAGTAACGGGAACAAGTTTTATTGTCATTAACGGCGCGTTAAAATCATCTATGGGACTATCAGCCAAGTCCAGTATAGTTGAAGACGGATTAATGGTGGAAATAATGCCTGAGAAGATGGAAGCTTTGAAGGCGGCACTAAAAAATATGCAGGACTTTTCGATCGGTTGTGGTCGACAGGGTGCACCTGAACCCGATGAAACAGTGAACATAAAGTGGGTGGAAAATGATGTGCAGTTCAATTTAGGGTAAATGTTTCGATACTTATTTATTCTTCAATTTATCGTAATTTTCAGTTGAAATTATGAAATATTTCATTGCAGGGTCAAAAGTCCCATCGATGGGCAACTAATGGATGGTATTCCCTCCATCAGAGTACACAATGGTACTGATTACAAGGGAACGAGTAGATTTATCCGTTGGACAGAAGTATTCATAATTAAAGTATGTTTTGAAAAATACATATGATTTTATTCTTCAAAAATTATATTAATATTTATAAAATATGTTTCGATCTGTGTTTTTTTTTGTTTGCTTAGTCTGATGATCATCCAAACGGTCTTCACGATCCCTTGGACATAAATAAATTATCCGGAAACATAGCGAAAGCCACTTCCATGGCTTTGGTGAAATTACTGGATCTCCTAGCTACTGCTGGATTCACAAAACTCGGTGTTAGGGCAACTATTCACCCTGACAACGTAAGTTGACAAATCTAAGATTATACTTAATCAACTTATCGTAAGAAGTTTTATTTTAAAAACGATATGTAATAATATTAGGTGGGTTACGAAGCCGGTAGCGAAGGTATGAAATTGCCACCGATCTACATGAACAGTTTGGACAACGAATTAATTCAAGTTCTGCACAGAGCAGTGCAAAGCAGTCAAGATACGCATACTGTGCTTGAATTAATTTTTTATATACTTGACGATTGAACTCCCCCCCCCTTCTGTTCACGCCTGTTTCATCAAAGATTTTCCAGACAAAACATAGGAATAGACAGGTTGCCACGTTTGTACGCTAGAAATATAAAATTGAAGGACTCGTAAAGAATACCGACGTAAATCCCTCGGAACAAGGAGAAAATATTTTCTGATTGTATGCTCACCTACATAGAGAACAAAGAAAACGCTTATATTATAAATTGTAACAAGTCGTGTCCATTAAAGCTAGAACTGCTGCTAATACCTGGATATAATTAAAAATCGTCAAGCAGGATACAAACAATAATGAAATTTCTTTTAAATTATATATTAACTTTGGTGCTTTCAGTTCCGAAGATCGAGTATACCTATAATTACGTCCTTCATTTCGAAAGCATTCGTAATATTCTTTTATACATTGTATATAGGTACAAATTTTGTAAGAAAATCGGAAGCTTGACGACAATTTTTCGTGGCCGAAAACCTGTATAAGGTATCGTTATTTGTTATTTGCATTATGTAAATATATTCGTTTCGTTGTTATTCATGTAATATTTGTATAATGATAGTTAATAGTACTTTTTTGACGGAAGAAAGTATTAAAAATGTTAATAAATACAATGGTTTACTTCATTTCTCGAATAGTCGACTAAATTTGAGATAATCTGTCGGAAAATTAGAAGTAATTTGTTCGAAATATCTATCGGAAAAGTATGGTAGCGTCAGCTACCAGTAGAAACGAAGTACTAATTTATACTAGCTTCAAAGTTTTGTTATAGATGGCATTAATAGATTTTTTAAACGCAAAAGAACCATAGGTACAGACCCACTACCCCCAGACAGTCTATCTCTTTCGTTTGAGTATTAGCGACTACGTTGCGTTTAGTTTAACTTATTTTGTATTAATAGCATTAATTCGTATTAATTAGAATATTAAATGTAACTAGCACGAATTGTTTCGTGCGCCGTGTACTCTCCATTGTACATACGATATGTCGAGTTCAATAATGCAACAATTATCGTAGGTGTCATAAAATCGATACCTATCGAACGATTAAAAGTTTCGATCTTTGTTAGTTGCAATTCTTGAGTAAACACAAAAAAACGGCGGTTGTTTACGATTGATGAAACATATTTTGGGAAAGCACATTGACTGAAATTCGTAGTGATTGTGTAGTAGTTTAAACTACTTAGTTATTCTTTGTTTACTACATTCAAGTTAGTCTTTTAATAAACAAAAAATGTATACGTGCCTTAAATTAATCGATCCGGTCGTGATATGTCCTTACAATAAATCTCATTTAATTGCAAAATCTCGCCTCCAGATACACATCGTTAAATGTGAGAAGGTAAGTGTAATATATCGATAAAATATTAAGTGAGTCATTATTAAAATGAATTTCACATGCACAATATATCAGACTGTATCGTAAGTCTGAGCATTTTACAATGAAAACTTTTTAAAAAATAGGAAGAAATTGTACTTTTGTGCATATTTTGTAAAATGGTGTAATGTATATTTATGTATTAAAATGTCTTTATGAAAATGCACAAAATCACTGTTGCAGCAATATCCTGAAAATTACAAAGTCATGTGCCCATACAATGCAACTCATCGTATGTTTAAAACTGAATTAGAAGAACATATCATAACTTGTCCCACTCGTAGTGTATCGGAGGCTGAAATGTACTCAGGTTTATATTAATATTCTTCCTTACTTCGTAAATACATACTTTTATTAGTTATAAGTTCAATAATTAAAGTATTTTTATAAACTATACAAAAAAGTTAGAATCACAGAAAAATTAATTTCCACAACAAAAAGATTTATTAAATCATGAATATATCAAACATACTTTGTTAAAGGTTTTAATTTAACAATGTTTCACATGTCTACTTGCGACATAAATACCTATTTGCAATTAACAGATTTGTGAAATGTTGTTTCACAGAAACAAGGAACCATGGCTCAATAAACTTTCCAGTACCATCAGAGATTTCAAGTACTATAGATTGTACAGAAAATTGGGATTTGGATGTAGACAATTCTTATACAACAACAGATGATAGATGTAGTGTGAACATTAGTTTTATCTCAGAGAAAAGAACTGACAATTCAAAGTAAAAACATATTTTCCTTTTGTAATAAAAATTTGATTCACACATGTAGTGTTTTCACCAATTATTTGTATAATTTCAGTGTGAAAGTAGATACTGATGACAAAGAGGAATTAAGAGCCCCTCGTGGCTATTCTGAAGCTATGCTGAGGGAGTCAAATGAAGAATCGTGTGTTGAAGATGTTGAATCAGTAATCAGTTCTATGGGTATTGGAAGAGGAAAAATTACTAAAGGAAGAGAATTGTTGAAAAAGGTTGGATTAGGTAGAGGCAGGCCTGTAAATACAGATTAGTTAACCAAAGTCTAAATGAATATTTGATAACATTTATAAGTATTATATTAATTTCTTAAAAAAAGAAATCTATGTTATAAGAATACTGAAAAAAAGAATTGGCATACTTTCAGTAATACAAAAAAATACAGACAATATGAAATATATCTGTTACAAGTAATATGAAGTTTATTACTGTGTATTCGGTATTAGTTACTTATGTTACTTAATTAAAAAGATGTTTGGTTTCATAAATCTTTTTATTTCAGTAATTTACATTAATCGTAATATTTACAAACATGATTTGAAGTATTTTCCAAAAGATGAGTTACTCGTGGTTTTTTTTTTGACATTACGTACAATGTCGTTACAAGTGTTAGTAATGTGTATGAAAGAGAACTAAAGTTATTTACAAATGTGGAATCTCGATGACTGTTTTATTTCTCAATATTTAATCGTCGATTCTATAGAACGCCACGTTTTATTTTTTCACGCAAAAGATTAATGATTATCTTTACATAATAAACGTAGTAACTAAGTATTGAACTTTTTTTTATAGTTATAATACGTAAAATAAGACTATAATAGATAATATACGTTTTTTTTGCCATTATATAACAATGAAAATTGTTACAGATTACACAAATTTAGAAATTTATGATTAGAAACGATCATTAGTAACATAATATGATAACGTTTAATGTTGATTAATGAACAAATTTGTTACAGTTCGATCTGATACTACTTCATTTACCTTAATTGGTAATTTCAGTTTTATACTACCGATATCCATGCGCAATACCACGTTATACGCTGCGAAGTATTTTTTTTTGTTCATATTTACAGCTATGATGATATATATGCTAATGTCTTAAAAGATGCAGTGGTGTTCGACGTTATTTAATGATAAATTTATGACATTTCAATGATTCGTAATTTAATTTGAACATGAAAGTATAATTTTGTAAATGCGATTTACGAAGAAACGTTTTCGATTTCGTTATAAAAAAGTATAAAGTTAATGAATATAAACGTATTTTTAAATGTCAAATGTTACATTCTTCAAATTCTCGGAATGTTATATTTTTTTTTATCCTTTACAAACGATATATGTACACATATAATTTCCGTATTGAAATATTTAAAAATGCAAAAAACAAAGGGCACAATGTTCCTTATAATTCATAAAACAGTATAAGTTTTTAAGTAAATGAACACTCAAATTTTATATATATAAAAGGAACTGTATCAGATCTGTAAAGAATTATTTAAAAAAGTACACTTTCACGTAATGAAAAATACTTGACTGGATAGAACAATTCCGAATGACATATCGCTATATATACATAGATACATATGCGTACCTTTAATCATGAAATTTATTGAACGAATATGCATGATACATTTACCATGTACATCTTTAGAAAGGAGTTCGTAAGTGCTGCAAATGAATTGTCTCTCCATTTCTCTCTTTTAATAACGTTTAGATACAAACCTGGTATAGAGAACTGTTGCGTCAAATAATGTTGCCCCTTGTATAAGTGTATTGAGTTCTGAGCGAAATCTGAGAGAAACGTTATTCCATAATTCTATGCCGTTTAACTTCGTATCCTGTTAAAGATCGAACGCGGGATATGCTTGTCAATTTTTGTTTCTTCTTTTAACTAGCGCAGGCACGTGCACCGACATAAAGGAACGGGCGCTAAGTATTTTGAATCAGATTTTAATTTCTCTGGGGTGGGGTAAATCGACTCGTGTTTCAGTCGATCATTATTTACAAATTCGTTTACAGTTATTACTTTTTGAGTAGTGATTGCTGGCAGTTACCTAGCTGCAGTCTGTTTTAACATTTTTTTTAATGTATAAAAACTGTAAATTTATTAAGCGCAATTATTTGCACGATAGCGAGATCATTGCACTATAATTCATTTACCACACGAGAATGTTTCATTTATAGGCTGATGGCATGTATCGTGTAGCAACGACATCAGCTAATATCGTGATGTTTCCGTGAAGTGGATGTCGCGATCGGTCACAAGTTATATATTCGTCGACTTTTTCTTTTGCTGCTTCCACGTTGATATCCTCTCTTTTAATTCATGCACTAAAAATATTTGAAAATTATAATTATGTTAAGAGAAATCCCACTCAAAAGAGTTTCATGTACATTTATATACATTTTCATTTATCTACAAAGCAAAGGATGCTTCAGATATTTTAATGATGATGTCCATTCACTAACGATGTGTAGACTGTGATTCTTCACATGTTTTTACAATTACTGTGAAAACGCAAAATACAACGAAACAAGAAACTTCACTGAAGTTTATTTTTTAACGTAACAAAATTCTTCATACTCACTTGGCGTAAGCATGTCTTCGCTGAGAGGTTGTCTACTGAAGGGATCTGTAGCACTATTGAGAAGATGTCTGATAATGACTGCTTTATCCATTACAATACCAGACGGAAGTTTAACAGGTTCTTCCATAAGAGTGTCCATCAGCGGATCTCGGAATTCTTCGGGTGCGTCACCATAATCCTCGTCGCGGGCACGATTATCCCTAGCAATAACTGCAGCGCGTTCCGCGAGCGCTATAAATCTTTCGATTTCCGTTGTGGTTTTAATTACCGATCTTTCTAATCTATTCGCCGCGTCGGTGAATAATTCTTTGCAAAAAGAACGCTGCAATTATAGTTACTCATTAGAGCCAAGAAAATTCCATATGGGCACTTGTTATTAGCGACAACAGAAAAAAAAGGTAACAACTAATGTTTTAAGATTCAAGACTGTATCTTATAGTGTTTTGTTATCGGTGCGTTAACAGTATGATCAACTTACTTCGTCACTAGCCAAAGCAGCCGCAAAGTTATCGCAGTCAAGATGCAAATATATATCAACCAATTGACTAAGTAAAGCTCTTGGTTCCCATCCGTACTTTTGTGGTTTCCGTACCTTCAAATTTTTGCACTTAGGGCCACACAATTGTTGCAGGTTAAAGTTTAACATGGCACATAATCTTCCCACTAACTCCGGCCGTAAGAACGGCTCCGTAATATCCACTGTCAAATAATGAAACATGGCCACAGTTTCTTTGGCTAGCGTTAGATACGACCTTGCTTGTCTTTCGTCTGCCGTTAATTGTCTCATGCGCGAATGTTGCTGTTCGGGCGACAATGCTGCCCACGCTTTCAAATCGGACATCAGTTCTTGGATTTCGTGTATACGTTTCAACGATTCTAAACTTTCATCTAGTAAAAACGTGGTATCGTTCATTAACATGTTTATGAACTTTACGAATTGCTTGCCATTATTGCTCTCATTTATGATTGACTCCCTGTGAACTGGACTGTCCCACATGGATTTCAGTATTAAACTAATGTGATAACGGATCGAGAATTTGTCATAAAACTCGGAACTGGAGCCAGTCGTTTCAACGTCGGTGTAGAACTTCATGAGGTACGATGCCAACAGTGTTTTCGATATTGGATGCGCCATAACCTGATCGTGCAGCGATTCGGTTCGTCCCTGAAGTTACAAATAACGTTTCGTGAGTTACAAATTACTGAGAAAATTTCCAAGCCATAGAGATGGGAATTACCTGAACACTGGGATTTATCACAAATAGTACTTCAATAATTTTCGCTATTAAATATGGATTTCGTATACAATGCGGAGTACAGACTACAACAAGTAACCATGTAATGAGCGAGTTGTCCATATTATTCGTTATTACACCAGGACTAAATCTATAAAGAACATTGAATTATTGTAATCAAATGAAATAGACATGTTCGTAGGTGGTCCGTATATCAAAACACAATATGAAATACTTACTGAAGAGTAAATAATAAAAATTCTGCAATATCTTCGACGTACCATTCCGGTAGTGCTGTAAACTTTTGTGGTACCTCTTGCGGTAGAGGAAGTTCAGGAAGGGGATTTCCCGGTGGAGTTTCGGTCAACAAACTTAACAAAACCTCCGCCACAGAAATATAAAAATGCAAGCACCTTCTCAACAAGACAGGATCGATTAATCCAGCGTCTGTGCATGATTTCGATTTTCCAAGCTGCTTCAACTGTTCCTTGTAACGTTTTATTAATTCCTTATTGCGCCCAGCGAAAGGTGTGTCTTTCCATTGTGGCTCAGTTGCTTGTAAGTCATCGAGCATTTTTTGAACATCGCGTAACGTTCTTAGCTTCCTCTGATATTTCTGTAAAGCTGGTAACAACGCTATATGGTGGCAATGCAAGGTAAGAAACCAGCACTGCGTTGGAAACTTCGGTTCGGCCCATTTGTGCGTTCTCTCTAAGTGTTTCAGCCATTCGGAGACTTCTTGAGACGAAAGCTTCAGCTTGGTATCATTTTTTATTTCAATGAAGCTCGATGGATGAAACGGATACAGAGTGTCGACGGTATCTAATTTTATTTTCACGGACAGCATTTGCAAGACCGACAACAGATTCAACATGAATCCATCTCCGGCAAGGGAGAACTCTTCTGTTTGTATTTGAGCACGCTTCTCGTTGTGGCGCAATAACGTAGCCAAATACGTCAGCATGGCGTCACGGCAGTTGCTGTTCGCGAGAATTGCATGGAGAATTTTGTGAAGAGACGTTCTTGTGCTTTCCAGCTCTTGTTGCAACGTTAAGTTCATGGACTTGTCGACAAACGGATTACCGCTGAAAAACTTTTCAGCCACGTTAGGCTGGTCTTCGGCGAAAACGGACACCGATAAGAACGGCCCAAGGAAAGACGTTATGGTAAGTTCTCTGCCAGCTGCCGAGGTCATGATGTCTGGCAAGAACTGGGTCTGATGAGTGATCAAACGACAGATTGGACGTATGTTACTGGTCGGTCCGCAACGGATTTCTATCAACTCTTCCAACGCCTCTATCGGCCTTCGATGTGTGTTTCCTACCAAACTAGGTTTCTGCATACACAAGTACAAGCCTTGCAACAATGGTGTAAAAATTTTATTAAATACTACTGGATTGGTGTGCGTCCTTGCCACGAGTTCATGTAAATAGCCTCGGGGTAGACTCTGCGACAGGATTGGATACAAAAGAAGTGTCATGGATAAATGATGCGTCATCGAAGACTGATGAATGCCCACTAGGCCTTGTAGCACCACACTGGAGTATTGAACACATTGTGCTCTTAAAACAGCTAGCACATCAGAAAATGGTGGGATACTTGATTTCTGTTCAAAAAGAATGTAATGTTACCATAAAAACGGACTGGATGATTCCTAGTAGGAATAATATTATACCTTTGGGTGATTTCGTTCTTCAACGGCGACTCTCGAATAACAATCTAATAAATAAATGAGACTCTTAGGCTGAGACGATTTATAACAAATATCACAACGACAAAGTGTCGCGACTGGGCTTAACAATGGACTCGTTTGACTGTTAGGGCTATCCTCCTTATCCGACGAGGTCTCTGTAGTAATTTCTTTCAAAGGATCTTCTCCTCGTGTGAACATACACAGGACCTCCATTAATGCTTGATTGATAATCTCTGCAGCATCCACAAGTTTTTGCATGGATGCTTGCGCAGCTGTTTGTGGAAGGAATATGGTACCCTCTGCTGGCTCTTTCCATGATATGCATAATACTCGTGAGACCACAGAATGTATTTGCTCTATTGTCCCTTCTGTACTGGAACTGGTAGTCTTAAACACAAAATGAAAATCGTAGAATTTCAATTGAATCTTTATATATATATATAAAATTGTGCATATGACTTACGCGTGATCTTGATTTTGTGTCTTTTCTGTCAGATTCCTCCACCTCCATATTCTCAATTCCAGAATCCACATCCACTCCAGAAGTACATTGTTTGTCATTACTTTCTTCTACTTCCATTGCTACTTCTGGATTTGGAAATTGTTGTTGCTTAGATGGAGATATCATCTGTCCCGTAAATGCTTTCGAAGGACCTGGTGTGCTAGGAGAAACAGGACTAGCATTGTGATTTGAAGTAGTTGCTGAACTAATATTGTCCAAGCCTGCCAAACGAGCCATTCGTCTTCTCCTTACCTATAAACCAAAGTTTACGTAACAACAAAATTGCTTAATGAGAAAATATTTTATCACAAAGAACCAATGGAATCTTTGAAAAAAAATACTACAATGTTCAAAATAATAAATATTACAAAAAGAATATCCACATGACAAAAGCAGAAAAATGAGCATGGAACTTCACAGGAGCAGAACAAAGCAAAACTATATTTATAACAAAGACAAAGAATATAAAGGATGACACAACAAAAGCGAGAGTACCTTCATTGTACAAACAAAAAAGAAGTTACTCCGAAATTCACATGGCACGTTGGGTACAAAACATTTTAATCACGATTAAAATTACAGAGCATGAAATTTCGTTGTGGCCAAGCGATCGTTCGTTTTGGGAAAACGTTACAGGCGGAAAATCAGCTTCAATTCATTACGGTTATATAATTATTTTAAACACGGCGCCTCGGCGAAACAACTGTTAATTTATGATTAATCTTATTGTCGTCGAACGAAACGGTTTTTTTTTCTTTTTCACTGTACCGCCGTTCATTCAATAATTCTCTTATTAACGTTCTTATCGCGGCGATTTACGATAACGTCAGCATAGGACGAGACCAGCGAAAGAACGAAGCGAACAATGACAACAAAACTAGTTACTGAACAACGATTCGGAACGGAACACTTGGTACTTACTTCCTCTTGGCTTAACTCGCTCATGGCGATTCCTTGTTTTCCTTCTCAATCCCTCTAACCTCTGACACCGATCGTAAATCGTTACCGTTCAATGTACCGTGGAAATTCCGTGGGGGAAAAATGAGAAGTTTGGTGTCCGTCGTTTCTCGGAGTATCCTGGATGAGATGTGTCAAAATTTTGGACAGTCACTCCACATCTGTTTGCGTTTGGACGTGAAAGTAGTAATTCCACGCCGTTTTACGGACAATCACTGCCAGGCTGCGTCGATTCTTCAAAACAGCTGAGCAACTAACATACCAGTCGAAACGCTCCCTCGCATCGATAATGACAACTACACCTCGATGGACTTACGTGCGCGTCTGGTTGCACTCGATCAGGGGCCACATTTTACTCCACTGGGGAATCGATCCGCGTGCACATTAAATTCGTTGAATATTATTTTCATATGAATCCTTCACTGATAACTTTCACGGGTTTTAACTTTCTTTCGTTAGCATCCGAGAAATCCATCAATTCCACCAACAGACGACCACCAAACCGACATTACTGAACGTTAGGGCTCGAGAACGTCGTCCCTGTTCTGCAATAAAAAGTGGGACGACCTTTTGCTAATCATTTGCCTAATTACGTAATCGAATACCGTCATGTCGATGTATGAAATTCAATCGAATACACACGTCGTGAGTTACGTTCGTGCGTTTAGCAAGATACGCTTCAAATCAGACGATTGTTCACGTTAACATACTGGTGGATGACTAACCTTCTGTTAGTCCTGCACCAATAGAGTGTTAGCCTGATAAAATTGTTAGCCGCTGATTTTTGAACACGTTACTCGTCACTGCTTCGCTTTCCATTTCAAAATCTAGATTTGTACAATTTCGATTTCCTCTTATTTAGTTGCCAAGGGTCTAAGGTTATTTTTTCTTCACTAAATACTATCATATATATTTTAAAAAAAAAACAGTTCGGCAGATCTTATTCATATGCAAGACTCGTGCTTATTATATTATCCAATAATACTAGTGACTCGTGTAGTTGGTACTAGAAGGATCGTATTTTTGTCCCGTTCGGCTTTATGAGGCCATCAGATGATCAATATTTAATGTCAACATTTTGTCAATACTGAAATATTTTGTTTTTCGTCGAACACTACATCATCAATACTTTAAATATTGACAATATATATTGATCGTCCGAGGGCCTGTTTAAAGTTCGAATAAAGCAATATCTCTTCTCAACAAATCACCTGTGACCCACGTTCAAATAAAATACTCCAGGCTCATTGAGCAGTGTCGTAACTGGAGAGTGAACTCCTGTCCGACGAAGTAGAGGCGACAGAGGTCCAAGGGAAATGGAAAATATGCGGTAAACCTATTCTTCTATCTGTGCCATTCTGTGGTACATTTGCGTGTGAAGGCGATATAGATGCCACACTCCACACTGTGATGTGTGCAGATGTGTGCTTGTGTATAGCATTGAGAGGTAATGTCACCGCATGTCTTCCCTTTCCATAGCTTAGACACCAATTAGGATAGAGCTCAATATGCAGATGTTATGGCCCACTCTTATTATGCAGATCTCCGATATCGGGCGCGAACCTGTTAATCTAGTGCTCGATCTTATCTGAACCAGTGTCCAAGCCCTGTCTGAACGGAGAAAAAAATTTGCAGTGCAAAGTGTTCTAACTATGAGTACCAACGAACACATCCATTTTACAGCCCTAGGTAAACATAATCTTCCAATATTTATGCTTATAGTACTCGCAATGATATATTGTGATATCATTTAGGTGAAAAAAAAAACATATTTCGAACGTCGAAACAACTGTTTAAGGAATCTATGGGGAGATAAGCAACTCGACCTTTGTTCAGTACCATACATTGTATAGCGTACAATGTCAATTTGGATCCAAGTTACTTGTGCCATTTTTATTGTCGACAACAGAAGCATTAAATTTCTTTGAAATATTCCATATATTAAACAGAACTTACTTACAGTACCCTGGTAAATTGTAGCGAGACCTATACTAAAAAAAGAGTCTAGAAGAACATCCGATGTAAATTTTATAATTACAGTGTCAGAAATTATCTATGTTTGAACTCAATATTTCAAGATAAATACATTAAATATTCTTTTTATTGTAATAGTGCATAGCATTAATATGGATATCTAATAAATGATTGATACTTTTCAGAGCCGGATATTCAGTCTTTAATAAGAAGTAGTGTATTGGTTCGTGAAAACTCTTATTCACCCTATAGTAATTTCAAAGTTGGAGCTGCAGTACTTTGCAGTGATGACACTATTTCTACTGGATGCAATGTTGAGAATGTATCGTACCCTGTTGGGACATGTGCTGAAAGAGTAGCTATTGCAAAAGCAGTGTCAGAAGGAAAAAGGAAATTTAAAGCGTTGGCGGTAGTAGCCGACAACGTAAACAATAGCTTTGTCTCGCCATGCGGTATGTGCAGACAATATATTGCAGAATTTGGCAACATACCGGTTTACATGTCCAGTCCTGACATGACAATTGCGCTCAAATGTACAGTAAGCAATTTACTGCCCCATGCCTTCATTTCTATGAACGCGGAAATGATCCAATGAATCGGTGCTGAAAGAAGATGTATAAACTTTACACAGTAATTTGTCTTCAATGTCAGTTCAACATGTAATGACTAAAACGTTGGGTTCTGCACAAGTTCTGAGGAGTTAAAAGACAAAAAAACAAGAAACACTTAAAGACAGTAGTTAAAAAACAATATCGTTATTGTACCGAATAATCTTATTCTCATGAGTAATTTGTTTACGTTTACATTGAAAAAAGGTACCCTATAACTGTAATCGGTTATCATGCGATTTCTAAGGTGCGTCATTTTCTAATATACATCGCAATTCATAAGCGGAAGTAATATGAATAGTATATACAATCGATGTAATAATATAGTTAATATATACACGTGCAACAGTGATCAAATATTGTTGTTTCAGTTATAATTATTCCTTAACGATAAAAATGCAAAGGCAGGAACGAAACTGCTTATCGTATACGCCCAATATCTTCTTGGAAATTTGAGCTGCTTGTGAATTTGGGAGTATCACTCTCCAAAATAGAACTTATTAATGACAACAGACTAAAGAGCAACTTTCCAATAAATGTAATTATACTCTCGAGAGCTGCTTTTGCGTAGGCATGTAGCATTAAGTTTACCAAAACGGACACCTGTAATCAAACGTATCATCAGTAGAAATCCAAAGAAATAACCGTTCCGATTTAGAAGAATTAATTGAAGGACTGAATTACCATCCAATGTAACACTGGCATAAATTCTCATTGTTGGTAGCTTGCTGAATTAAAAGATCAACTTGACGTTGAACACTCAGCGTTTCTTCATGGGAAAAATCACGACCAGTTAATTTGTCTCTTACTCTTGTCACGATAGCAAGAGCTTTTTTATTCAATGCTTCTGGTTGATTAGTATCACCTATATAAAGGTATCAATTTTCAATATATTTTTGATTTATCATATTCATGGTATTTTGTCCCATGGATGGAAATATAGAAGAAACTTTATGTAAACGAATATTTCAGTAATAAACTTACCTCCATTCTCGATACTGCACGGTACTCCTTTCTTTGGTAACGTGGCGGTAAGAGAATCCAACGTGTCGCCGTGTTCTTGATTGCTGCTGGCACTCATCCCTTGTGCATCGGATCTCTTACTCTTTGGTGTAGCGTTGTCCATTAACCTCCAGTTTAAAAGAGGATCGTAGACGAAAGCCTCCAATACTGCCATCAAACTGTCTTTGTTACGGTGTAGCACCGACATCACTGACTCACAAGTTCGTCTGTATGTACCCTCAATTCCAGTTACTTCCATCGCGTTGATCAACATTCGGGTCAGTCTGAACGGTATTTTCTCTGGGAATTTCTCACGGGTCATAGCAACTTCAAAGCAATCTCCGAAGTCGATATGCAATATTTTTCCACTGAGACGATCCAACATCAGATTCGATGGATGTCGATCCCCTAAACCAAGAATATACCCGACCATGGACATTACGGCGAGGGAACGCGTGTAATTCGTTCTACGATCGAACCACACTTCGCTTGACGGTGATTTCAACCAAAGAAGTCGCGACAGATCGTCACCATGAGTGTGCTCCAGTGCATGTTCAAATACTTCAACCTTCTGCATGAGCATAAGGTGATCATATCCTGGGGCCATCTGAAAATCAAACCATTTAGAAAAGTCATATATAACGATGTGTCTTAATGTATGTATGTGCAACTTTAAGTCCTTACTCTTAACATTATCTTGTGTTCTATATTAAGTAATATCTTTTTCTTTTCCCTGTAGTCCCTAATTAGCGTGTGTAATGTATCACAATGTGGAACCCATCCGATCAATCCGCTATTCGTAGATAACGGAATCACAGCGTATCTCTGAGGACGAAATTTCTTCATTACAATATATTCAAGTATTAAAAAATTACCTTCAACTATTTTATTATCTATTTAGCTTACCTGAATAGTAAGGTTTCTTCTAAACGTATCTGGATCGTGTAACAGAAGGGTATTGACTAGACCAAATAATTGCATAACACGTTCATCCTGCCTAAGATCTTCGTGTCCTTTCAAAAGGAACATGTAATCTTTACCGTTACTACCTGCAACGTGGAAAAAATAATGAATTATAATTTCAAGGTTAAACCGAAAATTCAAAGAGCCACTTACCCTTTATACATAATTTTCGTGGTCGCTGTTTGCTAGTTATTACTTGCATTGAACTATGTATACTTGCTATTCTGACTATTGTCTGGCCAGGACTGTAACTTCCTGGCACAGCCAGTTCTAAGTCCCTGCAAAGGAGTAACTTTGGGCTAACGTACTGAAGCTCTAAACTAGTTAACTGCGGCAACTGTCTAGATATTCGTCTGAAGACATGATAATACAAATCCCAGGCTTGATTTAAATCTCGAACATTGCGCGATGCTTTGTATCTATGACACCACTCTTGTGCCTCCATTAAGTCTCTACCATAAGCTTGATTGAAGGACGTTTCCTTCAGGGTTTGTGGCCCTCTTTCTAACATCGCGTGCAGAGGTTCCAATGTGTCGAACATCCCTCTGACATTTCTTTCACCAAAGTATAATCTACTGGCTTCCTCCAAGCCCTCGTGCCACAATTCGTGCCACAGAATCGCGACTCTGATCAATTCGTCGCTGGCCATCATGGCTTGTTGCACCAAAGTCGGGCTGTGCTCGCACATGCTCTTCAAGATTTTGTTCGCAGCCGTTTTTCGAGCATGGCTAGCACTCTTCGACGCCACAGTCAGGGGATAAACTAACGCCTGAGGATGTGTTTTTCCAATATCTATTAGAAGATGATGTATACAGCGACCAACTAAAGCTCTAGGTGTATCTATTCTTGCTATTAGCTGAGGGATCACTTGTAGCCAAGTGTTGATTTCGATCAATCTGATTCCTTCGACGATGGCTTCGTACACTTCCGGCCATTGACCATAGTCGAACCACAACGTCAACAACCGAAGAGTATCTTGTAAAGAATTACCATGGGAGAGATTGATAGACCTGAAAAATCCTTCTACAGCCGGTACAGTGAATTTCGATATATACTGCGAGCTGGACAGATTACTGCGTGTTCCGTTCCCTGGAGCGTTTTCTACATTCGAATCACCCTGCTGATGTTTATAAAACAATACAGTTTCAAAATTAGTGTAGGCAAAGGCATGCCACGCTTTATACCAGGTTGGATCGTGTTCCGTAGCTGCAGCATAGTAAGACAACACAGCTGGTATAGACTGTTCATTTATACCTTGCAAAGCTTCCAACCATTCTCCAAGTTTCAGATAACATCTGGCAAGCAATCTCTTCCTAGCTTCTTGTTGCTTCTCGTCTTCCTGATTGATCACGGATACAGTTGTTGGTTGCAGGGACGTCTGTACAAATTTCTGGAGTTGACTGTACGCTTCCTCCCGTTTATTAGCAACCCACATATGCTTGCAATAAGCAAAAGTCACCTGAGGGTGAGTGGCTGGCAATGGTTGATCAGGAGTTAACGATGGATCTGTCCCAAGCAACATAACTAATGTTTTGTGACACAACATCAAGCTGCCACTCTTTCTACAGAGACTGGCGTACTTCAGCCATGTGTACATATCATCCTGTGGTGAAACTACCAACGTGTGTACCTGTATTATCTTCTGCCAATCTTCGACTATTCTTTGCCCACCTTGAAGCCGCTCCCACCACATCGACTTAATAGTTGATCTTCTTTCAGGAACCAATTTGAATTGTATCACTTCTTCTAATTCTGCTAACTTCTGAACTTCCACCATAGCATTGTAAGCCCTTTGATAACTTTCACCTGCCATGGCAGTCAATTCTGTGTCCAGTAAATCTCGAGCACTGTCGATAAGCTGATGGGCAACATTGTACTGTTCGTCATGGATTGCCAAAACAGCTCTGTAAAAAGCACCATCCTGAGTATCTTTTGGTATTAATGAAACATACTTCTCCATGCTTTCCCACTGACTCAAACCCCATGCTGCAGCCGCTGCCATTCTGGACATTCTCTGTTTAGTCTCATCGGTTTGATTCGACCAATGCTTAGTAGCAACGTCGTGCAACTGTCCCCATTCACCAAGAGCTTCCAAGCAACGCATCTTGCCCAGTGTAGATTCAACGTCCGCAGGATCACCCTCCAATCTTTCCCTGTACAATTGCAATGCCTTGTCCCAATTGTGCAGCTTCTCGTACCAACGCACTTGTACCTTCAGATCCTGCTGATTATTCTGATTCATCACATATTCCAAAAGACCTTCCGCGGCCTCCTTTTGTTGAAGTTTGTTGTTGATAGATATCAGCGATTCAAAAACATTACTATTCCTGCTTTTATGAAATTCGTCCTCTTTGTAATGCAAAGCCTTCGCGTAAGCTCTACAATGCATTGCTCGTTCTCCTAGAATCTTATTGTCCAACGGTAAGGGCCCTTTGTCGCAATGTTCCATAAACTCTGCTAGGTTCAGAATAGTTTGCGTTATCTCTGGTAGATCTGGGACCATCAATGCTTGTTGCAAAGTTTGTATAAGTTCGGCTTTGTACGTGTCATCTAACTCAGTCCAGCAAGAAACAAACGCTGCGTTAAACAAGTCCCTAGGTAATTGAGAATAGGTCTGTGCGAGGGCCCAGCAGGATCTCAATGCCGGAGATGGTGATTCTTTAAGTAAACCAATCGACAAACTTCTTAACCATTCAAGCCAATCGTCCTTTGATACTCTCCTCGTCGCTGTCCATGCCTTCTGAAGATTTGAAGCGGATACGTGCAATCTCTTTATGGTGGTCGTGTCCGATGACGTTAGGGACAGATCACGATTTTTATTTCTGGAATGTCGGTGCCTCATCAACAGGAAATCTTCGCCATCTGCCACGGTTGTTTCTGTCAAAATCTTATCGATCAGAACATCGTAACGCGCATTAACAATCTTATGCTTCGTCATGACTTTCTGTACCAGAGATATAAAGATTTGATACTTTTTCCCCAACTGAATCACCAGTGCGCATAACGTGTCTATTGCTGTAATTCGTAGTTCTGGACACTGATCAAGCGTTCGTACCAAAGGATGTACAATTCTGGACGCAAAGTCTGTGAAGTCCAGTGTGTCTGCTAAATGATCAACAGTTTCTAGAGCGACCTTATTAACGGTTATTGGACAGTCGGCGGTGTGGAACAGTTTTACTATCGGTGGCAATACCAAGTGCAGATAATTATCTAAATTATTTCCAAATTTCTGAAGAGCTTGGAGCAGCTTCACTGTAACAGACCTGTCCTTGCTGGTATCGTGCGTCAGTACTCTTAATATCTGTGGCATCAATTGCGGCAAATAAATCTTGAACTCTGCGCCCAGTGCAACTGCAATGTGCTCAACTAAAAGTATTAACGTACTTTGTAACGGGCTGTTTACGGTCCAGAACTCTTTGATCAGATTGAATATGTCGTCTAAGTAGTTTCTGATGTGCTGCTTCACGATGGCAATTAGAATGGCTAATTGTTGGAACAGATACTCGCGAAAGTTGACGTCGGCTGTACGAACAACATTCAGGAAACTAGGCATCACCTGGGAGATGTATGGAACACACTTGATCCCTAGACTTTTAAATATGAATGTTACCGCTTGCACCACCATAGTGTGGTGTTGCGATAACGTCGGGTCACGAATAATCCTCATAAGCGTTGCTATGGCGATCGCAGGATAGTATTCTTCTAAAGTAGACGAAGACATGTTCACTAACATTTCACTAGTTGTTAGATCCTGTGTACTTTCAGCTTCGCTTTTTATATCAGCCATAGACGTAAGGGTATCCAATTGTGAATCTATTTGACCAAGGTTCATTTTATGTTTGTATGGATCTAAAGCACCTAACAGTCCAAGCACTCTTATAGTTTCCCTTCTGATAACAGGTTGTTGTTCAGTTTTCAAGAAGTTTATCAATACATCCAGTAACGAAGGGTACTGCATGTATGGCTTCACAACGTGTCCTGTACTTCCAACTAATTGACCTAAAACCCATAAAGCGACTCCCCTTTTTTCTGGAGAACTAGCATCTACCAACATTTCCAGCAATATAGATAGGAGTTCTGGCATCCACTGCTGCATTTCAGCACCATTCACTTCTGCTAAATCACCAATAGCGCGGAGTATGGCTAAAACGACTCCAGGATTTGATTCGGTTTCCTTGAGCTTTGGAACAAGAACTTTCAGAATCGGTTCCATGTACGGTCTTATGAGCCTCGGTGCGCTAACGACCAAGTGGTCTAACATACGGGTAGCTTGCTCTTTGTTACGGCCCATGCCTGAGTGTTCTAATTCCGTTAAAAACTGTATAAGTGTTTTACGTAAAGAAGGCATTACATAAGCTGGATTCATAGTGCTCAATCTTCCAATCGTGCGAATCGCTAGCTCGCGGATCTCAAACATCTCGTCGTTCATTGCGATAAATAATGCAGAAAGGTTTTCCGCTTGTGCTAGATGAATATCAAATGAATCATCCAGAGAAGCCAATACCCATAACCTCACGTCGGGATCTGTATCTGTAATACCCACAACTAACAATTTCCCAAGAACTGTAGAGACAGTATTAGTCACTGTAGGTCCTGGCTGATTTAATGCCAATCTTAATAATCTTGAGCACGTCCTCACAGCTTCTAATCGTACCTCTGCCTGTTCGAATGTAAGGAAGTGATCTGCACACCGTCTCACAAATTGCAAAAGTGGGTTACCATCAAAGTTAAAGGTTCCAAGAGTCTTCAATGCTAGAACCGTGGATGGAATATCCACTTCGGTTGGCGTTGCAGAAATCGGACTAGTTGCGGTCCACGGCGCACCTGGATGTCTTAATGGTTTCTGCATCAAAACCTGAGATAACATTCTTAGAAGTCCTTGAGATATATCAGGCCTCAACGACGGTACGCTATGAGCTAATTCTCTGAGAGAAGTTGTAAGAATTGGACTTAATCCAGTTGTTAACATGGACTCTAACAAATCCCTTACATCCGCAGTGATCACCTGTTTCACGGCATGGCCGAGCAGAGTTATGCACACAAATACAGCGGGTTCCAAAGAAGTACCACGTTTTTTCGCAGACGTTTCTTTCGTTGGTAACAAACTTTTAATCATTTCCATGATTTTGGAAAGATAAGGATTTATCGAATCCTCTACCGCTACTGCTATAAATCCAATTGTAGTAAACGCAGCATACCTATCCTTTTCTCTGCTACGCAATGTCATCAAAAGGTACGACAGTGATTCTTTCAAATGATCTTTTGTAAACTTTTCCTTGTTGAATGCAGCAAGTCTTGGCAACAACGTCATCAGCGCGTGTTGAATGTGAAGATTTCTGGACATTCTTTGATTCATTACATCGTTATAGATATCGTCCAATCTTTCTTGCATCAAACAACGACAAACTGTGGATTCGTGAGCCTGATATAATGGTAGCTGAGAATTGGATGAATTCTGAGAAGAACTAGACCACTTGGATACTATAGTTGTCTTTAATCGCGGCATCAGTGATAGTATATCGTTGTCGTTCTGTTGCGTGGAGCAATTTAATCGCTCTATTAAAGTTTCGAAATTCCTTTCCCATTGGACATTACTACATCTAAGTAATTCATTCAATATCAATAATGAACCATGTATTCTATCGTCTCTATTCACTCCTCTTTCTCTAGTGTACACTTCCTCGAATCCTGCTACTATCTCATCATAGCACTGTTTATACCATTGAGACTTGTGCATCTGTTTTGCAGTTTCCCTCTGCGCGGTAACAACTAAAGCAGCCCTTAATGCTTCAACAGCACCTTCCCTTATCACAGGTTTCGGATCGCGTACAGCGTTAAATATAAGTTCAAAAAATGGAGTTACTTGTTGAAAAAAATATGTTGGCATAGAAACAGCGAGTTCTCTTAAAACAAGAACAGCAGCATGTCTTTTACCTTCTTGTCTATCTCCGCCCAACCATTCAAAGGCACGTTTTACTTCAAATTCTACATACTCAGCTGTATAAGTACCTGAAACTAATGCTAACTTTCCAACAGTTTTAGCAGCTAGTTCCATAACACCCACATCATTTGAAGGTAATAAATTTCTTAGATAATTTGCAAACCTTATAATACGTGTGTTAATATTTCCTACATCTGCACCAATAAGACAAACTATAGCTAATATTCCCCCCTTCTTTTCATTTACATCTGATCCAGAAACCATTTCGAATATGTGATGGTTAAATTCATCCATGAATGCTGTAATCTCCTCTTGAGACGCTTCCCGCAGCTCCGTTTTAACATAGAGACATAGGTCTCTGGCCACTTTGTTACGTACTTCCTCATTTCTAGTTTTAAGTCTTTGAACAAACTGCTGTACAAGTGTGCACGCCATTGTTTAAACTTTTTCACAGCGCAGAGTCCACAATCTTATTGTTATTAATCTTTTTTGAAATATCTACCAAAATAATATTCATAAGTGGAGTAAGGTTAAGGATGAATTTGAAACAATACTAAATTGTACATACCTATTTGACAGCACACAAATCTTGTACCATAGTAAAGTGGGTTTCACGATTATCATTCCTGATTAAGTCTTCTCATTGAATAAACTTTTAATTCGTCTTTAATTACATTATTATGGAACGACGTCTGTCACAGAGATACTTCATGTTTTGATACTTCCGACAGTTACAAGTGAAATAAGTTACATGTCGAATTCCATATGTAGTAGACGTATAAGAATATCCAAATGGATCCGATAACATTAATTCTGTGGGCTTGTAACAAATACAGGAAATTAATGTATGTTTCTCAAGGAGACTATGTATCTTGATTTTATAACCTCAATATTGGATAGTACGAGAGTTTTGGGAAGCTTCCCCCATTCTACTTCGTTAGATGCTTGTGCCATTATACCTCTACAGCTATCTACAGCAACCGTTAAAAAAAACATAGACTCTTGATAATTGCTCAGTTTTTCTTACAACGCTTACAACGCAACCGTTTGTACTGTTTGTAGCAGGTAGGTACGTTACCATCGTGTAACATTGTCTCAAAACGAACAGAGCTCAGAAATATGTTGCCTATTTAGTAGGTAATGCGGGTAACGCCTTCTACGGACCATTTGGTACCACTTCGTTAGCAGTGCTACATGGTTAGAAAGACAGAATTGTTATTGACAGCTTGCTGAAATTATCCACCCTACTCCGATAAGGTTGTGTGGATATGCCTTTAACATTATGATTGCGCCATTGAGCTCTATCCTGAAGATTCTGAAGCATCCTGAAGAGCGAACTCCTTTGCGAAGAAGTAGAAACGACGGGCGACGGAGATCCAAAGGAAAAGGAAGATATAAAGGCGTCTATCCTTTTCCTTTCAATTATCCTCTCTATCTAATACATTTGGGTGTATAGGGGGTCATATCCGTCGTCTCTACTTCTTTGCGCAGGAGTTCACCCTCCAACTTCCAACCCCTCCAACTACACAGAATAGAGCTCAATGGATTGCGCCACTTGAACAACGCATTTTCATCAACTTATTAATGATTTTGCATGTTAATAGGAGCGTAGTTACTTGCAGCAACGCTAAGCATGAAGCTCGTCTTCCCGATTCATTTAAATGAAAGTCCATACTAAATTTTTCTACCTTCAAATGAAGTCTGTGAATGGCCGATTTTTAGTGCGATTACATAGGTTATCTTTTTAAACCAATACTCTATCTAAATAAATATATGTCACGGACGCACCTGCAAAAAGTCACGTGGTTGTTTGTGTTGTACCATTCTTAACTGAAGTAATAATAAGTAGTATATTTCCGTCCTGGCGTTAAGTAGACCTGAGTAGACCAATGAGAAGCCCAATACGTGACATGCCGATCGCTATCGTATGTTGTAACAGGCTTTATTTTAATGTGAACAAACGATGGAATTGTTTTCCACATAACCGATTAAAAATGGCCCTACGACAATGACAAAACAAATATAACCAGCAAATTATTTATCACAAATTTCATCGATATACATAGACATATATCAGTGAGAGTTTCCGTCGTAAAAAGATTAGATAGGTTAAGTGTCGATTTCGAGGTTGGATCTCCAATCTTTCAGAGTCAATGATGAAAACCTACTACCCCCAATGACTTTTCATTTTCTGTATTACTTCGTTTACATTAGCATTAGAAATGACTCTACTCCGGAGGTTCTTCGCGAAAAATATCGTTTGCCAAAGAATAGAATATCGTAGTCCACCGATTAGGCATAGGCAATTATTTTACACGTGTTTAACGTCGCCTATTAGAGTCACCGGGAAAACATGTATATTTTCCACGTTAAGGTACTATGGCACCAAAACTGTACAAGTGAAACTTTCAAATTCTACCGTACGTCCTACAACGGGAATAAAGAAAATATCGGAATTTGAAAGTCTGATCACGTTAGCTGCGCCTGAAAAGTGGCGACTAATCGGTGCTATTGCTTTCTTACTAATTTCATCTGCCGTCACGATGGCAGTACCCTTTTGCTTAGGAAAGATAATTGATATTATATATACAAGTGATACAGAAAGCATGAAGAAAAATCTCAATCGGTTATGCGTTATTCTGTTTGGAGTATTTGTTGTGGGGGGTGTATGTAACTTTGGCAGAGTATACCTAATGACTACAACCGGGCATAGAGTTACTCAGTCTTTAAGGAAAAAATTGTACACTGCAATCTTACACCAAGAGACAGCAATGTTTGATAAGTGTAGCACAGGAGAAGTGGTTGGCAGACTATCCGGTATGTTGTTTTGTTTGAAACATTGATAGTACTTCAATATATATTATCAATTTCTTCCTTTCAGGTGATACACAACTGATCAGCTATGCCATAACTAGTAACATATCAAATGGATTACGTTCTGCCATCATGAGCATCAGTGGAATGTCCATGATGTTCTACGTTTCACCTACATTGGCCAGCCTCGGTTTGAGTATTGTACCACCAACTGTTGGTATAGCTATAATTTATGGCCGCTATCTAAAGAAGGTTTCTAAAGACATACAAAATGGTTTGGCTGCATTGAACACAACAACTGAAGAAAAAATCAGTAACATAAGGACAGTGAAAGCTTTCGCGAAAGAAATATCTGAGATCAAACGCTACAATTCTCAGTTAGAAGATATACTTAAAATATGCTACAAAGAAAGTTTGTACAGAGGAATATTTTTTGGATTCACTGGTTTCTCGGGAAACGCAGTCGTTCTCTCTGTTTTATATTACGGCGGAATTATGGTATCTGATGCCGCTATTACAGTCGGAGGTTTAAGTTCTTTCTTATTATACGCCGCATACGTAGGAGTTTCTTTAAACGGATTATCCTCGTTTTACGTAGAATTAAACAAAGCGCTCGGTGCGAACACCCGCATACTCGAATTGATCCAAAGACAGCCGGCAATACCTATTCAAGGTGGTAAAATCTTGGAAAAGGAATTATCAGGTGATATTGAATTTCAAAATGTCAGTTTTGCTTATCCTACAAGACAGAACACGTGGGTTTTGAGAAATTTCAGTTTAAAGATCCCAAAATGTATGGTAATCGCAATCGTTGGTTCATCGGGTTCTGGAAAGTCTACAATAGCTTCGCTCTTATTGAGACTTTATGATCCAGACTCGGGATGTATATTTTTAGACAATCATGATCTCAAATCTCTCGATCCTATGTGGGTGAAGTCACAAATTAGTATTGTTTCCCAGGAGCCAATTCTATTTAGCGGTTCAATAAGAGAGAATATATTGTACGGAGTAGACGATTCGACGAAGCATGAAATAGAAGATGTTGCGAGACACGCGCATGTTCTACAGTTTACAAAAAACATGCCAGATGGTTTAGACACTATGATTGGGGAAAGGGGTATCACACTTAGTGGTGGACAAAGACAGAGAGTTGCTATTGCGAGGGCACTATTAAAGGTGAGACTATTTGTGAGATAAAACTACGTATATACATAAGTTGTGTATGAAAATAATTTTGCATTCAGGAACCGAAGATTTTAATTCTGGACGAAGCGACAAGCGCGTTAGATGCTGAAAGTGAACATTATGTACAGGAAGCTTTAGAAAAAGCTGTAAAAGGCCGAACCGTGTTAACTATAGCTCATAGGTTGAGCACAATAAAAAACGCTGATAAGATTATTGTTTTGAACCAAGGACAAGTAGCAGAGACTGGAACATATAAAGAACTTATTAACATAAAGGACGGTTACTTTTATAAATTGGTTCAACATCAAACTTTTACTTAAATCTTGAAACTTTAGTGAATGTTACAAGTAATTACACTTGCTACTTAGGTACATATGTGTGTTACTAAGTACATTAAAAACTGAATAATGTCTGGCTGGACTTGGATGAAAACCATTAACAAAGGTTATTGAAAGTCACATGAAACTTGTAATAAATAATTAGTAAATTTATTAATTCCATTTTTGAAATACAATATGTTATTCTGTAATCTATTAATTATGTCGTAGTTATTGATGGTTCCTTTATACCACATGTTGATTGTTAGAAAACTTTTTAAACAATACGTCAAATGTGTACGCTTGAATAACTAATAATTACACAGTTCATTAGTCTCTCATTCACGTTACCTTTTGCATTTACTGGAAATATAAACTCGTCGATAAAAAGTAAATTCAGAGTTGTATATGGAATACGTGTTCACTGTGCTCTCGTTTGATATATCAAAATAGTTTGTGTAACGCATGAAGCACTTCCTATAAGTTGTAATTTGTGTTGATACAGAAATTGCAAAGCTCTATACATATATATATATATATATATATATATATATATATATATATATATAAAAATCAAAAGCGACGTATATCGCTTCTGATCTACTGTGTAAGGCAGGTATTATAAATAATTCCACTTTGGTAATAATTTTTAATATATTTTCCTATAAAATAATGTACACTGCTGTTTTAAGCTATTCTTATATCGTCGATCTATATTATGTTTAAATTAATATCCCAGTACTACAATTACTTCGGAATAATATATTTTGAACCTGTTTGTACGTAGAAAAATCAATTTAACAACACATGACTAAAAGTTAATCGTTTTAATTAAATTAATCAGATTTTTGTTTTAAATCATTACACGAGTCTGCTAAATACATTTTCCTTTGAGCAGGGAAAAAATACATTATAATACCCTTGTTATCCAATAAGTATTTTAACTATTACTTTTCTATAGGAAAACACAGCAAGGTATAAAGAGAGCAATAACATTGGTTCCACCAATGTGGAAAAACAATTGAAACTTCTTATCCTTGCTATATTTCAGATTGTTCTAGTTAGGACATACGTGTATCAAGGACAGTTGTTAGTTGATTACGCCTTGAATCCAAAAATGAAATCAGTCCATTGACTTCACCTATACTTATTATAATTGGAACATCTCCAGTCTTTAGTCATCTTTAGGATACTGTTCGTACCCCTTGTTATGTTTTACATATTGACACGTTCCTTAAATTGTCGCTTAATCCATCAATTATTCTGAAAAATTTCAAGACACCTGTGTATTTGTAACAGCTGCCGAGTTAACACTGAGAGCTTGAATTCGGATTGTGATTCAAACCTATGGTGGTACACGAAACTCGCATTTTCTCATTAATGAAGACTACTTTAAAATGCCAGAATGCATACTTCAAATGCTTCTTTGTTCACATAGCTATCACATGTCACATTTGTTAGGAGTCACATTAGAATTTCATATACTCCAGTCAAGCACAGCCGTATCCTTAATAGATACTTTATTTGTATAAATTTATGATGAAACTTTTTACAAGCTGACCTGAGCAGAAACTCAAATTATAGTCAAAACTGGTCATTAATAGTATAACATTTTGGGAACAGGCAGTGTTTTGCTTTCTACAGGAGCTTTGAAATTCACATGAACAAGTCTCTGTACAAGTAAATACCAAAATTTATCAGATTTAATCACAATTATACAGTCAATGAGACAGCAATTAATACATAATTATACAATTCTCTCTGACTATTACAATAGTTTCTCATGTGTTTTATATGTCAAATCATGTAAGGGAATTCATATAAATTACATTTTAATTATAATAAGAATTTTTTTATGTAAACAAGTCTGTTTTTGTCCTGTTTCTTTAATGTTTCTTGTTAAAATAAAAATCGAGCATTAAAAGCAACCTGACCATCTTAAACGTTATTAACTTTGAGATGTATGAGCTGTTTCTTGTTCCATTGGTTCATCGTCTTGTTGAAACATTGATGATGTTTCTTCATCATCTACTTCCATTAATTCTACTGCATCTTGCTCTTTTTTACTTGTAACAGTTTCCATCACTGTATCACTGTCTTCTTCTTTAGATGAGATAGTAGCTATAATATTACCTTGCAATTCTGTTATACTGTTACTTTCAACAGACATTTTGACTTCCTCTTTTGTACTGACAGTTTCTGTGTCTTGTGGTTCTTCCGTACTAGGGATTGGTTCAGGTACTATAGATTTAATTACTTTGGGCTCGTCTTCCGTAGTTTCTGTTATGGTTACACTCTCCTTCTCTAAGTTTTCACTGAAATTTTCCACGATATTGTCTTTAGGACATAACTCTTCTGTTACAGGTTTTAACTCCTCCACTAGTTCTGCTTTTCTACTTTCATCCTTCATACTTTTTGCTTCCAAAGATATATCTTCAGATGTACTTACAGCTGAAGTTTCAACTGGCATCGCCTCACCAGTGGATAACTGTAAAGAGTCCATAAGTTTATTTGAATTGTTCATTGACAATGTATCTCCTGTATTGGTATTATCTGAAGGTAGAGATTTTTTTTCATCCGTGTTTGTATCAGGTGTATCGATAATTGTTTGTGTATTTTCTATCACTGTATCTTCCAACTTTGCAGTGTCCTCCAAAGTTGCATCAGAAGAATTTAAAAGATTATCAACTGCTGGATCGATGACCTCTTTATTGTTTAACGGTGCTTTGGATTCCACATCATCCTTAACCAATGTATCATTAACTTTATTTGATTCTTCTTGTATATGCGTTGGTCCTACTTTTGTCTTTTCATTTACCTTAGAATTATCTGAATAATATTTTGATACTTTGTTTTCACTTGATCCAAAGTCCTTTGTTTGAAAAGTTGTTTGTAACTTCCTTGTAGAGTCCGCGCCATCCTCGTCTTCATTCTCTAAGTCTAAACTAGGTTGAGAACTGGTATCCTCATTCATTATACCTTCTGGAACATCGCCTGTGATCGCAGAGGTTTCAGGAACTATGGTTGTCAGATTTTGTATAGTAGGTCCTATTTGTGGCTCTTGACTTTGTGTTTGAGACGTTAAATTTGGAACACCGGAAAACTCCGAAGTGGTTGGTATAAAATTAGATTCAGCACTATCCACCTTAGGGGATGTTGACTCGGCTTTTTCCTGAGAGGCTTCATCAGAGCCAAATATATTTTTTACAACACCCGTAGTTGGTACGACGGTGTGCAATATAGATGCTTCATTTTCAACGGTATGTACACTAATTGTAACAGTAGAAGGGCAGTCCTTCTCCCAATACTCCATTTCCACGTCAGGCGGTTGCGTGGTAGAGGCATCTTCGTCGACGGATCCGTTGACCATACCGTCCCCGTTTTCGTTCCTCCTCGCGATCGGTCCTGGTTCTCTGGTGGAAACAACCAAGATATTCTTTTCTATGGCACGCATAAATTTGTCAACCCTGTTGTATTCCTTACGTGGTGCTGTCAGCAGTTCACAAATTCGTTGGACAGTGAACGGTGCGTTCGCGAATGACTCCAATCGTTCCAAAAGATTGCTCTTCATGGTGTCATAGTTAAAATGCTCGACGTTGGGACAGGGCGCGAGTTCCAGGGTTGGACAGCTCTCGTAGAAATCGGTCATCACACGGGTGAGCTTCTCCCTGAAGAGTGTTTTGATCAGTGACCACTGGTAAACCGGATCACCGGTTTTCGCGACCCAACACAAATAGTCCTCCAGCTCCCGGGGTATCTCACTCGGTCGCATTTTCTGAAATTCGTCGAGCGCCTGCAGCACCTCCTCCAAATTTTCCATTTTCTTCGGCTGTTACCCCCTCTGCCTCCTTTATACACGGGAAATAACGAAGAACGCAAACACACCGGGTACCACACAGCAACAATGAAAAGGATGGGGGATGGAGCAGGGGTACCAATCACCCGAAAAACATGTCATCGTGACAGCATTTGGTTAACCACCGTAAATCAAAATTCCTGAATATGTTGCACTTGAACGATTCGAATATTTATATGGAATTCACATCAGAGTCTTTCAATTTATGTCTACCGTAACTTTATCCCTTGTAACTGCTTTCAGTTTAAACAAAGAATATATCGGCCTACAATCAAATTTGCATTGCTAAAAAATCACTTCGCGTGTGTGTTTGTTTTTCTTCTAGAAATATTTCGTATGTATATATATTCAAAGGACGTAATGTTTTTTATATTGAACTTATATATGTTATATTAAAGGAAAAGAATAGCGGTCGTTTATTTTTGGAAATATTATTTAAAACGAAAGAACACAACGGTTTTAAATTTCTATATTTACGTAGTGGTATTAGCGATGTTTAACGGTTGATTATACAATACTTTTAAGCTGAACAATCAATTTAATGTAAAATGTTTTTACAATAAAATTCACAAAGTAATTTCTACAATATCGATTAATTGTTAATATTAATATATAATATATTATTATAAAGTTAAATGTTTTGTATTCGTATAAATACTAAATGAAGGTTAGGAAATTAAGACCCTATATTAAACAGAATTTTAAATATCAGATTTCGTAAATACATAGATTTATTTCAACATAGTTTATGACTTTGAACTTTGATTGGACATTAAAATTCAGTAACATATACACATATAAACAATCACATTGATAATGTAAAGCAAGATTTGTAAATTCTCAAGTTGTATAGTATATTATTGTTTTAATGATCATACAAGAAATTAATATATTTATTCAGGCATAATAGTGCATTTGAAAGATACAAAAATACCATTTGCATTTCAGTCTTATTCATGATTATAATAAAAACAAACATTTATGACAAAATCAGACAGTTCTACCAAGAAGTTATTTTCTTACATTAACAGTAATTAATTGAATAATATAAGTTTCTTTCAAATGCACAACCAACCTTAATTGAAACAAAAAAACAATATATGATACAGTATTACCTTTGAAAGTAATTGGAAGTTCTCAGAGATTCATTTGTATATAACATTTAACATAATAGATTTGACATAATATAAATAGCATGTTCCCATTCATGTGATTCTAAGGGCATTTTGTTGAAAAACTAAAGAAACACAGTCTAACATTCTTCTAACAAGTATTGCATATTAGTGGAGAATATTATACAATAATGATTAGAAGATGTGCTAAATTTAAAACTTATTGTAGAAGACAGAACGTCATTTTCTAATGACTTATATTTATTCAACTGTATCTCCATAATTTTTCTGCAATTACGATCTTTTCGTGTTAATTAAATAAAATTATAAATTATAAAATAAAACTATTGTATTAACATCAACTAAAAAATAAATATATATATATGTATATTAGATATACATATACAATGTAACAAAAAATGAGCACATGTATAATATTAAAGTTGTACTGTGAATAGTAGGTGTGCACAATGTTAGAAAGTTGGTGATTAATAAACTGTAATAGATATTGCAGTATAGAAAAAACTTTAACAGTGACAAACTTATCTATAAAGTTGGCTTGATCAAAGATTAGTAATGGTCATAATTTCAACCTACACAGAGCTTTGTTACAACTATCCAATAAATCTGTTGTTAGTAATGAATTTTTAAAGTTAAATTGATATTACCATATACTGATACTTAATATCTTTTTTTCTTACAGACTTTGATAGTTTAAACATCAACTACCATCTTCTTATGAATATCTGTATTACCAACAACCTAGAATCATAAATTACAAATGTGTTACAAAATCATTGTAACTTTACCCACCTCCAAGCAACACTTACAGAACAGAATTCTTCAAAACTAATTTTTCCATCTTCATCTTTGTCGGCAAATAATATTGTTTTATCAACTATTTGCTGAAGCTGTGTATCTTTCAAATTATTGCCTACCATCATTTTCAATACCTGGAACAACTCTCCATTGCTTATGAAACCATCATTATCCATGTCATAAATTCTAAAGGCAAATCGCAATTTGCTTTCTTTATCACCCTATGAAACAAAGACAATATAATTTCAAACAGATGTCTGTTAACATGCAAAATATCCATGAGATTTGTCCAATAAGTAAATTCATTTCTCCAGGGTCCTCCAGAGTGCTCAATGTATTAATACTTTTAAGTTAATCATTTCAGAATATGTTTCACCTACCTTAACACTGAATTGAGAAACACCATGGATAAACTCTTTAAAATCAACTTCTCCATTACCATCAGCATCAAATATATCAATAACACGTTGAACCAGAGGATTCTGTTGTAATTCTGGCAGGGACATAAACTCATCAATGCTCAAGGCACCACTGTTATCCAGATCTAATTTCCGAAATCGTTTTCCCAATCTTCTAATTTCGTCCACATCAACTGGGATATCAATTAATTTCATGTTAGAAAAGAAAGTTATTTTAACAATATAATGGAAACAAACATAATACGTTCGATCTATATTGATAAACTGACAATACGTGTAACCGAAGCAAGTATTAATATACAATAAAGAACAGACTCATTGACTGGAACATTATAGGTGCTATGTTTAGTTAGTGATAAAAATAAATCAGAAGCAGTAAGTAAATGAAACAAAAAAAGAGTTTCTACGCAATATATCGTGGAGGTAATGTTATTCCAAATTGTTATTCGAAATAATATCGCAACACGCTTCAATCAACTCCGAAACGACAATAATTAATTGCTCAAACGGAAATACTTGAGGAAATCAAACAGGTTATTTAAGATGTACCAAAAGTAATATTTCATGTTCACTTACAATTTGAACATAATTCCATAGGCAGTGAGCTTTCGTTACCCTAAAAGGAGAAAATTAAAAACATTATGTATTCTGTTAATAACGTACATAACTTTGATGACAGTAACCACACGAAAGAATGTTTTTCTTCAGAAAGATTTACAAAAAGCAGCCGTAGGAACATAATGAACTTTGATTAATCGTTCTGTGAAATTGAAAGAAACTGAAACTTAAGTAAGATTAATTACCATCGTAAATTCGATTCAGAAGATTTCTGTTAAAAAGTTAGCACAAAACGTTAAAATTGATCAGCAGACACTATTTTACGGTTAATGATCAATGGGAAACACGAAAGATAGACGGGAAACTCCGAGGGATATTAGAAACTGTGTAAACGTGTGTAAAGGGTGTCCCTAAATGGGTGTAAGTCCTTGAAAAGTGTGATTCCTGAGGTGATTTGAAACGATCTTTTCCTTAGCGATAAAATTTTCCAACAGATGGTTAACAAGTTAATATCTCGTTAACAAAGCCTCGGACAACTTTTTTGCTAAGGAAAATATATCAAATCACCCCAAGAATCACCCCTTTCAAGGTCTTACAACTATTTTGGAACACCCTGTATATATGTATGCATTTCTTCTGTGGCATAATGTAGAGAGCGCTAAAGTCGCAGGCTTTTTAAGGTGTCGATATTATAGATTTTTAAAGCCACAAATTCCCGTAAGACCTTAGGTCTATTTTTATACCTCGTCTGTGGTTTCATCGTATGTACGAAATAATTTGTCGTTTGTTTATGTCGGGGGTGTTGACAGTTAAAAGACAAGAATGGCAGTCCCCTCAGTTTCTTTATCAACTAGAAATAAAAAGCACTTTTTAGGAGTACCAGCACCCTTAGGATATGTCGCTGGTGTTGGAAGAGGGTATTGTATATGACACTGTGTTGCTTGATTAATCTAACCTCCATTAAGTATATAACACATCGGTTGTTATCTTAATCCGTTATTTTACAGAGCTACCGGGTTTACAACCAGATCTGATATTGGTCCAGCTCGAGATGCCAATGATGTCTCGTATGTGTTTACTACATTAGATTTGTAATTAAGTTGGCAAAGGGGGCTTGTCCTGTATTGTACTTTATTTGTAGAGATGATCGACATGCTCCACCTACAAAGCGAACTAAAAAGAAAGAGGAAGAAGAAGAAGATGAAGAAGATTTGAATGACTCTAATTATGATGAATTTTCTGGATATGGAGGCTCGCTTTTTAGTAAAGTAAGAGAACTCACCAGGTCATTGCATGCTTTGATAAAATTTACTTAGTATTAAAAGGAAAGGAACTATTGTATAAAATAGTTTATTTAATCATCAATATTTTCAAGAGACTTCTTTAATCTTTCTAATGGTATAAAGTGTATTCAGATTTTTGCTCCAAATATTTTTTTAAAAGAAATTTGAATGAGCATGTTATAAATGTATCAAGATTGTTTTAATGATGCAGTACATTCTGTTGAATGTTGTAGTTCTTTTAATAAATCTTTCATGTTCTTACATTTTTATGCATTGTATATGTTAAAAATGTATATGTACCGGAGTAATGTACTATGTACTAAATAATTACATTTCTAAAGGATCCATATGACAAAGATGACGAAGAAGCTGATGCCATTTATGAGGCTATCGATAAGAGAATGGATGAGAAACGAAAAGAGTATAGAGAAAAGAGACTCAGAGAAGAACTAGAAAGGTATCGCCAAGAACGACCTAAAATTCAACAGCAGTTTTCAGACTTGAAGAGAGAATTGGTAAATGTAACCGAGGAAGAATGGAAAAATGTTCCAGAAGTAGGTGATGCTAGAAATCGGAAACAACGAAATCCACGGGCCGAAAAGTTCACTCCATTACCGGATTCCGTACTCGCCAGAAATTTAGGAGGTGAAACATCTTCCAGTATCGATCCTGGGAGTGGTTTGGCATCAATGATGCCGGGTGTCGCTACGCCTGGAATGTTGACTCCAACAGGAGATTTAGATTTAAGAAAAATTGGACAGGCTAGAAATACTTTGATGAACGTTAAGCTGAATCAGGTTTCTGATTCTGTGGAGGGGCAAACAGTAGTCGATCCAAAAGGCTATCTTACCGATTTGCAAAGTATGATACCTACATACGGTGGTGATATCAAGTAAGATTAAACACAATTGGGCCTATTTTAATTTAAATAATTGTACTTTCAAACTTACAATCATTTTTTACTTTTGCAGTGATATTAAGAAAGCCAGATTGTTATTAAAATCTGTAAGGGAAACAAATCCTAATCATCCACCAGCGTGGATTGCATCGGCCCGTTTAGAGGAAGTTACAGGGAAGGTGCAGGCAGCACGAAATTTGATAATGAAAGGCTGCGAGGTAAATCCTACATCTGAAGATTTGTGGCTGGAAGCAGCCAGGCTTCAACCACCAGATACGGCCAAAGCAGTAATTGCTCAATCTGTACGGCATATACCGACCTCTGTTCGGATATGGATAAAGGCAGCCGATTTAGAGACCGAAACAAAAGCAAAGAGGAGAGTGTATCGCAAAGCGTTGGAACACATTCCGAATTCGGTGAGGCTCTGGAAAGCAGCAGTTGAATTGGAAGAGCCCGAAGACGCGCGCATTCTACTCAGCCGTGCAGTTGAATGTTGTCCGACGAGCGTAGATTTATGGCTCGCTCTGGCCAGATTAGAAACATACGACAATGCAAGAAAGGTGCTTAACAAAGCAAGAGAGAATATTCCGACTGACAGACAAATTTGGACCACAGCTGCAAAATTGGAGGAGGCTAATGGAAATAAGCATATGGTAGAGAAAATCATAGATCGTGCGATCTCCTCGTTGAGCGCGAATGGAGTGGAAATTAACAGGGAACATTGGTTCAAAGAGGCCATGGAGGCTGAGAAGGCTGGCGCGGTACATACGTGTCAAGTTATTGTTAAAGCAATCATTGGTTTCGGTGTAGAAGAAGAGGACAGGAAACATACATGGATGGAAGATGCAGAAGCTGTAAGATCAGTAATGTATTATACCTCCTATTTAATAGAAATAATTATTAATTTACGTGTTGTTCCAGTGTGCCCAACAAGGCGCATTGGAGTGTGCCAGAGCTGTTTATGCGTACGCGTTGTCAGCGTTTCCTAGTAAAAAATCAATTTGGCTACGCGCAGCTTATTTCGAGAAAACGTACGGCACGCGAGAGTCTTTGGAATCATTACTTCAAAGAGCAGTCGCTCACTGTCCTAAGAGCGAAGTACTTTGGCTGATGGGTGCGAAATCAAAATGGTTGGCTGTAAGTAAATGAAAATCACGTTGTGCATCAGGGTTTCTGTAACATATATATATATATATATGTATAATAGTACTCGTTATTCCTTTACAGGGCGATGTTCCAGCAGCTAGAGGTATTCTGTCTCTCGCGTTTCAAGCGAATCCAAATTCGGAGGAGATTTGGTTAGCGGCCGTGAAGTTAGAATCTGAGAACTCGGAATACGAGAGAGCCCGACGATTACTGGCAAAGGCCAGGGCATCCGCGCCGACTCCTAGAGTAATGATGAAAAGTGCCAAATTAGAATGGGCCTTGAACAATCTTGACGCAGCCTTGCTCCTTCTTAAAGAGGCTCTGGAAGCATTCGACGATTTCCCTAAGTTGTGGTTAATGAAGGGTCAAATCGAAGAGCAGCAAGGAAATTTGGATAAAGCCCTAGATACATACAATCAAGCGGTAAGGTTCTCTTTTATAGACACCGTTAGAGAGTCGTTTCTTGTTTATACATTTGTATTCGTTTCACAGATAAGGAAATGCCCGAGTTCCATTCCATTGTGGCGTTTACTGGCACAGCTAGAGCACAGGAAAGGTCAAGTTACAAAGGCTCGTTCGGTTTTGGAAAAGGCACGTCTGAAAAATCCAAAGAACGCAGATCTCTGGCTAGAAGCAATCAGAAACGAACTAAAAATCGGCGGTGTTAGAGATATGGCAAACACATTAATGGCTAAAGCTCTACAAGAATGTCCCACGTCAGGATTACTTTGGGCAGAAGCAATCTTCATGGAACCACGACCACAGAGGAAGACTAAAAGCGTCGATGCTTTGAAAAAATGTGAACACGATCCTCATGTACTCCTCGCGGTATCCAAGTCAGTAAATCAATAATGTATTACAAACTTTCGTAAACTATAAAGGCAATAGTACAATCTAATTGTACAATCCTACCTATTTTTTAGATTGTTTTGGTGTGAACATAAAATTACGAAGTGTAGAGACTGGTTCAATAGGACAGTAAAGATAGACCCGGATTTAGGAGATGCGTGGGCATATTTCTATAAATTTGAACTTTTAAATGGAACCGAGGAACAACAAGAAGACGTAAAGAAACGATGTATTGCTGCTGAACAGACCTACCGATTCCAATATAATATACGCTAAACTAGATTTAGATCCCCACTGTATATATTTTTTAAGGACTTATGTACGATCGTAAAATAAATGACCCTGTACATGTGTTATGGTGTACTAAATTTTATTAGACATAGACACAGAGTATGATAAATCTATCCGATTCATGTCAGGTAGGTCTGTCTAAACAAGTTAACATATTTGATAAATAGTCATTGTTTAATAATTCGCAATAAAATAAAATTTATTCCATATAGAAGTTCATAAAACGATTCATTTCGTAAAAATTTCTGTGTACCTCGATTTCTATTTGTTATAATCAATAACAGTTTGCATTAAAAAACAATTTTTAGAATGTTTAACAACCCACACCGAAAATTTTATTGTTATAAATATTACATTGTCTAGTTAGTCAATAAGTTGTTATTAAGATATCTGACCATTGAATATTATAAAACAGATCAGGAGCAATTTTTTAATACCATAATATTTGTGTAAAATGACCATTTACTATCTATTTTGCAGACAACAAATTTTTGCAAATATCTCATTAAATATAATAGTTGCGATGGGAGCAATTTTTTAAGATGAAAATTGTTAAGAAATACTAATATTCCGTGCCAACTATTTTTCGATGGAGCAATGACGAAACAGTTAAATGTAAGTCGACAATGTAGGGATTTGTATCTTATTTATTTCTCACTCCCTTTCTAATAACGTTTGAAATATAAATGTAAAAAACTATAAATAACTATTACGTTTGTCATATTTTTAAAATTAGTACTCGAAATCATGATTTTATGGAATCAAGAATATTACTATTCGTGTGCTTCCCCTTAAACTGCTTCAAACGTAATAATTTACTCGAGCAGACCGTACATAAATACATGCATTTCACAGTTATGTATTCGATTTCAATATTTACATCGTATTTGCCTCGTTTATAGTTCAATTATTCATTGTACGTATTGGAGTGTACAGAAAAATGCGATAACATAAACAATTAAGAAAGAATATGCATACGAAATGTACGACGTAATATGTAATCGATGTGTTCTACTATGGTTGCACGGGAAAAAATAAAAGTACGCCATATTTGTTTTCGAAGCAACTCATTCCATGTTTAATTTACGATAATGTGGAACAAATATCAATTAAGAAACAAGTTTCAAACGCATAAAGTTACTCAAGCCTTAAAATACAAAACGGTGTACAGCAATTAAACGATGAGTGTATAAATATTCGAATTTGAATAATTGACGTGCCTTCAAGATTTTGGTTGTATACACATAACCAGAAGATACTTCATGATTCGCTTTTTATGCGTGTAAAGTACATTCTTAGACTTATTGCCTATTATGCAAATAAAATTCTATTATAAAATGGCGAAGAACGATAGTTCAATGATCCTTTGTACAAATACTGTTCAAGAGAACGAAAGTATATTACACGAATCTTCCAGCAAACATCAAGTAAGTACTGTACCCAATGTCTATCAATATTGAAATGGAAGAAGCTATTAATTACCATTAATTCTTTAGATAGATGCTAAAAGCAACGAAGATTTTGAGAAGTTGTTTATGAAACTTAATTACATCTGTCAGCTAAAAGCATCCAAAGAAGAGGTGCAATCAACTACTTGGAATAATAAAAATGTAAGATTACTTGAAAGGTTATTAGTTCTATCTGTGGATCTCATACAAATTGATTCAATTGTATTCTTTCTTATTAGGTTATAACTTACACATATGGAGCCATCCAAGCATTTCCATCTGGCTCTTGGTGGGGTATCCGTATGGATTGCTCCAGGGATCGTGTGCATGATCCCTTTGATGAAAATATGCAGATCGGGCCATTTGGAGTTACCTCAATTTGTACTTCGAACAGTAATCTAAATGAAGATGTTGATTTTGGTAATTCTCTCACCCTTACGGGTGAAAAATATCTTGATGGAAAGTCTGACAGGGATCCGCTTATTAAAAACTATGAGAATAAGATACCAGTGAGATTAATCAGAAGTTACAATCTATTAAATGAATTTGCTCCAAAAACGGGCTACAGATACGATGGTCTGTACGTCGTGGCAAACTGTTGGATAGGTATAAATTCAGACGCTACAAAATATTACAAATTCGCTCTAGTACGTTTAAATAATCAAGAGCCACCATTATGGAGTATTCAGCAGTCTCCTTTAAGTGGTAGTAAATCATACTCGGTTGCACAACTAATGTCTTTAACTCTTCGAAGCAGCTCAGAGAACACTTCTTCAAGTCCGCAAGAGTTTAGAAAATACTTGCACAGTTCTGAACGTATAATTCAGAAGAGGAAACGTGAGAAATCTACTGGGTACTTACAATCTCCGAATTTCGAAAGCAAAAGATCAGATGAGAAAGAAAAGTGTACATCAGAAAGTGCGATAGTAACGCGTCACGTATTTAAAAAGGGAAATGCAGAATCTACATCCGGTGCACCTAGTATGTCTACTACGTCGGAAAGCAAATCGTTAACTCATATTGGAGCACAAGGCTCCAAAGCTCATAATACAAATATTTCTATACGTACAGGACTATACGATTCATCGCATAATACACAGAATGACATTAAAAAGAATATTATGCCGCAGTTTTGTAGAACCGCTAAACCACTTAATTTTCTTAAAACTAATCAATATACGGAAACCTTAAATTTCTCTAATATTGATAAGAGTAGAAGTTCAGATGGAAAAGTACAAATTATTGGAGCAAATGAATTTACTAAGCGTGTGAATTATATTTCGCCTAATACAGTAAAACCAGATGCTTTGAAAATAAAATCAAGTACAGAAATTAGCGATAGTCCGACCGATCTAATTTCTTGTTACAAATCCGAAAACAACACCGGCAAAACATATGAAAATGTAATAAATGATTTTAAAGACGTACTTGAAACTAACGCGAGCGTGTCTGATACTTCCACTAATATATTAAACACGACAAATATTTCAACGCATAAACTTTTACCTAAAGAAGCACAAGATTTAAAATCGCTCGACTCCTTAGACACATTGACACCGGACAAAATTCTACATTTAATTAACAAGAAATGTCATCCGCTCTCAAAACTCCTTATGGGTAATATGATAGGAGTAACATCAGAACAGTCTATAGCATTGAAACCACATGATTTGTTAACAGTTCAATCTGAAAACAAGAATAAAGTAGAATTGCAAGAAAGTAGTATGAAAGAAACAAAGGAGAAGAAAGATAGTTCGGATGATTTATTGGCAACAAAATATTATAAATTCAGAAGACATAGAAGATTATCTAGGACAATGATGAGTAAACCAGATGTAAGAAAGTGTGAAAAGATATACAATAAAGAATTCCAAGAAGGCTCTGTACAGCCTTTAGATAGTTTGGAACAGAGTGCAATGGATTTTAATATGTTGGAAGAAGATGCTTTGAATTCAAACAAACACAATACGGATGTAAAAGATATAATAGTAAAACAGAAACAAATTAATTATCTACCGGAATCAACAAAAAATGTTAATAAGAATGCAGGAGCTAGAAGTGAGATAAGAACGCGGTTAAGAACTATGAAAGCAATTAAGTCGTCGATGAAAAAACACATAAATAAGAAACAAAGACGAGAAATTACAAATTTGTTGATAGATGCGAAAATTGGTCCGAAAATACGTGGCCCACGAAACAGAAGGCTACGATGTATCAGTAACACATATACAAAACATACGCATGAACGTTTTGCTGCCGGAATGTGTACCCTAAACAAATGCCGCATGAATTCAGAAATATCTGGACAACAATCAAGCTTCAGGAATAGAAGTAGAATTGCGAAAATCAGAAGCTATAAACGTATCAAAGACAAACAGAGTGGAAGTATTAAAAACTCGGAAGCGTTGAAAGAAAACAGAATACATAAGAATCTCACAGTATCTAAGAAAGTAGATAAAAATGAAATTATAAATAACAATAACAACAGTGTAGGAGACAATAATAAGAAATCAAAGTCTGTAAAGACTAATGTTGAAGCAACAATGATGCCAATGGTGGCGAATCGAAAAAGAAAATTAATGTGCTCAGTTTCTACAAAACTAAGAGGGAGTAAATTTAAACAAGAAATCCATGGGAACAGTGACAAAGAAGATTCCAAACCCTGTAAGACAGATGCAGTTACTCAATGTTCCCTCATTAAAGAACCATTGATGAGGAACTTAAAGTTGTATGATTTTGGGCAGAAATGTAATCGCAGCGAGCAATACACTTTTATCAAAATAGAATATGGCGAAAGTAAAGATGTGAAATCTGAAACATGTGAAGCTACTAAATCAGACCGTGGGAAAAAAAATCAACAGAAATATAAAAAGGACGAAAAATATAAATGTACAAAATCTATGTGTAATACACAATATCCTAAACCAACAAATACATTGTTAAGTAATAATAGTTTGCATACAAGAGAGCAAAGTAAATCTTCGATGGAAAGAGATGATTTAAAGATTGCTCGTCTCAGATCAATTGGATTTAAACCAATAATCTCCAACAATAGCACTGAAAGTGTAATCGATCAAAGTAAGGGAAACTCTTCAGAGACTTTCAGTAGTAAAGTGCTAAAGCAAAATGTTGCTGAGAAGTACAATAAATATACTAACGAAGAGAATGATGTTGTAGTATATATGGATGATGAATTGCAGTATCAAGATATTGAGGATGAGGATAAGAATTCTTATAATACCAAACGCAAGGCATTGAAAACAGAAGGTTGTACATCAGACAATGATCAAGAAGAAAGAGAATCGTGTAATAATTCGAGATTATTGTTAGAACAAGATTTAGAATCACCTTGGCATGGGTGGAGAAAAGTTGTAACAAATACAGATACATACTGGGTTGGTTGGTAAAAGAAATTAAATCTTGTATGTATCAATAATGTAATTTTCTGTATTATTTTATTACGACAAGAAAGTTCTTTATAAAAAGAAGTATATATAGTAATATATATATATATATATTTTCTTTCCGCCAAAACAAAGGCTGTTGATATAATACTAAATTATTTTTTCACCGATTGTTACATTGTTTCATTGAATTAATGTAATTATAGATAATGCTTTTTTAGGATAAGTAAATTTTATCTTTTGTTGAGTCAATTTACATTTTCTGATTAATTTCATTATTAATTTTTTTTTGCTAAATGTTTTACTAATGAGAGTTAGAAAGTAATGTAAAACACTAATAATCAGTAGTACAAAATATAGCGATTTACTTTTAACAAATGAACTTTATTGTTATTTTATGGAACAGAATAATATATTCTTTCCATAAACATAATTTATGTATACACAAATATTTCTATTGTATAGAAAATAAAGATTAATTAAGATTACGATTTGTTTTCATTTTTTGAAGCATTTAACAAAAGGTAACGCATAGAACATTACATATTAAATACTTATATGCGAATGAAACAAATACATTGAAGGAAAATTCTTTAATTTTTGCATTATTAAATACATTCTATTTTAACGGTATATACACTCATTAATTCTTTAATCTAGGACGATGACAAAATTACAAGAATTTTATTCCAATATCGGGAATATCTGTGTAAAAACGTATACGTAATGTTAGCTCAAAGTGTAAAAATATCAAGTAACTACAGTAAATTATGCGGCAACGTATTTGTGAGTATTCAGATATTAAGTACTGTACAATGCTTCCCTTTAAGAAACGTAAATTGTTTCGTAAAATAAAGGTATATCATTATAGTAGAGCCACCTCTGTAGGTAACACTGCCTTAAACATGTTCAGCATATTAAAATAAATATCTTCTATGCTATGTTTATATGATGTAACGTAATACATGTATTAACATGGATGTAACATTATGGAACTATTACAGTATGATGTATCATTTCACATCATACAATTTCTTTTATCTATCTGTCGTTTTCTTTTTTGTGAGCGAGTCAAGTTCCTACCTAATGATGTACAATCAATCAATTTAACGGTATATGGTAGCGTTTTTTCAAAACCAAACATTTATAATTTTTTCACGAAAGTCCAACGTTTAGTATAGTGTTCGTTTTCATCGGTTTCTATTTTTCCATTGCGTATGCAATTAGTTTTTGAATTTATTGGAATTCATCGTCACTGCTTAACAACATCGTTTTCTCATTGTAATTTTGTGAGATTGTTGCAACACGTTGATGAGAAGTGTGTCGTCTTTGTGGCGGTGGTATCGGCATGTTCTGTGGATCGTCCGGATCGAAGCTGGATATCCGCATACCACGTTGTCCTTTGGATGCTCCTGATTGTTACATTACATCACGTATTATCGCTGGCATAGTCGTGACAAATAGACACGTTGATCACTCAACGAACAGCGAAAAATATCATGCGTGAATTGTCCTCTTTCGTTCTAAGCATTATTGACTGTATCGATTACAGGCTATGCGTAATTTTATACGTGATCAGACAAAACGTTATTACACACTGCGTAATCTACAGCATTTTTTTTTTATTTTTGCAACATTAATACATTGAACGTATGCATAACACAATCGTTCTAATTGAACATGCATATTACAAAACTAATTAAAGTTGGCTACGTTTCACAGAAATGATTAAAAATGCATAAATAATGTACAGAAAAAGAGACGAAAATGTAATACTATATCAGCATGCTAATATTAATACTGCCAATATTTACATGCCATTTTTCTCAGCTATATAAAAGCCATTATAAGATAATACTATGTTGTTCTAATTCCTTTTGGCCTATTGTTAAAATTATGTTTAATTATAGTACTGCCATGGAATAGTACTCAATTATCATTTATCTTCTGCATTTATTAAAAAGCAAAACCTTGTATGAAATTACACTGTACTCTTAAGTGCTCTTGTGTTAAGTGCTTAATTTCTATTGCACAGTAGATTTTGTTAATTGCAAAATGAATGAATTGTATGCTTATATATGTATATAGGTATGTATGTAAGTATATATGTATACAGTTTTTAATATAAACCTTAAAACATAATTTGAGCAGAGAACTCTTTGCCCACCCTGCAACTTCATTCGAACTTAAAACACGAAGTAAATTTTTAATATTAGTTTTAACGAACTACAATGTAGCATTAAGAATTTGTCAATCTCCATATAAAACTGTACGAATGCCTGACGTCCAATTTCTTGTAATTAAAAAAGTGATGCCTCGCACTCTCATAGTTTTTCATACGGCAAGTTGGTATTAACGTCTGAAAAATAATAAAAAGAAAGTGCCTTCAAAGAATTTAATCCTAACTGGCACATACAATCTGGACATACGTTTGAAATAATTTTTCTTTCAAAAAACTGCTTGATTACAATTTCATTGCAACGTATAAACATAAGTAAATATTTATTATTTTATAAGCATAGTGGTTGGCAGTAAAGTATATTAAGAGATATAAGTATATTGTATTATACAAAAAAACCAATGTAATCATTTACTTTGTTTAAATTCGGATGAAACATTTGTAACAATTTTCATATCCTAGATTACAATATTTGTCTGCCTCTCTTTTGCAATTTGGATTTGTGAGGAATAAAAAAGTTTAAACGAAATATATAAATGAACAATGAAATACAGATGATTTTAGATGTCATCATTCGCTACATCATGCTGTATGCAAATATACATATATATATATATATATAGATTAGATAAAGTAAGTAATAAACAGAATTTTAAAGGCAATATATATATCAAAACAAACATCTTACAAGAATTCAATTATACATACCAGAACTATACTGAGTGTATTGTTGATACTGTGGATGAAAATTGTGAATGGCATCAGTCATTATGTCTTTTGGATTCATAGTTTCCTGTGTAGAACAATATTAGTAAATTATTCTTTTACTTTTTTTAATTTATAAAATGAATTTCAAACTATAAAAGTATTAGTGCCTTTAAACTGCTGCTAATGCTTTGCATGGTTACACTTCTTCCTCTTGAATCTGTAACGCATCCAGCAGAATACACTTGGTAAGGAAACGCATATCGTAAAGCTATAGCAGCAAACAACATTTCAATGCAAATCAGAAAGTTTTGATAACCAGCGGATACTGTGCCTGCGCTGGTCGATTGGCCCAAACTTATAGGTGAAATTACATTTGCTTTTTCAAGGATAGCCAGTAATACCCCTGAAAGAAATAAAATTTATTCATACTCATGATAGATAGAAAAATTGATATATTTTTCAATATTACCTTGCCAAAATGAAAGGAAGATAACACTTTTGACAGTACAAAATTTTAAGACAGGTTCAAATGGTGTTAACAGGTCTCTAGTAGCAAAGTAGAAGAGGAAGAGTCCATAAAGTGCAAGGGACACGCTGATATTATAAATTATAGTTATATAGATATAGCCCCCATCCGGAGACCAATCTCCATCTCTATAATGTCCAAATGCTTGAAGGAATATAATGACAAATGCCATCACTGGCTTTACTAAGCAGAACTGCAAGGTGGCTTGCTTGCAAAATCTAAGAAAGCCAATAGTATAAGTCTTTCCAACTAGGCAGCATGTTCCATATAGGCAATTGGATCTAATAGGTTTGCCACGTATTTCAGACATAATGTTTCCTTCACCTCCGAGGTACTCATAGCATAAAGACAAAAAGTTATATATAACAAATGCTTCGTAGCAGTCTCGCACAGTGAAGAAATAAACATAATAGCTTTCACTATTAAAAAATAATAGAGAGACCCAAGAGTAAGTTGCATATATTGGAACTATAAACAGAATTCTGACTATCCATCTCTGTTCTGTTGGGTTGGTGTACCACCTCAAATGTTGATAAATCTATAAAGAAACATTGAGACAGACGATCTTAATACTTTGTATTTCACAAACTAAAAAGAAATAAAGAACACATATTTTCCAAAGTACCTGTTGACATGTTAAGAACAAAGCGACCCAAACGAATGCACCTGCGATACCTTGAGCAGCTTTTGTCTGCAAGAATATTGGGGCTGCTTCCTTGGAAATTTCATTGACAGTGGTTGTGGATGTCATACTGTCGACCAGAGACTTGATGACAGTGGATGGTTCGACAGTACTAGTCATACTTTAATCTGAGAAAAATCAGTGTTGCAAATAACAGTGACAGATTAATGTATTTGAGGCGAAAGAAAGATAATCGTGAACATTGAAGAAGTCCATTATACAATCACAATCACAGAGAGGGAAGAAAAGACAACAAATAACGTGTTTCCCGTAACTGGGAACAAGTGTCGGGAGAGTGACTCGCGCGTTAAAAATCAATATATGCACAACAATAACAACGGTACTCCGTTCGTGCGTAAAATCTCGTCTTGTGGACGCACCCGTGCTCCATTCGTAGATTTTTTCGAAAAATTTCCAGCATACGCTTGTTCCCTTGTCAATGTATCCCCGTAGCACGGTGTTCTCCTTTTTCCTTGGTGTTGCACCGTACGCGCTGACCTGTACGATCAAGCTTCACGCAGATATTCCCCACTTTTCAATTAACCAGCTACCCAACGGAACGATTCACAAATGGTCGTGACCTTACAGGAGATAACGCGAAATAATCCACCGAAATTCCACTTCCCTTCACCGTCCGTTCCGTCCGACTTGAATCACCGAGTTTCACTTTTACCCGACATTTTCAGGCATTTCTTCGGTGTTCCCTCCTCAACGTCAAACACACTCGTCGCGACCAGCTTCGCAAAATATGCCAGTCGACAATAAAAATATAACTGGTTTCACCGCTACCCGCTATGCCGTGTATTCTTCTTCGTTCCACCCGTAATTCTTCCCTTCACCTTTCTTTGTTTCGCTTTCGCAGACGATCTCTTATTCCCTTCTCCTTCAGGGGAAACCCCTCCATGATCCTCTTTAATTAACATCGCGAACGCATGCGCTCGGCTACGTCGTTACTTCTTCGCGATAAATCGTTCATGGCGAACTGACGAATGTGTTGTGTACGCTGTGAAATTTTGTCATTTTTATTAACATACACGGAATTGTAGATTTACGTCCGAGTACAACGTTTTCAATCAATAAGTAATGAAACTTCTTTGCTAAATTAAGATTTATGTGTCACAGAAAGCATTTCGAATTGCATGTTAAAGGAAGAATCTTTAAGGATTTCTGACGTTTCGTCGAATGTTACATTAAATTGTCAAAAATACGTCATGAATAATTGAACATTGTTGAATACGTTAAAGCGAATATAAATGGTATAATCTAAAAAATTCACACGATTATCGTGACATTATTCGATCTCAGTGTATTTACTGTTAAAGTTTTGTGTATACCAGAATTGTGTGTGTAATAATCTTGCGAACATGGCACTTGTTTATATCGAAGACACCGATCCTTGGTAAAATATCTTGATTTATGCTACAGTTTATTTTGTTTTAATGTTCATGATCGATAATAAGTTTTCAAATTAAACAGGTTGGTAGAATATGATAACTGTGAGAAACTCTTCAGGGAAATCATGGAACAGCTTACAGCACGCAATAAACACCCGAAGACTTCACAAGCATATGCAAGCTTATCAGCTAATATAAGAATTTGTTTGAAACAATATAACAGGGAAGTTCAACAACTTATGAATAAAGTAGATGAGGCATCAAGATCCGGAACTATGTATCCTTTTATCTATTTAATCAGCAAAGATAAATATCATTTCTGTTTTATGTACATAAATATTTTCCTTAAAATACAAAGGTATATAGAACCTTTGAAGAAGCAGAACGAAGAATACGTCAGATAGAAGTATTACAAAGTAGAGATGTACAATTGCAAAAGTTGTATGATGCTCGTACAAATAATCTTGTATCTTCTCGTGCTAGTTTACTTACATCTGGAGCATCAGTGTTTGTAGATGGAGGTACAACTTCTTGGGCAGCCGATGACGACGATGAAAAGCTTATAGACATTCAAATACAACCTGTTGCTGATCTCAGAACTCAACAGGAGAGAATTTTGCAAGGTACAACTATGGGTACTTATACATTATTATGTATATTTCAATGACACTTTTATTTCAATTTTTATAGAGCAAGACAAGGGATTAGAAGTATTATGTAAAGTGATTACAAGACAAAAGGAAATTGGTCAGACCATTAGTAATGAAGTGAATCGTCATAATGGTAAATCAAAATCAAGTTTGTTTGTACTGTAAGCAAAGAAACTGAACATAACATACAATATTTGTTTCCACACAGAAATAATTGATAATTTGGCAAACCATATGGATAGGACTGACGAATCAGTAGTTAATAAAACACGCCAAGTACGAAATATCAGTTTTAAAGATCGAACCTGTGGCCATTGGATAGTAATCATTCTTCTGTTTGTTTGTATAGTAACAGTTGCTTTAGTTTAATTAACAGAAACGAATATATAAATTTAAAAAATTCCATTGTAGTTAAATTTGCATTTGAATTGTACAGTTTTTAAAAAATATCAACTTATTACTATTATGTAAATATACATGTGTAAAAATCTTTTATAGTTACAAAAAAAAAATCCTCTTTTCCAAATATGTACTAGTATACAATTATCACTTTTACTTGTTATAGAATATACTACACTGAGTATTGTAAATAATTAAAAATCACAATAAACTTGTGCAATGAAAACAAACTTTTTACAATATTCATATTTATATAAATTACATTTCATTGTCTATTATACAAAGAAAAAAATTAAGTTTTTACATTATAATACTTCATTACTTTTAATTCTGCTCAGTATTAGATTGTATCATACTAGCTTTAACATTCAATTCCAAACTTCTCAAAAGTGCCTTTGGATTGGGGTCTCTTCCTCTGAATTTCCTGAAAACTTCACTCATTGGTTGACTACCTCCAACAGCTAAAAACGTTGCACGATATCTGCTTCCAATTTCTTTCATTGCATTCTCGTTATTAGAAGATGTCTCGTTAAAAGCACTGTATAAATCGGCTGCGATCATTTGTGACCAAATATCACTGTAACAAAATTTATTTAATATTCATGATTTTGAAACTCTTCATTATCTATATTCTAAATGTCTCTCGTGTCTCACCTGTAATAAGAAGCTGCCCAATCTCCACTAAAAATCTTTTCGAACGAACAGACATGACAATCCATCTTGTTTCGTGAAATAACAAAGTGTTTGTCCCACAAGCGTTTCATTATGTTAAGCCAAAATTCTTCGCTAAAAGGTTAAAAAGAAAAATTATTTAATAGATTATATTAACATATTTCAGTATTCAATCTTACCTAGTGTACAATTCTAAGTCGAATCGTGATAAATACAGTTCCCTACATAATTTATAACCAGCTAAATGCAATTTCATGTTTCTCAGTATTTGGATCATTTCCATGGATAATGGTTCCTTTGTATCTTGATGGGAGGAGATTCGTTGTAAATGCGACGGTTCATACAACCTGACGAAAACCAAGATATTATTCATACGAAACAACATTTAAAATTAATAAACGAAATGTGGTATGTACAAATTTTCAAAGAAGTAATCCGAGATAAATGTTGCGTCCCATTCTACATTTGTAAGTCCAGTTATTTCTGCATACTCCACCGTTGTTAACGTGTGTTGTAACATATGTCCAAACTGAGTAACAAAAAGTAAAGCAGAAAATATGTATATCAGATACATTATCTCTACGTATGAAAAATTACCTTCCGAAAAATGGTTTTAACATCCTTGAAGGAAAGGTAGGAAGGTTCTTCGCCAAGTGGTGGTTGAAAGTTGAATATCAAAGCAACTAATGGTTTTGTTCCACTTGCTTTGCTTCTATCCTTTATTGGCACCATGTAACCCGAATCTTGTGGTATTCTCACTTTTTCATCACCTCTTGCATAAGGGTCTAAATAGAAACTTCCTACAGGATTGGTACTCGATTCATTGAGGTCAAAGATATCAAAGTATCGAACGTCTTTGTGCCAAACATCTGGTTTCTTCTTACTTTCAACAATTTTTACGTTAAATAACGTTTCGATTATTTCAAATAGCCCGAATAATACTTTTGGCAATGGAAAAGATTGTTTAAAATCTTCTTCTCTGTATCTGGAAATATTGTTAACATGAAATGGTATCACATGCAAAGACCTGCATCTTTCTCTGTCTATAGATAAAAATCACTTCTCAATTACTTTTGCACACTATACAGCTGCTTTCTGCTCCAAAATGGTATGTCCCAAAGCTGTAATCTGTTTTCAAAACCATATTCTCTTGCAAATGCACTCAGTTCTTTGATTTCATATTCTTGAGCAGGACGAGCTGTAACAAAAAAAAAAGGTTAGAGATAGTGTTTATTTATAGCTTGTTCAATTGATAGTCTTGCAAAATTTTACCTGTCTCTAATAAGATATCAAACGTATTATAAATATTTTCTAAACTTCCAGCCATCTTAGTTTCCATACTTAAATCAGCATATGTTTTATACCCTAAAACCTTCGCCCGCTTTTTCCTTTGTTCTCGAATTTCTTCTAATAGTGTACTTGTCTGCAATAATTTTTCTTGCAATACAGATCCCTTGGTAACATCTGCTTCCCAAACTTTCCACCTCAATGAATGGTCAGGACAATATTCTAATTAGTGTACAATAAAAATGAATTGTTTATGGTAAATTTGTTTACAGTAATACTTAACATATGAAGTATGTTTCATTATTTTACCCATAAAAGGATTCATAATAGAAGGATCTAATGTTACTGTCCAAGGGCCAACATTAAATTGTGTTTCATCTTTTACCATTGTTTTTAAAACTGCTTCCGGGAAGTCCCTGACAGTTGCATGATCTTTTATTGTAAATTTCAACTGATTTGTAGCTACCTACAGAAAAGAATATTAGAATTCATACTGTTTTTTTCATAATGACATTTACAAACCTGTAATTTTTCTGAATATTCTTTACACTTGTTCATTATTATATATGACAATTCTGTCAGTATATCTTTATTTTTCTTAGTCAATTCTAGTCCATTCAGCTTTCCTTCCAATATATATTTTGATAAAATTCGTCTCTGCTCATTGGTCAATTCGATTTCTTTGTTGTTTATGATGTTCTTGCATACTTGATAGACTGGTAGGCTAACATATTTAGCAGCAAGAGCTTTCCTAGCACGCTCATGAATACCTATATAATATCGCGTGGGCATTACACTCTGATTTCCTAGATACAAAATTTTTGCAATGCCCCATGTAATACTCAACGATATGAACATTTCTTCCAAAGGGTTTAATACATTTTCGAATAGATTCTGTATAGAAACATTCTCAACATCTGAAAAACAGCTTCCTTAATGATACAATTATTATAATATGTTGAAAAGATATATATATATATATATATATATTCTTATATACATAAAAGAATCTAATTACTTTCTATTTTCTTCTCCAAGGTTTTAACTCCATTTTCAAACTCTAAAGCTTGTCTTCCAATAGCAGCTATACATTTCTCTATTGTGATGCTATTGAATTCTGGAGTTGTATCCTCCTTAAGTAAAGGATATTTCCCTGGTAGATCTTCTCCAATTTCTGGAACTCTATTTTCAAATATTATCTCTAGATTGTGGATTTTATGCATTTATATAACACGTAAATTGTATAACTATGTTACAAAATAACAATTTTAATAAAGTTCAGTCAACTTTTTATTTCCCTCGCAATTAAATAGAACGTTTAACTTAAAAAATAGATTTCTTTTAAATTCCGATCTTTTGAAAATGTTTTATAAAACTGTGGATCTACATAAAAATCCGCAGTCTATTATTTAAGTAATTATCAGACATAAAGTATCGAGAAAAACTTCATATTCTGCGCAGTGTATTGACAAAGAAAAATTATATGAAATAACCCATATTACGAAAAGTAACTACGATAATACGTACAGTACTATATAACCATTGCGTTTTGGTATTTTCAAAAAAGAACTGCTAGACAATACAGCTCTTTTCCCATAGAATGAGACTATTTTTGCACTTTGTAAAAACATTGCGCTTCTAAACTTTCATAAATTGCATTTTAATAGTTTATACAAAGACAAATCTCTCTGATTCAACTCTGTATTCCATAGATTCTGTATCTCTTTCGCTGTCTTTCGTCTCTTTCAGCCTCTTTCGCACTCTTTCGGTAACTATCTACAATTAATTTCGTCATGAATTATATCAAGTAACAGAGAGTCCTGGTACATGTAATTGTGTTTTAACTAGAGATGGCGTGCAAAATCACTAACGGTAATTTATCACAGTATCGCCGAATCACGATCACGATCGTGATTTAACTTCATTCACGACCGTGATTGCGATTTTTTTATCTTGAGCGAATTTGCTCACTGCAATCGTAAGTCATTAATCTTTAAACAGAAAAACGTATTCAATATGATTTTACGATGAATTACATTACTGTGTTTGTAAAAATCAGTAGAACAAACAAGAAATTCTAAAAGAATGATTTGCTAGATAACATGTAGATTATAATTTATAATCATTAGTTTATTCATTATTCTTCATTGTTTCTAATTATTCTTTCACTTTATACGATATAACTCGAATTTTTGTTTTGATGTCGTTAATATAAAATATAAAATATACAGATTATGTATCGCGTGTAAAGAACTGTTCGGTTTCTCCACCAATCAGAAACGATCACGAGAAATCACGAATCACTGTGAAAGATTACCGTGATTGAGAACGAACGTGATCGAATCACGAGTGATTCACAAGTAGCAGTTCACATCATCTTTAGTGAGAACGTGAGGTCATGGAGCCCCCGGTGGAGGCGCTATAGACCCTGCACGGTGAGAGTGTGGGGTTACGGAGGCCCCGGTGGAGGCGACATTGATCACGTGGGGTGAGAGCGTGGGGTCACGGAGCCCCCGGTGGAGGCTCTATAGACCCTGCACGGCGGCCCCGGTGGAGGCTCCATTGATCACGTGGGGTAAGAGCGTGGGGTCACGGAGCCCCCGGTGGAGGCGCCATAGACCCTGCGCGATGAGAGTGTGGGGTCACGGAGCCCCGGTGGAGGCGCCATAGACCCTACACGGAGGCCCCGGTGGAGGCGCCTTTGATCACGTAGGCTGAGAATGTGGGGTCACGGAGCCCTCGAAGCATGCTGAAGAGACCCCGTGTGTGTGAGATGTATGATGTACAATTAGAATTTCAACGATTTATAAATAAAAGTACACACGGCTAACTCAACGATAAATTTATTAATAAAATTATCTACAAAACTTAGGATCGATAAATTAAACATCAAAACTGAACATCTGAAATAATCAATAAATTATTAACAAACTTCAATATTCAAAATTAACGCGCAAAACTACAATCAAGTTCCGACATACATATTTATTTATCGTGTATATCTTATATGACGGATATTGTTTGGAATTTATACATATGTTTATGTTTATATATTTTAAATTTTATATTAAATATTTAAATAAATAGATAAAGTATAGCATTGTATTTTATTGTCTCTCAACGCAGAAACAACTTGTGTGTTGGGCATTTAACTGTCTATGACAGTGGCTCTCAATCACATTCAAATACATGATACTATTTAGATTTAAAACAAATTATATTATATCAAAGAATTTCATCCTAAAAATTCACAAGTTAGAGAATAAATTATATTTTGATAAAAAAGACGAATCGTTTTATTGCATAGTCAATGAATGAGAAAGTTCTGGCGATCCTATTTATGTAGCGCCCTCATACACCATCATACACGTCATCATATCTATATAACAAACAGTTTGCTCAGTTCAGTTCAGTTTGAGATCCTTACTGCTTTGGTGCGCATATTTTGAGGGCAATCATAATTGGGTGGAAAAATTGCGCATTTAAGAAAGAAGTCTGTTGATAGTAGGACCTTAATTATTCGATCAAAGTGTGAAAGCCGATAGCAACGTTGAGAAAGAGTGCCAATTTCCAAAGTAACATTGACGAAAACATATTTTGCCTACTCAGTCATTGTACATTAATTCAACATACCTGCAATAATGTCGGGAAAACTACGAGGAGGAAGGACGAGTATCACATGGGATAGTTCGACAGACGAGGATGATGATACGTACGAGTCGAAATATAAATTGAGATTGAGAGATTCATTAAGGAATCAGCAACAATCTCATGTCTCTGAGAATGAGACTCCTCTAGAAACACGAAAGCGAGGCAGAGGACCCTCCAAGAGGCCCTGTCTTAATAGGAACGCTCTAATGGCTCGAGAGAATAGACTGAGGAAAAAAGCATATGTGGAAAAGATAGAAAACAAGTTGTCATTTTATCAGCAAGAGAATAAGAATTTGATTAGTGTTATAAGGAAGCAAGGTATCGACATTAAAAGATTGAGCACTGAGGTTGCTTACCTCAGGAGTGTTTTGAATAATAATACAAGTTTGTCAGCATTGCTCAAAACTATCAACGAAGGTCTCCAGAAAATGAGTACACAGAAAAATAATTCGTTATACCCAAATCGTGGATCTGAATATCCAAATGATTTGGGAACTCACCACAAATGTACTTGTTATACAAATGTGAAGGAGAATATATTAAATGCTCAGAATAGTAACATATTTATCACGAATGTTAACAATGATGTATTAACTGAGCAGGATGCAACAGAAAGTCAAATAAATGAATGTCAGACGAATACTAAGAAGCCAATCGCATGTAAGTATCCCTATATAGTAAAACTCTGTTTAATGTTCGAACATCAGATCCCCTTTGGAACTGTCATCAGTCTAAGTCATTGTTTAATGGAACGTTACTATATTGATAAAAGTATTTCATTTTTCTTAAATTTCGATTATACTTATATTAGTTTTAAAAATCTTGCAGTTGATACGAGGAGTAGTCCGAAGAAGAAAGATATGTTGAACACAACAACAGAATCGATATCAGAAGATTGTTATATGGACAGTACAAAAGATTTGGACAGCTTATTGCCAATTAATCAAATAGATTTATCCAGTATATCCAATATAGTTGAGAAGAAGGATACAGATGCAATTGGTATTGATTTTGATCAGTTGTCTTCATTCAATATGGATATATTCGAAGATCTCCCTAAATGCGATGAGATGATGAATGCAGTGGATGATTTAAATGATACAACGAATCTCTTCACGGAGGGACAAATAGCTGGGAGTACAGATAATTGTGGAATATGTCTTCACGTTAATTCCGATAGAATATCTTTGGAATTTTGTTCCATATGCCACTTGAATAGCAAAAACTCGGGATCACAATGAAGGGGGAATTGATCGTGATTTAAACTTAATTGACAATGGGTCTCTTATTGAGGATATCACAGATTTGGCCAGAGAAACTGAAAGTATTTCTCGATCAGTGGGATATCAAGTATAAGAAAATAATAGAATAATGTATTGTCTCCGTTTTTCTACTACAGACATTTTATGAAATGCAACTGAATATTTCATATATCAGTAGTAGATGTTCTGTATTTTTTTAGGTACATCAGGGAGAAGTATCTATGTCAGCATCTAGGTCTACCTACTATCGCAACATTATAGAACTATTTTCCTCGTGGAGCGAAAGTTGCGTTATCTTATATTCTTATTACTTACATATACATATACTTATATATAATATAATCATATATCATATATTGTATGTACACACGTGTATACACGTATACTAGGGTGATTCTTATGATATATAAGACACTATTATGGATCACCCTAGTACAAAATGTGTACACATGTATACTTACTTTGTAAACACTACATTTTTTATGAGAGTAAAGTTACAGGACATTGTATTCGTTAATGAGTACATTTATCACAGGTTTCATTACTGATACTTTTCAATACCGATATTGAAAGAAATAGGAATTCCTTTTGTAAGACGTTTTCATTATATTTAGTTATAGTTACTAATGAACCAGAGGACTATTATTTATTTATATGTATTATAAAATCGTGTCACTTCTTTCCGCGAAAGATTGTAACTGTTTCCTTTTTCCAGGATAACTACATTGGCATTGATGTTTACTAGGAAGGATAATGCATAAAGGTAGGCAATATGACTTTGGTAACAAATGCTTTAAATTCATGTAATTAAAAATTTTCTATTTACTGTATAACGAATGCGATATTTCGATTTTGTACAGCACACGATCACCCCCTTCTTTTGAAAGTTCAGTGCAGTAAGCAGGTTGAGTAAAATACCAGTATATTTTGAGGAGACAGTGTAATAATACCACCGTTTCAGATCCATCCGAAGGATATTCCTGCCAATACGGAACAACATTCCATCCACTGATCGAATTTTGTGGTAATTACGAGTAAAATTAAAAAATTGAATATCGCGTATGTTGAGTAAACACTAGGCAAAAGCGCTCTTGAAATGCCAGAATTTTTGTTCTTTTCCGTTTTATAAAAATTTTCATTTTTGGGAAGTGGTAATAGAAGTACTAAATTAAATATTGTAAAATATTTTTGTTTGTTATTGAAAGAGAAGAGGTGGGACGATTTATTTTATCGTCATAATATGTACAGTATTTTTATATATTTTTATTACAACGAAATCATTTTGTATGTAATAAAAGAAATAAATGTTAAAAATGAGATACCATTATGTTGAGTACACAAGCACTTCTGATTGTTCTTGTGTATAAACGAAATTCATTCAGGTATAGACTGATTAATATGGTAAATAATTTTATATGGAAAGTTGTTTAAATAAACAATGTACCGATATTAAGTTCTTATACTGTTTTGTGTTTAAATTTTCATATCTGTGTACGTTTATATAGTTATGTTAATAAAAACATGTATACAAAAACTTCACTGTTCAATGTTAACATGCAGTATTGAAAATATAATTTTTATATACTTTTGTGTAAATAAAAAATGTGATTTACACTTACGCGTTAAATGTTTTCATATCTTTAAACAAAAATATGTATCTACACAATTTACTAGAAAACATTGATAAGACTTTTCAAAGAATTTCCATATCTATATTTTCATATTGTAGTACTTTTTAATTAACACAAGTTAGTAATAATTACTTTCTGCACTTTCATACTTTATGTAGTAGAAAACTATTTAACTTTGTACAAAGAAGTCTTGATTGCAACTAAACTTGATTGCAATTCAAACATTAATTCAAATTCCAAGGCGACTAAAAACATCTGGTTTTTTTACATGCGCCACTGTTGTAATTCTATCAAAAGTCACTTGTTTAGCATTGCTTGATTTGACTGCTCCCAAACGTGCTTTTGCTGGTATTGAAGTCAGTCGTTCAGAAGCTGAAAAATTATTGCATAAAGAAGTTAAAGAACCAGTGACAGACACAAAGTTACAGCATTAAAATTGTATTCTGTACCTAATTTTCCAGATGTAACACTGGATTTTGGTATCCTAGTATTATTTGAAGATATATTGTTTAAAGAAATTTTCTTGGTTGTTTTGACCAATTGAGACAGATTACTTGATATAGTTTTTCTATTAGCTTCTTGATCAGCTCTCATTGTCCCCATGCTTTTTGGTACTGCTTTGTTAGTTGTAATAATTGAAGTTCTTGGGCTAGGACTTTTAGCCTTTAATATTCCTGTACCAGTTGTTCCATTTTTTAATATACCTCCCTGAGTTGTATTGTCCTTCTTGGCATCTTTATCTCCTAGCCGATTAAAGACACTTACAGATCTTTTCAACACATCTTTTCCTAATCCAGTAATATTAAATGTCTGCGATGTTTCTGCTAGATTTGTTGTACTAGTTACAGAACTATCACCTAGCCTATCAAAGACAGTTCGTTTTTGTTCGACAGATTTTTTAAAAATCTGTTGACTTCTAGATGTTGATCCTTTTGGAACTACTATCGTATAGCCTACTTTATCATCCTTTATGTCTAATGATTTCACTTTTTTAACTTTTCCATTCCACTCATCCTCATTGTTACTATCATATTCATCTTCTTCTAATTTTCTCTTAAGAATAGTTTGTTTTTTTTGTGTGGTAAAGTCTGGTATTACTTCAGTAGATGTTGATACTGGTTTCTTAACAGTGACAGTTTTTTTCACCGAACTCACTGGAACTTTCACAATTTTCTTTATAGCTACAGCATCAGATGTAACTTTTGAAGTCACTGTTTTAATAGGTGCCTTAGTTACTGTTTTTTTCATAACTTGCTTGGGGGTTGTAGAAGAATCTTCAGAATCTACAAGGAATCTCTCGCATGTTGTTTCTTCCACCACTTTTTTTGCATACCTCAGAATAGCAATCATGTCTCCCATTAATGTTATACCCATTTCTTTCAGACTAGGCTTGTCTAAATCTGGCAACATATCTGGTTTAATGCGATTATTAGAAAATACAACAGCATGCTTTGTAGCTACATCTTGAGGAAATCCAGCACCCTTGAAAAACTTCACCCAGTATGCTATAAAGAGAAAACAAAAATAATGTTGTCGAAAACACGTCTCAGAAATAAGAAAACCATTAAAGAATATTGCGAGTACCTGATAAAGATGATGCCATTTTACCGGTTAGGTTATTTCGAATATTTTACTCGATAATACCTCACAAATAATTTCTTTTTCAGTAAACATGCACTTTTTGTGAGAAATTAATCAACACTGTTTCACATATTTTACAAAACTAAATTTTCTCTAGAGAATTTCGTTTACAAGAAGAAAATATATTTCATCTGTAAACGCACAATGCTATTTTGAGTAACAATTTTTTTAAATACACGAGTATACACTTTTAAATAATTATCACAAAATACATTTAAAAAATGGTAACAAACATCAACATTCCATCGTACGAGATTTCAGATCTATTCATGTCCATTTTTCTATATATAATATACGGATATTTATATGTACACAAACGGAACCATAAATGAAATTAGAATGTTCAGGCTGAACAGTTCAGCAAGATGTACGAAGTTGTGGGGACTGGTTACTAGATGGCACAGCTCTCTAGGCAACGCACGAATGAAGTGTTCACGGATAGTTTAAAATACTCATTCATTATGATAACGTTTTTGTTTATATACATTCTTTTTAAAAATTGTCGAAGAATCAAGATCATTAAACAATAAAACCGCAATTTCTACACTACAAAAATTTATTAAAAATGAGTGAACTCCACTTATTTCTGGAAGTAAAGGAATTTATTTTTAAACTATTAAACTAAAATTATATTCAAATGCAATTGAATTATTCTATTTATGAAATGTCTGGTTTTATGTGGAGCGTAAGCCTTAATTTTTACGTTAAGTATACCTGTTGGTAATGATATGGTGAACTAGTAAACCCCGATAGATCACAAAGATAGGTTTGGATCTTGCAGTCAACAAAAGGTACCATGACTGCGGAAAACTGACATCTATTCTAATACTGTACGGAGTATCTATTTACTTTCTAAATTAGTTTTCTTCTTAGATCAGTTTTGAACATCTTTGAAATACTAAAGCCGGTCGTGAGCCTGGAAACCACCGTTGGGTGGGACCCGCAAAAGGAGCATCTGTTTATAGTTCCACTAGGTTTACTACCTCACTATATCGTCAGTTCCAAGTATGAATCAAATATCTGTTACGTTCCGGTGAATGTTCCTGCTGTCAAAATGCTTTTTTTCTTGGTTTAAGTAAGACCTAAAGCTTCGAAATAATTATAAGGAAAAGAATTCGCAATTTTGATCGACGCGGCCGTCGCCATTCTATGTAGGTAAACGTTCATGCCCGAATGTCCGTGAAGTCTCGGAGGAATGGAGTTACCCTCGTTGTTTTGGGAATTTCGCGCGAATTGCCGTACTATTTTTATCGTGTGTGGGTGAATCAGGTGTCTTAGCCGCCTTCGATACTATTTTCGATATCTTGGTATTCACCGAGCTGCCTGCTGCGCGGGATTCGCGTTCTAAAAAGAAGAACGGAGGTTAGTTTCAAGCGATCAGCTTGGGTACGTTGCGATCCGTACAATCGAACGTTACGTTCGAAACCATACTGATCAGAAGGATGGAACATATATTGAATAACAAGGACTGGCGGAAAATATCCGTTTGTAACAAACTTCCGTTTATCGTTCGAACGAAAGAGTAACTATTTGACAGATGAGGGATACAGTTAAAGAAACTCTACGCGATCTTTTCGTCTTGTTATACTTGCAAAAGCTTATTGTACTTTTGCTGTATAGTCGGTTTAGCCATTCGTTCTGTGTTCATCGCATATTTCGCGTATTGTTTTCAACGGGATAATTCGGTTTTCGATAGTTTATTGCTGTTGATTTCTTTTATGCTGGCCTATACATATATTCGGAATAGTTAACCAGATCGTGAACAGTTCGCGGGGGTTGGACACGGAAGCTGTTGCATGGGAACGAGATCTTTGGGTGGGCGACGGGGTGTTGGGAGTCGGGGAACGGGCGAGATGGTACGAAAAGAGAGAGAGAGAGAGAGAGAGAGAGAGAGAGAGAGAGAAATAAAAAGGAACGAGAGAAAGAGGAAGATAGAGAGGGAGGGAGCGTGGGAGGGGGGTCCGTGCGCCGGCGAGCAAATCGTGTGTCAGACTCGTGGCAGAGGGGTCAGCGCGAGAGAAAGAACGACACGAACCGAACGTTTTCTGGGCTTAGCGGGTACGTTTTCACATTACAAAACGTACACCATCTCTTCTATTTCCAATATCTCTCTAATTACTTTGTTGTCTCTTCTCGGATTGTCCGTGTCTAACGGTTCACCTTTCTTTTTCTCATTGTACTCGGGAAAATTTTGTTTCTTTATCGACGGTACGCATTAGAATGTCGTTATGTTTCTAGTTGTCGCGAGACGAGTGTAGGAAACGCATATTGCTTAGTCGAGTCGAGATCATTGTTTCGAGACGGTAGAATCGAGTGTCTATAAATCGAGTGACACGGAAATCGTTTTGCGTTTAAAGGAACGTGAGATATCCGCGGAAGGATGAACGACATGGAAGCTTACGGGGACGGATACATGGAGCCGGAGGAGGAGTGGGAGAGGGAAGGTCTTTTGGATCCTGCTTGGGAAAAACAGCAGAAAAAGGTGAGTCCCCGATTCCTTCGATTTTTCTCTACGTTTATTTCGTAATTGATTCTTCAATTCGCTGCCGTTTTTCCTGTCCCTCGGCGAGAACTTTCGATTCGATTATCGCATCGTTCCGTCGTTACGCTCGCGATCGAACGAACCGGCTCCAATTCGCGATACATACTTTCGATAAGCGAAATTCCTTGCGGAATCGAGTTCCTTGAAAAACTATCGAATTCTTTCACTCGCGTTCACGATTCATCGAGTGTCTGTCGAATCGGTTTTTCTTGCTGGTTATACACATAACCTCGTTGAGCATCGTGCAATTTTCGTAATATCTAAAGGGCACCGAAAATTCTACAGGATGTCCAGCAATGGACGATATAATAGGGAAGATCGAGACCTTGTGAAAGTATAAACAAGGTATGTGGAATAAGACATTGTTACGTCGAGCATTTGTTTCATACGTATATATAGATCTTGAACAAGATAAAATACGCGCCTTCGGTTAGCCTTTCGCGAGTCTTATCACGGACTCTATCGCGCCGATATACGAAGTATGCTAGTGATAATCTAGAATCATAGATCATTCAGGTCTCAACAGACATTCTAGCAGTTGAAACAATTGATTAAATAAAGCGGGGAAATTGAATCGATTGGAGTCGATAAAGTCTACGTATAAATAAGGACAATGTAATACAAGACGTTTGACTCGGAACGGATAGTAATCGATCTACCAAACGATAATTACAAGCGAGGCAATCGGCCGGGACAAGATACAACGGAGTCGTCAGATTAATGCGGTGTCAATTGATAAAGTGGAGCAGCCTCAAGTACACGTCGAAGACGTTTTCCTCATTTTTGGCATGGGCTCAAGGCTCTCTCAGGTCCGACTCGGTTTACGTAGATCACCGGTCGGGAGCCCTTCGGATCGTATTTTCAGACTTTATGACAAAAATAATCGAGCACTGAGTCACTCCAGAGTGACGCGGATCCGTTGACGCTCGTCCATCATGCACGTCGATAAATTGATGATTCGACCACGCGGAGAATTTAGGCGGGAAGTGTCTCACCCGGTTACGATCGTTCGACGGAGTTCATCCAGCAACGATTACCACCACTCGAAAGGATCCCCCGCAAACATTCACCGTTTTGATTTTCCACGATCCTCCGACGTGTCCTCGCTAGAAATACGCGGTGTAAATCAACGTTGCGGAATTATATCTGACAATTGGCTCGCGGGACTAGATTCCGCGCGAATCGGCGGCGTGCTCGTCGAACTATCAGCGTTCGTGTCCTCGTCCTCTCTTTCCTTTATCTGGAATCGATGTCGTGTCAACGGGAAATCAATTTATCGGCGGGATTTTCGCTTCGAAACCCGATAAATCACAACGACGTATCCGACACTGGGGTATCCCCGATGATTCTCGCGAACCAATAGAAATCCTCGTGACCTCGAAATGTTTTAAGTCGGTTAGGATGACAGTGTTCTGTCAATGAATCGTTTTCAGATCAACTAACCAGAAAACCATAACACGTTTTCTTGTTTGTTTCCCTCGACGAATCTCGGTACGGTGTCGAGCAAACTCGGCTTCCACTAGGGGAAAAACGGCGTAGAAGAAAAATCTTCTACCATTTGATAATTTTATTCCAGCTAGTGAAATAAATGTTAAATCGAATATTAATTTGGCATACATTTCAGTAATTCCAAATACCAAATGGAGTACACCGTGCGATTTCATGCAACGTATACGGTGTCATCATCGTGATCATTATCTCGCCTGGGGAATCCTTGAAAATCCCGGAGGACCTTGTTCCCCTCGACCACAGCAAAACTCAGGCCAAAGCGCCCCGGAGCTGATCGTCGTGGTTCTGACTAGCGACGTTTACGAAGAGAGGATGACAACACGCGGCTCCAACGAGCTTGGTAATTAACGTTCGTGAATTTGGCAAGCGAACCGATGTTTCGTCTCGAACCGTGACCGATACTCTGGACGCCAGAAAATAGAGGATAACTGGCCCGGCGATCGAACGTCATGATCCGTTCGGTCCCACAAGAGAATCGTTCCCGCGGTTTTCGCGGGACGACGGTGTATCGTTTTTCAAAGTGACCGAAGGAAAGAAAAAGGAAATTTCTGTCGCCGTGTCTCCTTCCCACTCCACCCGGAATGTTTGACGCGCGTGGTCCCGCTTCGAAAGCCGCTCGTGCGGCCGAGATTTTACGAGAAATTGTACAGTTAACCGTCCCGTACGAACTAGTCGGCTGCCTCGTCTCCCATATACAGGCTGATTCACCTAACACGACGACCTCGAATTGCTCGGGAACCGTTCGTTGCACCGAAAAATTGTTTTAAAGGTCGAGACCGTGTCGATGCGCCTGTCGCGACCCCTTCACGCTGATCCAACGAACGATCTTCCTCCTCCTCCTCCTCTTGTTGCTGTCGCGAGTGACCGACTCCGATTGATGGCCACGTGCTTTTTCCACTGTTTTCGATCTCTCATCGGTCAGAAATATATCTCGAAAACAGATACTTAACAGAAAACTTCGTACATACAATATAGTCTAGTAATAGCAGTTCTATCGGGATTCGAAGGATTTCGATGGATTTCGAGGTTATTGGGATCCCATGGGTTCGTGGAAGTCTGGAAACGTTCCGACTATTCGTACGCGATCATCATTCGCTAGTCGCACGTCACCGTTAATGCTAAACGCGGTTTTGTCGTTCGGAAATTCGTGGTCGAAGGCCGGTGAACGGTCTTATCGTGCGTTATCGTTCCCTTGGTCAATAGTATTGTCGCGATTAGAAGAACTCGTTACGGTTCGTCAGGAGAACTCGAACGTCGATGCGTTTTCCTCGTCGCTTCCCGTCCGAACCGACGACGTCTGACACGTTACCGTATAAATAGACGATATACAGGGTGGTCCACCGTGAATCGAGCACCCAATCGCGCCCCCCCCCGTCTCGCCGTGAAACCTATCGGGAATATATTCTTCTTTTCTTTTTGCTTTTTCACCGCGACAATTTTCACACCGTCGACAGAGTAACCCTTACAGAGAGACGAAAATTGATGAATTATTGAAGAAAAGGACCTGTCTCAACATCCTATTTTTGAATAATGGTAGCAAAAGCAATTGTCCACAGGAAGCAAAATATGAGAATATCGATAATGTATCAAGGTTTCGGACTATTATTCAACAACCGAAAGTCGTACATTTACATCGACGAGGGATAACATTTTATAGCAAAACAATAAATTAGCCTAATGCCTCGGATAGAAATAACTCGGCGATCACCGTCGAGTCCCCCCCGGGACAGTTCCCACAAACCTTATCCCGCCGTGTTCTGTCCATTGCGATCCGATTTCCGGCGGCCATCTTGGCGATAATTCCCGCCGTCGGATTTCTAATATCAGAGGTAGAAGAATTCGTTAGGTGATCGTCGCGGAGTTTTTCGAGTATCGCGGGCCAGCCGATGGTGGAGCGTGTTTCTCGAGCCGAGCAGAAAAGACACGAGTATTTTTAGAAACGGTCCACGGCGGCGCGCAGCGTCCTCGGGTGTTCGAAGCGGATCGGTTCGTCGTGTCGCATTATAGCGTGTACGCGCGCGAATGGACGTCGTCCACGGATCGATCGACGAACGCGATCGATCGATTTCTTCCTTGCTGACGTTGCGACAAGATCGTTAACCTTTGAGAGTTTTAGGCTGTGAGCCAGATCTCAGATTGGAACCGGGTGAATCGCGCGTCATCCCAAGCCGATTGTTATGCGATGATTAAGCCCCCCCCCCCTAACCAGCCCCTTCTGCTTCCTCTACCGTAAGCGCTCGCCGATTACGTTTCGTGCGAATACGACCGACGCCCACGCGTTTCCCTATTTTCAGACGGCCGCCCGTCGCTCGCAAAGGTCGCCCGATAATTACGCGAAAATTGCCGCGCTGTGTGTTATTATCCGCGGAGCGACGAATGGAATCGCGTTTCGTGAATGAATTTCCCGTTGCGTTTCCGTTCGCCGCCGATACCGTACGGAAATAGATTCCTAGATCCATCGGTCTTCACCGCGCCAGTCGCGATCATCCGGGCTTATTTGCATCGGATGTACAGGGTGTCTGCCGCGTGCAAGCGTCGCCACGAAATTTCGGGACCTTCCACGGACTGTACGAAAAGATTTTGTTGAAAAAAAATCGAACTGTAGTTTTTATATATTCACGGCTTTTATAGAGCAGAGTTTCTCAGAGAAACTACGGGAGTTTTTAAAAAATATTTTTTTATTGTTATGATTTGCTAATTGTCCCCTACAAAGTGTTCAAATTGCCCATCGGTGGCGTATACGCTTCACGTTGGGAAACGCTGCTTTAGACCGTCGTCGTTCTGTGTACATGTTTCTCTATGTTGTAACAAAGACGGTTATTATTATGATTCTCCTGGAAGCGTAACGTAAACCGCCTGGCGGAATAACACCTTCCCCCCCCCCCCCCCCCATGGTGGACTACGTGACAGATTCCATGGATGACTCTCGGAAAAGTGGGACAAGCCGAGTCCCATCTCGTCGAACGCACAAATCTAACATATCATAAAAATGTTCAATTCTATCGTCACCCGACTTGTTCCCTTCTTACGCGCTATACTACTCTGGACACGGCGGTTGACTAACATGAATTAAACATACAAAAATTAATTAACCCTGATCCGTCTCTTGTGTTAATTTGACACAGTTTAAATTTGGGTCTTCGTGACTTTTATTTTAAAGAATTTGCTAATTTAACGATTCATAATTTTGTTATATTAATTTTTATCACTGTGTCAATTTGACACCGAGGGGAAAATTAAGTTCGGAAAACGAGGGACAGATGAGGGTTAAACATAAAAAATTCTCTTTTCGATACACTCGAATCCCCAGATAAGATGGACGTTCTCGAGTCCGCTTAAAGGGTTCTCTACGCGTTTCCAATAGGTGTTCAACCGTCGACCTCCATCACCTGCCCCTGCAGCAACACCTGCCCCTCCCCTCCCCTCCGTGTTCTTTATCCTTCATTACTTGGGTGGCAGAATTTCGCAACACGTTTTTGAGAGAATTCATTCTCGTAAATATCGTCTAACGGCTAACCTTTGTTGTAATATTGTCGTGTGCACATCCAGAATCGGTGCCAACTTCGTTTCCTCCGGTGGTCGCGATTTATGCCGTATCTCCTTTCGCGTGTTTCGTTCGCGGATTCTCACAGATAAACGCGCGTTTTCAGGAGTCTTTTGAGATCTACATTAATCGTCGATCGAACAGCAGTTCTTCCCATTACGGTACCCGTGGCGTACAATGTTGGCGTTCACTAGGGGAAAAAAGGGGAAAGGGCCTCCTAAAATTTGGTATCGGGAATTCTTGAAATGTATGCCAAATTAACATTCGATTTAACATTTATTTCAGTACTTGAAATAAATTTACCAACTGGTAGGAGGCTTTTCTCTGACGCCACTTTTTCCCCTAGCGGAGGCCGAGTTTGCTCGGCACCGTACATCGTTACGGAAAAATGACCGCCTACGCCGCCGATTGGGCGGGAAGTTCAACGGCTAGTGAAAGAAATTCAATGCCAGATACTTTAAGAATAGCCAGAATTTACTAGCCGGCGCTCGTTCTCGCGGCCGTACGACGCGCGATATTTAGAATTTGGGTTACGTGAATTATGCGTGCATCGTCGTATTCAGGCCGTTTCGTGTTTAACTGCATTTATTTTTAGCACGACCGCGACCAGGGGGGCCTAACCTGTAAAAATTTCTCGTAGGTGACCGTGTTCGCCCGCGTTTTCGTCTGTATTCCAAAATACACCTTTAATACTCGACGATACAAAAAGATTTTGTAAAGTTTCACGAGGATAATCGAAGATTCGTCGAATTTTGGTCCCACTCATCGGGTAATGACCGATATCGATCGATTAATCGTTCCTCGAGCACGCTCCGTCGAAAAGACGATACATTTGAACGGATTGTTTTCGGTTCGAAAATAATGTGGGGGGATTGGGACGATGAGTCACGAGAGCGGGAGGAAAAGAAAGGCTCGTAACCAGCGGTCGCTATTCCACGCGACTATAATCATTTGTTTGCATAACTTGGCTTCTTTTTATTTTGCGAACCTGCCAGTTTACATAACAGAGCTTCCTTCAGCAACGATGGCCCGCTCGATTCTTCCTCTGGCTGTTCAGAATCCATGCCTCTTGGCCAGAATCTTTCTTTTTTTCAATTTTACGTCCCTCTGGATTCTTCCTGTTTCGAGTTTATCGAGTCGTTTCACCAGAAAGATTACAGAAAATCGGGATAGATATTTCCGTTCGAAACAATCGTGTAACTTAATTCTCATTGTCATCCGTTCGGAATCGTTGGAAAGTCCCCGGAAGTTCGTTGCAGACGTTAATCAGGCGATTAGTAGTTGTAACGGATGGATCTCGTTCGGAAAGCAAAACAGCGTCACGGTGGGGGAGGGGGGGGGGGGGAGGAGCAGAATTTACGGTTTCGCCCGCGGGAAACGCGATCGCGGTGTTTTACCCCCCACCCCCCCCTCTACGCGTGTGCAAATCGGATCTGAAAGCGTTTTTTTTTATATCAGCGAATAAATTTGATCCCTCTCGGTGATTTTTCTGCGGCGATCGCAAGTTTTTTGCCGCGGAAACACGCTGGATCGAACGGTTAACGGACGATCAAAAGTCGATTGTGGTCTGTGCGATCCAACGATTGTTAACGAAATCGTCGCAATAAGTTTTCTTGGAGATTTCAGGGTATCACGTCACTGTGGTTACCGTCGGGATCCGTGTAACCTTTCAGAATATAATATGCATTTTATACGGTGAAGATGCTGTTTATAATTGATTTATATGAAATAATTCAGCAAGCATTTATTAAGGTTATGGGCAAGAAATTCTACGAAATCACCGGGAGCGTAATGCATATATTTTAATAAATATCTATAACATTACAACATGTTAAAATGGTCGTCGTTCACTTTGAATCTTATTTGTTAATGATAAAATTTAATTAAAAAATTTTATTTATACGTGAATTTCTTTATGATGATTTTAATACAGAGGCTCAATAATTGGGACGGGATCCGTAATTGGGACATATACTCTAGTAGCTACAAATTTCTTGACGATAGGACAGAATGTTTTTTAAAAGGTATACAATTGTTAAATGAGCACGGCCAAGCGAGATGAGATACCGAGATCGAAAATGGAGGACAGAATGTTCCTGTATAAATCGTTCCCCTGACGTGTGACAATGATCGCGAGGAACTGATCGGATTCAGTCGCGGAACGGAGAGGAACGGATCGGAACGGATCAGGATGTTTTCGAAATGCCCTCTTCTCGGCCTGCTCAGCGCGGGAGGAGTCAATGTTTTACAAATAGATCTTAGAGCGGTCTCGTAGAAGTTAAGGTGGCTCATGTCCAATTTTGGCCGGTCGCGCTTCACGCCGCCCGTATTAAATTTCACCCAATATTTTTCTCTCCCTCGTCTGTCCCCGTCGGTCTCACGGAAAAAAATTCGCGGCCGCCGACACCCGTACTATTTTGCCTTTTTTTTTTCACACACACACACACACACACACATGGTCTCGCCATCGTTCCTTGGACCATACGTTCCTCGCTTCGTTATCGACCGGTTGCTCCCGATTTATTGGACGATCGTGACACGATCCACGCGATGTCCAGCGTGGATAATTGTTTCGATGTTTCGATAAATTTATAAACACTTTTGCTTTATGTTTAAGAAATTTTTTATATTCCCTTACGAACATTTCCATGGCATTAAATGGGTAAAATAGGAATTTACGAAAAATGTATAGTTTTCACGTGGGATCTGCTATTTATCGTTCTTTAATGGACTATGATCTAAATCGATCGAATAGCACGTGTTATTCGACGCGAATCTGCGATATTCGTGACACAGTTGAGGATGTCTGATAACGATTTTTATCGGAGATCGGATGAGTTTGACGGCCACGGGATATCGAAAGGTTTGAAAATCTTTGGTGCCGAGCAATATAGGAAGCACGGTTTAGGAACCAGGACAGGGGATATATATAGCAAGAGGGATTGGGGTCGTTACTAAAATATACACTAAGCAAGCAGTCAAGCTCAATTCCCCATTTTAAATTCTTCTTGGTCATAACATCCTCGTTCGATGTCGTGTGTGTTATTCGAATCGAATCGAGGAATCGACGACCACCGACGAGAGGGGCTCCTCGCGGCGGTCGTACGGCTCTGCCTCGAAATGGGAAATATGTGTGCGAATATGTCTGGTTTCATCGTTATCGGACGAACCGATCCCCCACGATTAAGGTAGTTCTCTAGTGTTAAGCCAAATTTTAATAAAATTTTGGCACACCTACCTTAAAAGTTTAGCCATCACTGGACTAGAGAGTCAGGTGTAGAACCATTTTAAATGGGCGTCGTTGTTCTTCTTGTATCTGTTCGCAGACCTTCACAGCCTGGTGTAACTCTCATCTACGGAAAGCTGGAACCGCCATCGAATCGATCGAGGACGACTTTAGAAATGGACTGAAGCTGATGCTGTTGCTGGAGGTGATCTCTGGCGAGACTCTGCCAAGACCGGATAGGGGCAAAATGCGATTCCACAAGATCGCGAACGTGAACAAAGCCCTCGACTATATCGCCAGCAAAGGTGTCAAGCTGGTCTCCATCGGAGCTGAGGGTTTGTATTTCCTTTGTTTTCGCGGGATTTATCCTGTAACTAGTGATGGTATTTGGAACGCTACGAATCGCTTCGAAACTTTCTTGAATTCGAGCGACAAATTCGAATCGCTTCGAATCTAATTTATTCAGTATTTGCATAGTACTTAATTTATTACTATTGTCTATTAATACCATATTATTTTTTTTATTATTACATACGTTATTATGTAGTATGCTATTAGTTTATTACTTCATGTTTGGTTAAAAATAGTAGTTTAATTAAGTTTAAATACGATTTTGTTATTCAATAAATAATATGTATAAGCAATGATCTTATTTCTTCACAAATTGTATCTAAATCATTGGGAAATGATTTATTTCCCCTGCAGAAATCGTGGATGGTAATCTGAAGATGACGCTTGGTATGATCTGGACTATAATCCTGCGATTCGCTATCCAAGACATATCCGTGGAGGAGATGACCGCGAAGGAGGGTCTGTTGCTCTGGTGTCAACGGAAAACCGCGCCGTACAAGAACGTCAACGTACAGAACTTCCACCTGTCGTTCAAGGACGGTCTGGCGTTCTGCGCCCTCATCCATCGTCATCGTCCGGATCTGATCGATTACAATAAACTTAGCAAAGATAATCCTCTAGAGAATTTGAACACTGCCTTCGATGTTGCTGAGAAGTATCTCGACATTCCTCGCATGTTAGATCCCGATGGTAAATACAATATACGTTATAAATTTCTTTGTTTCTGATTTTAAGATATTTCACACTTTCGCGGTCTACCAATTTAATTACCATAGTATATACTGTTGTGTTTCACTTGAACGGTCGACGTCGAAGGAAAATTGGTATTCATCTGTAGAGCTGCGTAGGGTTATTGATTTTTTTTCTCTCTCGGTTTTCTTTCGTTCTTTTTTTTTCTTTTGGGATCACAGGATGGAACTCGCTGCCACTCGATGGTTAAAAATTCTTAACGTTCTGTTCCCCTTGATATCATATAGATTTGATCAACACACCCAAGCCGGACGAGCGTGCAATCATGACGTACGTGTCCTGCTACTACCACGCGTTCCAAGGTGCTCAGCAGGTCAGCGGAAAGAAATGCGTGTTGTTTCCCCCCTACTCTCTGGTTACGAGACGACCTTTCGCTACTTTTCACTAATACCGTTCGATCGTATATGCCTACTATCTAACAGCAGCGTATTCACCGTGTTCTATATATCCCGTAATCGTTTACAATTCCATTTTCATTCTCCGCAACTAAAACATCACCCCCCTCCACCCCCTTCACCATCGAAGACTCTAGCTAGAGACACAGTTTCGAGTCTTTTTGGTTGTATCGATACACGTGTATGTTCTTGTTTCGTACTTTTTTTTTTTGTTTACACCTGTACTACAAAATATCCATGTTCGTTGGATTCTCGATAATGTACCGAGGATATTTTCGAGTATCGTATGCTCGAATCGTGTTTTAATCGAAGTTTTAGATCTTGTGTATTTCACACCGGACCACCCATTTGTCAAACGCCTAACACCTGCATGGTTTGAGCTCTCTTCGAATGTGTTTTTCTAGATATGCGAAACACAGCAATGCCTGACGAGAGGGCTGTGATGACCTACGTTTCCTCCTACTACCACTGTTTTAGCGGCGCGCAGAAGGTGTGTGTTGCATTACAAAAATTAACCAAAGTAACAAGTAATAATAATAATAATCGGAATTCCGTAGATGTTGCGCGCAATGATTAGTACGTATATACATATACATACATACATACATACATACACATACTACCATCCGAAGGTTTCGAGAGTTCACGAGTAATTTGAAATCAGGGACTTAAACCGTTTCGGTAGAAGTCCCTGGTTTGTAAGTGAAAGTGAACGAATCCGAAAACATTAGAATGGTAGTTGTTTTCACGAACCGAAGTGAATTTCTATTTGATAAAACGAACGAAGATTGATTTCTATCCACGCAGGCGGAGACAGCCGCGAATCGTATCTGCAAGGTTCTGAAAGTGAACCAAGAGAACGAGAGGCTGATGGAAGAGTACGAGCGGCTGGCGTCCGATCTGCTGGAATGGATACGACGAACAATGCCCTGGCTGGCTAGTCGTCAGACCGACAATTCTCTTGCCGGTTGTCAGAAGAAATTGGAGGAATACAGAACGTATCGTCGCAAGCACAAGCCGCCCCGTGTCGAGCAGAAGGCCAAACTCGAAACGAATTTCAATACTTTGCAAACGAAATTGAGACTGAGCAATCGGCCCGCCTATATGCCGACAGAAGGAAAAATGGTCTCGGATATTAACAAAGCCTGGAAAGGTAAAATCACCGTCAATACGTAGTCCCACGGATGGATGTGTATTATTATTTTATTTTTACGAATTGTGCAATTGGATTGCAGGCCTGGAGCTGGCGGAGAAATCGTTCGAGGAATGGCTATTGTCGGAAATGATGCGACTGGAGCGTTTGGAGCATCTCGCCCAGAAATTCAAGCACAAGGCGGACGCTCACGAGGAATGGACAGCGGGAAAGGAGGAGATGCTCACGTCGCAGCACTTCCGGCAATGCAAACTGAACGAGCTGAAGGCTTTGAAGAAGAAACACGAGGCGTTCGAGTCCGATCTCGCCGCTCATCAGGACCGTGTCGAACAGATAGCCGCCATCGCGCAAGAGCTCAAGTAAATATTTATGGAATGTTCGATCGATGGAGAGTGGGATACCAGTAGCGTGCGTTAACAGCAGGAGATTCTGTGTTTCAGCACGTTGGAGTATCACGACAGCGCGTCCGTTAATGCTAGATGTCAACGAATCTGCGATCAATGGGATCGTTTGGGCACTCTTACTCAACGCAGACGACAGGCGTTAGACGAAGCCGAGCGTATCCTCGAGAAGATCGACGTGTTGCATCTCGAGTTTGCCAAACGAGCTGCTGTAAGTTCGTTTTATTGTACCCATTACTGGATATTTATTTCGATTCTAACTTGTTCCTACTTGTTGTTCAGCCGTTCAACAACTGGCTGGATGGAACCAGAGAGGATTTGGTGGACATGTTCATTGTTCACACGATGGAAGAAATCCAGGGCCTGATGGACGCTCACGCTGCGTTCAAAGCGACTCTCGGGGAAGCTGATAAAGAGTACAACTCGATCGTGGGATTGGTTCGCGAAGTCGAGTCGATAGTCAAACAATTCCAAATCCCCGGTGGTCTCGAGAATCCGTACACTACGCTCACTGCATTGGTAAATTGTGAAGTTTTTTTCAAATGTGTCAGCAGTGGAAAATGGATTTGTTATAGTCATTTAATGTTGTTGACGACAGGACCTCACGAAGAAGTGGAGCGATGTCAGGCAGCTCGTTCCGCAACGCGATGGTACATTGCAAGCGGAACTTCGCAAACAACAGAACAACGAACTGCTTCGACGACAGTTCGCTGAGAAGGCCAACGCCGTTGGTCCATGGATAGAACGTCAATTGGACGCAGTTACAGCTATTGGTCTAGGTCTTCAGGTGAATACTGAACCTCGTTAAGTATTCTCAGAGTGTTTTCAAAGTATTGAATTGGTATTTTGGTTGTTCAGGGTACTCTGGAAGATCAGCTGCATCGTCTGAAGGAATACGAACAGGCGGTCTATCAGTACAAGGCTCACCTTGAGGAGCTAGAGAAGATTCACCAAGCTGTCCAGGAAGGCATGATATTTGAGAACCGATACACTCAATACACAATGGAGACGTTACGAGTTGGTTGGGAACAGCTTCTGACTTCGATAAACCGCAACATCAACGAAGTCGAGAATCAAATTCTTACCAGAGACTCCAAGGTAAATAGTTAAAAAAAAAATTCCAATTCACCTCTTTGCTTACCTTGACGTGACACGTGTATTTTTCTGCGTTACAGGGTATCACGCAGGAACAACTCAACGAATTCCGCAGCAGTTTCAATCACTTTGACAAGAATCGAACAGGAAGATTGGCCCCTGACGAATTTAAGTCTTGCCTGGTGTCTCTCGGTTACTCGATTGGAAAGGACAGGCAAGGTGACATCGATTTCCAGCGTATTCTGGCTATCGTCGATCCAAACAACTCCGGTTACGTACACTTCGATGCGTTCCTGGACTTCATGACGCGCGAATCCACGGACACCGACACGGCTGAACAAGTAATCGACAGCTTCCGTATCCTTGCTGGTGACAAGGTTCGTACATCTGTCAGAAATAAACGATCAACAGGTTTCTGTTTCGAAGGTTTAACCGTTAAATGATTTTCCACAGCCGTATATTTTGGCGGACGAACTGAGGAGAGAACTACCGCCTGACCAGGCTGAATACTGTATTCTAAGAATGCCGCCTTACAAAGGACCGAATGCTATGCCCGGGGCATTGGACTATCGTTCGTTCTCCACCGCCTTGTACGGCGAATCTGATCTGTAAATCAACAACACGTCGACGCAACCGAAGGGAACACGTTTTTCGGACGAATCCCAGTTGAAAAGCAAGTCAAATGATATCCGAGAAGTTTGCTCTACGTTTTTTTTTTTGGTACTCTTAACGCACCTCAACACAAGTCAGGAATAAACCGACACGCGATCACGGAACCATTATTTAGTATCAAAGAGTGCAGTACAATGTTCGGAGCGTTTTTTCGAAGAAAAAAAAAGGGTCTCTAAATAGTTTATATGCGTTACGAGTGTTAGCGATTTTTTATTCGTGGTATTGTTTGAACGCGAAGGAACCCGAAGGAATCCGAGGGTAGTCATATCGATAGATTTTGATACACCGGTATTTTCCTAGAGCGAACCCAGCCTCCCTTGCGAAGTAAAAACGTCGCTAAGCGCTCAACGAAGGTAAAGCTCGTAATTGAGGATAAGTCTGTACAGTGACAATAAACGTCCTACTTGGATACCTTCACGTTGAAAGGATAGCACGCGGTCGAACGCAACAACAAGGCTCTTCTAGAACGTTTGCTTCTTGCCTATGTCTACGATGAATCCTATAATTAGTAAGTTAATTCTTCAATTGTATATAAATGTCCCCGAGAGAAGTCACACGAGTACCAATAATAAAGAGAATGATAAGCATTTTCCTTTTCGCGAGAACGTCCCGGAAAAGGAAAGGAACGAAGCTGTGCCGAAAACGAATATTATTATATTTAAAGTGGGAAAGAAGAAAAAGAATGTTAAAGAAGAACGCTATTGAATAATTCGAAGCGTTTAATTAATCGCTTACATCGATATTGTAGCCTTACGTGTCTGAGAATGTTATCGAAGTTTATTTTTTCGATCAAATAATTTCATGTTCTACTTTAGAATATAATTGAATCGGTTACACAGAATCTCTTATGTTATTGAATCGAATTAATCGGTGTCGGTCGAGCTTGAAGTACAGTTCCTAAACATGTTCCTGTGGATCAGCGTTTTATTTGTTTATTCGAGCGAAATTCGAGCGAACAGAACTCGGACGGAAGAGTCGCTCGATCGGAACGTAAGGTACAAATCGAGGTTCGCGGTACCGTGCGAAAAATTCACGATGTATGTGTATCGATTAAGGATATTAACGATACAGACGAATTTTTGGAAGTCCTTACACACGTACGAATCGACTTTCTCGCTAAGGATCCCGAAAACTTTAACGCTCGAAATCGAACATATCGTTCATATTTTTTATATAATAAGCGGCGAACCACGAATTTTTTAAACGAGATGAAGCCGCCTTTATACTTCGCAAATCGTACATTTAAATAATAGAGAGAACGCGAAACGATGCTAAAGAAAGCAAATTATTTATTTATTTGAATTAAATGATTATTTATTATTGTTCCGAATATAATTAATTACGGTAGTGAAAAAGAAAGAAAAAAAAAAAAGGAAAACGAACGCCACTTTTTCGAAGTATTTATTTTTATAAATATTTGAGAGAAGTGATAAAACGAAGGGCCACTGTAATATATAGGACCTATTGTGTAAAATTTCCAAACAGCAGCTGCCATTTCTTGTGTCATGTGTATCTAAGAGTTCATGGTCTACACTCACAGCAGCCTAAAAACCAATCATTTAGTCGAGTCATTGTCGTCCAAATCATTACTATTACTATTATAATTACTACTATTACTATGTAAGATCATAAAAAAAAAATGCTCGTGTGTGAAATGCAATTACTTTATTCGAGAGAAAGAGAACAAGTATACTGTAACTATTTTTTTTTTTCGCTTGAGGCTTAATGCTTTTTTCATTGTCTATCTTAACGCGTTTTGAGAGTTCAGTTAATTTCTCGTACCTCTATTTTCAATCGAGAGAAAAGAAGTATTGGGCTTTATACAAAAAACGAATGATACGAAAATATAAAAAAAAAAAAAAGCTTAAGAAAATCAACGGAACAGTATACATTTAGCACAAACATGGACACACACAAACACACACAACAGAGAGAGACATACGCGCCACATCCATACATACAATATACACGAAGGTGAAAACATGAATGTTCGTGATATCAAAGTATAATAAATTTGAGATGCGTATGCATATGTATGATGTAGGTGTAAAACAAAAAAAAAAAAGAAAAGAAATTTCGTTCGAAAATTGTATTTTCGAGAGAGAGACTCGGTCATGTCGTGTCATACTATATACACGTATACATTCTCGTCGATAATCGTACCTACTTATAATTACAATTCTTCTGATTTTATTCTATTCTAATCCGCCCGACACGGTCGTCTCGCATCGCATAGCACACAATTGTCGACCGACCCTTTGTTTTGCCCGTTTCGTCCTCCCGAATTGGTTCGATAACGAACGATATTGTAAAGTCAGAATAGGAGGAAAATGAATAAACAGGAAACAAATAAAAAAAAAAAAAAAAAAAAAAAAAAAAAAAGAAAAGAAGAAAAGCCAGTTCGAAAAAATGAAGGCAGAACCGCTGAAACTTTTCTACCGGAGAACAGGCCGACAAGGTATGAAGTACCGTTTCCCATGGTTTTTACCACGCGGGCGCGGCTATACAACGAAGGATATTCAAAATAAAAATTCCTAACAGTGTGGTTAAACGATGCTTTTATTCCGAATACAGAAAAAAATGTTCAATTATCGTACAAATGAATTTACTATGCAAACGCTCGATCGAGCTTAGAGAGACTCAACGTATCTCTGATAACTTAAAAAAAAAAACATACTCAAAATTGAGCATGGTTCCTCGGCGTGACACACGGGTTCGCTGAAATGCATACTTATCGTTGACACATCGTTGACACGCCGTGCGCGAGCTATCCCTACTTATATACATATGTAACTCTAAACAAAAAAAATATTTACACGAAGATACTTTTAATATCACCACTGTTCGTTTCCACCGGGTTATGGCTACCTGCGTTTTCGATACGTTTCAATCATTTACCGTTTTCAATTTCTTTCACCGGTTACCCCCCCCCCCCCCCCCCATTATAATAACATCGGTGTCGTGTGTCGAAGAGGATCATGGGATCTTTTATTCGCTGCAACCGAGACCGGCGGACCAGTTGCAGATACCACCGACCGGATCAAATGACAACTTGTCGGGGCAAGTGTACTCTGCCCCGATCACCAGACCGTTCACCATTTTCGCGCAAGTTATAAACTTTCTGCAGGATGACGGGTGCGCGAAGTTGCCCTGATCCAGACATCGAATGGTACCCTTGCTCGTGAGGTAGAGTTTCCCGTTGAAGGTAGACTTGCCAACCACTCGTTCGTCCTCGTCCTCGTAATAATCATAGTCGATAACTGACGGTCGTCTAGGCCTGGTCGTCGTGTTCTGTTGGGCTTTATCCTTCGTCTTCGGTTTCTGTCGATTTCTAGGAGCTGTTGTATATCCGTTGACGGTCCTACCGGTTGTCGTTTCCGTTCTAGGTGCTAGCGTGGTGCTTATCCTGCGTCTTAGAGCGTCCCTTAACGACGGTCGACCTGATCGTGGAACCGGATTTATTATTCCGTCCCACAGAGGAAAGAAAGACTAGAGGAAGGCCTGTGTTAGCACCCACCAGTAGTAGAAGAATATAGATGACTCGTTAGCACCAGAAGAGAAAGATGCCTCGCTGACGCGAGGATGGTCGACGAAAGAGAAAGAGAGTATCGATTGTGCGTTCGAGTTATTGGTTGCATTAGTATTTCGTTTCGTGAGTTCGATAAAGAGACACGGTCGATAGGAGACGATGATGGGGTAGTGTACATCGACACAGTGTAAGCGATGGAACGATTAAAAGTGTAGAGTAGAAATGGAAGGTGAAGTCACAGAAATTAGCAAGAACGACAGCGGTCAGATCGACGATCCAGAGTCGTCGAACGATTGGTTAGCTTCCGATAGATACCCGACAGTAAAGTACCTCTTTTGAAGGAAGATAGATAAAATGATTAGTCTTTGATGAGAACCTGGATTTTTGCTTTCAATGATTTCAGTGACAGAGAGACGCCGGTGTGATAAGATTGAACTGACTCTCAAGAGACAGATAGTATGGTGTAGTATAAGTCGAAGATTGGTATGCGATGAGAAGTTATGTCCCATGTAATCCATGAACCTTTGAGAGCTATGCACGTGATCATTTAGCTAGGTAGATTAAGAAATCTGATGGTGGAGTATTTAACAAGTTGAGTGTACCGGTCACTGATGATGGCGGCGATGGCGGATGAGTCAGCGTCACCGCGAGTTCCTGCGCCCGACTACTTTGATCGATATCTTTTTCCGGTCTTGGAGTTTCTGGCACGACATCCGTGGCATCTAAAACGATATTCCATATACTTATGTGACGTATGCAAAATATTATCAAGTAGTATTAACAATCGGTGTTATATCGGCCGCGTAATGTACGCTTATAGGCGTTGGGGAGAAAGTTTCGAGTTTGAAATTTCCGCGCATTCGGTTTGCGCAGGTCATGGCGTGCGCAGACCAGTGGACTAGGTGTCGCTTTTGCGTCGCAGTTGAACGCGGCGCGCGGTACGGGAAAGTTGTCCGATCGGAACGGGCTCGTTATTCGCGTGTTTATTTATCGTACGGGTTTTACTCACCAAGTTTTTCGTTTCCATCGATCGGGCCGTTGTTTCGCGTTGTGACGATCGTGTTCGGTGAGTGATTTTGTGACTGTGTCGCGGTGAATGTGGTCGGATTCCTGAGCCTGTTTGGCGGCTGGCTTCCTGGCGTTCGAGATACCGTATTCCTGGTGGAATTCACCTGTTCGCGGAGCACACGCAGATTGTATTTGATGTCGACACGCCGGAATGGTGAGTACAATATCTCTTTCTTTGTAAATCAGACTGTCAATCGACAGTCAATTGGTATAAGCGATCGACTCGAATGTGCAAACGTACGTAACGCGTAGAACGTGTATGGATGCTTTCGTGCAAGCACGAAAAACATCATTTCACGATTTAACACTAACCCTACCACGGCTGATCAAATGACAGGTTTTAAATACGGTACAAATAGGTATATAAAAGTCTTAGTGCGGTTAGTGTTAAACGATTCGAGCCTATTTTTCTGAGCATCAAGGTCATTCGGTCAAAAGATTCGTTAGCCGTTTTAGCGCGAATCCATTCGAATTCAACACGACTCTTTAGTTCATCGTAGATGGCGCAGCGTGTCTCTCTAACGAGCACGTTTTAAACGAGCCTTGATAAAATTCAAAGCTTCTTACGTATGGCAAATAGATTCCGTAAATTAATCCATACAAAAACGCGAATATTTAATAAACATTCGCAGGTCCGTTACGTCATCAACAAGCTTATACCGCTTGAGCTTGTCGGCCATTTTGCTTAAAACGATCGTTCGAGAAAGAAAAGCACCGTAACGATAATTGAATTGTTGCATACAAAAATGGCGGATTCGTTCGGTTCTTTCGGCAACAATTATCAATAATTAAAATTACTTTGAATATTTCGAACATCCGTGAAA